GTCCGTTAGGTGGATTCACTTCGCCGATCCGTCGTGGTTTTTGGAAACGAAAAAAAAAAATAATAACAATAAAAAATTATTGATAACGGTGGCGTCCTAAAAGTGATCTAAACGTACAGCTCGCCGGTGTCGTAACTCAGTATTTCAGTGACGGAATTGTAAACGAAATAATACTTACGCGCGAATATATAGTTCATTCAAATGTAAATTCAATTACGTGTGAATATTGCAAAGTATTAAAACATATACGTTACACGGAATATTCAACATTCCGTGCCTATATTATTAAAGAAAATGATAAATATATATAAAAAATATTTTAGAAATATCTAAAAAACAATAAATATTATAGACTCAATCATGTACCTGCCAATCAATATAGTCAACGGATAACTGACTGTAGAATTAAGAATATTATTTTGGGTTATCTGTGCGATAACTTTTTATTTTTTTTTTTTTTTTTGTGACGATTTTTTTTCATTGTTTGGAATCGATCTGAAGTTGCCTGTTACTTTTTTTTCTAATTACGTAGAGATAAACTACTCTAATATACGTAGAATAGAATTGTTAACCAACGTCATCCCATAATTTAGTTGAATATTATAAAGTAAGTAGTAACGTTCTAATAAACTAACTAATTTATAAGACATTTTTCTTGTGACCAAGACCATTGTATGTATTGGCTAATAAAATCGTCTATTTAATGACAGATACCGAGAACGATTTTAGAAAAAAATGTATTTACTCGTACAATCGTGACCGTTTCGAATATCATACACTCGGACAGTGTACGTCGGTTCAGTATTGGCTGTACTGTAACAATCTTGTATAAAACCCAGGGGCCCCATTTGAGGGGTTCACAGAATAATTTGGCTGCCCTGATTTTTGTTTTTGACCTGCCCAAAATTTTACATAATTGCGCTATCGTCGATTAAATGTAGAATGCAACCATTGCCAATGGCCGCCTCTATCGGGGTCGGGCAGTTTGAGATGCGAGATATGAGACATGGGCGGTTATTACCACGGTGAATTATTATTACCATGGCTTACGGTTAAAGATATTACTATCGTGGTATCAATGCGATTATAGTTATAAAAATTAACAGTGAACAGATGAATGATACTGAAATTTAGTTTCTTAATTTTAGATTCTGAGTGGAACGAGGAATGTATCGTTTTTACAATGATGTTTATTTTTGTTTTTTTTTTTTTTTATGTGAACACTTTTTTTTACCAGAAAGCTTACTCCTATTATCAAGTATGACACCTTTTATGGTAGGAAATGTTCTCTAGATGGTAATTTTAAGAGGTCATTTTTTGATAGTCTCTTTAATATCCGTGATAAAAGGTTGTGGAAAACCTGGTTCTTTAGATTAAAAAAGATTAAAAATAAGGTATATGCAAAATTTAACCAAAGAAAAAAAAATGGTATGAGCACACTTATTGAATCACCCTATATATATATATATATATATATGTGATCAAAAAGAGCACTCACGAAAAATCGAATTTCGTATTTATTCAACAAACATATTAATTTTAGTATGCCCGTGAGACAGGTAGTAATCTAAACGTTGAAATACTTCGCAATATTAATCACTGGCGAGTTTCCCCCGTTTTATCAGTTACCGGTCATTTCGTGTTTAGTATTGTCGGACGACTAAAAACAGATTAAATTACTGCTGTAGAAAAAACTATTGTCATCCTCGAGAGGCCCCATAGAGTAATACACTGCGCGGGGGCCCCGATGGGTGCGTTCCGCGTGACCGCTACCACCGTCCATTACTGCAGAGAACCGAACCGCTCGAGGATTTCGGACAAAAACAATGATATTAATATAGGACACGGTATTATACTAGAATAACCATTCAAATCCGCCGCAGTCCGCAGGCCAATCAATCCCCGACAAGACACTCGTGATCCCGGAAAGTATATTAAATTAACTATTTTCCGAATTTTCGGACAATTTACGAAACAAGTGGAACACAAATGTTACATTTTTATTAATTTCCCCAGGGTTATACCACTGTCTACCCACTTTTGATTTGCAACCCATATTAAAAATTCCATAAATAGATTTCATACAGTGGTAATAGTGTCGTGATGTGCACTATTTCAGGCCCCGGGCTGATCAGTACTCGCGTTAAATCATAATATTATAATCTATCAGTGTATGAACGGAACGCGTTCAATTTCACGTGAACGTGAACGACTTTGTTCATTTAATGTTAATTTGATTTAAAAAAAAAAAAAAACAATACCCAATAATATTGAATTACAATAACGAAATAGGATATTAATATGGGCTGGCAACGGCAAGGCAAGCGTTTGGAAACGGCGCAGTAAAATTTTGAGACGCGGAATACCTGAGTGGAGAGAACACAAAAACCGCAGCGGTGTTTTTCTGAACTATAAAGGATAATGCCTAAAGGATGCAAATCTTATTTAATCTCTGCGAGTGATTTTCCCTCCTCCGCCGTGAAAACTATGTTTCGAAACTACGAAATAAAAATAATTGTAATGCATAACTAATTGACCTGACAATGCATTGCTATTGCTAGATAACAGTGTAAATAACAATAATGGTAGTAGTTTTCTTGCCCGGGACAATCAAATTATCATCTGCATCCGGTGGCGTGCCCGGGAATTTTCTTTGGGAGCGGATGTGACAAATGAAAACCGTGGAAAAAAAGAGTAAAATCGTTTTCTCTACCCAACTCGACTGTGGGAATCGGTAATTTAAAAACCGGATCCTGAAAAAAAGCAAATTCTAATCCAGCGTTTCCCAAAGTGTGTTCCGCGGAACCCTAGGGTTCCGCCGGACTATCTCAAGGGTTCCGTCAGATGTATGTGATGTTGAGAAAATTATTTCATATTATATTTGGATTATTTATGTAAAAAATATTATTTTATATTATTTAAAAAAAAGTTCACCTAAAATCTAAATAATAGTTATTATAGTGTAATATCGTTATTATATTATATATTATATCGTTATAACACTCGTGTACCTATAGACTTTGTCATTACGTTAACGATGTAGATTTGTAGAATTTAGATAAGCGTGTCAACGCGATAAATACAGAAATAGATTGAATGCCGCTCCAGACTTAGGAATTCAAGTTTCAGATATAAAACCTAATTTTAAAAATATTGTAAATCAAACAATGAAACAGTTCCATTCATCTCACTAAAAATATTAATAGTATGAATATTTTAAAATCTAATTAATTATAATTTTTTAAAAATAAATATTTGTGATAATTAAATAATAAATGTTTGTTATTTAAATAAATAAAATGTTCATTGAAAATTGTTTTTTAACTAATTGTAATAAACAATAATCATTAACAATATCGTTAAAATATTTTTTGTAGTACTGTTTTTTTTTTAGAAAAAATGGGGTTGAGGTGGAAGTAAAGACATTAGGGTTCCGCAAAACACAAACTATTTCCTAAGGGTTCCGTGATCCTAAAAGTTTGGGAACCGCTGTTCTAGAGGACACTGTAGCGCTCCATATTATATCAGGTTGCCTATATAAATCCCTTATTTCTTTTTTTTATTTTAGACACTGATACTATAACTAATACACAGATATATTATAGCAAATATTAAATACTGTAGATCTATAATCTATAGTATTTGATTATAATAATATACAAATCCATAATATTACCTATGTACAAATTAGAAACTGTTTACTTTATTGTAAAAGCCAAAATATATAATTATATTTTCACATGTTAGTTGTTTGTGAATAATGAATTTAGTTAATTAAATTATTTTTTCTTTAGTAATTTACTGTAGATATTATGTTAATTACTTCAACAAAAGAACAACTATCTAAACTTTTTTCTAATTTTCAAATTAAGTCCATTAGCCTACTTGTACTTAATATGTGTTAATATAATATATGTTAATTAGTGTAAAATTATATAAATATACAGGTACATAATTTATAATAAAATGTGCAATATATTATTAACTATATAGAGCTGTATGGCCGTATAGAAACTGGATTACTAAAACAAGGTTTGTTTCATAGAGTAATACTTGATGATTTCCTTACTGTTTTTACAAATTACAATAATTTGATGCAGTTCTATAGGTCTTAATATTAATGTTAATGATATTAAATATTGATAGTTGTGGAAAAATAATTATATAATTACCACAAAATATTCATTAAACTTACTAAAATATAATAATCTATATTCTAATATTGTATAATAGTACTTATTTTATATTATTGATTTATGGCGCAAATAATTTGTATTAGTTATAGTACATAAAAATGATAAGGAGAAAGGGGTTGAATAGGCAATCACATACATTTTGGAGCGCTATGACGCAGGCAGTTTCTATAGTTATTCGGGCTACTCTGGATAGAGTAAATAGCAGAGTTATAGTCAATAAATTATTTTTTTGGAATATTTGCCGTTCGTTTGTAATCTGTAGACTAAAAAACCATATGGATGACAATAATTAGACGATAATTTATAAGTACATACCTGTATAAATGAAATTGAAGTAGGTGTGTCTAAACTTTTTTAAATATTATTATTATTAATAATATAGTTGTTTCGGGGATTTATTTGCAGGGATTTTTTTTTCGGATTACCATCCCACCGAATCCCCCCTATTCGATCACTGGAAGTAGGTTAGTGTTATTAGTAAATCAAGAAGTGCATCATCTGATTTATCATATAATCTGAGATAAGCTATAAGAAATAAAACGTGTCGCTAATATATAAAGAGGGCATCTCACTTTTGCGCATTCCCACGGACTAAGATAATTTTAGTATGAACATTGTGAATCTATTTAGTTACTTTCATTATCATTCATTTTTAATGATATTATTTTAGTATGATGAAAAGCTCATAATATTGTTAAAATTAGAAAAAATTGAAAAAATATAACATTTTAGAAATAAATAGGTTCAAATTTTTATTTTATGAGAAAAGAAAATTGTTTATTATCAGGTATTTTCATTTTTGATCAAAATCGTTAAAACTGAAATGGTTGTAACCAGAAACTCGGTAACTGGGAGTTTCTTCAGGCAGACGACCCTGTGTCCCCATGGGCTATTGTTATCATAGATATCATATTATCTATGGTCCTAATGGTATGCCTTTACCTATGTATTATCTATGCTTATAACAAAACTATAATTTATAATTTTTTCTAACAATTTATTAAAAAAAACTATTTAGTTAATTATGTTCAAATTTCGTTACTGGCGTACTAATACCACAAATATATTCGGAAATAGTCTATTAAGAATATTACACTTTAGTGTTGAGTCAAGAACTAGACAATTGGCGAATATGCGGTGTATATATAAAGGTTATAACAGATATGATATATTCAATTACTGTATAAATTCAAATACGTATTCAACTTTTGTTGAATTTAAATGTTGGAATTGTCACACGATGTTGGATACAAGACCTAGCCTGTTTTGCAAAAATTGCACTTTAATTCAGTCATCTGATCAGCAAAACTTCAACTATTTTGAGTTGTTCAACATTAAGGAACAGTATGAAATTGATGCTAGACAATTGACATCCAGTTTTAGAAAGCTACAAAATCTTATACATCCAGATAAATTTTCTAATAAAACTGAAGTGATTTTTATTTTACAATTATATTGAAGTGTGTTTTAAGGCAAACATATGTTTCAGGAAGAAAAAGTACGTTCCGAATCGTTTTCTTCTTTATTAAACAAAGCTTATACGACCTTATTGAATCCACTTTTAAGAGGTCTTTATATGTTAAATGGTCGTGGATTAAGCATTGAAGAAGACTCCATAACCATGGATACTAGTTTTTTAGGTGAAATAATGGAGTGGAATGAAAAAGTGGAAGAGGTTAATTCAACAAAATCTCTTGAAATTCTTAAGAAGGATGTAGATATTATTTTAATCAATTTATACAAGTTAGTTGTATATTTATTACAATATTAAATTATAATGTAGAATAATTAATATTTGTATATTATTTAGGGAATTATCAGAAGCTTTCAACGAAAACAATTTAGATCAAGCAAAAGTGTTATTGTCAAAAGCTAAGTACTTTTCAACACTACTAGAGAATATTAAAGAAAAAGAGATGTGAAAATATACAATACCTATTTCTTTTTAATTGAGTGTTTAAACAATAAAACTTTTGAACGTATTTTAAAAATTATTCATTTTTACAATTAGACAAGTCTAGCAATATATGAAGAAAAATATTTTATTTTAATACTAAAAATATATATTATATATATTTATATTGTACGTTATATCATGTTAAAACGAGATTGTTCCATTTTTGATAATTAAGTCCTGACAAACTTCAAATGGAATACTTTTTGTCTCATTTTAATACTGTTAACTCTATATTGATATATGTGTATAAGAGAATTCTAGGAAAAAAATTACAAAAAAAAAACCAAAATTATAACATAATTTAGATAGTGATGATAGATATATGTTCCTCAATATAAATATTATATAGAAGGTCCAACCTACGAAAAAAATTAAACTCATAACATAAATTTTCCTATTTTAGTCTTATTTTCAATTGTTGGATTATTATCAATAATATTTTTATTAAGATGACAAAATTTCTGGTTCGGATTAAATAGCTTACCACATCATTACTTTCTAAAATAACTTGGTTTTTAGTGTACAATTTTAAAAATCCAATAACAATTTACAACAGAACTATTATAGTTAAGTACATGATAATTAAATTTGAAATAATTATTTGGTATTCAAACCAAATATTTTTCACCTTTCTGAAATAGTAACAATGTTTTATATCGAACAATTCTCATCTCTAAGATAAAATTTTCCATTGTTTTTAATAATTTGTTCCGATTTTCAAAATCCATTCTATAACTTTACAAATTTATCTACTGGTAACTGTATGTTTACCAAGTCAAACCAGTTATAAAAAAGTTGTATTACCCAGGAAGCTTATGTATAACAAAAATAATGATTCATCTAACTATTCTTTAAACATATAATTTAAACATTATAGTATAACCAGTTATTATAGTCATTAATATCATTATCATTATTATTGTACCTCTAAACTAACACTGTTAGGTCCTGGTATATTTATATGATTGTTTGTAATTTTTTAAGGAAGTCTCAAGTCATTTTTATTTAAATTTAATAAGTTTTCAATCACTTGCTTTCCAATAAACTTATTGTTGTAATTGTATCCACTTACAAAATATTTATCATTATATTACTAAAGGCTTAGGGTAAATGATTATATAAGTCACATTATTGTTTGATTTACCTATTTACAAAGTGGTTTCTTGCTATTTGAAAAATAATAACCAACAAAATATTTTGATGATACAGCAGTTAGGTATAAGTTATCATTGTTTTGGAGAATATTCTAACATTCTATGGATCAACGGTTTTTCTGATTAGATGAATCAAAATGTAATGAAAATACTCGTGCTATAACGTTTACGTAAATTTTAGGTAAATTAATATAATTATATACTTAAATAACAAATTAATTTATAGTCATTGATTACTGTGTAGCCAGGTAGGCGTATAATATGTAACCATATATAAATGTTATATATATATATATACGACAATCCTTAGTTTACTAACCAGAAGAAATTTTGATTTTTTCAAATATAATACTAAGTTTAATTCACAATGTTTGCAAATATTCTTCCTTAAGAAAATTATAAGGTATTGGTTTTATTTCTGTAATTTTTGATGTACAACTGCCACTCGTACAATTTATTACTACGCACACAGGCATTATAAAAAAATATAAATAATAAAAACAAAATAAAAAAAATTTCAATGTTCATTTATTTTTAACAATGATTATACCATTGCTAAATAACATTTATTTAGCCATTATATAATATTTCAAAAGTCCATTACTCTATATTATGAATTATAATTACTCAAAATATGCAGCAGTGATAATATAATATATTTATAGAAAATAAATAAAAAAAAAAATTAAATAAATATTATTATATAATAAGACCTCCCGCCAAATTGTGATACTGGAGACGTAATTTTTCAAGTGATAACAATGAATGCACGTAACAACTGAATATCGTCGTAGTTTCTGTCTTACCATATTTTTTAGCCATGGTGTATACCATGATTTTTGATTATTGTTTACTTATTACGTTAGTGAATATCTGAATTGTAGTATAGCTTAAATAGTAGAATAACTAGTTAAATTAAATAATTTAATAATAGTACAAAAATTTAATATACAGCACGGCTATAGATATTATATTATCTAGATTAGATAGTATCTATAGCCGTGATAATATAATATATATTGATAAAATGTCTGTGTTCAGATTGTTTCCAAATATTTCTATACTGGTAACTAGTGTGGAAAATAGGACATGATCTATTATCAAAATTAGTATACTGGCTTTAACCAGTATACTATCGCACAATTCACACGGACCATAGACATATTAATAGCTGGACTACGCCTTTTACACACCCCGTCTATGTCTCCGTGAGACCAATATTGTTAAGCGGCCCCTACACGATTAATAAAATTGTGTCTATATTTTGTTCAATATTCATTTCACCCAAACCTCTCAATATTATTGCCCATTATTCAGTCGAGAAATATTCGTTGGCCAGGTCATAAAGGTGTTGTTTACGATGTGTTAAAGGTGTCAGTTTAATGGCATTTACCATCTGCTATAAATTATAGATTATAATTGTTTTAAAAATGTATCTTAACGATACCGAATTAATTTGCATCGCGGTAGCATCTGGATTAAACCAAAAAAATTCCAAACAAAACAAAAGAAGACGTTAGATTAAAGTGTAGTTTAAACGAAAAGAGCAATTTAGTCCTAAAAATGTATTGAACTTTCTACGAATGACTGAACCAGACGACTATAGACATTTTTTGAGAGAAGCTATTTCTGTCAATCAGAGACTATCGATAACATTACGATATTGTGTATTGTGCAATAAATTTCCAATCCAGTTTGATTTCTTCAATATATTGTACAATCCTTCAATATATATACTAGAGTCAATAATATTGCGCAATATCAATTATTGTGCAATATTATTGATCGTGTAGAGGCCGCTTTAGAAAGAGAGAGTATAGTTTAAGAAAGTCATAAAAGAAAAAAATAAGATACCATGGAATGATAATCAAAATTTGGCGATGTGATAATGTAAAATATTAATGTAATATATATATTATAATATAATAATACTTTTCTTTGTTGGTTTTAACCGAAGAATCATTTCAAGTTAAAAATTAAGTATTTTTCTTAATATGTGATTTGTTCTTCAATGACCGTCTTAAGTTATATGCAATATCTTTCTACAATCAGTCCATTTATTAGTATGTCAATGGTAGGGACGAAAGGATAGATTGGTCGAATAAAATCGAAATGTTCCCTCATGATCTGTACAAGACAATCAACGCCATCTATAAATAAATAATTATAGCAATAATTCTAAATGGTTTTTACACAGAATAAGTGAAATTTTACTTATCCTGTGACCTGTGGTTTTTATTTTAACCACGGATTAACACAAGAAGATACAAAGTAAATTTAGTAGTTTAGAAAATTTTTTTTTTTCGTTAACTTTATTTTGATCTCTATTAGAATCAAGAGAATACTAGCTGTCACATTCGTGTAGTAATATAATAAGTTATATTATATGTAAAAACTTCAATTTTGTGATCTTTACATGAAATATGTAAAACATTGTTATTAGTATTAAAGAAATCGTCAACTGTCAGTAAAAAAGCATCAGGTTTATCATAATATTTACAGAATTTTTTTTTCCACAGAAGATAGAAAGTTAAACATAAAATGATTTAGATGAATCAATGTACCTCTTGATTTCAAATTAATCAAAGCAGCTTCTGTTTTATTGCAATAATAGACAATATTTTCTTTTAGAAAGAGTGCTACACGCACATGTCGGAGCAAAATTTCTGGTAGAAATTGTCCTCGTCACAGTATTGAAAAAATAAAAAAATAAATATCTTTGTATAACCAATACATTCTCCGCTGCAATAAGAACCTAACAATTATGTTAAATAATGTATTGATTACATCTATTTTATTTACTTCTGGACCCATCACTATGCCAAATGACTCGCCTGATTAATCACGAACTAAGAAAGAATTGAACGGTAGGTAATGGCGGCGTGAACAGGATTAAATTGACGCAGCTGCGTTACGAAAATAATGGTGGGTGTTGTATGTTGATGTTTATGGTTAAGAAGATACACGATACTTGAATATATGAGATACTGCGTCATTAAAATAATAAGTTCATGCTGCCACTCATGGGAGGTAACCAAATGTTATCCTTTCCATAGTACACGGTTTCTTCCTGTATAGTTCAATAGTTAAAACACGCCGTCACTAGTCGTTACTCGTTTTGGGATGCCTAGTGTATAGATAGCGCCCGATACCTTGTACTTTTGAAAGGGAAACATTTGGTGATCAGCACTGCCAACACCCCCACCCCTAACCCATTCATTAATCGTTACTATTCCATTCGTTCTTAATCGTATTCTTAATTCTTAGTCCCTGGTTATCGTTTATGACTGGAAATAGGTGAGTGTTTTTTGTGAATTGTTAATTTATAATGGTTGTGATAATGCCAATAGGCAAATTAAAAGTCATTTTGTATTCGATATTAAGTATTTGCAATTCGTCTTAGTGTTATAATACAGTAGTGTATTGCTTTTGTTGTTGGTGAAATATTTTTGTATAAAACACCTTTTTCACAGTTTGCCAATATTTTTATTAATACGCATATATATGACCATAAGGTTAGGTTAAAGACACCAGTATATAACTAGATGCATAGATTAAATATATTATAATTTATAATTTAATCTACGACTTAAGCAAAACATTCTACAATTTTAAAAATAAAGTTATAATCCTAAGATTATTTTATTCTCTATCTAATATGCTAATGATGCATTATTAAATTATACTTTTTGTATTTTTTTTTAATAATGTCTTATACCTATCTATTTGAAAAAAAATCTACCTTTCAACCTTTGTACCTATGTCACAAAAAATGTTATCAGTTTGATGTTTGATTTGTCCATAGACTTATAAACTACATAGTATACTAGTTAAATTAATATTCATACATCAGGTGATCCATTTAAGTGGGTAAACTCATTATCTCGGAAAGTTTTAACTTTTTTTTGGAATTTGTTTTCTAGAATATTTAAGAAACAAGCAGCTCTACAATTTTATATTTATGTTATTTTTTGTCACTCATTTTTGTAGGTAAAACCATACCTACTTTTGATTTTCAAATCCCATAAATAGTTGACAAGATATTCCACTTTTAAGTTTGTATTGGAAGAGAATAATGGAGTACCATTTGTGTAGCAGTGTGGCACATTAATAATGCACCACTACTATCCTCAAACCCAAACTTAAAAGTGGAATATCTTGTCAACGGCTTGATAGAAACTAAAAATGTCAATATTATAAATTTTTTTAACTGATATTCCATCTGTTTATGAAATTTTTAATATAGGTTGCTATTTGAAAATCAAATGTAGATTGTGGTTTTACCCCCAAAATTAAAGGTAACAAAAAATAACATAAATATAAAATTACAGAGTTGCTTGTTTCTCAAGTGTTTTAGAAAACAAATTCCGAAAAAAGTGAATACTTTCTGAAATACTGTGTGTACCCACTTAAATGAATCACCTGGTATACCATGGTGTTAAAAGATCTTTTAAGATCGTGTGTATACACTAGTATAGTATAACAAAATATTGTTAAGCTATAACATCTATAAAAAATATTTTTATCAAGTGGCATTCTTTCTTTTTCTTATAATTTTATTTATTTATATTAGTTGCAAAAAGTAATTGCCCATTATTATAAAATAATCTATATTATTAAAAAGGTATTGAGTAAAGGACATACTTCGCATGATGGGCTGGCCACTGTTGTAGGTGAGTAGTTTGCAAGGTTGAGAGGAAATTTAATGTATATCTATACCCAACAATTAACTATTGCTTACAAAAACAATTTTGAGTAGGGTTCGGTTAATAGTATTGCTTAATCAAAAATATAAGTATATGTCATGGTAAAATAATTACTTATGGGGTCTGGTGAGGGGTGTGTGAATCAGTAGAAATGTGATCATACCTTGTTATTTTGTTATGCTAGTGGCATTTATAGCAGAAATTGAAATACATACTTATTATAATATCTTCATTCTTAAAATATTTCCCATCCAAACTGTTTTCCTTTCTCTTAACCTTTATCTACGGTTCATTTTTCCTATAACTGCCCACTCTATAAGATGATGCACCTTGCCAACAAGGATTCGTCATTTAATTTATATGTTGTCCTAATGTATTTTTTTTCATTTTTATTATTATTGTATTGCATATATGACTTGTCTTCTCACTTTATTTATATTTTTGTGTACACAAATTGCTACTGTACTTTGGGCTGCTTCCTATATTGAAAATAATATAAATTATGTAAATTTACATTTACACCATACATAGAGATATATATTTGAATTTTTTTATTAATTCTATCCAACACATTTTAATGAAATCATGAAATAATATCTATAGTAATTGTTTACTATTAAATATACATAGTCCTCTATATTTAATCAATGGTGTGGTTTTATACTATCAGACTTATCAGATTTTTACTGCAGGTAGCATATCAATCACAGTCAATTAACCATAATTTGTCCAAGTACCAAATACTTAACCAGTGCTCCTATTACACTTTTAAGTCTTCAACAATCTCAGTTACCCTGTAATACTTACACTACTGTAAGTAGTCAAAACAATTCTTAATTTTTACAATTATTTATTTTTATTTAGTTGACTTAAGATGGGAATGAGTAAAAGAACAGCACTGCTTTATGGAGCAATTGTAACATTTGGTCTTGGAACATTATATTTGGGGTAATGTATTATATTAATATTTAAACTTGCAATAATTATATACCTATGTAAATATTTTTATTTTACAGACTAACTATGAAAAGTTCTCGACCACCTAAAGATCCAAATAGTTGGGATATTATAATATTTACTCAAACTTGGCCACAAACATTATGTTATGAATGGAAAGGTAAAAATCCTAACCATACATGTAACTTTCCAAAGCAAAAGGATTTGTGGACTGTTCATGGTTTATGGTTTGTAATACAAGAGATACTTAAAAAAAAAAATAATATATATATTTTTTAAATGACATATAGTTTTAAACTGTATTTGGAAAACAAGCCTGTTGTAAATTAATACATATTACATACATTTAAATAATAATAATCAATCAAATAAAAAAATAAAACAAAAAATATTTATTACACATATTATAATTTTAAGTGAAAAAAACAAAATAAACACAGATAATCATTGGATATAGATTATTGTTATAATTAAAAATTGTATATTTTTTAAAACAAATACTCATATAAGCTAATTTAAAAATTTTATTACTAAAAAAAAAGAAAAAAAATTATATGTAAAATCTTCATGTATCTAATAATCTTTAATGTTGAAGCTAATTTGTTCAATAAAAAAAAATTAACTAATTTTTAAATTTACTTACAGATTCATTTTTATTTTTAAATACGTATTTATGTACAACGAGGCATTTTTCCTAATATTTATTACTGAGGCTTTTATTTTGTTAATTCATTAACACCTGTTTATTTATTAATTTTTTTAGGCCTACGAAACTAGGAACAATAGGTCCTATGTTTTGTAATAAATCTATCCCATTTGATCCTAAGTCTCTGTATGGTATTGAAAAAAAATTACATGAATATTGGATTGATATTGAATTAAATAATAATGAAACTGAAGAAAATATTTCAAATAACAGCATTTCTCATAAAAAAGAAAGTATTTGGTTTCACGAATGGGAAAAACATGGTACCTGTGCCATAACTCTTCCAGCATTAAACTCCGAGTTTAAGTATTTCTATCAAGGAATTGAATGGTCTGAAAAGTATAATATGAAAGACACATTAGAAAAAGGTGGTATAAAAGTGAACGATACTACATCTTTTGTAACTGATTATTGGAAAGCTTTAAAAACAGTTTTAAAAACAAATGCCTGGATTGAATGTGTATTTAAAAGTGTAAGTTGAACATTTATAGTTTTAAAATATATATATTTATTTACTAAATAAAAAAACAAACAAATGTGCATACTTTGCACAATGGGGGGGGGGACCATTAGTTTGGTGGTAGTAGGTGAAAAGTTAGGAAGATAGAGGGGAAATTTAATGTTTTTTTGTATGCAATTATTAATTATTTATAACGAAAAAAATATTCTAAGCGGAGTTTGGTTTGGTTATATATGTTTTGAAAGAAAGGCTTACAATTTTTCCCTTTTTTTTTCCTATATATTATGAAAAATCAAAAAATGATTGCAAAGTATCACCCCAGTCAAATTTACTTTCAGAAAAGGTGCTATACTTTTAAACTTGAGCAAAATTTCTGATAAAAAAAGTTATTTACAAAAAAAAAAAATTAATGTTAAACCAGTCTAAAATAACAATATAATTTATACCTCTATGATTTAGAAATGTATTTCAATATAAATTATTTCTTATAGGATACAAAGCAACAAATGTTATTTGAAATAAGAATATGTTTTGACAAGTCCTTAAAAATGATTAACTGTAATGGTATTATGTTTGAAGATGAAGCAAAAACATCAAAACATCATTCATTAACCAATTGTGACCTGAAGAAACCTATTTTGTATTTAGATAATGTTCCGATACAGAATTCTTCTTTCAACTCTAGTTCTATTGATGATAAGTAAATTTAAATTTATATTAATTTATATTTTGCTTTTGTTCTCTTGTCCACTGTGTCTTGTATTAAATAATCCATTGCTAAATAACATGAGTGTAATGAGTATAATGCCACTAATTGCATGGAAAAAATAGAAATAATAAAACATTTCAAATGTACCTAAAATGTTTTCCAGGCACTCAGAGGTGCAGTTCAGGTCAAAACGAAAAGTTGTTGATCACTCAATTGAGTGGACAACTAAAAGTTCTCGTTATATAAACAGATCCAATTCATTTCAACCTCATAGAAACACTACACATTTTAATAATAATTTAAATAGATCAAATTCATTTCCATATATTCAACGGTATACAATTTTCATTTGAATAAGTAAGATTATTTTGTTCAAAGGGGCTATTATAAAATGAGTATTGTGTTAGATTTTATTCAAAATTGAACTTTACATCATATACACTTTAAAAAGCCATTAAAAATGGTATTTATAAAATCTTTAGTTGCCATGATAAGTTAAACTTGTGAAATCATGTTATTTTTTTATGGTTTACATCTTGGTATTGTTAAATTGGCGTTATCTTTTTTGATTTTATAAAAATTCAGTTTTTATCTATTAAATTGATTGAGAAATTCTGATAAATCTTAAGAGATGTAATAATTCCAATGTTATGTAAACATGTTCTAAATGCCATATCATTTTATGTAAGATAATTCCTGAATTTAAGTATTTAACAGTGCAATTTATCTATTATAATTCAAATAATTGTTAATCTAAATTTGTGTGCGATCCACAGCTAAATTTGTTGCATTTAGAAGTCTAAAAAAAATATATATACAATGTATATACAGAGAACACAAAACTATTCAGTCTACACCTCAAAGCTAAATTTTCTGAAATTCAACTTGTAAAAGGTAGATCATAGGGTTTTTAGTTTTTTTAGGAACGGAAATCAAATTGTGTTGATTAATTTATGGGTTTTCTTGGTTATATAAATTAATTGAAAAAAGTTATTATATGAAACTCGTTAAATTGAATTTCTTTTATTGATTTTGGTTTTTAAATACAAATTATTCTCGGGAAGAATTAAGTTAAGACTATATATTAAGATATATATATATATATATATATATATGACTGTAGTTTGACCGACCCTGACTTTTGGATGTGAAGTGTGGATGATAACAGTACAAATGGAGAAAAGATTTTTTAAGAATTGGATATTGAGAAAAATCTGTTGTGCGCTATATAATGAAGAATTAGGTTACTGGCATAGAAGAACAAATTCTGAGAAATTATGCAGAGTCTTGAGGTAACAAATTATATAAAAGTTTAATGATTACAATTGTTCGGTCACATTATGAGGACAGATGAAGGAAAGGCTGCGAGAGCAGTCATAGAGTACCATTCAAATGGGAAAAGACAGAGTGGTAGACTGAGGAAGTGCTTGATTGGGGGAAGTAAGATTTAAGAATGATAGACATAATAAATTGAAGGGAAGCTGTTCAGGATAGAGATAGGTAGAAGGCTGTGATGGTGACGGCAAAAATTCGAGGGGAGCTAGAAAGCCAAAAAGAAGAAGGAAAAGATTTCGGTTTTTGAAAGGATTTTTAAAAAATTAATTTAATTAAATTAATTTTTTTAGAGTAGCATTTTTGGAATTTACATATTTAAAATTTGAATTTGAATTTAAATTCTTAAGTAGGTACTTATTTAATATAATATCAAAGTCAAAGGCTTAAAAATAAAAAACAATTGAGAGTTAACTGCAGTAGCTTATTCAGATGATATAGTTTGAATAACAAAAAAAAAATAATAATGATCCAAAGGACACAGCAAATATCTTGTTGAAGAAAAGAAAAAAAGTTGGTCTGAAAATCAATGAGAAAAAGATGAAACGTAAGTTAGTATCTAGACAAAATCTTAGAATAGATTTTTTAAAGGGTGAATGAATACAAATTTAAATTTGAAAGGGTAAGAAATTTTATGTACTTAGGTGCAGATATTAATGAAGTTACTAATAGTCATGAACGAATAAAAAGAAGGCTCATCACTGCAAACAGATGTTACTATGGATTGATACCATTATTCAAATCGAGATTACAATCTAGAAAATATAAAATTTTAGTCAAACCAGTAGCCATGTACGCATGCATCACTTGGGCCACAACAAAATTAGATAAAAAAAGGTATTAAGCGTTTGAGAGGATATTGAGGAAAATATTTAGCCTAAAAAAAAAAAAAATAAGAATATGAAATACAAAACAACAAAAATTTGAAAGAAATATATAATGAAGAATCTATTACTGTTGGAAATTTGAAAAGTATGCAAATAAGTTGGGCGGAACATGTATGGAGATGACGACATATTGACAAATAACTTCATACTACCCAAACACAAAGAGACCCAGATAAATATGGGCAGATAGAATAAAGGAAGATCTGAGGATATTGGGAGTAAGGAACGCAGAAGAAACTGCAAGAGACAGGGAAGAATGGAAGAAGTATGTTGTTGTGGTAATGAACCTGAAAAGCCTATAAAAAGCCGAAGAAGAAAATATATAATATCAAACAAGATCTAGAAAGATCTAGAAGAAGGGTTAAACTAATAACTTCAAAGTAATTCAAGGCAAAGCCAACATATTCTTTTTAGAATCGCTAGATTTCTTGTTTAATAATCTGTTAGAGCAATAAAATCGACTAGGTATATCAGTGTGTTTGTTTGAAATCATTTATAATATTTATTTATGTATGTTGTCAATTTGTAAGAAAATATTATAATTTAAATTCAAACTATCAAAAATAAACACATTTTTAGTGCATTATTTAAAATGTTTAGGATACAAAAGTATTTTTTCAAGGTTATTTTTAGGGTTTGATAGGGCATTATATTCCCAGTCCTAATTTGTATAGAATATAGGTCAAATTATGTTAAAGTACAGTCGTCAAAATAAGATTTGAGCTACACATTGACATATTACAATTTGGCCACCCCTGTTTATTAAATACAATATAATGTAATATTATTTTTATTTTATGATTTTTATGAATATAGCAAAGATTGGGATTTATTAATATTTTCTCAGTCTTGGCCATACACTTTTTGTCATACTTGGACTGTTGATTCAAAAACTCACACATGTAATCTACCAGTTAATCGGAATCAGTGGACAATACATGGAATATGGTACTTATGATTTACCTAAACATTTTATTATTATTATTAAAATTAAAAGTGTAATTTAATGTCAGGCCATCAAAAACTGGTTCATTTGGACCTTCATTTTGTAACAATCAGACATCATTTAGTTTGGACGCTTTGAAAACTATTATTCCAGAGTTAAAAAATCATTGGACTGAAATAAAAGGGTCAAAGTCTACCTCATCTAAATCACATGAAGGGGGTCTATGGCGGTATGAATGGTTAAAACATGGAACATGTGCAAAGTCATTACCAGCTTTAGATACAGAACTGAAATTTTTTAAACAAGCTTTAGATTGGTCCAAGCAATACCCATTGAATGATATATTGGCTCAAGGAGAGATTAAGCCTAATGGTACTTATCCAATTGCTCAATTTTGGCATACGTTAAAAACTGGATTGGGAAAAAATCCCTATATTGATTGCTTCGTGGAAAAGGTATATTGAATATTTGAGGTTATGTAGTATAGTAAATAATTATTTAATTGATTAATTATTCTAGAACTCCAACAATGTTTACATTGATGAAATTCGTGTATGTTTTAACAAAACATTATCATTGGTTGATTGTGATACTTTGAGAGGAAGAAATAAGGATAAACCGTATACAAATTGTCCTATGGATAGAGACATACATTACATAGGAGCTGAATTTTAATTTAAGTACTCTGTCATTGTATAATTAAGTGAATACCGTTTTTATATTCAGTGGGATACTAAAATATTTATTATAATAAACTAAAGTGAAAAATAATAGATAAATATCATTTAGGTCAGCGTTAGTACTTTTATTTCATAATATAATGACCATGGTGTGAATTTGCATAGTTATAGTTTGATTTAGGTTAAATTTATTTTTGTATTATGGAAGTTTAATATTGCTTGTACTTGGTTGGGTAAGTTGAGTATTAATCAATGTGTCACTCATTTCTCCTTGGCTATTAATAGTACCAGTTAAAAGTATTCATGAAGTTATTGGTTAGTTATATATTATAATAGTAAGAAAAAAAATCAGTTAATAAAATTAAAAATTATAAACTTTGTAATCTCAAGAGTAATCTCACTATTCTATTCTTTGAGGTAAATAATTAAATGAGTTATTTGGAAAAAGGAACATGTCCAATATTTTGACATTTTTAGAATTTTACAGAAATGTATTATTTGTATCTAAACTCACTATTTGGTGTGAACACGGAACATATTCATGTGTTCATATAGTAACAGTATGTGTATCTTTATTTTGAAAAAGGAAACATCTACCGGATATAGTTACAGTTTTTGTCTCCCCTGTAAAATTTGAATATCTGGAAATATTCCTTTTTCCAAATAACCCATTCAATTATTTTTTACTCTGTTATATATATATCTATAAGGTGTTTCATTAAGAACACTGGATTTAATTTTGTTATTGCTTATTAAAAAAAAAAATATATTGAGAACAAAATAATTATATGAACGTGTAGTATGTATGGTGTAGGTATACATACTCTGATTTATGTATGGAATATAATTTTAGGCATATGTCTACCTTACCTTTGCTGGCAAGTTTTAGTTCTGGCAACAAAATTGCCTATTACTCACTGACACATATCCTTAAAGTTAGGACCATAATGTCCAGTTCAATAACATGATAAATTTAATCCTTAAGTTCTTCAGTTTATTTTCATAGATGTGAGTTTTAACATAATCTTAAAGAAAGAAATCCAGTGGAATTATGTGGTATGTGGTTCTAGCATGACTGTGCTACTTGCCATACTGCTTATGCGACAATCATGTGATTGCGTGAACAATTTGAGGATTGACTTATTACACAATGTGGTGATCAGAACTAACCTCCCAGGTTGTGTGACCTAACTCCACTGGATTTCTTTTTTTGAGGTTACGTTAAAGCTCATGTCTATGAAAATAAACCGCGAACCATCGAAGAACTTAAGGACGAAATTCGTCGTTTTATTGGTGAACTGGACAAAGATGTGTGTCAGCAAGTGATAGGAAATTTTGACGTCACAATTGAAGCTTGTCAGCTAAATAGAGGTGGACATATGCTAGATATTATATTCAATACATAAATCGGAGTATTATATATATTCCATACATGTTCATATAATTTTTTTATTCTTAATATTTTTTTTTAAATAAAGTAATAAAATCAAATCTAGTATTCTCAATGAAACACCCTTTATATATATGTATTATTAGAATGTTTTAAATTTATAAACTAATCGTACTAGTAATGAATACAATGTTACTATTATATCATTCAATGGCCTTAAGGCTTTTAATTATCAAATAAAATAAAATTGGATAATAATTTAAATTGAAGACCTTTTTTAATTTACTCTTAAGTATATTATAATTTTTTAAATTTTAAATATTTTAATAACTAATAAATAAGTTGGATTGGGAAGTTATAAAAGGTAAATTTAACAAAATAGTACAAAAAAACCAAATATTTATCATTCAAATCTATAAAATATGCATATAACAATGTAAAATATAACATAAAAAATAATCAAGATTAAAATTGTAAAATATTGTTTATTGTAGGTAAAATTTATAATAATTTATAAGTTTTATTTAATTAATATATTTTATGACATTTAACATGAGAATAACTCTTTATTAAATTAGTGCACAAAATTTTGTATTTAAAAATTGCTAATTTTCTGGCATTCTAGCTATGCATCATTCATAATATATTTCACTTTAATATCATTTTCTTCATTTATTCTCTTAATTTTAATTAATTATTCACCAATAATATCTGTTATTTTTATTGTAATAAATATTCTAAAATTGAATTTAAATCATTGCAAAATATAAATTAAAATTTTTGTGTTTGTGTGTAAAGAACTGAATCATTTCTATCATTATTCCTATAAGCTGTGTACTATAGATTAATTAAAACTATTTTTAACAGCATACATTACATAAAATTAATGGTGTTCAATCAAAGCGATTTTTATTATGTAATATTTTGAGAGGAATATATTGATTTTACTATTGTATGAGCTTTTTATATTATTGCTATCTGTGAACATGTTTTCTACCAGATAACTTGCTTCAATCCAAAAATAAAAAGAAGTCTTTTTTGTAGCAAATATTATTGGGAGTGTGATACTTCTCAAAATTCAATTGTTCAAAATGTTTGGGTGGCCTATAGACTGAATTTAAAAATTAAATTTTTACCATAAAAAAAGAGACTTGTACTTTCTATGTTTGTTTTTTCAATAATACAAATACAAACTATATATATATTTTTTTTTATAATAAAGTAATTATTATTTTAAAATCTGATAAATTTAAGTTGTTCAAACTCGAATAACTTTGCAGTGATGTTGAAAATTAAATCAACATTGCACAGTGCAAGTTCTCCATTTTCATGGTGATAATGATATGGAATTGAAAAATTAATGATTAGTGTCTGTATATAGACGGCTTGTAAATATATTTGAATATTTTTCATGAATCAATTTTCATTATTTTTTTTTCAAAAATTGTCTGGTTTTTTTTAACCTCGTAAATGTGGGTTGTCCTCTTAAAACATTATAATTTATATTGGATGAATAACTTAGTAAAATCCTACCTGATACATAATTAATCATCAATAATTAAAATTGTTCAAATATATGTTTGATTAATGAGTGTTTTCATATTCTGAGCACAGCAATGAATTTAAATCACCAGTTTTATTACCTATATCAGGAACTTGCACAGAAAAAAATTTCAAGGGGTGTTTTTAAAAATAAATTATTGAAAATTAGAATACTAATATAACATTAAAATGGAATTAAACAAATGGAACTAAACAAAAAAAAACCAAGATTTCAGGAAGTGTTTGAATACCCAAATACTCCCCTGCGTGCGTACCTGACTCATGGTGGATGTTTCTTAGTTTCTTCTGTAAACAACTACCAGCAATCTTCTACAAGTCATCGATTTAAAAATTTCAAAGATGGTTTCTGGTAGACAGTTTTGTTTAATTGGTGCATTTAGGAAGATCATTTTATCCCACTTTAATGCTTTTATTTAAAAAATGGCATCGAAAAACAAAAAAAAAGGACATGTTTAAAATATAACCTAGACAATTTGATCTTTCAGAAAATGTGCTAAGTAAAAATCGGAGCAAGTTTACTAAAAAAATAACGTGTCCACAGACTAGAAGAAATATGAAAAAAATAAACATCTTGGTTAAATCAATAGCTCCCTTGCTTCGCTCAGAATCTAAATTAATGGTAGGATTTTACAGCACCAATAAGTACTGAAATATAACATTTTTTTAGTGCCATTGACCTATTTATTTTACCGGAGATCTAAAATTTCAAAGTTTGAACAGAAATTTCTTTCAAATGGTGATAAATTGCGTTTTGCACCGTGTCTATTTAAAAGTTTCATTAATATAAAAAAAAGACTGGCATACATAGCATGATGGGTAGACCACTGTTGTTGGTAAAAAATTGGGAAGGTAAGATAAAAAGGGGAATTAAATGTATATTTGTACGACTGCAGTAACGCAACAATTTATCTTAGCTAACGAAAAACGATTCTGAGCGGACTTATTCTAATGGGCAGTAGGACCCAAATTGGGTAGAAGGATTAATATCAAAAATTCAGTTGACTTCATGAATGTGGGCACTTTAAAAAAAATATCATTTTTCTTATCGTTTAAGGGTGATTGAATTCCTATTCGGTAATCTCTAGGTATTTGTGTAATTTATAGTTTATAAATCTATTTTGTATCAATCTTTTTGGCGTCCAGTAGCTAAAATTAAACATTTTTTACTCAATGCATTTTAAATGCATTTTGATTTATCAGATTTATTCGTATGCTGCGATTGTTCTGCGTTTTTCTAGAGAAATGATGAATGATTATTTCTCTACTGTATTTATTTTTCAATTTTATTTTTTTCTAAAATTTATTTTTTTTTAAGGGTGGGGGAAGAAGTATTAAAATCCACATGAATTTCATAAAAACAAATTTTTCAGTGTATTTTAGGCAGTAAATAAAATTCCTTGAAATGAAATGGTCTTTAACTCACCGTGTTGTTTCGTTTCGTGTATTTAAACACGTCACATTCCTTTTTGATTGCACGAAATTGTACTTGTTCTACTAACAAACAATATTATCACTCACTAATAGTCACTATCACTATTAATTTACCATTTACTAAAAATGCGCGGTAATTATTATCGCACATTTTTCTTTAAATATATCATTATATTAATTATGAATATTATTATTTTGCCATCAATATTTCACCGTCTCTACAATTTCTTTAGGTTTTTTATCATCCATACTATTTTCTGTTAAAAAAGGCGATACCATTGAATTATTACCTAAACAGTATCCACTTTATTAATATAGTTTACTTGTATTATACGATTAACTAATAATAATAATAAAACAAAATTATTTTACTTAATATTAGTTAATAATATGTTGCTATTTTTAATAGTTACATTCTACGCTGACTACTAGTAGGCAGGGTCCGATTTACGAAAGTGCAGATGGTGCACTTGCATTTGGCTCTCAAATTTCGGGAGCTCCGCAAGCTACAGAACATTTTTTTTTTTTTCTAATCAAATCCACATTTATTTTGTATAATGTAATACAATCTAATGTTTTAAGTTTAGTATATTTTTTTCATTAAAATTGTCAGTTATTATTTTATTAAGAATATTAGTTATTTTTATAGTAATCGGAACCATTATAAAATATTAAAAAACTTAATAACATTGATTATAAATACTATAACTATAGGTTTTCCGGTATTTACCCAGTATTATTATATCAATGATCTCACAACGTACGGCGTAAATAATGCATGTCATGTTTTGCGTTAGACTTCCGATAAGGGGATAAACCTACACTAGTTTCTACAAACGATAAAGCGAAAAAACAGCGAAATATGTCCTGTGTTTCTCTTTAATTTTTACTTAAACAATCTTCCGTTTTTTATAATTCTTTTTCAAAAAATGTATAAAAAGTGCGCGCACAGACTGATGTCGTTTTTGAGTTTGTCTGTTTAACGCTTTTTCTTTCAGATTGGTTTTTCTGTTTCCAGCTGCTTTTTAAGTTCTACATGGCCGCTCTCAACCGTAAGTTTTATCTTTGTTCTTATCAACTCAAGTCATTAACGCTCCGATAATTCCCGTCTATTGATCCGCACGTGTCACGATTATCTAATCACTGGTAGACAGTGCTTCTCGTTTATCCGTATATACGTAGTGTATCTCTAATTACAACCAACTGCATACAGGGTGCTGTAGTATCTCTGCATTTTTTCTTCGCTATGTCTATTACTTCTAAAACCAAGGATACCTCTCCATACCTATCTAACATTTTTACTCGTTCAAAAAAACAGCAACTGACTGCAAACTCCTCTAACAGTGATTTACTAGCTGTTATTTGCAACTTACAGTTTTCACAGACCGATATTTTAAGTTATAATAATATCTTGGCTGAATCTTTCTTAGCTCAATTTTCCAATCTAAAAGAAAGTATTAGACGTTTTGCTGCGTTTAAATCTGAAAACGACTGCCTTCGGAACAAACTTTCTGGGTTAAAGGAAAAAATTAATGTTATTTAGTCAACCTCTGTTTCTGAAAAGAAACCTATTAATTCTATAACACAATTATATCAAGATTCTATCGAAAAAGATAAGCGTGCGTTTAATGTATTAATCTATGGCTTACCTGAATCTCTTTCTACTGGTACTTCTAACCGTATTCTTGACAACAAAACCCATTTGTCTGATATTTTAGAATCTCTGTCTATCAACTTGCCTTTTAATTGTAAACTTATTCGCCTTAGTAAATTTTTTACCAGCAAACCTCGCCCTTTAAAAATTATTTACTCATCAAAAGACGAAGCTGCTATTTTTATTTCCGAGTTTGGAGCTGCCAGGAAGAATGATCTCTCATTTTTACCAACTTCAAAATAGTAAGACATAATACTACTCTGGAAAGACAGTTATTTCGTACATGTCATACTAAAATTGAACGTCGTACTGAAGTCGGTGAAGCTGATCTCACTATCTCGTATCTTAATGAGGTCCCTAAGGTCATATAATGTCGTTCAAAAAACTCTAATCAACACCTACCTCCAATCAAATAAAACCAAACCCTCCTTCAAGTTACCATGCTATCTCTAGTTTTTATTAAAACTCCAGAGGCCTCCGTACCAAATTAACCACTGTTAGACGTAATATTATCTCCTTCAATTATGTTTTTCTTGTATTAATAGAAACTTAGCTTTGTAATAATTTGTATGTTAATAAACTAGGTCTTAATAATTATAATGTTTTTAGATATGGCAGATGTACTACATCTAGCTCATGCACTAGATGAGGAAGTATCCTTATTGCTATTCGTAAAGACATTTCGAATCGTCGATCTCTACTGAACTGAAATAATTTTTATTGCTTTAAAAAAAAATTTCATTCTTAGTCCAAATGTACTAGTATTCCTTTAGATTATAAAGAATTTTCTCTTCTTCATGCTAAATGCAAGTTTTTGTCCAAAAAATGTTAGTCTTCTTTTATGCAACGAACTGAAAATTTTCTCAATAAAGAACCTCAGAAGTTTTGGGATTTTGTTAGAAAAAATCAATCTAATTTTTGCATTCCTAAATTTATCAAGCTTAACGGTATCAGTTGTAACGATGAGCAAGATACAGCTAATATGTTTTCCTCCTACTTTAACTCCATTTATTTTATTCAAAAAGCCATTAATACTGATCTATCGAACTTAGATATTTTGTCTTATAACCTTCCTAATAGCTCCTCCTTTTCTGTTGATGTTGTTTTTATAAGTTTATCTAAACTAAATGGTGTAACGTCTATTGGCCCAGATGGCATATCTGGTTTGTATCTTTACAATCTAAGATATACGTTAGCTTTTCCACTGTGGCTTCTTTTTAGGCGCTCGTTATTAGATGGTATATTTCCTGATTTATGGAAAATTAGTTATATAACACCTGTCTTAAAATTGGGTGATGCTTCTCTGGTTGAGAACTACCGGTCTATTTCTATCTTATCTCACGTTTCCAAACTATTTAAATCTCTAAACTTAGATTGTATTCTGCCTTCTGTTTATCCCATATTGATGTATGAGTAATATAGTTTCTGCCCTGGTCATTCAACAACTTGCAATGTAACTTTCTGCAATTACAGGTATATATTTAATGTTTTTGGTGCTCATTCTCAGGTTGATGTGATTTATACTGATTTTGCCAAGGCCTTTGATCATGTAAATTACCATACTCTACTGAAAGTACTTGCTCGAACTGAAATAGGTGAACTACTTATCATGGTTTGGCTCACTCCTTTCATGTAGAAAACAATGGGTAAAAATTTACGGGGTGGTCTCTCCTCCTACAAATGTGCCATCAGGTGTACCTCAGGTTGGCCATTTATTTCCTATACTATTCTCTTTATTTATTAATAGTGTCAACCGGGTTTTATGTGATTCTCAACTTTTAGCGTTTGCGGATGATCTTAAAATATTTTTTCCTATCAACTCTGTTAATGATTATGTCCTCCTTCAGAATGGTTTAAACAGACTAATATCTTGGGCGGAATTCTTAGGTCTTTAATTTAACGTTTCTAAATGTCATTCTATGGCCTTTACTCATACCAGAAACCAATTAAAATTCAAATATACCATTAATAATAATATTATTTTGTCACTTAATAAGTCTGTTCATTACCTAGGTTTTATCCTACGTTTAGCCTTAATCTGCATATTGAGAACGGTTTTTGTAAGGTACAAAAAACCTTAGGCTTTATCAAACGAATAGCACATGGGTTTAAATTGTCTGCACCAATTAAGGCTTTATACTATGCATTTTTCAGAACTATTCTGGAATATGGGACCCCTCTGCAGCTATGTCCTCTTATCAACTTGAAAGAGTTCAACGTAAGTTCCTGAGGTTTGCCAGCTTTGTTCTCAAAATAGACTACCTCCTTCATGATTACACTACAGTATTAGCATATCTGCAGTTAGCTTTTTTAGCTGATCGCAGACATAATACCAATCTTACTTTCATTAATAATGTACTTAATGGCAAAATTGATTCTCCGTAAATTGTCTCAAATTAACTTCAAAATTTCTTCCTGCACCTCACGTCATTCTGTCCCATTCCACATCCAATCGCTTCATTCTTACTATTAAAAAACCAACCGCTCTGTCGTTGTATGCTACAAGCCAATTCGGACCCTTTCTTTTCTCTCTCTTAAAATGTAAATTTTATTTATATTGTTGTCTTATTTTATAGTAATTAATATTATATACTACTTTGTATTTTTATTAAAAAGCTATATGACTTTATTTTCAAACAAATAAACAATTAAAAAGTCATGTTATGACTTATACAATTATACTTATGTAATAAGTTGTTCTATAGTGTATTTCACGAGACTCGACTGTAGCGCGACCAGTGGCCAGAAATTTGGATTTCAGTGTCGTTCAGACTTTACAATACTTTGTATACTAAGCGTTGTAGGCGGCAATTAAATTTACGCGCGCTTTTTAGAGCACATATTGAGTAGCTGTATTATTTATAGATCACCAGTCACGCTTCAATCGAGTCTCTAATTTCATGAAACGCACTATAGTTGTCCGTTGACTATCGTTTAGAAGTTATTTTTCTAATTTTAATAGAATTTTGTTACGATTCTTGGTTATAATAAAATTATTTTCAAGTTTAGTAGGTATCATGTTGAGGCTGTATTTGAGCGGGGTGGTAAAATCTATAATTTACAAAACCAAGTAACTAAATAGTATTTGTAGTACATAAAATAATAGGTATTTAACCCATTGAACAAAAGTTTATTATTTTTTGATTTTCAACGTTTCTTCCTTCACGCTCTGCAGATTTTCTTCAGGAAATTGTTTGACTTGGGTGGCTTCAAATAAACCGATGCACTTGGCCTTTTTTGTTATTAAATTAAGCCTTACTAGTAGGTACTGACGATTGCTTCTACTAGTAGGTATTGATTTTAAAATCAATGGTACAACCTATATTAAAATTACCTACTTGGTAATTGGTACTTGGTATTGTACTTACTAGTATTAGTTAGTGATTTTATATCATAAGTACAGTTGTGTGAAGTGTTTAATATAACAAACTTTTTGCATAAAGTGCATATCTGTCCCTAAAAAATATATATTTTACATAACATTAGATATTATTTACCTTCATTTTGAATTTAAACTAGTATAGAGAAGTGTAATATGGAAGAATACTATTAGCAATGTTGTGAGACTAGACTAACAGTATTACATCTATAGATCTTTTAAATTTGATTAACATAAAAAATAAAATACAAATTTTTTTTTAAATTTTGGTGCATAGTTACATGACTTCGGTGACTTTGCACCAATTACAAATTTACCTTGAAATATCATAGTAATCAATTTTGGTGTAAAAAAAAATTGATCAATGTTTACCTCAGGACAAACAAATGCTATGTGTAATTTAAAAAAAAAAAAAAAATTAAAACTATGTGTATGAGCAAATAAAACAAAATTAACAAAAGAAACTTATCTACTAATATTTAAGTACAATTAAAATATATCACAAAACTTTTTTCTTGTTTCAGTCTTAAAAAATGATTAATCATCTACCTATGTTAGCAAACAAAACAAAATGAACAAAGAAAAACTTAACAATTTGGTAATATTTTAATACAATTCAAATGAATAACCAATCTTTTTTTCAGTCTTCAAATTAACTTAGTAGTTTTCACATTTTTAAATTATTGAAATATTAAATACTGTAAACTGTGATTATCTGTGAGATTCGTTTATTCGTAACTGTAGATGTTTTCTGGAGGGATATCACTAATGGTTTTCTGTTAATTATTTATGTATTGCCGTATATCTTCATTTATTGTTGCTTCAGATCTTTTGATATTTGTAGGCAAACGATAAGATTGAGGTTTATTGTGTTTTAGACAATTTGAAACCCATGAAAATCCTGGTAAATTGTTTTCAAAAGTTTTTACCTTTTTTCCCTGTCTGTCTAAATATGACTTAACTATAAAACAAAAATCTGTTTTATCAACCAGAAATTCATAGTCGCTCATAAATATAATAAGACTGGTAAAACCTTTTTTATCATTCTCAGTAAAAATAGTCGGATGACCCCAATGTTTATCATGATGTTTTTTTTAACTTGTAATTAATTGTATTCCTTGGTATTTTGTACCAAAAACAAATTTGCACCATCAAACTTCTGGTGCAGTTATTAAAAAATACGGTATTTTTGTTTTTTTTTTACAAATCAAGTACCAGCATAGTAATCAAGAAAAATAGTGATAAAATTTAATGTATTCTTTATCCTCATTTATAATACATAAAATAATAACTTACCTGTTAAAATAAATTTTTATTGTGCGAACTTGGCCAATTTTTTTTATACACAATTTATTGCTGGTTACAACGTTTCTTATCACAGACATATATTTTGGAGTAAAATCTTGATAATGATAATAAAAATGGTTCTAAACATTAATTATGGAGTTAGGAATGAGATTTTTTTTAAAATCGTTTCATACTTTAATTAGTTTCAGAGTTTTACGAAATGATAACAAAAATTATTTTGGTACAATGTTGACCCCCCTGTTGGAAAGTATCCTCAATTTACGGTACTAAAGTCCATCTATTTTTTTGTACTAAAATTAGAAATGTTACTAAATTGAGTACACGAAGGGTGAAAATTCAGTTTACATCCAGAACATTAAATTGGTTTTATCGGAAACACCACTTTGTTTCAAACCACACAAGACATTATAGAAATAAATTAAAAATAAACGATAGGTAAACAATAAACACGATAAGATAAGATAATAGACCGGCAGCAATTAAAAGCGACCGATCACCATGAACAGTCGAGTAGAACTGAAATAGGTTTTATAAAATATTTTCTTTAATAATATTTGTTTAATGTTGAATCGCTTTCTCGGTTTTCCCATGTTTACGTTTTATCCCGATTTTTCACATTTGCTGGGAGAACTTTTTGAAAAATCGAAAAATGACTTCTCTAAGGTACCTCGCTGGTAAAATGTTTTGTTTGAAAACATTGCTATTATTAAAAGTTGGAATAAAATTGCAGGTAGAAAATTTATGTACAGGAAAAAAATAGTCTAATGACTTATTAGAGTAACATTAGAGTGGAGCGAAAAAGTTTATAATTTTAAAAAGATGTTTATTTATTTTTTATATATCTGTGCGCGACTTTTTTATCAGAAGACTTGCTTAAATTTCTACGTGTAGCACCTTTTCTGAAAGGAAATCAGCGTGGGGAGATAATTTAGGGAATTCATTTTTCGATTTTCTTAGAAGTTTTCTCATTAAATTTAAAAAACTGAGAAAATACTGGAAAATATAAGAAATGTAGGTATTAGTTAAAATATATTACTACCTTCTTTTTTCTGTGCACAACTTTTCTACCAGAAATTTCGCTCCCTATTTTATTGAAAGCAATGTTTCTAAAAAGAAATTTCACTAGCAAGGTACTTTAGAGAGGTCATTTTTCGATTTTCCCAAGAGTTTTCAAAGCATCACCTTCAACTGAACTCCGTTCAAAATCTTCGTAATCAATGGTTTATTGTTGCCTACAGGTATACATTAAATTACTTGTAATAGTAGTTGCACCCGTCCCCATTATCTTAGGATGTCCTTTATTGTAATATACCAGTGGTTAGATTAGGTGGTGCATTATTAACATGCCGCCCGTCATACCGCTACGCAAATGATACTCTACTATTCTCCTCCAACCCAAACTTAAATGTGGAATATCTCGTCAATAGATCGAAAATCAAACATTTCAACACTAAAATTTGTTTCAACTAATACTCCATTTATTTATGGACTTTTTAATATAGGTTGCCATTTGAAAATTAAAAGTAGGTAGTGGTTTTACCCCAAAAATAAGGGTGATAAAAAATAACATAAATATAAAATTGTAGAGCAGCTTATAAAATTAATTATTCTAGAAAAAATTAATATTTTCCGAGTAATGAGTGTACCCACTTAAATGAATCACCTGGTATTTCGTACATTTTCCTTTTTTTTTTCGGTTTTTAAAATTTTATGAGAAAATTCTTGAGAAAATCGAAAAATGACCTGCTTAAAGTACCTCCCCACACCGATTTCTTTTTAGAAAAAGTGCTACACTTTGAAATCCGAGCAATTCTTCTGATAGGAAAGTTGTTAACAGATAATAATAAACATCTTTGTTAAACCAAATGCTTTCAAATAAATTCTGAGTGAAGCGAAGAACTCAGAATCTAAAATATGGTATAGGGTCATAGGGGTCTAACTTATCTCCACCTCCAATCACACCAAAAACGTGTATAAGCCATAATATAAGAATAGTATAAAAGTTTAGTTATCCCTCCACTTATCTTGAGCCACTTCGACCACTGAGTACCACCCAGATAATATTTTCTTTTAGAATAGGTGTAGAATTTCAAGTGTAGAAAATCGTTGTTAAACTAAATCTTTCCTCTCTCCGCTCAGAATCCAAAAAAGTAAATTTGTAGTGTTTCATCGTATAGCGAGGAAATATTGAATGGATAGAAAATGATAGAATATTTTGAAATTCTATCAATCTATCAATTCTATCAAACATTTTCTTATTACCAAATACGAGTAAGTAAATGAAAAGTTTTTAGAACGGTTTTCCAAAATTTTACACGTGAGTTTAATTTCTGAAATTCTTAAATTCGTATTTTCCATCGATTCAGTAATCAAACAATTTCTGTACTTTATTACGTTTTGTATCCTTGCATTATATTAGATTACTAATCCATTCTTCTCAAAAAATCATGATAAGCGAGTAAGAACTTGTTTCTTGCTTCATTCTTTTAGATTCGGAGTAGAGCGAAGAAGCTTATAGTTTTACAAAGTTGTTTATTTTTTTATTTTTTTATTTATCTGTGCGCAACTTTTTTTACCAAAAAGTCTTGCTCAGATGTTTAAATGTAGCATCTTTTCTGAAAGGAAATCGGTGTGGAGAGATACTTTAGAGATTTTATTTTTAGATTTTCTCAGGAGTTTTCTCATCAGATTTGAAAACCGGAAAAAACAGAGGGAAAACGAGAAAAATGTAGGGAGGCTGGTGAAATCGGTACAACATTAAACAAATATTATTAAAGAAAATATATAAAGCCTATTTAATTATTTTACTATAAAATGACAAAACATCATTATTAACTGAACTCCTCTCAGAATCGTTTTTTCGTAAGCAATGGTTTATCATTTCTTACAAGTATACATTAAATTATCTATTACAGTGGCTGTACCCGTCCCCATTATCCTAAGACGTCGTTTTGGTTCTTTTTTATTATTATATACTACATTATTCGACAATAGTTTTTTTTAAAAATTGTAAAAACTTATTTAGCTCCATAAAAATGTTTTGAAATTTAATACGAAAAACTAGGGACAAGTGTAATTTATTTTGTAATTAAAAATAATCCAATTTTCATTTCAAGTTTTTTTAAACATCTTCAATCGATTTTTGGTGTAAAATTTAAGTGGAAACAGTTGTTACTACTTGATTATTCCATATATTATGATGTAGGAATTCGACTTCAGAAATACTAGTGGTCAGCCTCCTGGGTACCTACTCCACTAATAGTCTTATAATATTACTTATAATATTTTAAATTGATTCTTGATAATATGATTTCGCATGGAAATTAGGCATACCTAATATTGTAGAAAAAAATTATTTCAATGTTATGAGATATATATATATATAGGTACCTACAGATATACCTACTTAAACAATTATTATTTATAATTTCTGTACAGATCCAATGGAGGGCAATCATACTTCCCCCTTCCCTATTCACTCCAATATAATCTTACCTTGATTCTTTATTGAACTCATCATAAAATCTAATGAAACCACACCTGATAGGTACCTAAATATTTGGTACACTTAGAACCTCAATGGAAATTCATAAGATGTTGAAAATTCAACACAAGTTTGTACTTGTGATGGTATAGAGATACACGTCTTATTTTGTTCTCTTATAATACCCCTTAGATGTTGGTGCCCATTGTGTTTTATAATAATATTATGTTTAACCCTGCGATCGGTAAAGGGTCGAGCAAACATGGAAGTGGTAGTAGTATAGAATATTATTGTGGCGTCGTCGGTGACGGTATATTATAATAATATAGTGTACCGCGAGTGTGTATCCTGCTCTACTCTAAACTGGCCGCGATCAGCTGTCGCTGCTGTGCTCAGACAACCGCTGCGGGCCCGCAGTAGCAGTTCGGTCTCGGTCGGTGTATGTTTGTGTTTCGTCCAATAGTTTTCCTTTCGCGGCTAGTAAATAGTACGGTTTCTACATTATACAAAACATCATTTTTTTTTGCACCCATTTTATTAAATTTATTGTTATTATTCTTGAGTCGGCTTTTATTTGTAATTTATATACGTATAATATATTAATTTTATACTATTAACTGTTTACTATATGAGTGTATTATATCAGATTATAATTTTGTACTTATAAAGCGTCGACTTGTGTGCGTACCTATTGCTGAGGAGAGGCCATCGTAGTTCGCGGTCCCGTGTGGTTCGGTGCAGTAATAATTATTAAATAGTGTGCTGAACCTCGCGGCACTCACGTTCCGTAATACTGTTGTTGATAAAAGGCCGCGCGCGCGCGCAACGGTGGCCGGCAAAATGCAGCGAAGAAAAGTCAAGCTGCTATTGATTTTCCTGACGTCGTGGATGTTCGTAGTGGTATACTTTATTCAGTCTGGTTCCAGGGACGTCAAGGTACGTCGTAGTTATCGGGAAAAATTATTTATATTATTATTATTAGTTACCTACCTACCTATAATATTATTATATACAATTTATGGATCATATTATTAATATTACAGACGTATACAATATAAGTTGTACATGTTTAAAGCCTAAGCTAAAATATTACAATTAAACAAAATTAAAATTACTGGGTAAATTAAGTTAAAAAAAAAGTAGTCCAACAAAAATACCATAAGAGCAATATTTATCGTGTACAACTTATCGAAAAATGCATAAGTCCGGTACCTGTTATACTAGATAAAATATTAAAAACATAGTTAATATTTTATTATGTTGTTGCAGATAAGGTATTTTAGTTTAGCTTAGCCTTTAAGTTATAATCTATATATTAAATTTAAATGCAATAATTATTACTATATTAGTATCAACGTAAAATGTATCTATATTCTACATACCTACAAGATGAGTTATTATGAAATCGAATGAACAGAATTTAATATTTTTGTGGGAAAACATGCATTTAGGAGAAAATTTTCGAGAAAATGCAAAATATTGAAACGTTCTACGGAGATTATATAGTTACGGCATTTGAGGAGCTTTTTTTTTCTACATGATTAGTATGGAGTATAGTACGTACAGTTCGTACTGTACGTATAGTAAATGTGGATGGGTTAGATATATTATGTTCGGATAGTGCGCAGGAGGGGAGGTTAGGGGTTATATTTTGGCTTAAAAATATAAAAATATATGTGTAATCTAATATCGAAGTCCATATATTTCAGTCAAATTTCGAGGTAAAGCTTGATGTATTGATTAGAAATTAGCTATTTTAAGATATAGCTTTTAAATTATCAATTTCCATAGTTGAGTCTGTTAGAGAAGACGATTTTACTCTTTATTCACCATTTTTATTTGTTACATCCCCTCTCATTGAAAATTTCTGGGCATGCCACTGATAGTACGAAAATATAATGTATAAAAACTAAAAAGCATACGTGCGCAGCCGCAGAGCCTTTTTCTTATTATAGTAATCAGTAGGCACCATACATATATATTGAGTACCTATATATATATACAATACATGTACGTACATACCGTAAATTGTCGGGTACCGCGATAAATATTATTATTATATTGGTGTCTCGCCAAAAGTAAGTTTTCGTGCGTTATGGGAACCGATTTCTCGTTAATCGTCCCAAATACCGACCGACCGACCTGGTTACGAACCCGTAATATTATGGTCCTCTTTTGTTTATTGTTTTTTAAACTTGTCATTTTTTTCCTATGAAGTATCTACTCGGCGCGTAACCAAAACATCTAATTCGCAACACAACATATGTGTAAAATTACCTCCAGTGCCGTAACTATCCTCCGTAGCGCTTTTGCCAATTGTACATACTGTACCTTATTGATGAAAATGGGGAGGTTAGACTCCTCCCAAACACAACCAAACTCCCTAAATCAAATCCTTATTAAGTAAACACTAGAAGTATAGGTACATAATCAATATTAATTATTATTATGAGTGCTTTAGCCCCTTAAAAATATTTAGGCTATTTGTGCTTAAAAATGACACAAAAAATCTAAAAATATGTTTTAATATACTATTACTGACTCGATTTCTTAATAGTTACTAGTTATTAATATTCATTTTTAATTTTTAAATACCTAGGTACTCTATTATTAAAACAATATTTTTACACTTTTTGTTCGAAGATTCACAGCGAAAATAGGTATATCGTACAGAGTAGGTTCCAAAGAGTACTTTAATATATTCGTTTTCTGTGAAAAATTGCTATTAATATAGTCCAGTTAAATTAGAAAAGTTATAAGCTGATTTCTCGAAAGCTTAATTTGTATTGGTACACTTAGTCCATGTCTTACTGATAAACGTACAGCATTAATTTAGTGTGTGACCCAGTGCCGTGCCTAGCAAAATTATAATATTTACGATTTTCGTCAATATTTTATTTTATTTTTTTTTAATTGAATTAATTTATGGACTTATTATTAATATATAATATAAGATAACATAAATAATAATAATAGTAATAATATTAGGTATACTCTACAGTTAAAGCTTTTGCCTAGTTGATACATGGAAGAATAAAAACTAATGGTTACATAACATGGTTAAATGAGGTGAGAAGGGTGTTCGTTAGTAAGACGCATTAAGCGGTGAATTGGACAAGGTGGTGATATTTTAAGGCGTCCACGAAGATGAGCAATTTATACTCTAATAATACATTTATTATAAATAAATATATAAATACAAAATTTATCTATAAAAATAAAATAAATAAATTGATGAATGGAGTCTTCTGGAGTATTATGATTAGTGTATTATACGACTGTTTCGAATTAAAAATTCATCATCAGGTATCACAGTAAAAATGTAAATCGCGTTTTGCATTTTGACTGTGAATTTTTAAAATTTGTGAGTGGTGGCGATAGAAGTGGCAGACCTTTCAAGAGAGAGAGACGAAAGAGACAAGTCTCTCCTCGAGAATGTTTGCGCTACCGGAAAGAAACTCACGGCACCATTTACGAACGTTTTTAACATCCATACATTTTTTACCATTTTTCAACTTAAACCAATTGGCGATGAATGTCGATCGATGCCACCTTTTTCGTATGACAGACCACACTTCATACCTGGACGGCCTGCTATGCCAAGGCTGAACTTTTGATAATGCTCCTCGGTGGTTCAGAGTGATAGTGGGGGAACCACCGCTGTGGTGGTGTTTCTGGATTGCACCTTGTGCTTCATGTGACGACGCAATGACTTAGGAGATCTTATTTTTAAGTTTGCTCTTATACAATCTTTTGAACAAAATTTAAATATTTTATACCATATTTATGTTTTTTATTTATGAGATATTGGCCAAAAATAAGTTTACCAATAAAATGGCTGACACTTTCATCTATAGTCTATACAGACCTTTTTCTTTTGAGTTGTCCCGTGGAGTGCATGCTATTCGTAGAACTAAGATATATACGTCTTCTCCAACAATTATAGCCTTCTTAGTGTTAGCCTCTTCGGTCGTAACTCAGCTATTTTAATAATATTCTATTTGAATGAAAGTGTGCTGACCTGACCTGTCCTGTTTAATTTTTTTTCGGTGTTTTTGTTATTTTTTTTCTACGTCTTCGCTGGCTTCTTCACTACAAAATAGGCAAATCGTTTGAACATTAAATGCACTTGTTAGTTTTTTATGCAGAGGAGGGTTTAATGGATCTACAACGTATATCTTTTAAATATGGCAATGCTTTTCTTGTTAGTATATTATTTACTGCACTGAACATAAACACTTATCGAATTTAAATTATTCAAAAATTCAAAATGTCCATCATCTCTTTCATTTCTAGCGTTTTTTTAATATTAATAATATTACATTAAATTATATGAATTTTATATTCACCATTTAAGCCTTTATAAAATTTCGAATTCGAATAAAATCTATTTTTTTACATTTCCTTTATTTTCCCGTTATTAAAAGCACTGTATTCCTTTTACACACAAATACACACGTGTGACAATCAACGACGAGCTGAAGAGCGGAAAATACCTATATATTTGAAATAGTGACATTTCCAGCATAAAATATATTTGATATTGCATTTATATCGTTAACAATAAATGTTTATGGATAAACGCTAATTATAAATTATTTCTAGTTCATTAATGTGATATATACTGTAGAAAAATTCACAATAATGCTTAAAACTTCGTACGCAATCGTGCAGCTTACAGAGGTATTATCGATAACGAACGTACGCAATCGTATTTTACCCATTAATTATTATGAATTATAAATTCAAATTACTGCAATAAAAAGACTACTTACTTTATACATAATTGCTCGACAACATTCGTTAATTTGAATATATTACCAACCTACTACCTAATTTTTATTGCGCCATAAATCTTATAAATAATTTGATAAATAACTATAGGTTTAGACCCTTAACAGTTTGGTATAAGTATCTATAGACGCAAATATCCCGAATATTTTATTTGGAGAGGCAATATCCCATAATATTAACTAATATTAACTATGACGTAAACATAGTATTATTTAACTCGATAAGAACCTGATTTGGGGGAGATTAGCTGAGTTTTGGGGGGCTAAGCCTTCCCCCTTTATATCTATACATATATAAAAACAATTTATGCGTATTTTAATTGTTTATTAGAATACACTTATTGATTTTTATAATAGATTACCTACTTTTGTGCCAACACTACTATTATAGGTATACCTATACTTAATCAGAGCGTGTCTGTGTCTCACTCTTGTTGGCTGTCTCGTGTTTGTTACACGCATTATCAAGGTGGAGAGTAAAAAATATTAACTATATTATATTGGTATATGTTTGATATAAAGAAAAATCATTTTTGTCCAGTATACCTATGTATTGGAATTATATTTGATGTTTCGTTTTTATCACGTCCAGATGGATGCCTGGCGGACGGGGAAACTGCAGCGCGCGTATAGTAAAATAATCTATTATTATATTCTTTGAAAATCGAAAGACGGAACGGAGAAATTCGCAGATACCTATCTATCTGTGTCGACTGTACTTATAGGCGCAGAACAGTTCTTTATCATTATTATTATTTTTTTTTTATAAACGGAAATTCATTGTAACGTAACAGCTGTATTGCTGCAGTATGCGCGAAAGGGTGAAAGTGAATATTGAACGTTAACTCGTTTTTATATAGAAAAAAAAAATAACCAGTCTGCCTTGTACCCCCGCCTACAGCGGTTATTTCTCACACGAACTATTACCATATCTGATTGAAGTCACGAAAACCGACTGTTGCTGATTAAACATTATTACGGGAATAAAATTTGATTGAAAATTATACGATAGCCTAACGTAAGACACTCATTATCTCAAAAAGTTTTAAGTTTTTTCAGAATTAGTTTTCTAGAATATTTAAGAAATAAGTAGCTCTAAAATGTTATATTACTTACTGTTATTTTATCCTTATTTTATTTTTAACTTTTGATTTTAAAATCACATCTTACATTTAAAATTCCATCAATAGATGGAGTATTAGTTTAGATCAGTTTAGGTGTTAAACATTTTAATTTCCATCAACCAATTGACGAGATAGTTCACTTTTAAATTTCGGTGGGGGGGGAGTGGTGGAACACTATTAAAACGTCACGCGCCGTGCTGCTACATAAATAATACACAACTCCTCTACCCCACCGAAATTAAATTACTAAACATTAATTTAACCTATATTTTAATATATACAGGTTATAGGTTATCTGAATAGTATTCCACTACTCTCCCCTTGCATAGACTTAAAAGTGGAATATTCCTTAAACGAGTTGACGAAAATCGAAAATTTCAACACCGACATTTATTTTATCTAATATTCCATCTATTTATGGAATTTTTACTATAGGTTATTTTAAAAATCAATGTTGATATAGATATAAGATACTCCTTAAATGTTGTGAAAAATCTAAGTAAAAATGGGTGAGCAATGAAATATCTTATTTATATTTTTTTATCAAATTTTGGTAGGTTGGTATATAATACAACTCTGAATCTACATTCCAATCGATTGCTCGTCTTTTTTTGAAGTTCTTTAAAGGTTTTGACTTATGCATCTCTTTTAATTTACCCTGTGTAATAGTTTTGATTGCAGGATGAAGAATGAACGATTCCAAATGTCCTAATTGTTTATCATTCAAAATTTAAAGTTCCCATGAAGGTCGAAATGCTTCCCAACGAGAAGTTCTAGGCACCTGTTAGTTGGACTCAACTAATACGTTACCGCAACCGTTTGTACTCAGTGGTATATTTATGTATAGGCACTATATGCACTAAAGGCACGTGCCTACAACGTCACAATTTTTACATTGTATATCAATTGTTACATCTAGGTGGAATTTTTTCTGTGAATTTTAATTTTTTAAATTATTTTCTGTAACAGAAGTGACATTAAAATGCCCTGTGTCCACACTACTTCCAAGTAGTGGAATTTTTTCCTTTTATAGTCTTTTAGATTCGGAGTGTAGCAAGACATTTATTGGTTTTACTATATGATGTACGTATATGTGTAATTTTTTTCTGTTTGTGAACAAATTTTCTAATAGAAAACGTGCTTTAGAGCATAGACTGTGGTACCTTTTTTGAAAGGTGAATTTTCTTTCATTGATGCATTGAAGAGATCATTTTTCGTTTTTCAAAGGGGTTTTCGAAATAATCAGGAAAAACTCGAAATAAAAGTAAAGGTATAATGGCAAATATTTATGGCGCGCCATGACGTTATCGTTTCATTGTTTTTATTATGTTAACACAATGTTTTCTACCAGAAATATTTCTCCAATCCAAAAATGACACGAAATCGATTTTGTCCCTTATAATATTTCACCACTGACGTCGTTTTTTGGTATCCAAAGTTGTTTTCGTAATATTTTTGAAAAACCAAAAATTAAAATTGATTAATATTTACGGCAACGTAGCGTCCCGGCTTCAATATTTGAATTTGTTCATGAATGATGTTTTTTACTAGAAATATTAGTCCAATCGAAAAATGACAAAAAAACGATTTTGTTCCTTTAAACAAATAGCCACTGATGGAGGAAGTCGCTTTTTGATATCTAAAGAATTTCTCATAATAATTAGGAAAAACTAAAAAAGACGAAGTGTACATTTTTTCTAAATTGTACATTAGGGTTAGGTTAGGTCTGGGTTAGGTTAAACCTAACTTAACCGTTAAAAAACGATACGATTGCAATATTTTAAATTTATACCTACGGCTTATGTTTTTTACTATAAATATTACTCCAATAGATAAATGGCAAGGAACCTTTTTTGTTAAATATTTAATCTTGTTGGTGATCAAGAATGCCGTTTTTTGATTTTTTATTGTTGTTTATATGTATAATAATCGAACAAAATCGAAAAAAACGTAGAAATTACAGATAATTTAATGAAAACAATGTTTTTCTTATTTTAAATTTTTAATGTAATTTAGTTTATATATCCATAAAGATTTGACATTTTCAGAAAAAATTTATATTTGCTTTTTCTAGACGTAAAATTTTCAAAATATTTAGTTAATTTTCGATCTAATTATAGGTATTTTAATTTTTTGAGTTTTGTATGTAATTTTTATTCGGTAGGTACTCTGTGGATAGAATTATTTGATTAACAGAATATTTAACAGGCAATTCCTTAAGTGTCGTACTTTGTAGTGAAAACAAATTTGAGCTTTATGTAGTATTTTTTTTTTAATAAATTAATTTAAATACCATATTTTGACGAATTATGTGGAACTAATCTAGCTCCTGGTTCATGCAAATTTTGTTTTGATCATATGTATACATATTACTGATTTAAGATCGATGATGAAGTCAGAATTGAGCGGACTGACTTAGTTTCGGAATCATGATGATTTTGGTACCTGATGTACCTAAGTCGCATGTTAAAACCCGAGTTTCGTAAACATTATTTTGCAAAACCACGTCGGATACTATGTTAGGTTAGGTTAGATAATATATACGGGGAAAAAACAAATTAATTCAAATGAATTCAAAAAATAAAATTGAGTGTAATTTTGTATTTTCTGATTTTGAGTTGAGCAAAGAAGTTTATGGTTTTTTACAAATATCCTTTTAGAAACATTGCCATCATTATAAATTGAAGCTAAATTGTTGGTAGAAAAGTTGTCCACCGAAAAAAAGTAAGCCATTATATTTTTAACTAATACATACAATACATTTCTTGCATTTTCCCGTTTTTCCTAGGTTTTTTTTCGTTTTTCACATTTGTTAAGAAAACTCCTGAAAAAATCGAAAAATGACCTCTTTAGAATACCTTCCTAGTCAAATTTCCTTTTAGAAATATGCTATCATTATAAATTGCAGCAACATTTTTCACTGGTTTTCAACTAGGTTTCCACTGATATGTATAGGTCTGTTCTGCGCACTTCATATTAAAAGTAACCCCCTTTCTGATTTTTGAATCAAGTATATGTCAGTGGAATTCGGTGACAGGAGAGTAGATTTAACGCCAAAAAAATTTGCTTGTTACCCTACCCTACCTTCTATAGTTAAAGCATAAAATCCATTCCAAGGAAACTAGCCTAAAATTCGTCTGATCACCACAAAACTTTGGAAAAAGGCCTTATGTTGCCTCTGGGCCATTTTCACCAAATATAGTATCAATTGAATAAAGAAATAGGAAAAAGTTATTTTAATCCAAATGGTTGTTGGTCATTATTTAGCGAGTTTACTTTTTATTTAATTTCCATTAAAAATGTTAACCCTACCCCACTAAAATTCCAGGAAAATAAACAAAAAAATAAAGAAACAATTTACAGTTGTATCAGAAGTTTCTACCCGTATGTCAAAGTAGGTAAGTACAGTGACGTATTTACGGGAGCTGTGAGTCCCTAGGGTATGGCGTATTTTTGGGGGGGTTTGTCTTCCATGTTGGGACATCCCTAGGCTTAAAAAAATTAATAGTCTAATGTATTAGTTTTCATTCCCTATGCATATTAAAATATTTATATTCTATAACTGCAAAAGTGAAATTTATTTCATTAGACCCGACGACATTTTTCGAGATAATATTACATATACGACAAAATGAAGAGCGGTGAAATAAAACGACATGACGGCGAGATGAACGACGATGAAACGTTGCTGGTGAAACTATACCCGAAATATGGTGCCAAAAGAAAAATGACCTCTTTTGTTGAAATTTGGATCTGGTTAATCAAAAAGAAAGTTATTTTTCGATTTTCTAAGTGGATTTCATAGTAATTAAGAAAAACCGGGAAAAAACGTAAAATTAAAACTGTATATTGTACAGCGTTGGAGAAATTACATTTTTGAATTATAATTAGATGATTAGTTATTAAAGTGCTTACGATTAGAATCGATATTAGTGAATATATTTTACAGTTATGTTATGTACCTACTTAATATCATAAATCATAATACATTTACCTGTTATCCAATAAATAATCAAATAATTAAATATTGATCTTTTTGATAATTTTTAAAAGATAAATATAATATACAAATATATGTAATATATATATAGATAAATATATATAGCAAACTAATAAGATGAAAAGTGTTGAAACAAATTCATGCATGACTGGATGGATCGCTATCGTTCCAGTTCCTGATGATAACGGGTAGCAACGCATATCTAACGAGTCAATGACACATTCTGAAAGTTCAATCAATTCATAAAACAATGAACAGAGTAGAATCCAATTTATCTAACATTAGAGTTGTAGTGGCATGGTTTTTTTTTTGTGTTTTGTATACCTACTACATAATAAATATTCGTTCAATTATTCCATCATTTCTAAAAATCCATGATTTTATTTAGGATACTATTTTTGTTAAAAAATTATAGGTAAAATAGCAAATATATACAGCGCGCCGTGGCGTTATTGATTTTATTGATCTTAATTTCTGCAAACTAAGTTTTCTACTTGAAATATTGATTTAATAAAAAAATTCCAAATTTAATTTGTTTTGTTAAATTTTGGATTTAGTTGCTCATGAATTAAGTTGTTTTTTTGATTTTCTAAGTAATTTTCATAATAATTGGAAAAAATCGGAAATAGACGAACAAATTGTTTAACAATTGTTGATACAAATAAAAAAATGTATAAATTATTATTATAGGTAAACTAGGATTACAAAATATAAATAGACAGATAGATAAATAAAAAAAAAAAAAATTTAAATATCAGTAAATGGTAACAAATTTGTTGCTTCTTTAGTTCATATGATTTCAGCCCGAAATCGGCCAACGTCATTAATGTTGCCATTGTCGTCTATGATATCCTTCTGTATGCTAAAGTAAGGAAAAATTGGGCATTGTGTAATGTACTTAATCATTTGTTCCATCATATATTTACATGTTGTGGATTCCCTTCAAGCAATCCCCATTTTTTCAGATTATGATCCTTTATGCGTCCAAATTCTGTTTTCATGTTGATTTAGTTTTCTCCAAAACAACCATTCTAATTGATTACCTGGTGGTAATGTTTTGATGGGAGTACATTTGTTGCCATTCATTTGGTTTTTCCATTGTATAGTTTTTTTCCTGTTTCTTAGTTATTGTTAAGTATTTCATTTTTTTAAGGAAACTATTTCTTAATTTTAGTCGGAAATTATTTGTCTCAACTCCATACATCGGGAACTTATTGTTTTTCGTTATTTTAGTTCTTTCTCAGTTTGCTTGTACCGACCTCCTGATTGACGGTGCTGCAATTACAACTGGACCATAAACTTCCTCAACTCTAGAGTTTCTTAACCAACCAACCATTAATCGAAATGTTTCACTGAGGCACATCTATTTTTTTTTAATGGGTCGATTTTCCTCATACTATTGATGCGTATTCGTTTATTGATAGACATAAAGCCAACGTTGTAGTTTTTAGGTTATGTGGATGGGCTCCCAAATTGCTTCCCATAAGTATACGTAATAATCCGTTCCGTGTCGCTTATTTTCCTTTACATTACCTATCACAAAGAGCTATGTATGTTAGAGAGTAGAGACCTATCCAAAGTGACTTTCAGTTATTTACCTATTGGGTTTTTTTCGAGTTCTATGTCTTTCCAAGTTACATTCAATTTGCGAATTGCTTCTCGATTCCTCAGATGGAAGGTTAGGAGCCTATTTTGGTTTTCTTTAGGTTCGGTTTTAAGTACGAAAGTAAATTTTAATGTACGAAATATATTGGTAAAATATTACGATTTTTTTTTTTTGTGGACAGCTTTTCTACCAGCAATTTTGCTCCAATTTAGAATTATAGCACTTTTTCTAAAAGGAAATCTGACTCGGAAGGTACTTTAAAGAGGTCATTTTTTGGTTTTCTTAATAAATTGGAAAAACGGAAAAATGTACGAAATGTAGGTATTACTCCAAAAATATTACGACCATTCTTACTTTCTTAGTTGTTCTACCAGTTCCTGTGTGAGGCCCGGTATGTAATGATCTTTATAGCCTCTCGGAATATATCTTCTTGATGTTATTTTTACATGCTTAATGAGGAGTTCATAATTTTTGGGTCTCGTATCTATGTTAATAATTTTATTATCCCATTTCAATTAGATTACGATGAGTTTCGTTTTTCTTAGGAGAGTAGAATGATTCAAATCATTCTACTCAGGAATTTTCTCAACAAATGTAAAAAAAACGAAAAAAAAACGGCAGAAAAACTGGAAAATTTAAAATTAATGTAGGTATTAGCAAATATATATTATGGGCTTCTTTCAGTTGTTTTCTCATCAAATTTGAAAACCGAAAAAAACGGGAAAATGTACGAAATATATTAGTAAAATATTACGATTTTTTTTTTCTGTGGACAACTTTTCTTCCAGATATTTTGCTCAAACTTACAATGATAGCAATTTTTTTTAAATTAAATTTCACTGGGGGGGGGGGTACTTTAGAGAGGTCATTTATCGATTTTCTCAGGAGTTATCTCAAAAAATGTGAAAAACCGAAAAAAAAGCGGAGGAGAAACGGGAAAAACGTAGGAAAAACGGGATCTATTTTAATTTTGGAATTGGAATAATTATAATTTACCATAATATAACATATATATATATATTGTTGACAAAGCAACACTATCAACTGAATTCAGCTAAGAATCATTTTTTTGTTAGCAATGGTTTATCGTTGCTTACAGGTGTACATTAAATTACTTAAAACAGTGGCTGCATTCACCTCTATTATCCTATGACGTTTTTTGTTTTTTTTTTTTATGTTGTTACTCAGTTAAACATATTTGTATACTTGAAATTCAGATAGAAAACTTAAATTTATCTTTTCTAGATGTGGTTAAATTTTCCAAACTATATATATAAGCGTTTTATGTTGGCGTGGTTTTCACATAGTTATTGTTTGGTAGATACTATCTGGGATTTAATTGTTTGTTCAAACCGAAATGCATAGAAATTTAACAGGAGGGTTATTATTTAACACTAAAACAATAATTGTATTAGTGTTAAAAAATAAAAAACAGAATGTAAATTAGTTTTTTATTACGAATATTTAAGATCAAATTTTGAAAAAAATCGTAAATTTTACGGTCTAATTAATCATGTATAATGAATCGCTCAGAATCGTTTTTCATTAGCAAAGATTTATCTGGTTTATTGTTAATTTTATATTTCTTGCGCTGGTGCTAATGTAATGTTACACCAGTAATAATTATTTTATTATTTCCATTTTTGGTTTTTTGTTGTAATTAAATTAAAACTATTAGTAAAGATTTAACATTTTGATGGAAAACTTATATAGACGTTGTGAAATGTTTAAATCGTTGGCGCCATTTTTAAGAATTTTATAGATGTTTTAATTAGATAAATTTTTTAAACTAAACAGAAATGCTTGTTTTGACACAAGTTTCATTATAAGTTCAATTTAATGGTAAAAAAAATAATAATAAAATTGATTGTTATGTAGTATTTTTTTATTTTTATTTTTAGTATATTAATAGTTATAAAATCAAATTTTAATAAAAATCATAAATACTACGCTGCTTTTCAAAACATGTACAACCAAACTTCGCTCCTTTTCGTTTATCGCAAACTTTTCGTTAGCAATGGTTTATCGTTGTTTTCAGTTGTAAATTAAACACCTCTATGTATCCATCTTCTGAACTTTCAACTTACAACAGTGGTACACTCGTCCCCAGTATCAGCATTTTTTTTTTTTTTAGTACCGTTTATATTAATTGTTTGATTAATTCAATTCATATGTTTTGCAAAAATATTGTGTTGTATTTACCACGTTTGTGTTTTGTATTTTAAGCCGTGTGTCATTATATGTTTCCCATTACTCATTAACTCTGAGGGCGCTCCCGGTGTAATAGCCAGTCACAGAACCATTCTGGTGAACGTGTAATGTTACATTACACCACCGTAGTAAACATAAATTTCCATGGGTCCTAAGTGGTGTACAAATTCGTAATTTGCTATTAAAAATATGTACAAAAAGAATAACAATTGTTGGTGCACATTTTTTAATGAAATTCTAAGTTGGGGGTGCTAATGTAATTGACCTGTTCGGACGTACCACACCATACAAATAAATAATAATTGTATGAATTGCATATAAACTGCATTTATGATATTATGATTGACTGATGTGTTCAGTATTAGTGTTGTCTAATACCGTTAAATTGTCTAGACATACTCGAATTGTTCTAGCACCATCATACAAATTATTAATATTGAAATTTAATTTAAAAACGTTTTAATAATCTATTATAATGTACCGTTAGTGGTTACCTAATGAGTATTAAGTAAGAATAATACAACTTATCATATTATTATTTTATTGAAACATTATATAAAAAATATTATATTTTGTGCTCAGATATACTGCTATACAATATTATACAGTAGTTGGGACGTCGGAACAACTTTTTGACAGTGTGAGTACTCTAAAAAAACACCCTAACATTTATGGTTCTCTAAAAGTTACCCTAGTAAGAAATAATATCCCAAAATTGAATGGTACAATCCCCAATCTGGCACCACAGATCGCCAGTCATTTAACAGTAGTTTTGAGCGAAAAAAGGGTTAACGGGGAAGTGTGGAGGTTAGCATTTGTTGTCAATATATAACGCCATTACGCCAACTAGTGATATTATAACATTTCCAATGGATTAGAAGTAAACATTTGAAATCTTAAGAGAACTCACTTTCAATGAAAATACCTATATGTAGCTCGATGAAAACTCATGTTAAAAATATTGTGTGATTTTTGGAAAATATGAATATAATATTAGAATGTACATTTCTGTTTTATTACCTAATTACCTTAAATTAACTACCGAAAGTATATCAATCCTGTTTGTTTATTCATAGATATACTCATAGGTAATAGGTATTTTACGTATATGTAATAAATAATAATTTAAATTTAAAATAATATAATAGGTACGTTTTGAAATAGGCAAAGCGAAACAAGTGCCCAATACCAGAATATCTGTCCATTATTTAAGTTAAGTGTTATTTACGAAATTTTTTTTCGACGGGTTTAATAATTACATTATATCAAGTATTACGGTTACATGCACAGCTAAAACCGCTTTGACTCAATTCGAATTTGTGATCTCCCGGAGTTAAAAGCATGTAAACGATTGTTAAAATGATTTAATTTTAATTTGGTTTGATTAAAACGGTTTAGTTGAATCACATTTGAAATGCGAATTGAAAATAACTACGAAAGTATGAAATGGATGTAAACGGATCACACTACAACAACCAAATCAGGATTACGGTAGGTATTTGCATAAGGTATAATAATAAATATTATAAGTTATTGGGGAATTGAAGTTGTAATAATATTCAATTTTTTATTATTTATTTTATGAAATTATAAATTTTAATGAAGGTAAATTGGTTTAAACTGTACATGTAAACGTTGCAGCGTAAATTGGTTTGATGGCAGTGTTAATATTAATAATAGGGTTTTAGACATGCATGTATACTTGTACCCTAATTTGAATCGATTCAATACGAATCAAGTTAATTCGATTGAATGAATTCATATAAATAAGGTAAAAGATAATTTCGAACTACCAAAATGATAGATATAAATCACATCATAATATAATAATATAACACTGTTATAACTTATATATTTGTTATGCCAAATGTTGTATTTTACAAACATTAAACATTCAACGGAATTATCGATTTTTTCTTAATAAGTAATTTAAACTATTTTTCACGGTCTACATATTTCGATAAATTAAATGTGTGTTCGAATCATAGATAATAGTGACAGCAAGGAGGTGGATTTAAATTATATAATATAATATACATCCAATATGGTATATAAATGGTTTAAAATAAAATTACTCGCAAGGCATAACAATAACAAAAAAAAAAATGTTTTTATTGCAAGAGAATCGTCATCGACCCTACCCTGTTATTTCTATTAGATTAATTATTCATTATAATATGTAACACTACCTGTAATAATATATACGCTCGGGTAATTGTCAGGTTGTACCTACTATATCCTTGCACCCGCGTTCCATTGTGTTGTGATATAACTAATTACATAAAAATCTACGGGCGTATGAACGGTTTTTGTTGATTTGTTTTTACAGCATATTTTTTTTATACATACCTACTCATTCCCGGCACGCATACAGGAATTGCGATCGTTACGACAATATATTGTCATCAAACAGTTTTTTTGGAACAAATCCATACCATTACCACAGGTTGTATACATATATAAAATAAAAAAAATATATATATATATATATTGACTGTATCCCAAGTAGATTTATTTTATGTTTCGACTACATATCAATACGTATAATATTCTGTCATGTGAAATATTTTCTACACTTTTCTACATAATATAAAATAACCACGTACCACTCTCGTAAAGTATCTGTTGAAGTATTTATTAAAAATTTTAATTTTTTTGTTGCATTTTAGGTGTACCTAGAGACCCAACCTATCCCTCTCTCGGACTATTTTAATTGAAAAATATCCCTCAATTTGTGTAAACTTTTCTGTACCAGAAATCTTGCTCCAAACTTGTTTCAAGTGTAGCACATTTTCTAAAAGGAAATTTTATCTACATGGTGCCTTAGGGAGGTTATTTTTTGATTTTTCAAGTGGTTTATAATATCTGGGAAAAACTTAAGAAAACAGGAAAATAGGTATAATATTAAACAAATACTATTAAAGAAAATTTATAATGCATGACTAGTAATTATTTTACAATATTATGACATATATATTGTTGAGGAAGCAAACATTATTCACTGAACTCCACTCAGAATCGTTACAGAACCGTTCAGAACCAGAAATGGTTAATCGTTGCGTACAGATTTACATTAAATTTCCTTTCTATACTACCTTCCCAACTGTTTACCTATAACAGCGACTGCGCCCTTTTCCATTATTCTAGGACAGATTTTTTTTTTATATTTCTATTCGATTCTGAGCGCAATAAGTTTTACAGTATTATGTGTATTTTTATCTGTATTTAATAATTTTTTTACCAAAGTTCCGATCAAAAAAGGATAAAAGAGAAATTTTTTGAAGAATTTTAAATTATAATTAGATCTTGTTAGTGCATTGAGGAGACTATTTTCAATTTCAAATCAGTTTTCATAATAATTAATAAAAGACGTATAGAAACAACGAAATTTACGGGGTTATCAATTTCATTATTTTAAATTTATTCGATTGGGTGCATGTTTTCTAAAACAAAATTTTGAAGAATGCCGTAAATCAATTTTTAGGATTTTTTTGTTTATAATTTTTTCTTCTATAAGTTTTTTCCTTTTAATTTTTTGGTAAAATTATTTTTGAAATTTTAAAAATAAGTATTTACAGGGTGATTCACTAAGCGTGTTTCTCCCTTTTTTAGGTTGAATTTTGCAAACATTCAAATTCTGATTTTTGGAACTTTTAGGTATACCTAGTTAAAGACAATATTTTCGAATACCTAGATTTTTCCCAACGTTTAAAGAATATCCTTATAGTGGTTCTACAAATTTTGGTCTTTCAAACGAGAACCTATATTAAAATTCTATAAATAGATGAAGTATTACTTTTAATAAATTTTTGCGTCAACATTTTTAAATTCCGTCAACCTTTTAACGAAATATTTCACTTTTAAGTTTAGGTAAGGAGAGAGTAGTGGAGTACTAATAGTATTAAAATTACTCGAAATTATCGGCTTTAACTACAATTAAAAATTCCACAAATCAAAAATTAAATACATGCAAAATTTAACCAAAAAAATAGGATGAATACGCTAAGGGCATCACATCCTGTATAGTATTTTAGCTAGTGCAAGTAAAAATGAGGGGAGTGGAATATGAAAAGAAATTGTACCCGTGGCTCACATTGTGCGAAGTAGGTATTTCTGACTTTAATTTATATTCTATAATATAATGATGATTCAATTTATCGCTGCCTCTGCGTAACAGTAAACCTAGCCTATGTAATACACGATGGTGAATATTATACACGTGAAGAAATAAATGAAAGGATACATAAAACGTAGCACTAAGTTTAACAGAATCAATGCAACACTGCAAAGATCTTTTATTAAATCTTAAAATTTAAAATTATTTAAAATTACTTAAAATTTACTTGCAACTGTGGAATGAACGTTTATCTGTCCTTAAAATAATAAAAACCTAAATAATAATAATAATAACAATAATAGCATAAATAATATAAATATGGATTAAAATGTAACAGTTAATGATGTTACACACATTTTCATAACAAATGTTTGGCCAAAACAATATATCTATACTATATATTTAAATGTATGGGTTTGATGTTCTATCTAGTGATCACTTTCCTTCCGATATTCCTGGCTGCGCCACTGTGTTACAGATATTTATGTATATAATAACGATTCTATTATAATAATAGAATATTATTATATTTTGTATAATAATATTTTTATATTTATCATAATGTAGGTATAATGTTTATCTAATGGAGATTCTTTTTAGACAAGTACGATACGCAACAGTTAACTAACCCGTTTACCGTATTACGTGATCAAAATGTTAAGATTGTAAAATCTGACCCGAGAGGTCGCGCACGCGTTACAACTTTCGGAGATAATCGCAATTTCTACTCAAAAATTCACAATAAGCTTACTGCATTGACCTTAATACGTTTCGTCTATTCAATAATTATAATTTCAATTGAAAACCAATAAGTACGCGTTTCGCCATTCACTATCTATTTTCATTTTAATATATTTTATTGTATATGTAAATAAGATTATATTAAATCCTTATAACTGGGAAAAAATATTTGTATAGGGTAATTTATAATGTCTATGCTGGTACTTAATATTATTAATGATACGTTTTTGACATACGTGTATATAATACAGGTATATTGGGACCATTATAATTGGGACCCATAATGGGATATTGGGGCCATCAATATAGCACTATTATAAAACTCATTTTGACCATTTCTTTTGATATAAAAACGTTTTAACTATATATAGGTAGTTGGTGCCTTATACTTTTTGATTCGGAGTGTAGCGAGGAATGTATTGGTTTTATATTGATGTTTATTTTTTAATTGTATTATACTATGTATAAAATTTCTATCAAAAATCTTGCTCTGATGTATCAAGTGTAGAACATCTTTTGAAAAGAAATTTTATATTGTTGGTACTTTTAGGTGGTCATGTTTTGATTTTTCTAGCGGTTTTTTGCTAACAAAAAACGATTCAGAGTGAAATTCGGTAAGGCGAATTTTGAATGCCGTCATTTGATCTTGAAACGCCTATCAAAAAACATTAAAGCATTCAACTAAAATTTCCTTTTTTGATCACTAAGTACAACTTAAGATTACACCTGTGTTAAATTTCAAAGCATTTTTGTGAAGCCAAACCGTTTAAACCACGTATACCTACCGAATAGAAAAGATAAGAAAATGCCGTTATTTTTACGATTCACTTCAAACCAAAGTTTGATACTCAAACGCTTATAAAAATAAAAATAATAAATAACACACAATTTATTTATGTTTTATCATCAACTAAAACTCATAAAAAGTTATAAGCTAACTTATATTCGTGTTCAATTTTAAAATATTTTAGATTGGTCAAAAAATTATATTCACATAAAACCGATAAATAATATGAAGAATGCCGAGAAATACAATTTATATAATGGGTGTTATTTTATCTTTAGATAGTTTTAAAGAAAACACTTATACATCAAAAGTCAAATGTTCTTATTTGACCACTAAATAAAACTTAAAATTATTCTTGTATTCAATTTTCAAGCATTTCTGTTTAGGCATAACATTTTAACCAAATTAAATTTTTAGAGTACTAAGTAAAACTTATAATAAACCTTGTGTTCTTGAAAGAAATTCTGTTTAAGAATAGTAAAGGTTTTTATCTCCATTAATAAGTACAATGAATATCTTAAAATTACCCCGCTCCCACCCCTCTTCATTAACGCACTAGATCTAATATCGGAGGAACACTAGCACACATTAATAAAGTGGAAGTTTCAAGTTTGTCGACTGTCGTTTGAGGCTTTTGCCTTAAATACCTATTTGTTTTTCCAACATTTCTCGCGTTTGACCGTAGCTAATTACGTGAGTCATAAAAATTGTGGTCTAAAGATCAATAACTACCTATCTAAAATAATGTTTGAAATTTTTTTTGTACATTTCCTTTTTTCATTTGTTTCATTTTTCATCTAGTTTGTGTTAACTTTTGGTAAAATCGAAAAACTACAATTTTTTATTTACAATTTTTCGTAACATACTAATACCTACTATTAACCGAGCTCCTCTCTGAATCGTGTATCATTAACAATTATTAATTATTGCGCACAAATATAAATTTAATTCCCCTATATATCTCACTTTCCAAACTTCTCACTTCTCAACTTTTCAAAATACTCTAGGTATTTTTAAGTTAAGTTAGGTATAGGTATTATATAGGTATTTTATATTTTCGTTCGGTAGGTATCTGTGATTAAAATGTTATGTCTAAACAGAAATGCTTGAAAATTTATCTCGAAAATAATTTTAAGTTATACTTAGTGGTCAAAAAATGAAATTTGAGTTAAATGCTTTAATGTTTTTTGATAAGGCGTTTTAAGATGAAATTTCACTCCGAATCGTTCTTTTTCGTTAGTAATGGTTTATTGTTGCGTACATATTTAAAAAAAAGATTTTGAAATATTAAAAACTTAATAATAACAAAAATACTTAAATAAATAACAATTGATAACCTGATTTTTAATCTTTCGATCTTTTTTAACCTAAAGAACCAGGTTTTCCTCATTATCTTGAATATTAATGAGAATTTCAAAAAATGACTTTTTTAAAGTATCACCCGGAGAATATTTCCTTTCAGAAAAGCTACTATTCTTGATAATCGGAGTACGTTTTCTGATGGAAAAAGTGTTCACATATAAAAATAATAATAATAAAAAATAAGCATTATTGTAAACCTAATGAATTCCGCACTCCACTCAATGGTGTAGGGTGGAGGGTCCTCAAGGTTACTTCATTTGTAATAAACATTTAAACGAAAGTGAAACAGTTATTTTTGAACGTGGAATTAAAACTTTAATTGATTCAAGTAGTGAAAGAAACGATGGATATTTTGATTATTTAAAAGATAAACAGTCTATGACAATCCATATGTAGTGTCGTAAAATGTACACTCGTAAAAGTAGTATTGCTACAGTTAAAAAAGTAACGAGAGATGGAATAAGCTACATCTATGATCATCGTACTAAATGCGATCAGATGAGGCATTTTTTTATTTTAAAAAATGTTACTTATTTTATGGTGATGAAGCAAATGAAGAAGCTAAAAAGAAAAAATCCATATGCAAATCGGCGAGCAATATATTCAAGTTGCTACACTTTCTTTTAAAGATAATATTATGAATATCGTTTTTTTCACTATTTGAATCAACTAAAGATTTAATTCCACATTCAACAATAACTGTTTCACATTCGTTCAAATGTTTACTACAAATAAAGCAAACTTGCGATTTTTATAAAAATTATCTACGAGTAGTTTTACAATTTATTACATAAAATTCATAATATACGTAGTCTCTTCAACCAAATGCACAACACTAAACTGTATAAATATTGATATTAGAATGAATTAATGAAATTATAGTAAAATAAGAAAATAGTATAAACAATTATTATAAGATTTAAAAAATATTAGTTGAGCTTGCGACAGCCTGTCGCCGCGTCGCGGTCGGTGTTTATATTGTTTTCCGTTTGGCATTTATTAGAAACCACAGTATCTCATGAAATATTATTCAAAGGAAAAAAATTATAGATACTTTTTTTTTAAGAAATTACTTGATTTATAAATTATGTAAAGTTATTTTTACGAAAATACTTAAAGTTTAAGAGATATGTAAGAAAAACCTATTTTTGTGACCTTTGACCTCGAATAAATGTTTTAGCAACAATGAGATCGATGGGGACTTTGACATTTCATTTGTAATGACGTACTTGAGGTGTGTATCAATTTTTAGCTCTCTGCGATTTATTCCGAAGTTAGCATTTTTTTTGTCTATTTTCATTGGACTATTTGTTTTTCCCTGTTTAGGTAAAAGGAAAAAAATAAATGTAAACATTTTTTGCGGACCACGGGTTTGATTTCGCTTCTTTGAATGACAATAGGTAGGTAACACCGCTAGACTATGACAAACACAATAAATTGACAAAATAGAGTTATTTAACATAACATATTTTAATATATCCGCATAATATCAGAATTTTAAAAAACCACGCTTTTTTGTGGTAAAATTTTTAAAAAATTTGAACCATTTTTGAGCTATTTCAATTTTGCGAGTTTTTCACATAATTTTTATTCGGTAGATATTCTGTGGATAAAATTGTTAAACTTAACAGAAATAGTTGAAAATTTGATAGGAAATTGACTATAAGTACTTTATGGTAAAAAAAAAAGAAAATAACAATAATAATAAATTATTGAGTTTATATTTTGATGAGTATATAAAAACCGAAATTCGTTCTAACTTTCGAATGATTTATCACTGCATAAAGATATAAATTAAAATCCCCTCTATATCTTCCCTTTCTAACTTATCACTGACAACAATGTCCCGCCCGTTGTGCGAAGTATGTCCATGTGGCTTTTTAAGAACTCAGTTGGTACTTTTTATATTGATTTTTGAAGTGCTTAGTGAAAACAAATCTTGTAGACCTCTATTCATCATACTAAATACTTAATTTAATTTAAATATTCTTTGGAACATAATATATTTAAACACATCTATTTCAACTTATAATATTATTGTTAGAATGTATTAAAATGTAATAAAATCGGTATTTAATTATAGTTTTTTTCTTTCCAAATAATGACTATACTGAGATAATAATTTGTATTATAATAATGTATTATCTATTTTACCAATCTTACCTACTTACCTACTAGTCTTAAAAATTTAAACAAAAATATACTATAGTGCTTTTCACGAAAAGTGGTCCTCAACGGTAAAGTGCCTTGTGGCGGTTTTTTTATAAACCAGTGGTTCTCATATTTTTTATGTTATATTAATTAATTGTATTATTTGTATTTGCAGATAAATAAAAATCGTGATACTAAATTAGCTGAATTGTTCATAATTTGTATTATGAAATACTGCATTTAAATTATGGTGTAAAAAATAATCAATTATAAGATAGTATACAAATAAGTAATTGATTTAAACTTGCCGTGCTTTGTTTCGCGCTTGTTTTAGAGTCCCTGAGTCAAATAGTCTACTAGGTGGACCACCGTCGAGGGCCACTTTTCGTGAAATCAACTATAGTAACAACAATATTGTTGTACTCCTTATTCATTTGTATAGACATTAGAGATACATTAACAGATAACGAAGAATATTTCAATAAAATTAAATGCGTATAGAAAAATTTATGTGAATGAACAGCTTAATAATAATAACCGGATCTAGTCGATCTAGAAAAATAATAATAATATTATGTTAAATTAGTAGTGGGTATATTGAAGGTGAAAACGTCGTAATTATATTGACGTTGCTAATTGTGTATAATATTCTACTTGATTGATTTATAGGTACTTATTCAAAATTAAAGCACTTGTAGCTATTTTAAAATGAATCGATTTTTATTTTACTATATTTGATTATTGATACAGAATGTTCGTATCAATAATCGTTTTAGAAAAAAAATTATAGAAAACTATTTAATAATAATAATAATAATATTTGATGTCATAAAAAGTTGTCCAAAATATGTTATACAGTTTAGACTATAAAAGAAAATTAAACTAAATAACGAAATATAAGCTAAATGTTTTTTTTTTAAAACATATTTTATAAAATTACACCCCTCTCCCTCAAAAGAAAAAATCAAGGCTATTGCTTGGAGCAAGCCAGTTCAAAAATTCAACAGTTGGTACACAAAAAATATAATGTTATATGTTGAGAAAACTAGATACTTAAATTTTTAAATTAAGTAAAAAACGGTAATTGCAATACACGAATAAAACGAATGTTATAATAAATTAAAATTATTTAAATTTAAGGTACAAAAATAAATAAATAACATTGATTTAGTTTTAAATCTTGTGATATTAATATCAATAACTTTTCCACAAATCAATTATACATAAATATATTAATCGTATTGAATTTCACACATTTTATTTTCACTTTTATTCAGTTTAAATTAAATTACCTAACGTTTTAAATCGGGTATTATCAAAAGTAGTTAGCCAGTATTACGGAAATATAACTAAACATTTAAATAGATAAAGATAAAAGGTGATTAGATAAAATGTATCTAGATAGAGATAAAAGATTGTTAAAAATTAAAATCTAAATCTAAATAAAGATAAAAGATAAAACACTATTTATCTGGATAAAAAAAGATAAAATTGTTTTCATTTTATTACTTAATCTACAATTTTTTTTTTTATCAATTTCTACTTAAAAAATATAAATAAGCGACCCGGATAATATTATTACCTATTACTTTGTTTTTAAATTTGTTCTTTATTTTTACAGGTATGGTTTACTAATGAGACAAGGGCTTTTAACTTTCAAGTTCAATTTTTCGAATTTTTTGAATAGGTAAATCTATTTATTTATCTAGATGAATTACGTTAGATAACTCAATTATCCATCTAAGATAATTCATCAGATACCTTATTTTGTTTATTATCAAGATTAGATAAGATAAGATACAAGATAATTAATTATTTATCTAGATAATGCTCAAAATTGCACTTAGCTGATTCATGCCTAAAAATGAGGGGGAAAAAAGTAAGGACAATGTAATATTGTAGAATATGTGATTATAAAAAGTTTATAATAAGTCATTTATTGAAGAAATAATTTGTGAACAATTTTTGTGGTGTTATATAATACATATATTATATTATTTTATTTAATTATTGAATAATTTGATGATGGAAAATGATGGAAAATTGACAACATAAATTCTATTGGTCACGACTTTTGTGCTCAATTGTGTTGTTAAAAAGCTACCTACATCGTGCTCAATCTGGTCGCAGCCAAAAGTATATGTTTTAGATCAAAACTCACTGTAATTATGTAACCAAAGAATTTTGATTATAAAAATACTTCGGTTTATTTATTGTTATTCTAAACATTAAACGAGTATTGGCGAGAGCCTACAATCAGACCTATAAGGTTAAGATCGTGCACTTTGTAGCTATAGAATGTTAACTGCAATAGTTGATCATAAATATTATAACAATAAAAGATACCTAATTCATTTATCAGATAATTAAACGATTTATTTCATAAGCTGTTATATTATATAAATGTTTACTTATGGAAAATAAACATTTACTACCTCTTATCTATTATAGTAATTTTTATTGAAACATAATAGTTATTAATTATTAGTTGGTACTTATCTATCGATAATTTATATATTTGATTGATTTTTATTACCTACCGTACCTATAGTAATAACACGATTAAAAAAAATTTAGTAACTTATAATTTAAAAACAATAGGATTTTTTTTATTAAATTATGTTATTGACAATGAAACCTTTTTACAACAATTGCATTGTATAAGTATTTTGCTTTAAACACGATTTAAATATAATATAATACGAGGGCTAATCAAAAAGTATCAAGACTGGTAGTATCATTCGGAAAAGGAGCATCGAAGAGCAGTAGGATTGGTATCACTTGCTTCAATGACTTTTTCTGAGTACATTTGTTTTATTGTTCTCTATAAAATTCTTCGGTTTGATTTCACTGATATTTTTGTAAAATATATTTTTCGAGTTTGGCAATTTTGTAAAAACCCAAAAGAAGAGTAACTTCACAGATTTGGAGATTTAGGAAAATTTGTCTGCATTTTTTTCCAGTTTCAGAGGGATGCAACATTTCATGGTTTTTGCTATTAAATGTCAATTGAAAAACTGAAAATGTGCCCTCGAGTGGCAGCGAGTTCCGCTTCTTTTGGATTCATTACGAAATCGCCAAACGTGAAAAACAAATTTTAGAAAAATATCGTCAAATCAAAACGAAGAAGTTTATAGAGATTTTATACCAATAGATGTGCTCAGTATAAGTCATAGAAGCTAGGTTTACAAATCGTTTTGCTCTTCAACGCTCGGTTTCCGAGTATTATTATCAGTCTCGATACTTTTTGATTAGCCCTCGTATATTTTATTTTGGACAATCCATACAATGTCAATATATTTGTTGTACACTTGTACCTATATATAAGTGTACATTAGGTATAATATATTTCACATAATAAAAACGATTGACCTACCTACTACATTAATTTATATTTAATTCATATAATATTGCTTTTATTATAGAGTATACTTCGGTAAATATCACAGTTCTGGTATGTAGTTAAGTCTTCTGCCCCATGAAATGTCAAACGCTATTTATACTTATGTACGTACTACAAAAAATAAAAATAAAAAAAGCTGGACATGCTTTGCACCATAATATAGTACCTATTTACATGATATATGATAGTTTAGACTTTAGTTTTTATATTATAATCAATGATATACCATTGTAATCGAAAAAACGATTCCTAGTAAACTGGTATTAATTGTGTTTTCTCCATCATGTATAGCCATGTTTAACCAAAAATCAACAAAAAATAAAAACAATATTTCATTATTGTCAGTTTTTTAATTTTTTTAGAAAAACTGTTAAAAATCTAAACATTCCCATTTTAAAATAAAGTGCTTACCACCGGATGAAAAATCTTTTAATTTATAATTAGGATAATCTGGACCATTTTTACTAAAATGAGTCTTTTTTGTCGAGTAATCTTCATTGCATTTTGAGTCTAAAAATTACATTGATAATAAATACCAATTTTTAAAATTTGTATTATTAAAATTTAATTAATTAATTCATTAAAATTTATATGTATGCGAGCTTGGTAATATTTTATTTCATTATTTCTTAAAAAAAGTCGTCCTAAGATAATGGGGTAGGGTGCAGGCACTATTATAGGTAATTTAATGTATATCTAATGTATATGTAAGCAACGATAAACCATTGCTAACAAAAAAATTATTCTGAGTGCAGTTCAGTTGATAGTGATGCTTTGACATATATGTATCATATTATGGAAAATAATTAAATAGGTATGAAAAATTTTCTTTAATACCTAATATTTGTTTAATATTGTACTGATTTTCCTATTTATTTGGAAAATTCGTGAGAAAATCGAAAAATCACCTCCCTAAAGTACCTTCTCAATCAAATTTTCATTCAGAAAAAGTGCTATCATTTTAAATCGGAGCGAAATTGTTAGTAGAAAAGCTGTACACAGAAAAAAAAGCCATAATATTTTACTAATATATAATCGCACATTTTCCAGTTTTTCCCATTTATTAGGAACATCGAAAATTGAACTCCTTAAAGCACCATGCAGATATAATTTCACTTTAGAAAAGATGCTACACTGATATATCGAAGTAAGATTTCTGGTGGAAGTTTGCATAACAAATCGAGAGGTATTTTCGATTAAAATAGTTCAAGTGAACGAGGTCTTCAGGTACACTTAAAATGCATTTGTTTAGGTAAAAGGAAAATAATAATGCAAACAAATTTGTCTAAGTTATGGGTTCGAGAACTAGCGATCCCTAAGAACACCAATGGGCTTTAAATACCATAAGACCATGATAGACATACAATTGTAAGGACAATATAGAGTTATTTAACATATATAATATTCGTATAATATCAGAACTTCAAATTTCTAAACTAAGTCAGTCCGCTCAATTCTGACTTCACCATCGTTCTTAAATTGGTAATATACATACGTATCTTTAAAGGAAAATATTAAAAAATTATATTTCTTCTACATAACTTTTTACAAAAACGATTTTCGTCAAAATTTGATTTTAAAACTCCTTTATAAAAAAAAAATATACCATATTAAACTCAATTTTTTTTTTTTTTTTTGACCATAACGTCCGACTTTTAATAACCTCCTGTTAAATTTTCAAGCATTTTTGTTAAGTTTTTATATTTATATTACGAGCATGTACACTTGTCGTTTATAAATTAAAAACAAGTATTCTATTTTTATTATAAGGTTGTGCAATAATGAGTAATGAGTATATGCATATAATAACCACAAAATTAAACGATTACTTACTATCTTACAGCCATTGTGTTTTTTCTTTTCTATAATTTCTACTTAACTTATCCATTTATGTTTATAACTCATTAAAATTAAGTGAAAGGAAACCGGAAATCTAGAAATAACTGAACGATAGCAACGTCTGTGCGCGGTGTCGTCGGTGAGGCGTAATTTTAAATTAGGTACATATTTTATATGTATTTAATCGGATTTAAAATGTTTCTAACTTAGTGGACATTTGATTGACAAAAACTATTAAATAAAAAATCATTATTTAAAAAAAGTATATGTTTGGGACATGAATGAAACTTATAATGCATTATCAAAATAAAAATTCGAGTATTAAATAACATACTAATAATTATATAATTTTTAAAAAGTATTGTAACCTGTTATTGCGTTATATACTTTTATAATTCTTTTTAAATTTAAATTTCAAATTTTAAAATTGTTCAAAATGCATGTTTCAAATATTAAATAAAATCAAATATTTTTTAAATAATGAAATGAACGCTATTTTACATACCTAGTTGACGTAATAGTATCTTCAGGAGAAAATAATATAATTGTACAAGTCATGTCCTATACGTTTTAGTTTTTGTTATATTTCTTTCTTTATTATTATTTTTTATTTACAACTACTACACCTATTTCACACTGTTCGTTAGTTCATTTTACTTTCTTTATGGTATTTATTTCGTGTAGAAATAGTTTGATTCACATCAATGTTTTTTTTTTCTGAGAAGGAAGTCACGTATTATGAGAAAGAAAGTCAGGTTGCAATTTATCATCAGATTATTCTCTTTTAAACGTTGGCCCCGGGTCACGATAATCACGATATTTAGTAAAATTATAAAACATTGTGAAATGGCACGACTGTTGCAGTTAATAACGATGTTGTTAAAGATGTCTCAAAAATGTATTTTCTGATAGCATTTAAGTATCATATTATGACAAAATAATAAAAGTTGAATCGATGATTTTAAACCACAGATGTTTTTTTACAGCCATCTTTAATTTCATTTCACTATTATCGAATAAGTACTGTTTATTTTTGATATAGTATCAACTTGAATATTTTCTATAATTGTAACGTGTATTTACTATTTTAAATTAATACGTTCGTTATAGATTTTTGGGATGCATTACGCGTGGAATATGTTATTTGCTCATTGTATATTCGGTTGTCTAACCGTCATCCCAGGATAAAACTTAAGAAAAATGGGAAAATTTACGAAAATAATACTTACATTATTTTCAATTTTGTTTTTTGTTGTAATACAGTTAAAAACATTCGTAGAAACTTAAAATTTCGACAGAAAACTTATATTTACATTTCCGTGACGTAGTAAAATTGTTTGAGTTTTGTACGTAATTTTTATTCGGTCAGGTTAAGTTTACTTATCACTATTAAAAATTCGTCGAAATTAAAACATTAATATAGAAAATGTTGTTGAGAAAACCACTTGCAAAACGCTGCTTAAAAGTATTTTGAACTTCGTCTTCCAACTTTTATTAATTATTATTATTTTTTTTGTTTTTCATATTATCATTATTATAATTACTATTTATTTAATATGAAAAAAATTAATTTAACTTTTAAATTGTACTGTTTAACTGAATTTTACAATATATATGCAGTATTCTAAGCTAATATAAGTTGAAATAACATCAAACATAAAGGTTTTGAGTTCTTTATCACACGAAGACGCCCTTAAGCAATAATATTACCGAGCTCTGCTCAGAATCGTTTTTTATTGACAATACTTAAATTTCCTTAGCTTTAAATTAAATTTCTTTTAATATCTTACCTTCCCAACTTCTTATCTATAACAGTGGTCCATCCATCGTGCAAAAATTGTCAGTCTTTTTTTTATCAATCATTAATATTAAATTTAATAATTCCTTAAAAGCTCAAAAGTTTTGGTGATGATACCATAAGAAAGTAAATTAAAGAAGCGACAAAAATGTGTTTCGTGATTTTTTGATTCAATCATTTTTCTGGTAGAAAACTTCATCCGTGTTTTTGTAAAATAATGAAATCGTGAAATTGTACGTTTTCCTACGTTTTTCTTCCACCTAAGTGCTTATATTTAAAAAATCAAAAAATATCCTTTTTGAAGTATAATATAATATATTAATTAAATAAATAAATTATAATATACTATACAATAATATAATATTTAGGTATAGATACGAATAATTTATTTAGTTGCCTATAGTTATTTTATTTAAGTTTTAAGTAAGTTTATTATATACTATTATTTATTAGGTGTATCATACGTATACATTATATATTATGTACTCCTAATAGTTACTACTTAAACTGAGTTTTTTTTTTATTCACTATCAATGTATTTTATCAAAGCTGAAAAAAACTCTTATTATGATAAATTTAAAAAAAACATGAACTATTTTCCAATTTTTCTCGTCGATCTTTGTATTTATTATTTTAATTATATTATAACTTTCGCATCATAATTCGATTTATCTATAATACTTTCGTTGAGTGTATATGAAAAATTGAAATGTCTATACGAATTTAGTTTCATAATTAATGTTTGGAAGAATAACAATTACAAAAACCGCAAAATAAACCGATAAAAGTAACAGGTTCTTAAAAAAAATCACTTCATCGCTATATTGAAAAACTATAATTTTATAATATAACCTTATAATATTATTATGTTTTATACTCAAATAATCGCTTAACGAATAAGTTTTTTGTTCCGCTTATAAATATTATATTTTAGTCCAAATCAGTAAAATTAAAATATAAAATAATTTTTATCAGTTCTATATTATAAGTAATAATTTATATGAATAACAACTGAGAAATTGTGTATCGTGTATACAGTGTATTGGTACTGTATATAGTGTAGATATACTGTATGTATATCTATGAGTATAATTCAATGCTGTAAATAAATTATGTTGTTATTTTTTTTCATCGTAGTTATTTCTTTAATGTTTTGTTCTCGGTCACAAACAGCCAGAAGAGAACAGAGCGTTACGGCTGAAAAGCGACCGATACGCTTTAATGTCCGTCGACGATCCATCTACTAACATGCACGTAGCTGCAGATAGCTCGCCAAGTTCTCTGACCGACGGTCAGGCAGAACTCTTTACGCCTTTTTCGACATTAAGTAGTTATTTGGACGAGGTCGCGTACGTGGCGGCTGGGGGTCTTAAACGCGGCGACGATGCGTATTCACGTAACAAATTTAATCAGCTGGCCAGCGACAGCTTGCGGAGTAATCGGCCAGTGCCCGACACCAGAAACAGCAAGTAAGAATTCGTAGATGTATTATAGATTATTGTACTATTGTTTTGCACTATTATAAAGAACGTACATTACCACATCCCCCTCCATTTCAAATTGTCAACAATTTTCTTCATAGATATTTAGTACCTATGAATTTTGAATATTGCCATACAAATTCATATAAAATAGAAATTAATTAAATGTGATGCTGTAAAGACAATTTTTTAAAATTTTAAATGGATAAGACTGTAAGAGTGGAGTAATGTACGTATTATAAAACTATATAAGTACCTACTATTATTATTACGTGCGAAGGTATTTACTGAACTATGTGGTTTTCCCGTGGAAACGGGTGCTCGGTGTACATATACACGTGGTACGTGTGATCTCCGAACAAGCCAACGTTTGTATTACTTGCAGGGTACATAGTGGAATAATAACAGGTTACGTATGGCCGCGTTGAAAAACTACAATCATAAATACTACAGATATTTTATCTATGAATTACGATCACCTATACTATATTAAACGAAACCTCATTTAATAAATAAAAGGGGCATTTAAGATAATGAGCATACAACTCTAGGTACAGCCAAGTCTTGATTTTTTTTTTCAAAATACGAATAAATATGAATTAGCAAATAATTTTTTTAATAATTTTTAGTAAAATTAAAAGATTACATTTTAAAACGCATTAAATGCATGTATACATTACACATATGTTACTATAGTACGGCCAGCAAATCTAGAATCTTGACCGCTGCGCGCATGGTGGCGAATTTTCATTAGGATTTCTACGACTAGTTAGTAATCCGTATGTTCACATTATACGTATTGTAAATTATTGTTTATAATATATATCTATATAATGAACATATAGTAAGGATACTCAAAATTTTTCCTATAATAGCTGAAATACAGCTACAAATATCAGCTATTCGTTATAGGCGCGACGTAGCTTACCTAAACGTTAGAATATATAGAACCCATGAACTGCACGATAAAGGCCACCATGCGCGCGATATTCAAGCTTCCAGTTTCGCTGGCCGTACCATAATTACAATTTGATTAAATATTAAAACACATAAGTGTGATTCTCACAATTTAGAAAAATAATTTGAAATAAGACTTTGATATTTGGGTTGTTTTAAATTAAAGTTTTCAATTTCTCTTAATACTGAAACAGTATCTCATCTGCAACACAATTTCATACATAAATAGAATATTCGTTTAAATCAATTTTCGAGTTGACATTTTAATTTCCGCCAATCCGTTAACAAGATATTCCACTTTAAAGTTTCGGTGGGAGGCGAGTAGTGGTGCATCATTTGTGTGGTGGGGCGCGGCGTTTCATTAGTGTTCTACCACTCTCCCCTTACCCTAACCTAACTTTTTTTATATATATTCGATTTGGTTATCTTTCAGATTTGTTATAATTGATTGTTTTTATTATTATTATTATTATTTGTTAATTATACGGTGGCCATGTGTTGACTATTGGTTATTTATACAACGCAACTTGTCCTAAATTTTTACTTAAAATAAATGTGGCGTGATTAAATTGTTTGTTTTTTATTTGACGATGAATAAAATGATGACAATAGACAGTTAAGGATAGAGCAAGTCTTTATTCGTTAACGGACAGTATATTGTTTATCCGACGAAGAATTTCGTAATAATTTTAGAATATAAAAACATACATTTGAACGTAACAAATAACTTTATTTGAATTCGAAAAACACTAAAACAGACTCGACATTTTACATTACTAACCTCTTAAGATATTTCATCAGTTATCACTTATCACTAATACGAAAACTATGCTCATAAAGTAAATAGCAGAATAAAGGCCAACGCTAAAGTCAAGTATGTGAGCACTTTTTCACGAAAAATGGCAGTTTTATGAACCCTTGGCTAATATTATTATATAGTTATATTATATAGTATAATATAGTCATGCTGACTCGGGATTTGTTAACGTCCGCCTATAACACCATCGCTGGTTGACGACGGCCGCGTCAGTAATACAGTTAATAAACGACGCATGTAAACGTCTCTATACTTATTAAAACACTGTACTTATTTACTTGAAAGTTGCCTTTAAATAAAATTACATCTATTTCCACATACGATAGAGTTTTATCATTCTAAAATAACACAAAACCTGAAGACGAACTCAAAAACGTTACCGTCCAATCGGAACCAATCGACGGTGCATAATAGCAAAATAGACCCCAAGTCTGCTTAAAGCACAGACTACGCGTGATATACGCTGTAGCTCTATCCAGTGTGTATTATCTAAGGTTTACATGGTCGAAGGTCTAACTAAAACTGATATCCCAACTATTATAATCCATGTGTTTCTTAATTCATCTGTGACGACATCGGTGGCATCGGTGTTTTCCTTTTTAAATCCGAAAATCTCTGATGACATCAAAAATAGCTTTATCACTTACCGTGTTTCTGAATCGGTTGTAGAGATATTATGGTGGACTTGAAGTGTTTGTCATCTCATTTTTTTTATGGCAATAGCCAATAACAGTTATAATTTTTAATTATTGTTATTATAAATTTAGGTTTCATGATAACACTAATGAATTAAGGAACATATTATGGAATATTTTAGTATGATATTTATATAAAGATAAATATTATTTTTAATAACACAAATTAATAATTATGAATTAATTACTATTTCCTTCAAAATAATAAATGTGATAAATTAATTAATATCATGTTTTTAATAAATTATTGTTACGTTATCTGAATTTTATCGAATGAAGAGAATTATTTTGAAATTAAAAAAAATCGCTAAACTTGGTTAATTATTTACTGTATTTTTATTTACAAGGTGTTTAGATAAAAGGTACCGGATTAATTTACCTCAGACAAGTGTTATTATCACTTTTCACAATGAAGCAAGATCTACTCTTTTGAGAACTGTTGTCAGGTATATATATTATAAATTATTAGTTTTCTTCGAAATTCAGTACCTACTTATTTAAAATATTATATATTATAATATTATCTTACATATTTTAGCGTTTTGAACAGAAGTCCTGAGCATTTAATTAAAGAAATAATTTTAGTGGACGATTTCAGCGATGTCAGTAAGTATTCCATGGGAAATATTAAAACCCTTTTAGTAAATTATATTTTTAAAAAATTTTAATATATTATATTAAAAGGAATTTTAATTTTGAGACAAATTATTTTAAATGTATTTTGTTCACATTTATATATTATTATACTTCCTTATAGAAACAGACGGTGAAGAATTATCAAAAATACAGAAAGTGAAGCTCATTCGAAATGAACGAAGAGAAGGTATTGGCATTTTAAAAAATATAATGTACCTATGTCCCATATATAATAAATTATAACATTAAATTTCATCATTTGATTTTTATAAAATACTGCAATTTGAGCGTAATCTTATATATAAGATACAAATATCTATTAGTGTTTAATCAGCAACAATATCTCTTTTTAAACAATTTAAATTTAGCACCCACTTAAATCTTAATTATTTTTTCGGTGAAGCTGACAAATCTCTAACTTTCTTTATACTAAAACTGTCTTCTTGTTCATGTTTATGTTTACGATGGGACATAAAGGATTCACGTGATTTAACGCCGAATTTTAAGTTGGCAACATTTGTTCACTTTACAGTTTCATTATTTTCGTTATCTAATAAGATTCTAATTTCTTTTATAACAGCCATTTTTTTTTGTGAAGTACTATTTCATTTTCATTTTCATTATGGAACAGATGACCACTGATGACCGTGTTTTGGTAATTAAAACGTCTTACAAAAACATTGGAGGTCCCACAGCAACCGTTCGTGAATTGAGTGTGAAACTAGGACGTAATGTTGCTCCAAAAGAGTCATCAGTTCAAAGGTTCGTCAAAAAGATTCCTACAAAATTTCCTGAGCACGTTATCACATTGTGTGACGACCAAGAATGGCCCGCTAAACGTTGTGTGATTTATTTTTATAAGATTTTTTAAAATCGAAAGGGCCATTAATGATAATATGCTGCCGGGCGTTTGTGAACCAGTCATTCAAAATTTCAATGACTGCATACTTCAATACAGCGCTTCCTTAATTCGACATATGTTAGGTGTTATTTTTCACACTTAAATCGAAGATGTCACTGATTATGATAACAATTAAAAAATGTATGTATTTTATTGCGATTTTAAATTCGGTACTATATCCCGGACACCCTATATTATAATATATAAACCTTTTACAGAATATGTATTTACTTTTAGATAATATTATATAACATTAATTGGTTTATGATAGAGTTTTAACTTTTTAAATAATATAGTTATTACTAAATTCCTACGGTTGAGATGTATTATAATTTATTATTTTAATATAATAATAATTAATTATAATAGTATGATAACACTAAATTTAATTTATTTCTGTGTATAATTATATATTTTACAATCTTGACTTTAATCCATTAATGAAGATATTATGCTAAAACTGATAGAACCACAATCAACGAGTTGTTAACATTTCTGATACACGAGTTGTGTCCCTATGATAAAAGAGAATTACATGAGTTGAGCCATGACGAAAAAAATGTACTGGTACACAAGTTTTATGCCAGTAAAAATATATTGCAATGTAGTTGTATATTTTATACAATAATAAAAGTTGGTTCCATTCAGTATCAAAACAAAAAGTATAGCACCTTTTCTGAAACGAAATCGTTGTGGGGAGGATGGAGAGATACTTTAGGCAAGTCATTTTTCAAATTTTTTAAATAGTTTTCACATCAAATTTGAAAAACCATAAAAAAAAAAAAAGAGTAAAAACAGGAAAACATAAGAATTGTACGTATTAGTTAAAATGTATTACGGTCTCCTTTTTTCCTGTGAACAACTTTTCTACCAGCAATTTTGCCCCAACTTATAATGACAGCAATACTTCTAAAAGGAAATTTTACTAGGGACGTAATTTAGAGAGGTCATTTTTTTATTTTCTTATGATTTTTCCCAGCAAATGTGAAAAATCGGGATAAAACATGGGAAAACCAAGAAAGACGTAGGAAAACATGGCAAATTGGTACAACATTAAATAAATATTATTAAAGAAAATATATAAAGCATATTTATATAAAATGACATATATTGTTGACAAACCATCATTATCAACTGAAGTCTACTTAGAATCGTTTTTTCGTAAGCAATGGTTTATCGTTACTTACAGATATACATTAAATTATCTATAACAGTGACTGCGTCCTTCCCCATTATCCTAGGACTTTTTTTATAATGATTCATGTAGGTAAATGTTCTGTCTAGAGTAGAAAAATCATTTGTTAAAAATTGAATCAACCCAAAGTCGTTCTGAAAATATATTAATATTGATTCTTTGAGATCTAATTGTTCTAATATTCCCCTTTCAGTATTTTTGGACAATATTTCTGGTAATACTATGGATGATGCTATAAAGTTATTAGCTACATATTTTTCATCAGTATACACATCTAATATACGAGGTCTAACCAATAAGTAATGAGACTAATTCAATAAAATACGTATATTTAAATATTAAGATACATCGATGTGATCCCCTTCAAATTACTCCCCTCCCACCCCTATACACTGATTCCAACGTTTTTTCCAGCTCTCATAACATTTCTGGAAGGCTTCGACTAGAATGTCCTGAAGTACCCTCGTCACGGCGTTCTGGATGTCAGTTATGGACTCAAAATGCGTTTCTTACACGGCCAATTTTGTTTGAGGGAACAAAAAGAAGTCGCAGGGTGACATATCCGGCGAATAGGGCGCTTGTGGCAACACTGCAATGTTCTTTGAACGGTTAAACGCCGATCTTGATGCACGAGAGTGCGCACACGCTGAACATTGTTGTCAGTTCGAGCTTCAACCGGTCTCCCACTTTGCGGTTCATCCCCGACGCTTTCACGACCATTTTTAAAATTTTTATGCCATCGAAATACCTGAGCACGACTCAGGGCTTCATCACCGAACACTTTCACCAATTTATCGTACGTTTCCATAACGGATTCGCCGAGTTTAACGCAAAATTTATATTACGTTGTTCCATATTTGTGACACGCCTTACAAACACGTTGTCGAAAACATAACACAACTGGAAAACTAATTATTGTACGAAAATCGCGAGCACATGTATCGATAGAGGAGAGATGAGAGATTAACCGAAGTTTCAGATTCGCAGTGTTACCACAAGCGTGGCAAAAAAAACAGTCTCTTTACTTATTGGTCAGACCTTGTAATAAACAATTATAATTATAATTGATTTAATAATCAGTAACATGACTTTAATTTAAATTAATTTATTATTTATGAACACATTTTAGATTTTATTTGTTCACTTAAAGATAATGCAAGTACTGGTCCTTATTGTATTCCTCCAATTTTTCTAATTAGGTGCTGTCAAACTCCCACAAAACTAATACATTATTTATTTAATTTGTCTATATCCAATGTAACTTTTCCTCTTTGTAGGAAAAAATCTTTTATTTCTCCCGTTCATAAATCGGGTGATGCGAAATGTAAAAAATTATAGGCCGATTTCTAAATTTTCGTGTATGAGTAGAATCTTCTAGTTCAATGTTATGCACAACTAATATTTATAAAGTATTTCACTCCAAATTTAATTCAATGTTCTACTCGAGCCATCCCAATATTTTTCAATTTATTGAGGTCATAATGAGTTTGCAATGTAATATTTACATTAAAATTAAAAGTACTAAAACATTATTTAAAAAAACACGTGAAAAAAATATTATTTCTTAGTCAAAAATTAAACATATTTAAAAATGGAAAAATTTCTCGATTTGAATTTACAAAAATAGTTTCATAAAATGTTTACCTTATATTTTTCCGTTTTATTTATATTGATTTTAAATATGACGAGACGACGTTTTATTTAAATTGTTTTTTCAGTATATAATTATTTCATAAACTTTATTATCATTTTTAAATTAAGTTTTTTTTTTCATAAATACATTTTATATCTATACTAATACATATTTTAATTATTATGATATATGACGATATGACATTTTATTTCAATTTACTATGGGATACATGCCATGTATTACAAAACAAAATGATCAGACACAATTCGTATAACCCATACAAATCCACCATACTCAACTCGTGTAACAAAAAAAAAACCGAGGGACGCAATCCGTAATTGGAACATAACTTGTTTACAGCCAATAATACCTCTAATAATACATTGCAATAATTCCTCGTATATTTGAAGTATATTGTATTCAGGTATACGTAACACGAATTTTATTTTGTATTTATGTTTTATATACATTAGATACCTAATTTATAAAATATACATAATTTCCAACCTAGTGTTGGCCTGGCCATATCCACGAAGCCATGAATGTGGCTGAGGCCTTGAACTTTTAGATTCTGAGCCGAGCAAAGAATGTATTGGTTTTACAATGTTTATTTATTTTCTGTGGACAACTTTTCTACCAGCAATTTTGTTCCGATATTCCCTTGTAGCACTTTTTCTAAAAGGAACTCAGACTGGGATGGTACTTCAGGGATATAATTGTTTTGTTTTTCCCAGCTTTTTTCATAATAAATGGAAAAAACAAGAAAATAAGTACAATATTAAAAAAATATTATTAAAGAAAATAAATAATGAATATGTAATTATTTACTAAAATATGATATATAAATTGTTAATAAAGCAGCATTATTAATCTAACACCACTCAGAATCATTTTTCGTTAAAAATGGTTAATCTTTACATATAGTCATACAGATATACATTAAATTTTCCCTCTACATCCCAACTTCTTACCTACAACAGAGGCCCACTCACATACGAAGTACATCCGTCTTTTTTTTTTTTTTTATAATATGTTTTACTTTATACGTATAGCCTTCACAAAACGGTCCTAAGGTCTAGCGATTAAGAATTTTGCTTCTGTGTAAATAATTACCTATATTAATAAATACATTTTCAAAAATACCTTGAAACCTATATAAAATATTTTTGGAATATAATATTTAAGATTTATTTTTAATCAGCATTAAACACAAAAAATAAACATTTAAATAAATTTTAATTTAATAATGACATTTTTGATTAGAGGTCAACAATTCATTACTAGGTGTCTGTTTTTAAGAACAATAATTATGATTAATTATATAATAAAAGAGAAATAAACAAAGAAACATATTTCGCACGATGGGTGAACCACTGTTGTGGATGAGAAGTTGAGAAGGTAGAGGGGAAATTTAATGTTTATCTGTACGCAAAGATTAATCATTCTTAACGAAAAACAATTCTGAGTGAAGTTCGGTTATACATATTTTCAAAGGCCTTAATCTTTATGACTTTTCCCGTTTTTCCTACATTCTCTTTCGATTTTTTCCATTTATTATGAAAAACTCTAGAAAAATCAGAAAATGACTACCTTATAGTACCACCCCAGTCAAATGTCCTTTCAAAAAAGGTACTATATTAGAAAATCGAAGCAAAATTTATGGTTGAAAAGTTGTTAACAGATAAAAATATAAACACCATTATATAACTAATACACTCCTCGTTCCGCTCAGTATCTATTTGATCACAAAACTTGCAGTAATAGATCCTCCCAATAAATTTCTAGGTAAGAGGTGGAAACGATTTGCAGTTAAACCTACTTTGATAGACACCTCTCAATAAGAGATATTTTTTTGGGAACAGGGATATTTTATACTTTTCAGCAAAACCTTCTAATAACAAACATCATTATTAATCTTAATTTTAAAAAAAGAACAAAACGCGCTCATACACCTATATACACATTTATAGAAGTGTTTATTATATTTATGAGGAGACAGACCTGAATATCCCTTCTTGGATACGTCCCTGCGGTGGGACACCCAGAAAAGTATAAAAAATATATAATAATAATATTTAAGTCACTTGCCACATTTGTGAAATACTACATATTTACTAGAAACAGTAGAAATTATTATTAATACAACGACGTTTTTTAAAATTTATTTTAATTATATTTTATTTTAATAAATTCAAATACAATAATATTACTTACGAGTGTATTATGATAATATATTTGCTATACAGGATTAATGAGATCCAGAGTTCGGGGCGCAGATATAGCAATAGCACCAGTGCTCACATTTTTGGATAGCCATGTCGAATGTAATGTAAATTGGCTAGAACCACTTTTGGATCGTGTAGCAGAGGTAGGTAACCTACCCACTTATAATATAGTTTTGTTTTAAGTCTTTCAGGTGTGTTTATCAAAACACAATAACCATTCAAATTAAAGTTCGGAGATTAAGTATAAATTATTGTGTTATTAAAGGACCCGACTAGAGTAGTATGCCCAATTATCGACGTCATCAATATGGACAATTTCCAATACGTAGGAGCTTCATCAGAACTTCGAGGTGGTTTTGATTGGAATCTAGTTTTTAAATGGGAATATTTATCAAAAGAAGTCAGATCACAACGTCAAAAAGATCCAACATTACCAATCAGGTAAACTACGATTACAAATCGTTAGATATCTTTACATCTAATAAGACAAAGGTCGAATGTCGTAATGCTTCCAAATTAAAACAATTAATTTTGTATTCATGCTTGAAGTCGACAAAAAATATAGACTGTAATTTAAATAATTGCAATCAAAACACAATTCTGAGCATAGCTTAGTAAATTTTCAAGGTAATAATATTATAGTCGTGTTATTTCTTTTTATGCTCAAAGTATCCCAGAAATTAACAAAAATCAAACTGATTTATCTACCTATTCTCCTTTTTTGTCATTTATTTTAATTTATTAGAAAAATTTTATATTCGGAAAATAGTGAGGGATCTATTAGTTTTACTATGATGTGTGCTTTTTTTTCTATTTGTAAATAACGAAAAGAAATCTTACTCCGATGTGTAGGGTATAGTACCTTTACTAAAAAGGAAATTTTGTCTAGTTGGTGCATTGAGAAAGTCATTTTTCGATTTTCCAAAAGGTTTTTGAAATAAATGAGAAAAACCCGAAAAAAAATTATTGGTAAAATGGCAAATATTTACGACACACCCCGGCGATAACTTTTTCATTGCTTTTAATTTGTTAACTTGTTTGTTAATTTTTTTTTCTACTAAAAATATTGCTCCAATTAAAAAATGACAAAAGATCGACTTTTTTCCTTTTAATATTTCACCACTGACTGAGAAAGCCTTTTAGATATCTGAAATGTTTTTCAAAATAATCGAAACCGAATCGATTTTCGTTGGCGAAGGTTAAACATTGGTTATATGTATTAATTTAACTTTATGTATACCACTTTTTTAACTACTTACCTACAACAGAGGCCACACCCGTATTAGCTCTTTTTTTTACAAATTAAATTCTAATTGACAAAAAATTAATATCTTTTAAGGTACCATGTTATGTTCATACAAACATAAAAAGTATTTTCGGAGAAAAGGTAAAAAAAAAAAAATAGCTAGGGGTGAATTTCCGAAAATTTCGAAAAATGATTCTAATAAAGTAATATCTAGCGGAATATCCGCATCTTTTAAGTTGTAGAGTGAAAAAATTGGAGCATTTTTATTAATTGAAAACGTGTTTTCTAAAAAAAACCTACATATTTGTAAAACATCTTAGTATCTCTCTATACTCAGAATCTAAAATGTACTACAGTTTTAATCTGTTGTATAAATTATGTACCTTTAATTGATGATTGATGTTTACATTCAAAATTTTGGTCAATCTATGTAAGTATTGAATATTTACTACACTGCACACTATACTTATTAAAAAGTCGTAAAGTTGCATTACTATAAAAAAAATAATTTGTTTTATGTTTTATTTAACAGAACACCAATGATTGCTGGTGGCTTATTTGTGATGGATAAACAATATTTTATCAAACTTGGAAAATACGATAAGGAAATGAACATTTGGGGTGGTGAAAATTTAGGTAATTAATTATGTTGTTTTTATATTTTTAAACAAAACGGAACGGACTACAACTATATTATAATTAACTGATAAAAATCAATGGCTCATTTTATGTATAAATATATGGATTCAATTTATTTCGAGTTCAATTTAGATGATGTTAATAGTTTTTGTGATTAACAATCTCTTCCATTGATTAAGCCCCCCCCTCCAATCAAATCAATTATCTTATAATGCACTACCACCACTATATATATAGTAATAGTATAATTTATAGATATATAATGTTACTATATAATGTTTAGAAAAAAGAAATGCATTCTCACGTCATTTATATGCATTGGTTATGCAGTATACACATTACACAAACAAATCATTATTTTATTTTTAGAAATATCGTTTAGAGTATGGCAGTGTGGTGGCAGCTTAGAAATCATCCCTTGTTCACGAGTTGGGCATGTGTTTCGAAAAAGACACCCGTATTCATTTCCGGGAGGTAGCGGAAATGTGTTCGCTCACAACACTCGTCGGGCAGCTGAAGTATGGATGGACCAATATAAAAGATACTACTATAATGCTGTACCTTTATCTAGAACGGTGCCATTTGGAAAGTATGTTATAATAATATATACTGCACATGCTATTTCATTAAGAAATAAAATAAAATGACAATTTGTATATTTTTAATATTATTTCAGCATAGCTAATCGATTGGCACTGAAAAAAAAACTAGGTTGTAAACCGTTCAAATGGTATTTGGATAATGTCTATCCAGAACTTAAGCTACCAGCAACGGTGGACTTGTTCGTAGGTAGTATTCGACAAGAAAATTGGTGTTTAGATACATTGGAAAACCAAGTAGGGAAAACTGCTGGTCTCTACCCGTGTCACGATTATGGTGGAAATCAGGTAATATAATAAATATGATTAAAAATATTTTTTAACGAATAATTAGATAAACTTATTTATCACATTTTTTATAATTTTTTTTTTTTAGGAATGGACATTAACAGTGGCAGGATCAATTAAGCATGACAGCATGTGTCTATCTCCCACAGATTATTCATCCATGAGCTTAATAATTATGAAACCGTGTGATTCTTCAACCGATGAAGTTAGTATACAATTTATAACTTAAGTAGGTATTAAGATAGTGACTAATGAACTAATAGAACTATTGTTCTTAACAATTTTAAAGCAAAACAATAAAAATTGAATAGCTTGGGTCAAAGGCGAAGTCAAGGGCCGAATGGTCCGACCTTCTCTTATTCTATCGTGAGTAGTAGGTATCTAATACCACGAGTTTGCCATTCACAGACATATAGTATTATGATAGACCGCGAATAGAAAAAGAACTATGAAGCGTGAGAGAAAAAGAACCATAAGAGGTTTTCTCATGGAAAAGTTAATAAAACTGCTTTTTTTTCTTATAGACATATAATATAATAAACCGTGAATAACACGTCATAATTATAAAAGTCATATGTGTAAGAGAGATAAACATCGAAGAGGTTTATTCATGGAAATAGAAAAAAAAACTGTTTATTACTTATTAATATAATGATGATTGTAATATTATCTTTTACCTACTGATAAAAAAAATAAGGATTCTCAAGGAATAATATTTTCCGTAATAGTAGTAGTACGTCTCAACAACGGTTATAGATAGAAAGGTTGCACAATAGCGTATCGTATAATACGGTGGTCCGCGGTCCAAAAGGTTCTTATCAATTTAATATTTTCTCCCTAACTTCTAATGCTCCCGGTGGAATTATTAATGAACTAACAGATTATTGTCACAAACATAATAATAATATACTATTGATATAATAGTAATAGTTTCCAAAACGGTTGTCGTCATATTAACTAGATGGCGCCACATGGCTGAGATATTTTCATATATTTGATAACATCCTTTGAGGCCGTCTTACGGCAACTCGTACAATCATTATATTTATAACCGTGGTCCCAACTATTACATATTTCAGCAGTTTCTCACTAGGTTCTCTATATGTTAGGGTGTACCATATCAGTATGAAAGTATATCACAAATTCACAACAATCACAACTTTACTATAGTCTGTATTAATAACCATTGAATAATAATAAAAGGTAATAAATTTATAATTTGTACGATTTATTCTTTATAAAATAATTTTCTTTTAAAAAAAGTGATATCTGACTAGGAAGATACTCTAGAGAAGTAATTTATTGATTTTCCCAGGAGTTTTCTCAACAAATGAGAAAAATCAGCAAAAAACAGAGAAAATACTGGAAAATATACAAAATTTAGGTATTAAAAAAAAATATTACGGCCCTTTATTTTTCCTGTAAACAACTTTTCTACCAGCAATTTTACTTCGATTTACAATGATAGCACTTTTTCTGACAGGAAATTTGACCGGAGAGGTATTTTAAGGAGGTCATTTTTCGATTTTCCCAAGATATTTCGCGGCAAATGTGAAAAACCGAAGAAAATAGGGGAATACCGGGAAAATAAGTACAAATATTATAAAAGAAAATGCCTATTTACTAATTTTACCATAATATGATATATATATATTTATTTATTTATTTATTTTTATAAGTTAACAGCAAACGATTTTTGTAATGGGACTGATTTAAAAAAGATAGGTAGAAAAGTAAACATAAAAGAATAATTTTAGAGTAAAGTAAATGGAGCATATAACAATAGACGATTAGTAAAGAAAACATAATAGAACATAAGTCGGGCTAAATTCAATTAATAAGAAATAAATATAAAACAAGTTGATTAAGAATAATAGTTTCTGAGCATGCGGTGTAGAGGTTATAGCTGAAGGAAGTGGAGTGGCCAGGTATAGAGAACGGAGACTGTTTTCAAGTAGAGTATAAAAGAACTCTAAAACAGATTTTTTCAAGAATATCAGGAGCATCCAGTGACCTATCTAAAAGAGAGATTACGAATTGCTGATCGGCTGCAATCCACCGAGAGGAGAGAGTTTGGATCTGAAGGGTGTTATGCATGATTGATAACTGAGATCTTGAGGATGTGGAAAACATACAACAGAAATCTGTTTTGAATACGCTCAAGGCAAAGTTGATCTTTCGCAAAAAAAGTGTGCCATATAATAACATCGTACTCAAAAAGTGGCCTAACGAGTGCAAAATATAAAGTATGGAGACATTGTGCTGATCTGAATAATTTTGTATTTCGTTTAATGAAACCAAGTATTTTTAATGCTCTATTAACAGTTATATGAATATGGTGTTCAAAAGAAAGAATTGAAGAATGATAAATCCCAAGATCTTTAATAATTAATACTCGTTGAAGTAGAGAGTTATTAAGGAAATAAGAGTGAACTAGAGGTGAGCGGGATTGAGAGAAAGTAACTACTTGACACTTATTCAAATTGAGAATTAAGCCTGTGTTAGTAACCTAATGACAAAAGGAATCAAGTTCATATTGTAAATTTTGGCAATCAGCGAGAGAGTCAATTTTATGGAATATTTTTACGTCATCTACATACAATAAGAATTTTACCTGTTTTAAATTGACAGAGAAAGAGTTTACAAATAGGTAGAATAAGAGGAAGCTAAGATGCCCACCTTATGGAACTCCAGATGGAACTTCCACTATATCAGAATGAATGTTATTAATTTTAACAAATTGTTTTCTGCCCAAGAAATAAGAAGTTAGTCAAGCCAAAAGTGGGTTACTAATTCCTAGATTTATAAGTTCATTAAATAGTAGGTTGTGATCTACATAATCGAAAGCTTTGGAAAAATCATTCATAATGGCGTCAACTAGGGAGCAGTTTTCAATGCAGTCAAAGATAAACAAGTTAAACGAGAAACTATAAGTAGTAAAGCATTTCTCTGGCCGGAAACCAAGCTGTTGTGGGATAATTTTATGATTCAGGCTATATTCAATACAGTTGTAAACAATAAGTTCGAAGATTTTCCCTATTTGTGGTAAAATGGATATCGGATAGTAGTTAGCAACGACAGAAGGATCACCAGATTTAAAAATTGTAGTTACGGAGTAAGTCTTCCAAACCAAAGGAAAAACACCTTTATCCATTGAATATCTAAAAAGAGTATATATGGAAAAGAAGAGAGTGGAGCGACATCTCAAATTAAACGTCTTTACGAGACTAATATTTATAACATATCAATAAAATGGAATGGTTGATATAAAAGTATAAAATGAGTACTTACAAAAGTATATGAAATAAAATAATAGCAACTTAATACAAACTTTTGTAAAATAAATAATAGCTGTAGGTTAGCAGCAAGCTATTTTATCGGTAGGTACCTATCGTGGCGATATGATTCATATTCAATGGAAATAATAACCTACCACATTATTTATCATATATATAATAATTAATAATAACATATATTATAACATAACATAAATTGTTTTATATTTTAATTTTAATTTTTAATAAATTGTTATACTGTTATTATCATTATCAAAGTGTGCCTGATATGTGAAACCGTCGCACTTAAACTGGTCTAACATAATGTGTGGTTATACTCTTTATATTTTTTTTTCAATGTAATAAGTACCTAAAGAAACTGATTTGATCAATTTACGATTTATTTTATAGGTACAATTTTTAACATTTATATTCAGATTAAAGAAAAATAAAACATTTAGGTACAATAAATTATAAAATATCTAATTACTAATTACTAATTACACTGTTATCCACATAATAATCCTATCCAAAACAATTAAAATAAACACTTTCTTAGTTATACGTTTATGATAAGGTAGTAGAGACTAAAGAAGCTCAATTGGGAGTTTTCTTATGACTAAAAACTAAAAATATTAAATTTACGTAATTTTTTCTCGGTAATTTACCAAAAAAAAATTTTACATCTCCAGTTAATATTAATACAATTATATTTATTATTGTTCCAGTGGAAATACGATGAAAACACTAAACAATTAAGACTTAAAGTTGTGAATCTATGTTTAGACACGCTGGGAGCCCAAAATATGATGAGAATTAATATATGTGATAATCTAAATTCAAACCAGAAATGGGATTATTTGGTCGCAGCAGGAATAGAGAATATGATTTAAACTTTAAAACAAGACATAATCAAATTCAGAAATATACCTTGTGTCTATATATTATATTAATTGATCATTGTAATCAAAAATAAACCTACTTAATTGAAAACTCGGAGAACAACCTTTTATGTAAACAAAATAAATATATAGGTATACATATTATACAAGGTTAAAAATCTGAATGTTTCACACAACAAAGGCCTACTATCTAACTTATATAGGCTATATATAAGTTAGGTTAAGTATTTGTAATATCAAATTAGATTATGTTATTAATATTTTAATGTAATAAAAAAAAGAATAGGTAGTTTTGAGTAATCTTGTGTACTGGAATACAATTAATCTGTATAGTTTTTATTTTTAAGTAATTTATGGAAAACATGTTTTTCTTTAAATATTATGTTTAACTATAAGTAAGTCTGTAAGTGTACAAACCATACTAATATAGGTACTTACACTTACACATTCAACATCTACAACACACCCCTATAATTCACTAAAATTTGCAGTCATAAAACATCCAAGGAAATTTTTTTTTTATGTAAATATACCTACGGTTAATTTTTGTATAACATGTTTATATTATTTGTTTGTGTTATTTTATTTTTAAGCATTCATTTTTTAACAATACATTTTCTTGTAAAATATTTGATAAACTATTAAGGCTGTGATTTAAATCTTACCATGTTTATTAAACGATATACCTACCTATTAAGTACATTCACTCTTGTTAATGTTATTTTATCTTTTCTAATTAAAATCCTATAGGTAATATAGGTATTTATAGTGAAACAATTCATTATTATTATTATTCTACAACAATTATATTATTCCTCTCTTTTTCAATCTAACATTTTTTTTTTTCTTTCAATTAACCGACGACAGTGGAGGATCAGTTGAACACATTGCTACACCACTACTGGCATTGTTTATTAATGAGTATAATTAAGTAATTTGTAAAGTCCTGTTTTCCTCTTTGCAGGACAGGCTCACATTGTTAACTATGCTAATTAAACTATGGTGAAAAGGGAGCGGTGGAGACCTCGTCACCTTCTAACACAGAGCAAATTTAACCTAACCTGTTCATGACTTTGAACAATAACCTTGGTGGTGAAGTCTTCCTGTGTGTAGACTTTGACGTCCAGGACTGTTAAGAGAGCTATTTCCATGGCGACTGGTTGGAGGCCTCAGCCTCCTTTATTCTCTCGCCCTGCTCCTTGCGGATCAGTATCCTCTACCATGCTGTAGAAGGATTGAGAGCCGCGAAAGAAAACTGCTGCGATTTGATCGTATGTAGCGCAGTCAGAATCCCGGAATGGACCTCTCTACTAATCTATTGAAACGAAAATTACAACTATACCATTTAGTGGCGCACACAGAAGAAGGGGTAGGAGGTCAGAATACTCCCTCATCCACCGCAATATCTTCACTACATATTCTTAAAATTAATTTTTACATTCTACAGCATAATATCTTTCACCAGATACTTTCCAGGATAAGAGTAACCGATGGAGGGTCCAGAAAAATGGTCTCGCCAAAGATAGCGTGCTTGTTGTTAAAATAAAAATGTTGTTCAATATTTATACTAATGACCAGCCTGTGAACTCCTACACAAAAAATGTTATCTATGCTGACAACACAGCTGCAGTAGTACAAGGGAGAACTTTTGAAGAAGTCGAAGATAAACTTACGAGAAGTCTGGAGAAGTTAGCGGTTTACTACGAGAACAACGACCTCCCAGTAAATCCCTAGTCTGCACTTTTCATCATAGAAATAGACAAGCTAAGAAGAAGTTGTGAATGAGCTAGCATGGGCAAGTGCACGAACACTGTGATACCCCAAAATACCTAAGAGTAAAATTAAACAGAGCACTTACTTTCAAGCACTACTGTCAAGCCATAAAGAAAAAAGTGCATCCCAAGAATAATATTCTACAAAAGCTAACATGCTAACCATAGGTTGAGCTACATTCATTTCCCATGAACATCAGGGCTAGCATTAAGTTTGTCTGCAGCAGAATATTCAACACCAGTATGTAACAACTCAGCACACGCAAAGAAGGTCGACATAGTAATAAATGAAACTGCACGCACAGTCACAGAAAGTCTGAAGCCAACACCCATAGAAAAGATTTATCCCAATGGATATCCCAATTATCCCAATTCGCATACTCAATGATGGCAGCCCAACATACGTCGGACGGCCCAATTCCGCCGACTCGGCTATTGATCTATCCTTCTGTTCCCCTAACTTATATTGGAACCTTTCATGGCGCACCTTGTGTGAGCCTCATGGTAGTGCTCACCTTCCCATTATCATAACAGCTATCAACAGGAGCCTCTCTAATCTTAATCTTTCCCATCAGTATTTTACCAATAACTTCACCAGCCCTATACTCTACAACTTTAATAAGGCCGATTGGACCTCTTTCTCTTTTAATATCTACGACACGCTTTCTCAGTCTACCGAGGACCCTACCCTCCTCAGTTCCTATTCAAATCTTACAGAAATCATAAAAAACGCTGTAGAATCGGCAATACCAGTCAAATCAGCCAACCACAAATCCCATCCACCCACCCCCCGGTGGTGGAATTCGTCTTGTACCGAGGCCGTCAAAACCAGATCTTTACATTTTTTAATTTTTCGTCGCACATGCTGTTTATCTGGTCTCCTTAAATATCGTAATGTTAGCGCCCACACAACTCGTCTGCTTAAAAACAAAAAAAGAAACAGCTGGAAAAAGTTCTGTTCCAACCTAAACCCTTCTTGCTCAATTCAATATCTATGGGCCACAGCCAGAAGGTTCAAAAACTGCGTTAACCCCACTAAACGCCCCGAAAACAACGATTGGTTCGATAACTTTTGTTCTAAAGTCTCCCCGTGCCATGTCCCCACGGAATCAGAAATTCGTCCCCGTCGCTGCCCTCTCTTAGCTCACTCTCATATTCTTACCAACAGTTTTACGCTGTCCGAATTAAAGTTTGCTATTTCCTCACGGAAGTCTATAGCTCCTGGACTCGACAACATCTCTCCCATCTTGTTAAAACATCTACCTGATAATGCTTTAGTCACTTTACTTATTATATTCAATAACCTGCTAGCTACACAGCAGTTTCCTACCTCCTGGTGCTCTTACAAAGTTATCCCTATACCCAAGTCAAACTCAAACACATCGTTTTGTTCAATTGCTTTATCCTCTTCACTATGCAAAGTTTTCGAGTTCATGCTCAAAACTAGACTAGATTGATGGTTCGAATCCAATTCTATCTTGCCTCCCAACCTCTTTGCTTTTAGAAAAGGTTTGGGTACCATGGAATGCCTCTCAACCTTTATTGGTAATATATATCACCCCTTCAACAATAAGGAATTTTCTGTTGCTACTTTCATAGATATAAAGGGTACGTTTGACTGTCAATATTCATATTCTCGTCGATCACATTATCTCTCTGAACGCCCCTCCAGAATTTGGAAACATCTTACTCTCTCTTTTCAACAAAAGGAATCTTGTATTCTCTTCACCATTCGGCTCATCTAATACTCGTTCCACTTTTACTGGTCTTCCTCAAGGGAGTTGCCTCAGTCCGTTGCTGTTTAATATATACATGAGCATTGTAGCTAATAGTCTTTTGAGGTATGGTCATAAATGCCTTATTTACACTGATGACATGGTCATATTTTCATCAAATAAATCGCTTCCCCTCGCTATAGAACTTTTGAACGCAGCCATCATTGATCTTATAATTTTTTTAACAAAACAAATATAAAAAAACTCAACGTTTTGTTTCGTGCATTCGTGCGTTCTACCCATAGATTTATAATATTATTAATATCATATTATATTAAAAATAATTAACTGATATTATTATACTACTATAATATTATTATATAAAACTAAACAACCCGGTGAGTTGAGGACTCCTCTTTCAATATGAACTAGATATGCAAAAGTAAATAATAACTTATGTTATGTAAAATGTATATTTTTTAGGGACAGATATAAACTTTATGCAAAAAGTTTTTTGTATTAAATACTTCACACTGTATTTTTTTATAATATAAAATCACAAAATAGTACTAATAAGAATAATGTCAAATAATTTATTTAAATTTAGGTTGTACCATTGATTTTAAAATCAACACTTACTAGTACAACGTAACAATTAAAAATAGTAATATATCAGTAACTAAAATTAAGTAAAATAATTTTGGTGTGTAATAAAGTGTTTTGGTAATAATTCAATGACATCGAGTTTTTGACAGAAAATAATATGAATAATAGAAAACCTGAAAAAAGTGTAAACGGTGAAATATTGATGGGAAAATAATAATAAATATTCATAAATAATATAATATAATAATGATATTAATATATTTTAAGTAAAATGTAAAACGACACGACGAATTAAGGTTGTTTTACTGTCTGGTTATATCTATAACTGTGTTTTTAACAGTATCTATAACCGTGGTTTTTAACAAGATGGTAAAAATTGATAATAAATTATTTTATTCTTATCTTTTTTGTTGATACACTCGGGTAGTACAGTAATCATAGACAGAACTACGCAAGGTCCGTGACAGTTGTAATTTACTATTGAATGTTGTTAAATTGTTTATGCTTTTATGCTAGTTAGATTGGTTTAAGATTGTAAAGTAGAATAATACTCCAACTTGTATTTGTGAGTCCATGAACTATGAAATTCTTATGTATATCTCTGTGAAACGTGATATATGAGATCCTATTTATTAATTATAAGAGTTATTGAATAATGATTATTTGATTATTGATTATAATAAATCGTTCCTACCAAGTGTAAGTTTTACATACAAAATAAATTATTTATAACTATATCTTGTTTTGGTAGAAACAAATTAGATGCCCATTATTTTTATTACCTAATATATTATTTTCTAATATTATTTTAGTTCAATTATGCAAATTATCTGGAATTGGACTGAACTGTGTGGTCCAAATGACTTTATTCCATTAATTCATCCTCATTATGTTTTGAGCATTTGTGCAGAAATGTCAGTTATTCGATTGCCTATTTTACTTATACTCATGCTAACATCAACATATTACTGTGGCCATCTCTCTGATTGGATAATACGTACTAGACGTGAAACTAATATACTCCGTTGTCGTATAGTAGTTGCTAGTATACTGTCAATTTTACCGGCTGCTCAACTAATTTGGGAAGTATATTATTTCACTGAAAACAGTGTTTATCCAATCGAAAATTTAGTCCTAGTAATGCAATGTTTTACATGGTTTATACATACATTGTATATTGTTTGCATACGACATCATTTAGGAACAAGTTTAAGAGGTCCTAAAATTGTGATTCTTGCATGGATTTTATGTTTATTAACTTCAACAGTATCTTTACGTAACACATTTTTAATATTTATTCAAAGTACATATTTACCCATTTTGCAAGTAAGATTATGGTTCACAATACTTAATTGGATGCTTCAGATGTTTTATTTAATTACACTGTTCTTCAAAGAAGATGTTGTACGAATAAGACATGTAGATAGACTTCGCTTTCTTGCTCAGGTAAATTTTTATAGTCACTTTTATTTGAATAACATTATTTTAAGAAAACGTATTTATCAAATATAGTAATGATTTACATAAAAAAAAATAAAATAAATTTCATTTATTGTGGTGTTATTATTTGTTAATTTATAAATAAATAATAAATATATTATTTTTCTTATAATTAACATTTAAATATAGTAATATGTAGTAGTTTTATTTCTGAATTTGAATTTTTGAATGTTTTATTTATTTTAGGGAAATTAGAATAAATATAGGTACTTAATGCAATGTGAATTATTTTAAGTATGATGTTTTTATACTTTAATAATACATTTGTTTATAAAAATATATTAATCTAATTATAGTATAAACATGGATGACATGGTTAAATTTAATGTATACTATTTATAATTTTAGCAATCAATTGAAAGACGTTCCTTGATGACAGCATCATATAGTCGTTTTAATGATGAATTTGATCCACATTATTTGGGTATGGCATGCGATAATGAACACTATAGTTTTATGACCTGGCTCACATTTGATTGGGTAGGAAGATTAATTACTAAAGGAGACAAAAAAAGATTGCACCATACAAATGATTTGTTTGATTTACCTGAATGGTTAACTCCTGTATATGTATCAACTAAGATAGAAGACGTATTAAGACATCAGCCTTCTGTAAGAGCTACATCACCTATTCATTTACCAACTGATCAATACAGAGTACCAAAGAAATCATTGCTAAAAGCACTACATACATGTTATGGAAAACAGTTTTACGGAATTGGGTTATTAAAAATGGCTGCAGATGTTTTTGAATTTACTGCACCTATTTTTTTAGATAAATTAATCACATTTGTATCTCATCATGAAGAACCTATGAGTCATGGATATATATACATGGGAGGACTTGTTATAATGTTACTTATAAGTAAGTATTCATATTTTTTTGTAGGACTAATACTTAAATTCAATATTTAGTAATATTTATTGTTATTTAAATTTAACTTCACATTATTATTAGATTAAACAATTTTTTAGTATTGTGAATTAAGTTATGAAATAATTGCACTAAAACTTGAAGCAGAAATACTCCAGTAATAATTATTATCATAACAGTTTTTGGATTGATACAGTGTATGCTGTATACCTACAAATTTTCTACTATCTACTAATATTGTCCTGATTTAATATAATAATAATATATGTTTAAGGTACACTGTTTGGTGCACATTATGACTACCAAATTCATATGATTGGAATAAAAATACGAGGTGCTTTAATTACAATGATTTACAAAAAAACATTAGAATTAAATACCGTTATGCTAAATAATTTTAGGCAAGTTAAATTTTCATAACATGGCTTTATGTTATTGATTAAATTAATGTATACAAATTATTGTTTTAGTATCGGAGAAGTAGTAAACTTTATGAATACTGATACAAATAATTTAGTTAATGCTTGCAATAGTTTTCATGCAATGTGGAGTGTACCTTTTCAGGTAAAATTAAACAATTGTACCTAATTATGTTAAATAATTAACTAAATTAATACTCGTGAGTTATGTTTTAGTTAGTTATTGTTTTATACTTACTTTATCAACAATTGGGAGTAGCTTTCTTGTCTGGAGTGCTTGTGTCTATTCTACTGATACCAGTTAACAAGATTATAACTTCAAATATTGGTATATATTAATTTACATAATATAATATTAATTATTAATGTTCTTTATATATTATTGTTTTTTTTTTTTTTTATATATATATATATAGGTAGATTAACTGGAAAATTGATGAATGAAAAAGACAAACGTGTTAGATTAATGTCAGAAATTATTAGGGGTATTCGAGTAATCAAATACCATGTTTGGGAAAAATATTTTATCAATAAAGTTAATAGTATGTTGATATACAGGTTGATTTACTAAGGATACTCGCCTTATTTTTTTGGTTAAATTTTGCATACATTCAAATTCTGATTTTTGGAATTTTTAAATGTAGGGAAAGCTTACAATATTTTGAATATTTAGATTTTTCACAAAATTTAAGGGGTATTCTATGGTGATACCAACTTTGGTTTTTCAAAAGAGATCCTATACTAAAAGTTCTATAAATAGATGGAGTATTAGTTTAAATAAATTTTGGTGATAACATTTTTAATTTCTGTCAAATCGTTGATAAGATATTCTACTTAGGTTTTGGTAGGAAGAGAGTAGTGGAGTACCATTTTGTATGGCTGCACAACACAGGGTATTTTAATAGTGTTCCACTACTCTCATCCTACCTGAACTAAAAAGTAGAATATCTGTGGAGACAGAAATTAAAAATGTTACACCAAAATTCATTTAAACTAATACTCCATCTATTTATTGAATTTTTTATTATAGGTTCTCATTTGAAAAACCAAAGTTGGTATCATCACTGAGTACTCCATGTTGTGAAAAGTACAGTTTAACATGACCTATGATTAATACAACCGCCGCTAAAATGGACAACTGCTTAAAATGTATAAATATAACTGGTTCCAACGTGTCCACACTAAGCGGAATTCACTCTATTCAAAAATGTGGGTTGTAACTAAACTTAAAAATATATATGCGAAATTCAACCAATAAAATGGGATACACACTTAGTAAATCACTCCATATATATATATATATATTTTTATAATATGGTATTCAATATTAATTGTTGGTTTATAATGTTAATTTTTTAGGTTTTCGAAAACCCGAAGTAATGAATTTAAAAAAAAGAAAATATTTGGATGCTTTGTGTGTATATTTTTGGGCAACAACTCCAGTAACAATATCAATATTAACTTTTTCAACCTATATTTTTCTTGGTGGTCAATTAACAGCGGCAAAGGTCAGTGTAAATTACAATTATTAGATTTCAAGAAAACTTTAAAAATTAATTTGAAATATAAGTAAGTTCATGAATTTGTTCATTTCCATGCAAAAGTTTATTTTTGATCATTTTATACTAAACCTAGTCTTAATAGTTTTAATAATTAAGATTTAGATAATAAATAAAAAAAAATATTTATTATTAATAGTATTGACGGTTGACATTAACATGTAAGAGGGAGATAAAGCCATATAATTATTTGAAGTACTGGGTAAATAAAAAAAAAATGTATATCTTGCGTTGGGTAAATTAATTTAAAAATTTAAGAGCTCTATTAATTCTGGATTATCCACAACGTTATTTAATAATTTGTATAAAAACTTCATATCTAATAATTTATACCTATTATCCAGAGGTTTAATAGTGAAAAAACTATGTACACTATCATAACTAGAGTGAGGAGTTCTCTGTACATTACATTGAAGGCATACAAATCATAAAAAATTGTTTTGGATTTTTGAAAGACAGTGTAATAGATTCAATGACTTATTACACCATATTAAACTCATGTACTCAATTTGAAAACGAACCAATTTAAAAGTTTAATAGTTTTAGAGCTTGATCATTATGGAAATCTTCACACGTACGTTTAATGAAACCTAATAGAAATAGTTGTAATAACATCAATATGGGAGTTAAAAGAGAGCTTAAAATCAAAAGTAACACCTAGATCATTTATTTCGCTTACTCTAAGATTGTTTATAGTGTAGACATAATGGACTTCATTTTTAAAGTAAAAAAAATAGATTTAAATTTCTTTATATTTAGAGACATACCATTGTCTTTACACCATTCATTAAAAGAATTTAAATCATTTTAAAAAAGTAAAGTATCATTATAATAACAAATTTTTTTAAATAGCTTCAAATCATCTGCTAGCAATAAAAATGTAGAATGTTTTATTTTACAAAATACATCATTTATAAAAAGTATAAACAATAACGGCGATTAATGGTCACTCTGCAGAACATCAGATGTAGCATAAATATTGTTTGAAATAAAAAATTTCGTGCTTGACATTTTGAGTTCTATGAGTTAAAAATGAATGAAAACATGAGAAAACAGGTCGTAGAAGCCATACGAGTTTAGTTTTAAAATTAATAAATTGTGATCTACTTTATAGAATATGTTTTCGAGGTCTATATAAATAACATCTGTTTGAGTTTTTTCAGTGTACGATGTAATATTAAATTGTTTAAAAACACATAAATTGGTAATTGTTGAATGTCCTGCACGAAAACCATGTTGCTCATTTATTAATAAATTTTTAAACATAAGCACTAACTTATTTGCAAGTTTTGAAAATAATTAAGGAATACTTTGTTTGCTGAGAATTTGGACCTCAATGTGCATTTGACTAGGTTAGACTATACTCATGATAGGTGATGTTGCGGTGGGATATAACCAGTTTTGGTTACTTTTCAAGCCAAATGCTTAGCAAATAGATTATAGTTAATACAAACTTATTTATTTTAAGGTCTTATATCAAGAACTTTTATAATGTTTAGGTTTTCACTAGTATGGCTCTACTGCATATGTTAGTCACACCATTGAATGCGTTTCCTTGGATACTAAATGGAGTTGCTGAAGCATGGGTATCTGTTAAAAGAATTCAACGTTTAATTGAAGTAAATCAATATACTATTATCATGTATTTATATTTTAAGATAATTGTTTTTCAGGTAGATGATTTAAAAACTCAGTCTTATTATAGTCTAATGCCAATTCAGTTTGGTAGAACTTTTGATAATGCTGTATCATTATCACAGTGTTCTTTTAATTGGGGCTTCAGATCATTCCAACTTAAAAATATAAATTTTTCTGTGGCTAAAGGATCATTTGTTGGTATTACTGGGCAAGTAGGCAGTGGTAAATCTACTCTATTGGCAGGAATTTTAGCAGAAATTAACAAAGATGAAGGGATGATTGCTTCTTCTAATATGAGAGATGGTAAAAATTAATAATTATTTTTTTCTAAATGAAAATAACCCTTTTAAATTAATTTTACATGTACTTATTTTATGTATTTCTTTACTACTTTTAGGATTTGCATTTGTTGCACAAACACCATGGATTCAAAAAGGAACAATTAAAGATAATATTCTATTTGGTCAAACATACAGCTTAGAAAGATACAAGTAATTATTGTTAACTTTAATTGAATATTATGCATTTTATGTATACTATATTTTGTCTATTAGAGCAGTTATTAAATGTTGCGCATTAGTTAAAGATTTGCAAGAATTCCCTAAAGGTGATTTAACTCTTATTGGTGAAGCTGGAATAACTTTAAGTGGTGGACAAAAAGCTCGATTAGCTTTGGCTCGAGCTGTATATCAGGTAAAATTTCTTTTTAAATATTATTTTCAAATAAAAATATTTAATTAATTATTTCATTATTACCATATTATTGTTTTAAATCAATATTATTAAACTTGAAAAATATTTAAAATTTGAAAAATTATAAATTTTTTTTTTAAATTTTTAAAATTAAAATAAATCTTTAATCTATACCACTTGAGCACAATAAGTAAATTTGATAAAAAATAACATAAACATTATTAAAAATATATTGCTGCCCTTAATCAAACTTACACAATACATGACTTTTTTAAGAAAACAATAACACATAGGTTCACGTGACTTTTTTTATATTTTCAAATAATTGATTTAATTAATATTAGGTGTCAACAGGTCACGACACCATTTTCGATTATATGATTGGGATGAAATAATATACCAGCATGGAAACATTTATAATATACTTAAGCTTGAAATTAATTTAAAAACCTAAAATCATAAATTTATTAAATTTTGTTAAATAGAGTTTTACAATTTGCTAAAAAAATATGCTTGGTAAATCAATAAACCTTAATATATAACATTCAATTATATAAGTTTATAATTACTAATGTTCTATTTGTTTTTTTTTTTCAGAACAAGTGTATATATTTACTAGATGACATTTTTGCTGCAGTTGATGTTAATGTTGCACAACATCTGTATACTCATTGTATTAATGGCCTACTTAAAGATAAAACCCGTATTATTTGTACCCATAATAGCCAATTTCTACTCTCTGCAGATTTGGTACTAATAATGAACAATGGTACTATTGTAAATCAAGGTCGACCTTTTGAAGTATTAAGTGACTATGATGCTAAAACTGTTGATGTCAAGTTTGATGAAGCAAATAGTAACACATTTTCAATTATGGAAGAATGGATACCGACCAATGAAACTGAGTATGAAAATAATTTAAACAACAAAGAAAACCAAGAAGAAGGAATTGTTGCTTTATCAGTATATAAACAGTACTGGAAGTCTGTAGGAAGATACATTTGTTGGGTCCTTTTTATCTCCATGGTTATTATGCAGGTATAAATAGTATGAATAAATTATATGTTTTATAAAAAACGCATACAAATCATTTTAATATGTTGTATGTATTTATATATTTATTTAATTGAATTTTAAATTAACAAATTACAATACAAGTCAAATGTTTTTTGTGTGCTATATAGATCACTGTAGTGGATTATAGTAATAAATGATCTAATCCAGTGATTCCCAAAGTGAGCAGTACCACCCTCTTTGTGGACTTTTTTTATTTTGAGGGGGAAGATTCTACTGTAACTTTCATTATTAAAAATAATTCACTATTATTAAAAACAATTATATTATTATTAAAACAATATTAGCAAATTCATAACTTATTTTAATGAAATGTATATCTGCGTACAATAGAAAATAATTAAATATTTTATACACACTACAATAACAGCGATTTTATACATAATTGTGTAGTAATTTGATACATTTTTAATAATTATGGTAGTATTAATCTCCTCAAAATTGAAGTTATAAAATTTTTGAATTAAACCATATTTTATAAACCACTAATAATATAATAATATATATATATATTATGGGCAAAGTAAAAAATCTGTGTATTACGATACAACCATTCACAATGCCTTAACTTTTTGGGCAATCTAAAAATCAAGCAATGTGTACCTTATCCAGAGTAAGAGTAAGAGTAAGCATAGTGAATTAAATACATATATTTAAATCAAATTATAAATTTATTACTAAAACAAAAATTATTAATATTCCTGTACAATGAAATAATGCAAGGATTAGTTTTTTATTTTTATTATATTTTCATAGTTTAATTTACTTTGCCAAATTAAATTTGGGCACTGTATACAATACCCGACTTTTTACTTTGCCTGTACCATATAAATTACTATCCAATGTCTAGTATAGATTAAAATTTAATAAGTTGGGTCTTATAAATTGTATATCACAGTCAATTTAATCATGATATACTTATTTGTTCAATACATATGTGAAAATTGGTTAGAATCGTGTATTCTAAAGATACTTTACTGTCATTATATTTAGGGGTGAAACCTCATAACACATTTTCTTTTTCAAGTGCCATTATTATTAAAAATTACATTAATTGATAAAGTTTCGGTTAAAATAATTTTTTAATTTCCTCCAACCTGTTGATAAGGTATTTCAATTTTAAGTTTGTTATTTTACCTTTAGAGGAAATTCAGTGCTTCAGTATTTAGACGTCGCTATACAAATTATGATATCAAAATGTGGTTGTGGTTTTACCTCCAAAAAGAATGATATAAAAAATAAGATAATGTTACATTTGTTAACATATAATTCCATAAGTTTTTAAATAGGTTATTTTAAAAATAAAAATAAGTTATTCATGACAAAATTAACTATGACATAAAATTTGGAAAAACCCATATAAAAATGATAGTTATTCAACTAGTAATATAATAAAAAATTGTCTTAAGTATTTCAAAATAATTAAAGTACTATGATTTATAGGGTTCACGAAATGTATCAGATTTATGGTTATCATATTGGGTTAGTAAAATAACAAAAACGCATGAAGGTTAGTAAATATTCACTTGGTTTTATATGGTTAAATAATTATTATGTTTTGGTCAACTGCTTATAATATACATTTAAATTTGAATTATTTTTTACTCTTATATAGGGTGTTCCACGAGGATTCGACAAATGCAACTTTTGTTCTATTCAATATTTTTTATATATATTTTTTTTAAATAATTAGTATGCCTCAGCACTATAGTTTATACATGAACATTTCTTGGGGGGCAGACTTGAAATATAAAATTTTAATTTTATCATAATTTTTTAATAAACATTCAAAATAGCCATTTTGTAAAGACTTTCAGAAAATGTTTAGTGGTTGAAACTTTTGTTAAAATATGGTCTTTTATTTTCTATGATTTTTTAAAGTTTTTGTAATTGTGAATATTACAATATTTAATCAGTTATTAATTAAGGATTTTCTTTTTCATAAGTTAATATTATGCAATAATATTATTATATTATAGATATTAAGTAGTATCAATCAATCAATGGTAAATTTATGCTGATGAACAATATTGTTCTGATTGAAAAAAAAATGATTCAAATTTTCAAATAATCTTAGAAAATAAAAGACCATACTTTTACAAAAGGCTATTTTTAATTTTTTTTTTTTTTTAAATTATAAAAAAATTTTAAGCCGTTTCCTCTTGAAAAAAAATATTTATATACAAACTGTAGCACAGATGTATACTAATTATTTAAAAAAAAATTGTATCAAAAATAATAAATACAACAAAAGAGGTATTGCATTTATTGAATCCTCGTGGGTCATATATATAATCTATAACCTGTATAACCTACATATTTGGATCTATTATTTTTTAATTCACACTCATAATATAATAAAACTATTTTTTAGAAAATAACTAATAAGTAATTAAAATATTTTATTGCATTATAAAACTTAGGTTATGAACAATTTTCTGAACGAGTTATTAACTGTTAAGAAATTTAGTCTTGATTGTCAGTTTATCTAATTTTATTCCAACAGTTAAAGAAATTCAATGACTTCCAAAGTTATCAAGAAAAATTATTTAAAAAAATCTCAGTTAATGACCTCAAGTTTTTTTTAATGGGTGTAGAATTTAGTTTTATATTTTTTGTTAACAAAAATGGGATTTTACTATGTTTAACTATAACATTGCTATACATTTTTATATATGTTTAAACATATTTAAAAGAAATGTATAACTGATATACTAAAAGTTATATACTAAAAGTATATAACTGATTTGAGATTTAAATGATTCTCATAATTAAGTTGTTTATTCAAATTTTATAATTTCAATTTATTTATTTTGTTTCAGAAAATATATCAATCAATTTACAAAATGAAAACAATACATATTTGTACATTTATACATTAATTGGAATGGTTAATTCTGTAGCTACATTTTTTAGAGCCTTTGTTTTTGCATATGGTGGTATTAAGGCTTGTCAAATAATTCATGACAATTTGTTAACTTCTGTGATGAACGTATGTATTAAAAGAATTTAGTTTAAACATTTTTATATTTTATTTTATTTTTATTATTTAGGCGAAAACTTCATTTTTTGATATTAATCCACTCGGCAGAATATTAAATCGCTTCTCGTCAGATACAAATACTATTGATGATTCATTACCATTTATTTTAAATATTCTTCTAGCACAATTTTTTTTAGTCATTGGTACTCTAGGTTCAATAATTTATGGTGTACCTTGGGCTATAGTTATTACTATAATACTAACTCCTGTTTATTATAAATTACAATCAAGATACAGAAATTCGTCTCGGGAACTAAGACGTATATCAGCTGTTGCATTATCTCCACTATATAATCATATAAATGAGTCATTGAATGGACTAGCAACAATACGAGCTTTTAGAGTTGTATCAAGGTTAATGTCGATCATTGTGAATTTTTTGACAGTAGTAAATTATTAACTGTTATTTTTTTTAAATGTTTAGATTTGAACGTGAAAATGAAGACAAACTTGAAAACTATTTAAAAGCAGAATTTTGTTCACAGTTAGCATCGTTATGGTTCAAATTCAGGTTAAGAATCATTGGTCTAACTGTATTATTTTTTATTAGTTTAATATCTGTAATTATTCACCAATGGAATCTTACAAATGCAGGTTTGTTCTAATAAATTCATATTTGATATATTTTATTTCTAAACAATATATTTACTGTATTATTGAATGGAGAAAAAATGCACCTATTTTTATTACTTAATATTAGTACATATTTTTATAAATTATGTGGATTAAAAAAAAAGAAGATTATTTGATTAGGATATCTTGGGTTATCATTGACTTATGCATTAACATTAACAAATATGCTTGGAGGATTAGTGAGTGCCATTGCTGCAACAGAATGTGATATGATTAGCTTGGAGCGAGTTCTTGATTATGTTACAAATACAGAAAGTGAAATTAATAAAGAAGACTCAATATCACCTCCATTTGCTTGGCCAACAAATGGAATTATACAGTTTTCTAATGTTTTTCTGAAATATAGGTAAAACAATTTAAAAAAAATTAAATAAACATTTGATATTTAATAGAATATAATTTTTAGACAAGATGGACCTATGTCTCTAAATGGAGTTTCATTTGAAACTGTGTCTTCAGAAAAAATTGGTGTGATTGGTAGAACAGGTGCTGGGAAAAGTTCATTGCTAGCTGCTTTGTATAAAATGTGCGATATTAGCTGTGGTGCTATTTTAATAGATGGTGTAAATCTTTCTAGGATTTCCTCACAACAAATAAGGTTAACATTTTATTTTATTTATATATATTTATACAAATAAAATATATTATATTAATATTATAGTTATTTATATAATTCATATATTTTCAGAAACCGTTTGTGTGTTATACCTCAAGACCCATTTTTATTTGAAGGTACTATCCGTGAAAACATTGATCCATTTAATGAGTATATGGATTCAAATATATGGTCGGCATTGCAGCACTGTCATTTAGTTACAACTGTCAAACATTTAGGCGGTTTAGGATGTCATTTGGGAGATAGCGTTAATTTATCCGTGGGTGAAAAACAGTTGTTGTGCTTAGTAAGAGCAATATTAAAAAATGCAAAAGTAATTTGTATTGACGAGGCAACAGCCAATGTGGATGAAATTACTGATCGCAAAATACAAGAAACAATAAGAACTGCATTCAAGCAAAGTACAGTTATAACTATTGCTCATAGAATTCGTACTGTTATGAACAGTGATCGGTATGTCAATGATTTATTTATTTGATTGAATTTCAGTGTTTATCTTGCCAATTACATAATCAGTTTAAGTAAAATAAGTTGATACTGGGGACGGGTGCACCATTGTTGTAGGTGACAAGTCAGGAAGGTCAGATACACAAAGTACAATCAAAAAATGATTAAGAGTAAACTTTGATTACATGTTTTGAAAGTCCGTAGTAATTACAATTTTCACCTTAATTTGATTATAATAATACTCTTATAAAAAAAAAAATTTATGCTACATAACTCATTTTTATTTTTTTGACTATTAAGTATGATTTATAATGTATCTCCATCCAGTCAAATTTTCAAGCATTTTTGTTTATACTAACAATTTTATACACAGAGTACCTACCAAATAAAAATTACATAAAAAAAACTTACTAAATTTAAATGTCTAGAAAAAGCAAATATAAATATAAGTTTTGTATAAACATTTTAAGTTTACAAATAGTTGAAACTAAATTACATTTAAAATAAGTAATAAAATAATTATTTATGTAACATTTTTCTACTTATTTTTCGGTACTGCTCAATTATTTTAAAAGCTACAAAGAAAATCAATAACCGACTTTCTAAATCAACAAATAGATTAAAAATTTGATAAAAAAAGATCTATTGGAGTAGAACACATAAATTGTAAAAATTAAAATAAAGGAATTTTCCGGTTTTTTTTAATTATTACAAAAACTACCCAGAAAATAAAAAATCTAATTTTTAACCTATGAACTAGATTAAAAAATTCAACAATAAAGGTGTCTTGTAGTTTTAATGTTCAAGCAATATTTATGGTAGGAAACATAAACCACATAAGTTTTAAATAATGAAATTGTTAATTTAAAAATATAGTATTCTTCTTCTTTTTTGGTTTTTTTCCAATTATTTTGAAAACTTTTTGGAAAATCAAAAAATGACCTCTCTAACGCACAAATTAGATAAACATTTCCTTTCTGAAAAGGTTCTATATCGGCGCAAGATTTCTTTCGAAATGTTCAGACAGAAAAAAAAAACAGTAAAATCAATAGCTCCCTCACTATACTCCAAATCTAAAACAAAAAGTTCAAGAATAGTTGTATCCACATCTAATAGCTTATACTTGTATTGTTGTTATTTTTTTAGAATATTAGTGATGGACAGTGGACAAATTATAGAATGTGAATCTCCAAATGTTTTATTACAAGATAAAAATTCATATTTTTTTAAATTGGTACAACAAGAATTTAAATGACATTCTGTGATCTCATTTGCATAACTTTAGTGATGCAAGTTAAAATTACAAATGTATATATTTTCATTGTTTTAATTTTTGACAATCATCATTTTGTTAAAATTAATCACTAATCATTCAATAAGAAATAAATTTAATGGTATATAATTTACAGTCTATTGACTAATTAACTGTAAAATAAAATTAACTATTACCTACATACAATTGTTATTTAAAGTCATTTAACTGTTTAATATGTTACCTTTAAAATTGATATTACTAAATAAATGTATTATTTTAAATACTATTGTAATATTATGTATATTATATGAATTGAATTTTTTTTTTTTTTTTCTATTCAATAAAATTATTATTTACTGTTATTTCTTTAACATTTTTGTAAATTGTTTGTCTAACAAAAAGTTGTAAATAATTTTTACGACTCCACTAGTATAATTTCAACTATAGCTATTTCACTACTGTAATGACTGCAACTAACCCTACCTGACCTAACCAGCTTTTTTCTAGAACGATTGTTTATGTCCGAACATGAATCATTTACATTGTAACAGCAAAATAACTGCCTTTTAATGACAATATTCAAACGGTGAGATATAAATGGGTCAAAATATAAATTATAATATATGTACATTGTTTGTGCATATTTAATATCTGATGGAAGTATGAAATAGTGATATTTGGTCAAAAATGTATAACCAGTCATCACAAAAAAACACAAATTTTGCAAATTCTTTGGAGGATTCATTTATTTATAGGAAAGAAATAGAAACATGATTTATACACAATTTCAAAACTTTTTAATTATTAGTTGTCATATCTGTATTTTATAAAAAGAAAGTTTTTACTAACAATTTTTTCCAGTTTATACCAATTATTAGGAAAACTATACATTACATAACTATATTCATCGTCATCAGCAAAGTCATTCTCTAGAAGTTTAAGTTATAAATTATTAAATTCAGTCATTAACATGACTCAAACCATTTAATAATTAACAATTAAAATGGCTTTTGACGGCCTCTTCGAAAGCGGTTTTAGTTCACTTTTCCTTAAGTCTTAACTACTTTCAAAGAGTGCGTCAAACTGAATTTTGGTTAGGTTATATCTAAATGTTCAATCTACAAATTAATTAAAATGAAATTACAACACTCATAACTTTTTTCAATAAGTATTTAAAAAATGTAATAGCATACATTTTTTAATGAATTCAGCATCAGTGAAAGGATCAAAGAACGATTCTTTTTCAATATAATTTGTGCAACTACGTAATCAACCCATACTACTGATTTATTTTGATTAATTGACAAAAATTTTAAATAATTTATTTTTATTTTTATTCAATAATCAATGATATTTTCCAAAGTTGATTTATATGCATTATCATAATGCCAATTTATGTTATATTCTTTTAAACAAATTATTTGATGGTTTTTAAAACGTTTGTTTTAAATGAAAAAGTATTCATCAATCCAAGAATCATTAAAAAATGAATGTTCATAACAAATTTTTCTTTTTAGTCGCCATAATTATATTTGAACTCACTACTAAAATGAAAGTATAAACTCAGGTCACAGTGGCACAACTATTCTCTGTTTCAAGAGAGAACATACTGCTTTCATTATCAGTTTTCGTTTAAAAGCTATTTAACGTGTCTATGGTCATGACCGGTGCTACCTGATGGGGATGTGCACCGCCGAATGAAAATTGGTTGCGAAAATTTCTCTTTTGAAACATGGTATAAGTTCTTAGAGTTATACATTCGTCAGTTCAGTTATATACGTTTTGAAAGGCCGTATAATATTTAATACTACGTACCTACCAAATAAAAACTCGCTAATTTAAAATGTATATAAACAGCTCAAAAATATCTAGATTGTTTTAAAAATTTTACCACGTCTAGAAAAAGCAAATATAAGTTTTCTGTCTAAATTCTAGTCTACGAATATTTTTAACTGAATTACATTAAAAAAAACAAAATTTATAATAATAAAATAATTATTTTCATAAACTTTCATGTTCTTTCTAGTAAAAAGTTTCTACATATTTCTCGGTTTTGCCCAATTATTAAAAAAATCAAAAAACGACCTTGGTCACCAACTAAATTTAAAATTCAACAAAAAAAAATCGCTTATTTTTCTATTCAAGCAACATTTCTGATAAAAAACTGAAAGGTTATTTTTAGAAATGAATCTATTGATATTAATTTATTGAATACTTTTCTATAGTTATAATCCAAAACTCAAAAAATTTTATAAAAAAATTTAGATTTATTAATACATACTGAAAATCATTAAATTCATTTTAGATATATTTTAGAAAAGTCCGTTTTTCTTTTATTAATTAATTATTTATAGGTATTTATGACAAACTAGTTTTTTTTTACACACATAAGCAACTGATTACTAGACTTTTCATAACAAGGCTAGATGCTGAGCGAAGCAAATATATCATATATATTATATAATTTATGGATCATGTTACACAATCCATTAAATACATGGTTTTCATATTATTAAATATTTTATTATTGAGGATTTTTTTATGACAATTGTTAATACGGAACTTCTCAAATATGGGTTGTACCAACTATCAACTCCTTTAAAACTAATTTCATACAGGTAGCTCTCAACAATTTATAAAAAAGTAAATAAAAGTTATTGTACTTAAACTAAATAATTGTAAATTACAAAAAATAGAAATAAGTTTTCCAGATTACACCTTAATATGACAGATTGAGTAACTAATATTATTAAAGTATACTATTTATTATTATGTTATAAGTGCTAATAGAAATTAGTAATATAAAATGTATGTATGGCTTATAAAATAAATAAAATTTAACCAAATTATATTTTATTATTTTAACGATAATTATACAAGTATCAGGTATTAAACACTTAGGTACTTGTAATTTTTTAAGTTCTTTACTATCATTATACCCAAGAAAGTAGTGCATTTTTACAGGAATTTTGACAATATGATTTAGAATATAGGTATACAATTTTAAAATGTAAAGGTTTGGTCATATCATAAGCATAGGTCAACCACCTATATAGTATATAAATACATGTTAATTATCATGAACAAATGAATAGGTACTCATATCCCGGGTTCAGAGAAATATAAGATTGTGTAGATATTTTTCCAGATATGCTCATAACATTATAACATTATTGAATTACGATAAGAGATTGTGTGTGATTCTTAGAACCAACTCTATTGTCTATACAGAAATCGTTTGAATATTATATTATAACTAATCTATAATTAATATTAAAATACAAATATGAATGTACCCATGATTATTATAAAAAAAATTAATAATATATTACAAATTAAGTATAAATTATATTAATAATAATCAGAGGCTCCAGAGACTTGGTTGGGAGAGGGCTTAGTCATATTTTTCAGAAAACTATATAACAAATACATATTATTTAATATTTTATAGTTTATTTATACTTTGTAGTATAGATAATAGATACCTCTAACACTTGTACGCGTTTGCAATAGTCGATTGTACACATTTTTTTTTTTTTGTAAAGTTGTTATTAACTAAAAACACGGACTTGGGTGGTGGCCGTGGTCTCTGGTAATCCGAAAAAATCTCCAAAACAACTTCAATAATAATAATCATTGTTTAGTCATTTTTAGTCAATAGATTACAAACATTCCAGAAAAATAATTTATTGAATATAACTGTGTTATCTATATTCTCTCAAGGGAAACCTGCATAACTATAATTTTAGTTACCAAATATATTCCTATGCCATAAGCCTATATATTCTAAAATAAATTGTTTAGAGCAGTGGTCTTCAACCTTTTTGAACTCGCGACCCACTTTTTTAGGCCTACACTTTTCGCGCCCCACGTAAGCTTTGTAAAAAAGCTAAAATTGCTTAATGCTTTGTAGTAGTACTATTAAAACTGAATAAATAAAAAATACATTTTAATAGGTAGAATATTAAATTATTATTAACTGCAAATGTATAGAATTCATACGAAAATATAAAATAAAATAAAAATATAACACAAAAAATTGAATGTGAACTTTTTCCTTAAGTGTTTTTACATAATAAATTTCACCTTGGCTCAATTTGAGTAAACGCGATCCGTAAATCATCTTCAGTTTATTTATATATCAATTTATTTATTTTAGATTTTATCAAATTTGACGTAGTAGAAAACGCTTTTTTGCATAAATAAGTCGTTTGAAATATTAATAAAATTGAGATGGCTTTAGTTGCTAATTCTACGTAATTTCCCGTGCATAAGAGTGCCCAAAATATTTCTAATGAAGTTTCACAAAACATTTGTTTCAATTTGTTATCACGTGATAACTCAATTAATTGATTTTCAATGTCAGTAGACATATTTACTGTCATTATATCTACTGCAAATGGTTGTTCAATCCACTCATAATTTACTCGAATATCCTTAAGAAAATATTGGTTAAATAATTTTTTCTAAGTTTGTCAAATATTTGTTTACTAATTCAGAAATGTCTTCAAACTTGATTGAAGAATATTCCTTTAAAAACTCACTTTTATTTATTTTATAATTCACAAAATTATCAATATTTCCAGAATATACTCGAGCTTTTATTATACAAAGTTTTTTCTTAAATGATTTAATTTTTTTTTGTATGATCAAATATGTTAAAAAAATTGCCCTGCATAGACAGATTTAACTCATTGAGTAAATTGAAAATATCAGCTAAGTATGCCAGAGTAATAATTCATTTTAAATCTTCAATTAAATCTTTGTAGATTGAATTTTTACTATTTAAGAATAAAATTATTTCGTGTCGCAATTTGTAAACTCTTAGAAGACACTTACCTCTTGATAACCAACGTACTTCAATGTTTAACAATAGAGATTCATGGAACGAACCCATTTCTAAACAGAGTGTTTTAAATAAACGTGAATTTAAAGCATTTGATTTTATATAATTTACAATTTTAACAATTTGTGCTAAGACGTCAGTCAATGTTTTAGGCATTTTTTTTTATGCAAGAGCTTCTCGGTGTAAAATGCAGTGTCTCCACTTTAAACTTGGAACAATGTCTTTTACTAATTTTATTAGTCCTACATATTTTCCAGTCATAGCAGCTGCCCCATCAGTTGTTATAGAAATACAATATTTTAAATCTACGTTATTGTTAGTAAAAAAGTTTACTAACGTGTCAAAAATGTTTTTTCCAGTAATTGAAGTTTCAAGTTTTGAGGAGAACAGTAAATCCTCGTGGATTTTGTTATTATAAAAATACCTTACATATGTAAGAAAAATCGGTTCGTTTGCAATAACGGTGCTCTCGTCAAGCTGTAAAGTGAATTTTCCTGTTAACCGAGACAAAAGTTGCAATTTTAAATCATTACTAATAAGTAATATACGTGTAGTGACTGTATTATCAGAGAGAAGAATATTTGTTGATTGGTTTGCAACTTTTTCGTTTATCATTTCCGTACACATTTCAATAGCAACAGGTAATATTAATTCTTCCCCGACAGTATATGATTTCAAACATTTTGCAATTCTATACGAGACTAGAAACGATGCTTTTAAAGCCGACTGCGAAACTGATGAATATTTTTTATGAAAGTTAGGTTTTAATAATTCGAAATAATCTACCGATTTTTCTTTTGAATTTGGATGTTTTGTATCTAAATGCCTTTAATTTTAATTGTTTTAAACTTTCACTTACGAGCAATTTTCTACAGCCTATACATTGTGATCGAACCAAATTGTTATGATCTCCCATATTAAAAGCACAAAATCAAAATTTTAAATAATTTTCACCATACCTTCAACCAATAAATTAGGATTTTTTTCTTTTGTAGGAGTTTTTCTTCGCATTTGAAGTTGAAGGTACCTGTGATAACATTGTCATGTCTTCATGTGTATTATTTTGACCACTTTTCCGAATAACAAATTTATTCATTTTATTAATTAATTTACTTTATTAAATAACGAAAAAATATTAACGCAAAGTTGGTAAAGTAAACGAAAAAAACTTTTTAACGGATAGGTAAATAGGACTAGAATAATAACGCGATTAACATCTATCGTCTTTAAACACAGCAACATCGATAATATTCGTAGATTATGGGATTCGTATATTACTCTAACGATAACAATGTACATTAATTCTATTAACAGCATAGTTTATTCGTAAATTATTATATTCAATAATATTGAATCAATATCTTACTATGCAGAATCAAACCAGTGTAATATGAAACATACTTTGGTGTGGTATCCATTATAATATTATATTATAGACTTAATTACATAATATTGTTGATACACAATACACTACACAATTTTTTAAACTGTATTTTCATTTATTAATTTTCTAAGTTTAATAATTAAAAAATTATTTTTTTACCTTATATAATTTTTATTTTAAAAAGAAGGCTTATCGTGACCTAATTTTAAAGCTTACGTGACTCTGAACTGGTTGAAGACCACTGGTTTAGAGTATAGACATATTAGGTTAATATGGTTTAGATCGATAAATTGTGGAATTTGGAAAATACATTAGATTTTATTATGAATATTAAAGAACTTTGCCCCCCCTCCACGATTTATATTTTTGCAGGCGCCCTTGAACACAACATTACAAAATAATAAATATATGCAATAAATAAAAAATAAATAAATTTGGGTGTCGGGGGAGGATTGTCCACCCTTTACAATAAAATATTTTTCAGCTACTTATGCTGCTACCACTCGCCAGGTGGCCCTCTTTATGGCACCGGTAGCAACGACGAGCTTTCGCTTCGTTGCGACAAAGTGACCCTTTTGTTGGCATTGATTACAGGTTGAATCTTTGTTTTCCAACAATCTGACCTTGCACTGCGTCCATCCCACCATTTCCTATTTTGCTCCCCCAGCATTATAGTCTCCGTACGGTAGGGTACGGTACAGTACGCTACACGTAATCATCACGGCTGCCTGAGTTCTTTCATACGGCAACATGCTCATCGCCGCCTGATCGGACCCCCGCTTCCACGAGACCGTCCCGTGTGTCTTCAACTTCCGTTCACTCAGGGACGTCCAGAAAGAGAACGGAGATCCGGCGTTTGGATCCTGACCATTTCTTTGATTTTTTCGGCGAGCTGGATGGCCTTCTTTTCCCTTATTCTAGGACAATGTTACCAACCTGCGTCTTCCTCGTAGTCCGCACGGTTATCTCTAGCGTCGCGGTCGCCAAGTTGAAACCTTCATTGCTGTGGCGAGTGACCCGCCTTAGAGCAGCCGGTCGATGGTAACTGTCGCCGTCTTCGGAGTTCTACGCCGCAGTAAGACGACTTTTTGGACGTTCACATTCGAGACAATCCGTGTGGGTGCCATCATTGTAGGAAGGGGACACTTCACCGACCTCGCCTGACTACCTGGTTCTAATTATCCTGTTTTTGTTGCTGCTTCTGCGACCGCTGCTACTCTATTTACTGCGGTCGCTGCTACAACTATTGCTTTTGACGCTCCTGATTTGGCTATTGCTTTTTTCATTCATCGTATCGACTATTTTGAACATTTTAAAGGATGAAAATACAAATTTTATTTTTTCTACATAATATGTGTTCTCCTTGCGCAAAACCAGATTAAAAAAAAAAAAAATAAATATTGACAGAGTTATTAGCATAAGGATAACCAGTGGTGTATTAGAGGATATACGGTGGATACCCATTACGTTATTTTTATCCATGGCGTATAGCTTATGACAAATTGATGATACGCGGGTATCACTATATATCCTATATGGTAATTATAAATACCTATTATATATTTATACAAATTATTGCAAAATACATTTTAATGAGCTCGAATTGTAATAAAAGACGTAAAACGTTAACACAAAGATTTTTATTTTTACGAAAAATTATGGTTTTGTCATCAATCTTATTATCAAGCATTCATAATCAAATTAATCATAAAGTAAATATGTTGTGAGGAGGACTTCGATCGATCGAATCTCAATATCATTTATCATAATATTTAATATAATTTTGTATTCTTATAGTGGTAACTCGTTGAGTGATGAATGATGATAATATTATACTTAATATTTTGCTAATATATTTCGTAATTTTTCCCGTTTTTCTTCCGTTTATCGGTTTTCCACATTTGATGAAAAATCTCCTGAAAAATTACCTCCCTAAAGTACTTCCTCAGTCCGATTTTCTTTCAAAAAAAAAAAAAAAAAAAAAAAAAAAAACGCTGTCAATGTAAATCGGAGTAAGATTTCTGGTAGAAAATTTGCTCATAGATAAAATAAATAAATATCTTTATACAATTTTAAGTTTTTTTGCTCCACTGAAAATCTAAAAGAGTCACTGGTCGAGCGATTTGAGAAAAAATTATTTGGACCCTATACCTTTAGATCTCCATATATCTCTAATAAGGCGTATACCCAAGATTTATTTTAGCAATACATCACTAAGGATAACACTGCAAGAACTCTGTATAACATTATACAATTTATATCATATAAATATTATTACTTCTATAAGATAAAATAATCCCGCAATTTATATTGGACTTTTTTTATACTCTTTGACAATTGTTGATAAACGACTTTTCCTTGTTTACTTTATTTACGTTCACCTATTGACTATAGATAACACGTTTGTAGTGAAACATGCGGATGTTGCTGTATTTTTTTATTTTGAGTTAGACTGCAAATTTTTAATATAACTACTAAACTACCTAATTAATTTTACGCGATCAACTTGTTTTATTTAAGTAATAGCATTTACTATTGTGTTGTCACATATGCTTTCCTCGAAAAAACTATGGTCAAATTTTGAATGACTGTTGCTTATTAACTACGTCTAAAGAGAACATGTGAGTTGTTAATTTTCTACCTATATTTTGTTATTTATACTATAATTATCAATTCAAAAAGGATATTTTATGTTATAATATTTTTTTAGTTGTTAAATTTTTGTGAAATGGTTTTTACTGAAACAATTATAGGAGTGGGCATTTTATATTGATTTTTTATTAGTGTTTCCAAAATTTATGATAACGGTTAATTTGTAGCCAAATATTATATTTGTTTCTTTTGAATGTTAAAACTAATAAATTATTATCATATTACCTATTTGTTTATTAAATACTTCAAGTAATTCTTATCAAATTAATTGTTAATACTTATCACTTATTATTTTCTTCTATTGGAAAAACTTTTAACTTTTGTAAAATAATCTTACCTATTAAAAAATAATACAAATTAGTTCAAAATTGTAATGCCAATAAAAACTAATGTTCTTTTCTGTTATTGCATTTCATATTGACACACAATATTATGTTAGGTCATACCTCTGGTACTATTTAAAAACACTATTATTAATAAGTAGCTACAAAATAAAATAGGTTCCTTGGACAACATTTTAAAAATAACTTAAATTATGAATCCATAATAAAGAGAATGTGTGAAAATCTTAGTTATACTTCTAGTAATTAACATAAGTCAATTTTTTTTTAGAAGTGTAGCATTAATGGACAATTATTGATAATATTTATAGATATTTTAATAATACTAGACTAAGTCAATACAAAATCACAAGGAACCCATTTTAATATTAAATGATCCTATCTGTTTTTATGTACCTGATATTTATACATTTATTTAAACTACTTGTTTTCCTTCTCATTAAAAATGCATCCACAAGTTATTATATATAATTAGTTTTTGCTGGTACTGAATAGGTTTTCTGTTTGTTTGCCTCATATTAAATTATATTCACTATAAAACTTATAATTTATCTAGGTATCCAAATACCTGGCTCTACTGGCTACAAGTAGTCTTAAAATTATGCTGATAATTTTATAATTGTATCTAACCCACATTTTTCTCAGGCCTTATAACCAGTCATAGAAAAATTCTGAAGCAATTTAAAATTATTTTATGTGTTTTACCATTATGTGACAATTTTAGTAAAAGGTTAATTACCCATCCGATGTATTGAAATTAAAAGCCAATTATCATATTTAATTTTTAACTCTTATTAAAAGAGTTAAAAAGAAATGAAGTGTTGCTTCTTAAAAATGATTTCCAAACTTTCTAGATAAAATTATACAATTTTTGAATGTAATATTTTCGTATTTTATTTCAGAAACATAAGTCATGAATGTAGAAACACCTATAGAGACTGTAGTTCAACAGCTTGCCCATGCTGTTGATCTGACTATGAATCCATCTATGTCACAAGAAAAGCGTCATGAAGCCTATCGTCTTTGTGATAGTTTTAAAAATGATTTTCCACTGTGCGTTCAGTGCCAGTGTGCTCTATATTTTACTAGTGATAATGCACCATATACTGATATTGTTCGACATTTTGGCCTTCAACTTATGGAACATTGTATTAAATTTCGTTGGTATCAAATGCTACAAGAAGATAAATTGCTTATTAAAAATACTATCATGAGTCTTGTGAATTCTGCTTCGCCAGCATTACAGATTAATTATTTAAAAGATGCTCTAGCAAGAGTTGTTGTAGAAATGATTAAAAGAGAGTGGCCTCAACATTGGCCTGGAATGTTAAATGAATTGGAATATGCAGTGACATTAGGTTGCTGTCAAACAGAAACGGTTATGCTAATTTTTTTGAGGTTAATTGAAGATGTTATCTTATTGCAAACTATTGATAATGCCGCTAGACGGCGAGATATTAGTAAGGAACTTCAATTGAATATGTTCAAAATTTTCCCATTTTTTATAAATGTGATTGATACTCATTGTAGACAATATTTGGCATTCTTAAATAGAAATGAACAAAATGCCGCTACTTCATTTATTAAACCAATACAATTAGCATTAACTAATATAGGAGAATTATTTGAGTTTATTCAACTTTCTCATATAAATTATAAAGATTGTTACATAATCACTGTATTATGCTCATTATTAGATGATTTTAATTTCAGGCAGCCTGCTATTGATTGTTTGTGTATTTTACTTACAAGGAAGTGTAAAAATGAAGAAAAAGAATGTATTACAAAATTATTTGATCAACCTTTACAACAATTATCTATGGTAGTTCTTAAAGCAATTAGTCAAGAGTCAAATGATGAAAATAATATATTTTTGAAAACATTATCAAAAGTTGTGTCAATGTTGAGTTCTGTTTTATGTGCTTTTTGGAAAGATAACAAACTGCATAATTTTAGCACTGAAGAATCTGAGAAAGTACTTTTATATTATATTGAATTATTACAAGTATGTTTAGGTCATGATTCACTGAATGTGGTTTCAAATATAAATCAAGCATGGAGTACATTATTGAAGCATAAAGAAATTAGTAATAATATTTTACTACGGCAAAATTACATTCCTAAATGGTTTATGTTAACATCAAAGAAACTAATAAAAATAGATTATAAAAACTTAGATTCATTCTCCTTACTTGACTTTACAGATGAAGAAAGCTATAATAATGCATTTTATCACACTCGAGTAGAGATTGTTGAAACAATTAGATGTGCCTCTGCTGTTGAAAATACTAATATGTTTTCAGTCACAGAAAATATACTTAAATCGTGCATAGAAAAAACATCAACTAGGATGAAAGTGATACCAATTTGTGAATCAGATTCTGTAGAATTTCAAGAATGGGAAGCTATTGTTATTATATTAGATGCAGTTGTATGTAAATTAATCTTAACCCCAGATTCTGATATTGTCAACAGAGGTTTAAAACTAATTGAATTATGTTTAAAATTTGATACAAGAGATCCATTTATTTTATCATTCCTTCTTTCATCTGTGTCTGCATTGTTTATATTCTTAACTGCGACATCTTGGCCTTCAGAATATCTTCATGCAACACTTAACAAAATGTATGAATATTTAATACTTGACTGTCATCCTGATGATCAATTATACGTTCCAATAAAAGAATTAAGATTTCATTCAGCCTCTTTGTTTATTAAACTAAGTGTTAAATATCCAAATCTTTTACTACCAGTTTTTGATAAATTGTGTTCATTAAGTGATGAACTTCTTTTAAAAATCAGTGAAACTGGTGATCATCTTAATGTATGTTTACGTTTACAAGAAGCCCTCCTAGTGTTAAATACCCATGTTCCAGATTTCGATAAACAAGTTCAACTGATCACACATATCATAGAACCTTGTCAGTTAATGTGGCAGAAAATACAAAGTATTGTATCTGGAGGACCAGATGAATTAATTGCGTATTTGGGCCTTAACGGGTTACCAGTTAGTATAGAATCTGATCCATGTCTAGCAAATCGAAATAATCTGTCTCATTGTGTAAGTGTATTAGCTAGTGTTATGAACAGAAGCATCACTAATTCAAGTTTGTCAAAAGGCACATTTGTTTCGCCAGTTACTGAACCAGTTTTATTATTAATACCTAATGTGTTTTTGTTAATAAAAAATTTAAATGCTCTATGTTCGGATAATGCTAAAAAAATTATGCATCCTAGTTTCATTTCAGTTTTGCAGATGTTTCCACAAGAACGTGAAGCATTGCTCGGAAAGAATACAGTATCTGAGAAGAATGATCCATTCCAGATGTTTAGACAAAAACCTAAACCTGACCCAGTACATAAAATTAAAAATTCAATTTTAGCTATATATGATAATTGTTTACATATTTTGGGAAAATCATGTCAATTACTTGGTGATCGATTTTATGCATTAGAAAACTTTGCTCCCAGTTTTCTAGCTACTATAATGAGTGATGTTGAATCTTTACCACATGTACGAATTAGAACTATTATGAAGAATTTTATTAAACCTTTCCTTATTAATTGTTCAAATAAATATTATGATACAGTTCTCATTCCTACTTTAAATGCTTTTCTATCTCATATGTTATTACGCCTAAATGTCATATGGCAAAACTTACCAGATCGAGAAGAATATGATTCTAAAGAAGGAGACTCTGAAGAATTGCTCGAAGATATGATGATTCGGTTGATAACTAGAGAATACATAGATTTAATACGGTTATGTTTAACTAGTTCTAATGATTCAAAAACAAGTCCTCATGGAAGTGTAGAAGAAATACCTATCAACTGCCAAAATAATAGTGATTTATCAGAATTAGGCATAAAACTGTTAAGAAATGAACAATCAAGGCGTCTGATTGTCATAAGTATTTTAAACGGTTTATCATGGAATTCAACTATAAGTCAATTCTGGAAAACGTGTCAAATCTTTCAGTGGGATAATCGACCTGTATCACCTCCTTGGAGTGATAGCCAAACTAGTTTTAAAGCAACATCTTTAGTTCAAATGATTGTAAAATGTTTAGTAATAGAGGATGAAAGAAATGCTATGACAATTGCGCCTGACCTGTTAATAGCACTTCTAGAAAGTCTTCATTGGTTTGGTCACCATGATTCTAATATGGGTCCACTTTTAGCTACGTCTCTTATTGTTTATGAAACTTTTCGTAATAAAAATGATCAGTTGTTAGAAGTTTTTAAAAAATTACCTGAAATAAATTTAGAAACATTAAATCGTTTTGATAAATGGGTAATGAGCAATGACCTATTAAATAACAAAGTGAACAAAGGTAAAAGAGAAATGTTGAAGAAAATATTAGCTGGTTGTATTGGAAAAGATGTAAGTCAAACTCATAAACGAAGAGCAGAACTCAGAGATTTGCCTAAAATTCATATTCCTCCAAAGATTTGTACATCAGATTTGCTAGAAAACGGTGATGACTTGAATATAAATACATTACAAAATTAGTTAAAACATTTTATTTAAAAGAAATTTTGTTGTTATTGTTTTATTTATTATTGTATTTTTTTTTATTTTTTTTTTTATTAACAATTGATGAACCTATACATACATTGATATTTATAAACCATATGTAAAATTATAGTATTATGCAGATCAGCCTTCAGTATAAATTTTGTTTTTATAAATAATGATTGTATTTTAATCATTAAAAGGTTTCTATGTTAAATAATTATTTTGTATGTTTAATTAAATAACTATTTCTGTGTACCTAATCAAACAAAAAATTTTAAATTTTTTAAGGTATAAAAATGTTGACACTAATGACAATAGAATCAAATTAGAAAAGAAATGAAGTTTATTTTACTAAAATGTATTCAATTAATTAATATTGATTTTTATAAATACATTTAGTTTGTGAAAATCTATTATGAAATTAAATTACAAATATGTATAACCTATTAATGGGTATTTTATTAAATATCATGCATAGTCATGATTTAATAATAATATGTATTTTGTCATTTGTATACTGTATAGCAGTAACATTAATCTATTATTAAATCCATAATTGTGCATATCATATTTTTTGTACCTCATTGTATATTATCTATTTTTATAATAGATAATATACCTAATGAGGTAATTTATAATCTTCATAATAGAGTTTCAATAAATTCTACTATAATAAAAAAGTGACACTTAATTAGAAATATCTACTTTAAATATTGTTAAATAATATTTTGAACAGTTATTATTTTAATTGTATGGTGTATCCCATTTTAGTTTTTAAAGAGCACACACAAGTTTTTCTCAACTGTTTCAGCAACCTCAAAAAACAAAGCTATTTTCTATAGTGAATATTTCACCATTTTTAAATTGAACATAGACTGTTTTCCTGTAATTTGTCATTTTTCCAGTTCTAAAGTTTTTTAAATTTTATATCCAATTTTCAATAGTTAAGTACTTACCATTACCCTTGTTTTATATCAGTTTCATGGAAATTTTTAAGTTTAATACTAAAATACCATGGTAAATACAAATAAAAACATCAACTTTCTTATCTGTGTTTTATAGGTCCTGTCAATGTCCATATTAAAAGAATAAAATTTACTTTTTCAAGGAAAAATAATACTTAATTATAATACTATATCAAAGATTATCTTACCTTGTAGAATACTGTTATTTGCGGATGATACAAAAATCTTTTATAAAATAAAAACTCCAGAAGATTGAATTGTCCTACAAATTCTATATTTAAACTGGTTGACTGGTGTACTTTGGTTGGACTCTCCTTAAACTTCAATAAATGCAAGGTAATAACATTTTTCAGAACACACAGTAATATTAATTTTGATTACTTAATGTATAACAAATGCTTGCACCGAGTAGATCAAGTAGACGATTTAGGATTCACATTAGTACCATTATTATTTTTTAATATTCATGTCGAATGCATTACTTACAAAGCACTATGTACACTGGGTTTTATTCACCGAAATGCGTCGGACTTTGATCAAGCTAATTGCCTCTTAACATTAAACACATTAGTTCAGTCAATTTTGGAATATGGATCAGTTTTATGGTCCTCCTACATTCAGAAATACATCCAAAGGATTGAAAGGGTTTAAAAACACTTTCTTGCTTTTACTGGGTATGTTTTAAAAATTACTCACCTTCCTCATAACTACATATCAGTGCCGCAATTCTTAAACTTATCTAACCTTAAATTTAGAAGAAATTTGCTAGATATAAGATTCTCAAATAATTTAGTTTTAGGTAAGACCGATGCTAGCCATTTACTCGAAAAGCATAAATTGAATATACCTAGAATTTGGTCCCATAGTAAACAAATTTTTGAAATCAGCAATTGTAGAACAAATTATATATGCAATGACCCTATCCAAAGTACCATGTGTATAATTAACTCAAACCCGAGACTCTTAGATTTTTTGTCAAATGTAAAGAGTAGAATAAATCTTAGACACGGACCATACGTTTTGTTTTGAACTTGATAATAATATGTATAACAATTGTATTTTAATTTTCATGCCTTTCAATACTTTAGTTATATACTTATATTTTTTTATACATACTAATTTGTTATCTTTATTACTTACTAATATTTATGTATTTTGCATTGTTAGTTGCCGTTAGGCGTAGAAATATATACAAAATTAAAAAAGAGCTGATACTGAGGATAGGAGCGGCCACTGTTGTAGGTGAAAAGTTAGGAAGATACATAAGGTTATTTCATTGATATCTGTAAGCAACGATAAACCATTGCTTGACGAAAGACGGTGCGATTTTTGTTTAAATTTGATTTTAAAACCCTTATTTAAAAAAAAAAAAATCGTCCGATCATTTTGGAAATTTTAACACGTCTAGGTAAGTCTAATATAGATATTATTACTAAGCTTCAAGTCTCTACGTGCATTTATAACCGAATTACAGCAAAAAACTCTCAAAAATTAAAATTCCTTAAAAGCTCAAAAGTTTTGCTGATGATACCGCAAGAAAGTAAATCAAAAATTTTTACAAAAAAGGTAACATGTGATTTTTTGATTAAATCATTTTTTCTGGTAGAAAACATCGTCTGTGTTTTTGTAAAATAATGAAATTATGAAATACGTTTTCCTACGATTTTTCCACTTGAATGCTTTTGTTTAAAAAGGGTGCGAAAATCAAAAAAATGACCTCTAAAGTACTATCTAGACAACCTGAGGTTTTATAAAAGTTGCTACCTATGAAAATCAGAGCAAAAACTAGATTACTAGGAAAAAACGTGTCCACAGACTAGAACAAAGAAAAAAATAAATAAAAATTTTAATAAAACAAATAGCTTCCTCGCTACTCTCGGAATCTAAAAACAATTTATCTTGTTTCCTTAAACTTTAATTAAAAGTAAATTACACAAAGTTTTTTTCACTCATAACGAGATTTGGATACACATGTTTTAATTTTTGAACATTATCCATCAGAAATATAAAATTATTTTTAACAGCCACATAATATTTTTATTTACGAAAAAACACCTAAAGTAACACTATAAGCATAATACAAATACTCATACCATAGGATTTATGTTAACTATTTTTGTTATTATTGCTACATAATAAATCAATTTTAAATAGGGTATTATTATATGGCATAAGTTCGGACTGTGGTGTAACTCCGAACATATAACGTTTTTTTTTTTTTTAAATATTTTATTTATAACACAGAAAAAACATTTTTTGTTGTTGAATTTTCAATAAATTCCTTTACATGTGTTCAAACTTCAAATAATCATTCTCCATTTGATAAATCCAGTTGCAAAATTAATAAGAAAATATATTATCTTTAAATGAAAGTGGTTAGCAGTGGTTAATAATTATAGACGTGCTGTTATTCGATGTAGTAAACAATTTCTTGATTGATGTGTAACACAAAGAAATAAAAAAAAAAGACGAACATAATTCGCAAGATCGATTGGTGGGCCATTATTCATTTATGGTAAAAGAAGTAGAGATAAACATGTGAAAATGTGTTAAAATAAATCTTAAATGATAGCAAAAATAAGTAATCAATATTACTATAAGAAAATCCCTGTGTCACCAATTATACATAGCTAATAAAAACATTAATTAATGATATATTGTTCGTACCATCTCATTTTGTGTCTAATATAAAAATACAAATTTTATTTTATTAGTTTATGTATAGATATACAAAATTAGATTTCTATCAAGACCTTAAAATTTATAAAATTATATGAAAATAAAGTAAACCCGTTAGAAAATTAAATAAATATATGTTGATGTATTTATATAAATACATATAGAGCCTCGAAAAATTCTGCACCGGGCTCCGAAATCTATCGGGCCGGCGATTCATATTTTATATGTAAAACAAACGCTGGGCAAATTTGACAGAGATAACCACGGCATAAATCATATGAAGCCTCAAACTATACTGGCTTGATCTTCATATAACTGAATTAAATAAATGATAATAAAACTCACCAAATTTGTTTTGTTCTATGTTCAGTTCATGAACCTATCTTTAAATTCTGAGTGAAGTGAAGAAGCTTATGGTTTTACAATGATATTTTTTTTTTTTTAGATTCTGAGTGTAGCGAAGAATGTATTGGTTTTACTAAAATGTTTATTTTTTTACCCTGTGTACAAAAATTCTACTAAAAATCTTGCTCCAATATATACACGTGGCACCATTTCTGAAATAAATGTTGTCCAGATGTTTTAGGAGGTCATTTTTTTGATTTTCCAAGCGACTTTTATAATATCTAGGAAAAACCAGGATAAAACGTAAGAAAACGGGAAATGAACGAAAATAATGCTTTATTATTATTTCAATTTTGTTATTTGTTGAAAGTCAGTGAAAAATATTTGTAGACTTGCCTTTTTTATACGTGGTAAACTTTTCAAAAGATTTAAGCCTTTTTTAAACTATTTATTGGTATTTTAATTTTGAGAGGGTTCAATGCCAAACCAATCTTCATTTAAAAAAACAAAACTGTTAAAATACATGTTAATGCCATAAAAAACATGTTATTGTTATACAAAACTGGTAGTTCATTGAAGCTCACGTACGTTGTTTTCTACCATAAATATCGCTCCAATTAAAAATTATCAAGAGAATTGTTTGTTAAATTTGTAATCTTGTTGATGAAAATCATTTTATGATTTTATTTGTAGGTTTTTTAATAAATGAGCAAAACCGAAAAAATATGCAAAAAGTATGGGAAAAGTAATTAACAAAAATAATTTTCTTATTATTTTCAATTTTGTTTTTATATATTCATATACTTGACATTTTGAGAGTTTTGTATGTAATTTTTATTCGATAGGTACTCTGAGGTAAATTAATAAAACTAAACAAAAGTGCTTGGAATTTTATAGGAGGTTTTGTCATAAGTATTACTTTGTGGTGAAAAAAAATGAGTTAATGTAGTACTCATTTTTGTAAAGAAATTCTAATATCAAATGTTGACGAAAATCTAATTAGTAAATAAGTAAAAAATTATGTGGAACAAATCTAATTTTTCAATTATTAACATATGTATATTGCTGATTTTTAGAACGATAGTGAAGTCAGAATTGAGCGGACTGGCATAGTTTCGAAATTATAGCTTTTTAGAGTTCTGATATTATGTTATGTTAAATAACTATATATTTTCAAGCTTAAAATATGTTTATAGTAGTTTAATGATAATACATAATTATTTCTATGACATCCTAGGAAACGCGAGTTTTAAAAGAAATTGTTTGCATTTTTTTTCTTTTTACTTAAATGAGGAAAAAATAAATGCATTTTGTATGTACCTAGAGACCCAACCCATTTTTTCCTCTTATTATTTTAATCCAAAATATCTCTCGATTTGTGATTTGTTGTGTAAACTTTTCTATCAGAAATCTTGCTCCAATGTAACAAGTGTAGCTTGTTTTCTGAAAGGAAATTTTATCTACATGGTACTTCAGGAAGGTCATTTTTAGATTTTTTAAGTAGTTTTCGTAATATCTGAGGAAAACCAGGAAAAACGTAGGAAAATTGGTACAACATTAAATAAATATTATTAAAGAAAATAAATAAAGCCTATTCAATTATTTTACTGTAAAATAATATAATATATATTATATTATAATATTGTTGACAAAGTATCACTATCAACTGAACTGTGGTCAAAATCGTTTTTTCGTTAGCAATGGTTTATTTTTGTTTACAGATATACCTTAAATTACTTATAACAGTGGCTGCACCCGTTTTCATTATCCTAGGTCGTCTTTTTTTATTAATTTTTTTTGTTTAAGTTATGACGATATTTTCTACCAGCAATTTTGCTCCGATTTACAATTATAACATTTTTTCTAAAAGTTGATTTGACTAGTGAGGTACTTTAAGGAGGTCGTTTTTTGATTTTCTCAGGAGTTTTTCTGATAAATAGGAAAAACGAGAAAATAGGTATAATAATAAAGAAATATTTTTAATATGACATATATATATATATATATATATAATACATTTATATATATATATACAGTTGATAAAGCTACACTATCAACTGATCTCTACTCAGAATCGTTTTCTCGTTAGTAATGGTTTGTTGTTGTTTACAGTTTACAGATATACATTAAATTTCCCTTCTATTGCCTTTCCAACTTTTTTTTTATCTTCATTATTGTGCAACGCAAATAACAATACAATCTTATCGTCACTGTTATCAATCACCCAAGGCAACTTACACACGAACATCTAATGCAACTGATACAATTTTTTTATTTTGTCTTTATACATAGCAAACAGCGTGCATTGTATACATAGCATATGCTGCTTAAGTAGCGTTTTTAGCTGTATAGCTGTAGCTTCATTTTGTAATAATCATCCTGTATATTTGTAAGTACCATTGTAAAAAAATTAAAAAAAGGAATTTTTCGGGATTTGTTTTCTAGAACATTTATGAAACCTGCTATACAATTTTATACAATATTACTACCTAATTTTGATTTTCAAATGGCAACCTATATTAAAATATACATAAAAAGATGAAATATTTCGTCAACAGCTTGACAGAAATCAACAATGTTTAACACTCAAATTTATTTTAACTAATATTCCACTTATTTATGGATAATTTAAGTTGCCATTTGAAAATCAAAAGTGTGTAGTGGTTTTACTCCCAAAAATAAGGTTGACAACATAGATATAAAATTGTAGTGCAGCTTGTTTCATAAATGTTTTAGAAAATAAATTCTGGATAAAGTTACTACTATCCAAGATAATGAGTGTACAGGGGGTACACTCATTATCTCGGAATAAATAGATCAACCGGTACATCTGTATAATATAATGTATAGTTGACAGCATTAAATGATAATTATTATTATTTGACTAAAATGAATGAATTAAGATTGACCATGTATCAAATTTAAATTTTTTTTTTAATGCCTTAACAAATTTAATTTGCACAAATCAAATATTAGGTAGTATGCAAAATTATGAGAAGTTTATAGATTTTTATTTAAATCTGAACTACATATTTTTATATTTTCTTAAGACCAACATAACATTATCTTGAAAAAATAGTTTTTTATAGTAATCAACTAAAAAGGCTGGAATTAGAAGCAACAAGAATTGTAATGAAAATAAACGTTATTGAAAGACCAAAAAAAAAAGAAAGAAAAAAAGGTGGTCATATCTGATTGAGGATGATGTGAGAGATTTGGTCAAGTGGAAGTTTAGGATGAGGGTGGCTGACCCAAAGTAGTTGGAATGAATGCAAAGGAGAAGAAGAGTCCTGTCTATGAAGTACTAATATTAAAGTATTAACTGAATTAAAAAAAAAAAATTCAAAACTAACAGATGCTGGTTTTCCATTATTATAAATATTATGAAATGTACAAAGCAAATAAAAAATAACCTCTGTGGTGTATAAGACAAATTTCCTCCTAGAAACCATACAAGTTGATGACTGCTTAGGTAAGGTCAACAGCAAAATGTCTAGTATAAAAGTTCTTTACAATCACAATATAGTCAAACTTATATTCATTACTTTGTTCAGGATATTTAAATACATCAGTTTTAAAAGTTTAAATGAAGTTAAAAGAAAAAACAATTTATATTATTTTAATAAAGGAACAACAAAAGAGGTATTTAAAATAAATTGATACACATTGTTATTTAGTTAAATATAGTCATTGTATTTTTACTTTGCTATAAAAAATGGTGATTAACATTAATTAAAAATATAGCTAATTTTTACAGATTTTATATTTTGAATAAGATTATAATTTATAACATTTTTATTATTTAAGGATACGGATTTCATTAGAATTTACACTAGAATCTGCATATGGATATTAATTGATCAAAGAACATAAATAATAAAGCTAAATAGATGAGAATGTGTGCATGTATAAAATATTAATAAGTTTATACTTTAAAGTAAATATCTTTGAACACCATTATTGTTTTCATAATGTACCTCTTATTACATTACATTGTATTAGTTTTATTGAACAGGCTTAGTCAAGATGATAACTGCACTTGGTACCAAACCTAAAAAATAAAATAAAAAATTGATGTACACATTAATCAATTATTTTTATAAATACATTTAGTCTGTGGCATCAAACTAAATTTGTTTAAGTGAGGCAATGAAAAATAAATTATATCCAACCCTATACAGTATTAAACTGATGTCGTGGGGGGGGGGTAAAGTCCTATCTTTTACTATAATATTATTCACAAATTGTATTATTTACTGAACAGTGCTTAAATCTGAGCATTATTTAGCTATTTATCTATATTTTTACTTACATCATACCATATAATGCATATTAGAACTATTCAATTTTTTTAATATTTGCATAAATAAATATGAGTATATTGATTGATTAGTATAATATTTTTTTTTGTACTGTACCATATGATTTAAAAAAAAATTAATAAGTAAATCAGAGTTAAAGTCAATATAATTTTCACATGATAGTAACATAAGTCAATCCAATATTTCTTCTTTCAATGCACTTATTAACTTGCTCTTAATAAGTTTTAAATTTGGGAAGGCTCATTCTTGAGATAAAAATGATAATAATTATTTTAATCCATTTTGGTAACATATCTTGTATACTATGTTCCTCAAGTTATAGACATCATTTCATTTTCTGTAGTATTATTTTAGATTCTGAGTTCTGAGCAGAGAGAAATGTATTGGTTTTACAATGAATTTTTTTTTTGAGTTTTGAAGAATCAAATTTATTCATTTATAGTAAAAGAAGCACAGGTAAAAATATATGAAAATATGTTAAAATAAATCTTAAACGATAACGAAAAAATTAGTACTTAATATTATTATAAGAAAATCATTGTGTCGGTCACACAGAAAGCTACGCACACTATGTACGCTATATACATAGAAAAAAAAAATTCTACTACAACAATATAAATGGCTACACAGAATGACTTACATTGTGTTTTAGATGTCAGCTATTTCGTGACGCGTCACCGAAGTGTATGATTCTCGATTATATTTTGAACTATATGCAAGACAAACAAATGCTGGACAAATTTGGGAGATAACCACGACATAAATTATATGAAGTCTCACACTATATTTATTTAATCTACACATAACTGAATTAATATATGATAATAAAACTCACCAAATTGTTTCGGTCTATTTTCAATTCTTGAACTCATTTTTAGATTCTAAGTGAATCGAAGAAGCTTATGGTTTTACAATGATGTTTTTTTTTCTGTGGACAACTTTTTTATCAGAAATCTTGCTCTGATTTTACAAGAGTAGCACTTTTACTAAAAGGAAATCTGACTAGGGAAGTACTTTTTGATTTGCCTAACAAATGTGTAAAATGAGAATATAGGTAAACTAAATATTAAAAAAAAATATATAATGCCTACGTAACAATTTTACCATAGTATGACATATATTGTTGATAAAGCAACAATATCAACTCAACTTCGTTTTTTCATCAGCAATGGTTTATCGTTACTTACATATATACATTAAATTTTCCCTCAATTACCTTCCCAACTAGTCACCTAAAACAGTGGTCCACCCACGAGTTTAAGATGTTTCTTTTTATTTTTTATTTATTATGAATAACTACCAGAAATTTTGATAGTGATACCGGAAAAAAAAAATCAGAAAAAAAACGGGAAAATCATAAATATTACAACTTTTCAAATCACATACAACCTAATTCCACTCAGAATAGTTTTTCGTTAGCAATGATTAATCACTGTATACAAAGAAACATTAAATTTCTCTTCTACCTTTCCAACTTCTAACTTACAACATGGGTCATTATGCGAAGTATATTTTTATCTTCTTCGGTATCTTCATTGCTACTGTCATTCCATGGTTTTAGCTTATGTATCTTCACTGGTAATTTGACTAATTTTTCAAATATTAAATACATATTTACAAACTGTATTCATATCTCAAATCCTCAGCTTTTACAAATTGTTTAAACATTTTTTCAAAACCTTCAAATAGATAAATTGGTAAATTAGAATTTCCCTTAATTTCTATTATTCTCTTTACTTGAAAAGTGATAAATCTTCATGAAGTGGTGTTGATTGGTCTTTAAATCATTGTTTTATTTCAGTACACACAATGTCAATGACTGTGAAATATGTATTAACTTTAAAATGTGTAACTGGACAAATGGTAGGATCAGACATAATTTCACCTGACATTTTTTCTTTCTTTTTCTTTTACTTAATAATAATTCTGAGAAAGATAATTTGTCACTTATAGGTGCTATACATACTAATTTTCATTTCTGAAAGCTTGAATTTTTCCATGTAAACATTGTATGTATCTCAGTTAGAAGCCAATAAATCAATTTTGATGCCTTGTAAAAATGTACTTAAAGAATTAGTTAGCTAAAATATTTGTCTCCACTCATATTCCCTATTTCTAATAGTACACGATGTTCAGAGTATAATCAGTTACTGATCTAATTTTGTTGAACTGTTTCTCCAGTAAATCTCCAAAGTAAATTTTTCTAAAATCAACCATCATCAAATGATCTATCTACCTTTTTGACAAATTTTAGGAAAACGTTAGGAAGAGAACTGTTTTCATTATTTGTAATAATATTATACTGTTCTTTCTTAAATGTTTATAATTGTATAATGTCTTATATTAAAAACTGTATTTTATTTAAATTATTATTAGTGTTACCTACTAATGGGTAACACTACCTATGCTATGGGGTATACCTACCCCTTAAATTAGGTGTGGTAGAATTTATTGTACATATGGTTTTGTATTGCAAATATTATACTATTGTGTTCTAGTGACATACAATCAGTAACTTCTATTGATAATTCAAATTTCAAATAATAATGTGTAATACAAAAATGTGCATCATATAAATAATACACAATAATAATACTTTAAAGATATAACATACACAAATTATTAAATACTAATTTTTAAAAAAAACTGTAATTATAATTCTATGACGTAAGTTTTTAATTAGACATGAGATGTGGATAGGTGGGAAAACAATGGATTACAAAATTTAATTATATCGTAACTATAAATGATTATAAATAGATAATAAAATATTTTTAAATAATATCTAATAAATTAACTAGTTATTTTATTTGAAATAAAACAAATTAAATCATATTTGTAACTCTATAGGAACATAACTGATTTACTTTTGTAACTGTTGGATTTTTAAATTCTGAATCTTAAATTTATTATTTAATATTTATAAGGTAATTGATTTTCATACTTTGTATACATATTAAATAACATTACCTAATTGTTCAAGTGGCTTTTCGTAATCTTCATTTGTAAACACTTTTCTTGGAAAACTAGTCATAAGAGAAAAAGGTGCATCACCATCTGAACGATTAAGTTCAATATAAACTCTTACAGCAGCTAACATTTCTTTGACATTGAATGCTTGGATGATTGATTGGCCATTTGTAAGACGGATCTAAATGAAATATGTATTTTAACTGATTGTAAATATTATGTTTAAATTTCAAATTTACAACATTACACAAATTTAATTTACAGGTTTATTAATAAAAATACAGTAATTATTTGAAATTTTGAAAAAAAATTCACCTATAAGTATACATATTAAATATAGTTTATTATTAAGAGGGAAATCACACCGAAAGTGAAACGTCAACAACGCTCAAGAGATAGCATTGCATGCTGTATCGTCGCAAGCACGCCCACTACCTCGCTGTTATGACATCAGTTTGCGGAGTTTTGTGCAGAAGTGTATTTTATTTTTTTATGAGTAGTTGTGCTGTTAACATTTAAACATAATTAAAATGTATTATACCGTGCGGTGTCGCACTGTGCACCAAACGCTCCATCGCCGTAATAGATACGCGTACTCACAAACTAATTACTATTAAAAGCTAATGTTTTTTTTTTCCAAACATTTATAAAAATAAATAAATCATTAAATATATTTTCTATCATAACTTAAATCATTTTAATAGCATTATTAATTTTTATATTTTTAAACAACTAGCGATAAATATGATGAACCTATCTATTTATGAACAATTAAAACTTCGCTATGCAATTTTTTGGGAAAGTTTTGATCGATTAAGTTACTTAAATAATGAAAAAAGTAGGATTCATAAAGCTACATAATATATATTTGTAGGTATACAACAATAAACAATTGCTAACAAAAAACGATTCTGAAAAATGTTCTGAAATTCCGTGGTATTTACTTTTTTCTTTAAATTTGAAAATGATTTTAAAAAAAATTACTGTAACAGTCGATTTTTTTTTTTTTAAAAAAAAGGTTTAATGTCGTATTCTTTTTTCTAAAGGAATTCTAATATTAAATTTGTAAATATTACGCACTTTCAAAACAAGTAGAACCAAATTTTGCTCCGAATCAGTTTTTGTAATTAATGGTTTATCGTTGGTTACAGATATAAATTAAATAACTTTATGTATTCCCCACTACCTACCTACAAAAGTGAATGCACTCGTTTCCAGTATTTTCTTTTATCTGTAAACAACTTTTCAACCAGAAAACTTGCTCTGAAGTATAGACTGTAGCACTTTTTCTGAAAGATAATTTTCTTTTGTTGCTGCCACTAGGTCATTTTTTGATTTTCTAAGTTGTTTTCGAAATAATTAGGAAAAAGAAATTTTTTTTATGTAAAATGGCAAATATTTTTGGCGCATTGCGGCGTTACCGTTTTTATTGTTTGTACAATGTTTTTTACCATACATATTAATCCAATAGATAAACGATAAGTGGCGTTTTTTGGTTTCATTTTTATTCAAGTTTATGAGTAAGTTATTTGTTTGTTTATTTTTGTTATATGGCTGTACACATTTTTCGAATTTTCCCTATATTATGAAATCCACTTAATAAAAATAAAAAATTGATCTCCACAATGCACCAACTAGATTAAGAATGAAAAAAAAGTTGATGTATCGGTTTGTCATTGTCCATTTGAACTATAAAATATTAGGTACCTACCTACAATTTTCTTTTTATATTTCTAATATTTTTATTTGGGAGATTGAATAATAAAAAAATATACCATATAATATTAGACATAGTAGCATTATTTATAAATAAATATTAAAAGATATGAATAAGAATGACTGTGACCTATAAAGCTAGCAAGTAACATGAAAATAATAATTATCTTATCAATACTATTTTTATCTTTGGCTGCTTTAATTTTTAAAGTATAAAGAAATAATACCGTTATATGAAAATTTATTTCTAACCCTCCCACTATATTGTAGTAGAGGTACCACTGATTACGGTGATGTTGAAATTTAAGGTGCCGCTTGAAGCAGCATGATGAGACAACATTTATATTTTACATCAGACAAAGACTTACAAAGACTACACAGAAATCACTTAATTTTAGTTTTAGAAGTAATAATACATATTACAAAACTAAAAGAGAACAATATTCCGAAGAAGCAGACGATGCATTTTTTTCAATTATTCCAAATATAACTCCCAATTTACTGTTTAGAAATAACAACTATATCAATATTTTTAAATTCCTGAACTTTTTAAAAAACTTGTTTAAAAAAAATGCATCATTTACCTTTTCAGAATATTGTCTTCTTTTAGTTTTGTAAATGGTACTTTCATACTAAAACTAAAACTTAGCGAATTATGTGTCATCTTAGTTGATATGTTTTTATCAATAAAACTTTTCAGTGTGGCGTACTTTTAAATTTATAAATATTATAACTATTACATAATGTGAATTTAATAAAAAAAAGAAAATAATTTGTAATTTAATACTATTACTAATTGGAGTTTTATAATAATACTAAAGAATACTAATAGATTAGTATAACCTGCTAATAGATATGAAAAGAATATAGGCATTCATAAAAAACAATTAATTATTGATATGAAGATGACTGGTGTATGCGAGAACAATTTAAGGGATCAGATCATCAACTGGAAAATTAGGACAAGAGTAGCCGACCTTAAATAATCAGAATGAAGGTGAAGGAGAAGAATCAGTCATATTATGGAATTTTTAATAAAGGTGGCAATTTGAAAAATATAAAATTTGAGTAAAACATGTCATTGTCTTATTGTAGTTTACCACCTGTGATCAATGAACACACACAATGTGTATAAAGTTTTTTTAGTGTTATGAAAAATTGATAAATATTTTTCAAATTAACCAAGAATTATTTTGATGAAGTAAATGAATGAAAGTAACAAATAAGGTAAGAAATTATTACCAAACTAATAGTATTTGTTAGGTATTAGTTATTACTTATCAACTATTAACATGAATAAATATCAAATTTTGTGAAGGAAGTAGGTATACTAAATTATTAAATTCTATGTGGGTAATATACGAAACAAGGGTGTAATATTGTGTGAAAATAATATATGTAATATATTAAAAATGAATACTTGTAATTTAGTTTCAGTATAATCCTTTAGAGGTTTTTGAGGGCTTAAAGCTACTGGTGTGACTTGTTTTAGTTGTTCTTCCCCAGAAACTTGACTAAATAATTTTTTCCTAGCTAATTTATCTGCTTCAATTTGGGCTTTTACTCTATCACGAGCTACTTTTTCTTCTTGTTTTTCACGTTTCCTTTCGTCCATAATTTTTTTTATGTTTTCATCTTCAAGCCTTGATTAAATAACAAATAAAAAAATTACTTTTTGGCAAAATTAATAATCATAGTTTATAATAAACAATTACTTTTTTTTAGCAGCAGATAACTCTTTTCCTGAACGAATTCTAATTTTTTCTCTTTCTAATTCTTCTTCTTTTTCTTTATTTTCTCGCTCTTTGCGTTTTTCTCTTAAACGGTCTTCTAATTTTCTCATTTGTTCTTTTTTTTCCTCTTCAGTTAACGGTTTTTTTTCTTCTGTCGATTCTGAGAAGTTGCTATGATTGGTTTTCATAGCATGATATTCTAATGCAGTAGTATCAGTGAACAACTTGTTACAACTAGAAATATAATAGACAATAATGATTAAAAATAAGATAAATCTAGACACTTTATATCCTAGGTACATTTCATTATATTTTAACTTAATGAATTTATACAATTTGAATTAATATTTATTTTGCTTACTCTTCACATTTGTATGATTTAGCAACAACTGGAGAAACAGAAGAAATATTTGTTTCAGGCAGTGTATTAAAAACAGAACTGCCCCCTTGAGAAGTTGATGGTTCCATTTCATCATGGTGAGCCAGTAACCTTATAAAATAAGTAGATATAACTGTCATTATAACAATAGGTATAAATAGTAATTTATTGTACACAGTAGAGAATTTTCAACATTTTTCTGGGAGGGATCCTGAAAAATCATATGTATTTAAAAAATATCCCTATTAATAGATGTTTCTCATTTGGACATTTATTGAAATTATATCAGTGTCTGGGGAGGGTCCACACCCCATACACCCCCCCATAAATCCGCCACTGATTGTACAAGTGTAAATCAAGACTAGCCTAATTTATAAAAGAAAATATCTACTAAAAATATACAAACAATATTTTATGCTATTAGTAAAACATGATGTGAATAGTTAAATAAACAATTTTTAACATTACATGATTTAAAATAAAACAGTCACGAGTATAATTAAATATCTATAATTTATTGTGGCATATTTTGGCACAATACCCTCATTAGAAAATAACATATTTACTTAAAATATATTGTTTTTTTAGTAACAGTTATTTTTAATTTGGCTCTATAATTAATTAATACCTATTGAAGTATTTCACTATTCTAATGTTATTTAATGCCATATTAATATTGGTTATCTCTTACCATTCCATAGCTTGTTCAACACCTTGATTCCCCGTCATTAAAACACTTTTTTCACTATAATAAAACAATTTGTGAAAAACTTATTTTTTTTTTAATAAATAACTGAACAAAAAAACTTACACTTTTTCTCTCTGGAAACCCATATCTACAAGAGTCTGAATAGTTTCTTGGGACATAATGGCGAGTGCTAGAACAAATATTTAAATCTTACCTTAATAATGTTATTTTTTAAGTCGTTAAGTATTTGAAATTTCTATCATCCATCTACAGTACAATGCCAAAGCCGATTTCATTAAAATCAATAATAATTTCCATAATATTAAAGGCAAGGCATACAGATAAGTCTATGGACTATGAAGCAACTAGGCAAGGCGCTGCGAGAAATGAGAATGAGTTTAATTTTCGGCCATAACTTCATACTTATAGATTGTTCTGTTATCATAAATAACCTAAAAATTTGTATATTACGGTGATATCACAGATTAGGATATAATATTATGTCTTGCTTTATAGCTTATGCTATTTTATATTTTCTTATGCCTTTAGGGTTTTGGCATCAAGCATTACTAATACGTTCAAGGCCGTGTTATTAACGATAATATTATACATTTTACTTGTGTGCTGTATGTTCGGTGTTCATTTTTTTCAGTTCAACTCTAATTATCTAAAGGTATAATTATTATTCAAAACTTTTAGTCGCTTAATTTTTTTTAAAATTCTATTTTTTAATTTGTAGACATACAAATATCGCAGTTTACCGTTAAATATTAATATCGAGGTAAGCTTTATAAATTTTGAATTTACATTATTTTAAATTGTTAATAGTTACCTGTCATAGTTGAATTATTTTTTCAAATATAATTTGATTATTTATTAATTAGATTATCCAGTCCCCAGTAGATAATCAAAACAAATTTTTAATTCTAGACTGGACTTAGGTATTGTAATTTAATCGTCGGCCATATTTCTTTCTTTATCTCATTAACAAGATTGTTTTTATAGTAAAATTAACGTTGAGCAAATAAATTATTATGTATTTAGGTACCTACTTACTTATTTATGTACCTATGTACTTATATCATCTTTAAAATTGACTTAAATTTCATTTTTAAAAATAAAAATATTTACCTTACCTGAAATATATCTATTGGAAATAAATTCTAGGAAAAAGTGTATTTGTACATTTTTTTAAATATGAATAAATTATTTTATTTAAAAAGAAAATTAAAATTATATATTAGATATTTATCTAAAATTGTATAAATATATATTTTTTAGAAAGTAAATTTTATCAATTGTATTACCCATAAGTAACTAGGTACTAAAGTCTGTATACATCCTATATTCATATAAACCTAATCTTATGATTACCCCACATGATGGATTTGTTTAATAATTTTTGAAATTAAAATATAAACAGTAGCATATAGTATATTATTATTTTAATCCTTTTAAGTTATATCTTATAATATTATAAGGATTATTCAATTTTTTAAATGTCCAACCTTAATTATAATTAATTTAATTACAATTTGGCTGTTATAAATAATTTAAATAACTATAATTATACTTTTTTAAAATATTTGGCTATTCTACTGTATATTTTCTGCATATTTTTTGGTGTTATGTAGATAGATCTTTATATACATATAAATGTAAAATGTGCACTTAACTCATATAGATTAGAATATTAAATCCTAATATGATAAATTATTTAAATTCATCATCAACTCATGCGGTAGGTAGGTAGGTGCATCATTTACAGTAGGTATTTACATAATTATATTATTGTTATTATTTCAAGATTTCCAACATAACGATTAAATGGCTTTTGAAATTAAAAATTCTGGCAAGCCAAGACAAGTGAGGGGAACTTCTGCATACAAATATCGAAATTTGTTTGCACTTGGTATATTAGCTGCCAGTGGATTTACTTGGTTTTTGTATGAGTGAGTTTTTTTACATGTACCTAAATTTATTACCTAATATTTGATTAATTTTTAAATTGAAAATGTATATTTTGTAGGTAGGTACCTACTTATTTCATTATAAGATATAGCATACAATGTATAATACATTTTGTTTAGGATATTGGCTTTTTAATCCTAAATTCGAAACCTATAATTCTAATAAATCTTATTTTGTTATATTTTTTTAATAAAAAATAAATATTTAATTACAGTATCTACTTCAAAGTTTTAAATATTTAGTATTTCAATTTTGAAAAAAAATAAATATATCTATTATTGCTATTATTATATAATACTGAATTCTGTTGGAATTTAGCTGCTGATTTCAGATTTGTAAGATTTACTCTTGTTTTTGAGATAATCAATTATTTGTAAAAAAAAATCAAAAAATACATAGTTGAATAATAATAAAAAAACTTTTAATTCTTCTTCCCCTTGAAATATGAATTTTTTGTGTTATTAAAAGATTGTGCAAAATTTGATAACTATTTATCAATTTAAACCTGTTCTCTTTTTCCTCTAAAATTGAGTGATAGTTATTTATTAAAAATCTAAGCTTAACTTATAGCTTTTTTTAGAATTTACAACCGTTAAAAGCCAATTGTATAATAATTTTTAAAAATTGTTTGTTGTGTTTGCTGCGTTATTAAGAAATGACATAATCACTATCAACAGAAAAATGTGAAACTCTTTAAAATTAGTTAATAATACTTATTTATGAATAATTTTCTACCATAGTTTATTTGTATTATCAAATATGCTTACTTATTACATTTTCCCTAATCAATCTTACATATTATAAATATATATTTTTATAATATACATTTGCGTTATGACCGTAACGAGGAACAAGCATAAATGTATTATCAGAATATAAAGACTACAAAAGAAAGATACTAAGGATGATATGATAATTATATGATCGCAGTCTATTGCTGGTATTTACAAAAGGATTGTCTAGACCAAACATATAGCAGAAAATCATATAGGAAAAGTTTTTTGTAATAAATGTTTAAAAAAAATGTAGTATTTATTGCTAATATATATGAGTTTCAAATATTTTTTTTATTAACAGTGAGTATGTCAGTTCGTTCTTAATAATGTAACATACACATCAATGACATTTAAATTTTTTTTTTTCATAAAATTGGCTTTTTAATAGTTGTTAATTTCATAATTGTGAATTAAACTAAAAACAAGCTACAGTGAAAAATTAAGCTTAGCTTTTTTAAACAAAACTACCTAACACAATTTTAGAGGCCCTGGAAAACAGTTTCAATTTAATAAAAAAGTCCCAAATTTTGCCTTTGTTCAGTGAAATCATTCATTTTTATTTTATAGACAGTTACCAGCTACAAAAAGATTAACAGAAAAAATTTACAGTGGTTATTGGGATCGAACACCTGAAGAAAAATACAGAATAGAAATGATAAAACGTAATTTGAATCCTGATACCAAAGATTTAATGTTGAAAAGAGCTGAAATTTTGTCGCAAAATCCAGATCCTATTAAGAGAATAGAAATATAATTTTATATATTTTTAGTCGATATGTATATTATAGAATAGTTTATATTCTTAATTTTTAGAATTACAAATATTTCCATTGTACAATGAATTTATTTTCGCAATCTAAGTTAACATTAAAATTAAAAAAACCAAACAGTACATTAACCACTGCTTCAGCAAAGTAAGAAATTAATAAAGTTTTTAATACAAAAAAAACATATATATATATTAATTAATTTAAATTTTTTTAGTGAATGCCAAAAACAAGATATTAGTGACCCTTCAAAATTAGAAAACTCATTAAATAATAGTTTATTATCAGTAAATGATAGTTTTGTAGAAGTTTTGCCTATACCTCAACCACAAAATGAACAAATTTCTATGTCAAAAAATGTTTTTTTGTCATCTTCAAATCAAAATGAATGTAGTATTAAAAATGAAAATAAACCATGTCCAGTTTGTTTAGTAATGATAAGTTCCAAATATTTCATTAATCATGTTAAATCTTGTGGAACATCACACAATGTATCACCTGAAGTTCTTATGAAAGCTGTAGATCTTCAAGAACGTCAGACAGCTGAGAGAGAAGCACTAGGATTACCCAAAGTCTTATTGAAAAAAAAAAAAAAAAAAAAAACTGTTAAACAATTAAAAGTATAATATTTATTTATATTTCTTAAAATTATTTTTAAAGGAATTATTCTTACATTTTAGATTGGAACTGATACAAATTTAGATTTAGCTATTGCTATGTCTGCATCCTTGCACGAATCCAAAGAAGCTGAGATTATAAGAGAATCTGAAACTCTTTTAGAAGCGGGATTAGAAAAAGAAGCTATAGAAAAAAGGAAAACATTGGAATGTTTTGGTTTTGTGTCTAATCAGTCGGTTAAATCTAAATCTAAAGGTTGTATGTTTCACAATTGTGTATATTTTTTTAAAAAATAAATAATTTTTGTAAAATTCAGTGTCATCCAATTTGTGGGTTGAACGATTTTTTAAAAATAGTATAATATAATTATAAATATTGTCTGCCTAGCATATTGAACATTTTTTTTTAAGATAAAAATACAAAGGTTATGAAAATCGGAGTGAATATTTTTCTATAAATTATAGCTCTCAATTCAAAAATCTGTCTCATTAGTTAATAATATTTTTAAAAATAACAATTAATTTTGTGTAGTCCCAAGGGTTAGGTTTTAGCTATTTGCTCTTTCATTCACATTTACTCCCAGGTATTTAAAGTTTTGAACTTTCAAAAATCATGTCTCCTACTACATTTGAATTTCGGTGAATTTGCTGCTTCTATGATACTACAATTAAGTATTTAGTTTTGTCTTTATTAATATTTAATCTTATATTTTTCATCTGTTTATTTTTGTATTTCTTACTTGATCTTCTCTTTTGTCCATTATTATTATATCACCTATGTAGGTTGCCAATACAATATTTTTTCTTTTAATTGCTAAACCTATGTTGTAGTCTTTTTATATTTCCCTTACTACTAGTTCAAGAACAATTAAAAATAGTATGGGGAATAATGCATCCAGTTTCTACTGTCTAAAGTCTTACTGAAGTCAATACTTAGTTAAATTTTGTTCTACATTTTGAATTTTGTATACACATTCACTAATTTGCACATATTTTACCAGTATCTCGAGTTCATTCATTACCTACTAAAAGCTAATTTTCTTAATAGTTGTAAGCTAGTTTGAAATCCACAAATAGTAAATATTCATCATTATCAAACCAATAATAAAATATAAAACATTGGTTTATTTAAATATAATAACAATCGAAGCTTAGTAGGCAAATAAAAATACCCATTTTGTTTCAGCAATAATTAATATTTTTATTTATTTTAAAATCAATGTTCATAGTTTTGAAAGCCAATTCTATATTATTCAAGCAAACTAAAGAGGACCGAGAAAAAAGAATTACTGAAAAAATAGCCATGATTCTTGTTGACTCTTTTAATGATGTTGATATGTCATTGAGAACGCTTACAAATTGTCCTATACAAAATGTAGAATCAAAATATTTAAATGAAATAAGAAATTTTGTAAGTGTTAATTTTATTACTAGTTATTAATAAAAACAATTTGATATTATATTATAGATATTTTTCTAATTTAAACATTAGGAGTTATTGGGTCTAAATTAGAAATAAAAATGAGCTTTATATCTTAAATGAAAAAATTATATTAATTTTTATAAAATCTTGTTTTTAAATTATTCTTTTGAAAACATATTTATAGAATCAATTAAATGGAATAATTTCATTAGTTTTTAAATTCTTATTGCTGTAAATAATCTATAATTTTATAAAAATGTATGCACTTAAAAATTTGATCCTTCAAGAATCAAATGAAAGCTTTTAATTCAATATATTGAAGACATGGGAGCGAAAACGAAGTCTGCCTATTTGTTCTGTTCTATTTTTGATTATTAAATCTTTTTTCTTTCACCTTCATCCCAAGTATTTGGGGTTGGCTAGTCCTAAACTTCTACTTGGCCCACATTGTCACTTTTTATTCTCATTTCAATTGCATCCAACCAATCCTTTTTCGATCTTCCCCTCTTTCCTTCTACATCTATTGTGATTACAGTTCTTACTGCTTTTGATTCCTCTGTCATGACATGCCTGAATTATCTCTGTCTATTTTCTCTGATTTTATCTATTATTTAACCCACACCTAAACTACCTCAAATGTACCCATTCCTTATTCTAATTTCTCAAATTAAATGATATTCTAATCTTTGTAAAAACTAAAAACTTATCTAATTCCTATCCCTATTTATTTTTCATACGATAAGAAGATATGTCCATGTCTTGTTAGTTTTCTAAATACTGGTTACACTGTAAACTCGTGGGATTATTACACTACATTAGTGATAACGATGGTCCAGGGAGATTATACATACAGTAGAGGCTTAAAATGTTTTTGTAGTGGTACAATTGATAACTTTCAGTTACTGATTTTTAATATATTCTGAATATTTTCGTTGTACATTAAATGATTAATTACTAATTATTTTGACAAAAATTTGACATAATTTAATCCTTAATATTTTAAACATTTAAATTATTTGATTGAGTATAATAACGGTTTTGTTGTTAACAATAGAAAATGGTTTATAAAATATTATTTTTCAATATTTATCAAAATTAGTATAAGTAGGAAAAACTGAGTTATTCTATTTAAAGTTTTAGATCCTGGAAAAATATAATTTTTCATCTTGTGATTTAGATATTAATCTCAGTGCAATTTTGGTTTTTACCATTTATCAATCAATTTAATTACCTAATTAATCAGAAAATAGAAATATCTGAAATTATTAGTCTCTATACGACAACCCTATGCACTCTCCATTGTACTGAATCTGTGATATACCCCATATTTCTTTTTAATACTTTTTTTTTTTCTAAATGTAATTCTCTGCTCTGCTCTAATAAGTTACTAAAATATCCTTTTAACTGCCTAATTGATTCTTGTCTCACAATTAACTCTCAGCATTTTATCAACTAGTCCCTTCTTTAAATCAGACTGATTTTTTTGATTTAATGAACTATAATTTGTTTTTCTTTTGTTATTTTACCAAATTATAATCATTGATATATACACAATTTTTAAAAAAAGGGTATTCAATCAAAAGTTCTATGAAGAATTTTTTGATACACTTTTTCCCATACTCATAGAGCGCCAAGAAAAGTATCCAAAAGAATTGACTTTATTTAAAAATTACTTTATTAAACTTAGTTGTGCATTTGTCATAAGTTTATTTATTATAAATGATTCAGCCTTTACATAAAATGAGAGTATTTAGAAATGCTTGATTTGATAGCACAGTTTTTATTTTGGATATTATTAATAGAATTTAGGTACCCTGAAATTAAAAATAAACACTATTATATTTTTTGTAGAATTTTAACTGTTCTTTTTTTGTCTCCCGAACATTTAAAAAAATAATGTATATTTTTATTTTACCCTACGTATTCAATTTCCAACAGATATTATTTGCATGTAATGAATTAAATATTTTGTGCTTTTATCTTCATTTAATTTGAATTTGTGCAGATTTTACACATTTTGTTTTATATTTTGCAGCAATTGTATATATTTATACAGTGTTAAATTAGTTAATTAATTTTTATTTCTTAAGAATCAGTTTCTTATATTAGTATTTATAGTTTCATGTTTTTAGATCATATTTATTTGTATATTAAGATGATTGTATGCATTTAAAAAAAATTATAGGATAATAAGCTCTGGAAAAAATCATCACTTGAAGAAGAAAATAATGAATCTAAATTTTATGTTGAAAAATTATCTAAGTTCATAATACCATGCGAAAGTAGCAATTTTACTGATTCTACAAATATTTTAGAACTATCTAAAAAAAAAAATATTTCAAGACAAGTAATTATTCATTTTAAATATTTTATTAATTGTGTGTTGTATTATTTAAAGTTAACCTTATTTAAAAATAATAAATTATAGGCACCCTTATATTTAATATTATATATATCGTACACAAAATTTTATTTGAGCACCCATTATATTTGAATTTATCTGATATAGTGCTGAAAATTGTAAAGGTTTAACCTAGATTAACTTATATTAATATATATCTACTATATAATGATGTTTATTAAAATATTTTTAGTTTTATGTAAATGATAATAATATTCTTAACATGTTTTACCTAAAGTGTTTGATCCAACTGCCTTTCTATAATGCTTTGTTGATTTACTATAGCAACCAATTATAAATTCGTTATAATCCATCATATATGATGGGCAAATAATTATTTTGAAATATAATTATACTTATATTGTATTTCTTTTTTGTACATTAATTATATGATAAATAAGTATTAGTTTTGTGGAATAATCTGTCAATTCAAATAATACATTTAACATAAAATAATTGTAAATTAATAAAATGTAGAATTTGTATTTAATTACCCTTTAGTCACTGCTACATAAGATTAACAATTTTGTAGGTTAAGTTTAATAGGACACCATATAGAGAAATAATCCATGAGGCATTAGATAACAATAAAACATGTATTTTAATATATTTAGACTTGACAAAACACTGATACAAGTTGATCACCGTAAAGGAATATTGGAGACAAAATGTTGCCCTTAAATTTGATTAAGTCTTTCTATCACTTGGGACACAGTTTAAGATGCCGAGCGTAACGAGGGAGCTATTGATTTTATACTAAGATGTTTATTTTCTTGTAAATTTACTCCGATTTTTACGTGCAGCAACTTTTTTGAAAGCTCAAATTGTCTAGATTATACTTTAAAAAGGTCATTTTTTGATTTTCGTCATTATTTTTTAAAATAAAAGTACTTAAGTGGGAAAAAATGTAGGAAAACGCAGAATTATTGAATTTTACATGACAAATTTTATTGGTATATGGTTTCATCCAATCTAACACACCATACTCATTGCTATTCTTATTATTTAATTGGTGTGATAATTTTTGCTACATTTATATAAAGTCTACATAATTAATGCCTTACTTAATTTACATATATGATAATTAGAACAAAAGTAATAGATGCTGAAGGGAATATGTATCAATGTATACATCCTTTGTGGAATTTCCCAAGGTACTGCATTATTGCCTCTACTTTTACGCATGTGAATAAACAATATTAACTCTCTTACCCTTAATCAGGAACTAGTTAGTTTTTCAACGATAATATTGTACTAGGAACTTGAGAAGAAGTTTTTTAGAAGAAAATGCAATCCAATATTAAATCTATTTACCTTTAGCTATCTATTGTAAACCAATTTATTCAACCCAGTTTTTCTTTCTGGTAAATACAATAATTATTATGTTTATACCAATATATATAAATTATACAAATTATTATTTTGTAAATTGTATTATAAAATTAAGAATATTATTATAATTGTTATTTACATACATTTTAAGTTTCCTCATTAAATTATGATTATCTTCTTCATAATTATTTTAGATTCTGAGCGAAGTAAGGAATGTATTGGATTTACTATGATAGTTTTTTGTGAATAAAATGGTCTAAACAAAAATGCTAGACAATTTAACAGAAAATTCATTATAAAAGTCTTAATTTGTGATAAAAAAAAAAAAAAATTGAGTTTACTGTAGTATTTTTTTAAATAATTCCGGCCTAATTTGAAAATTATAAATATTACAAAACAACACTATTAACCAAACTTCTCTCAGAATCGCTTCTCGTTAGCAATGGTTAATTGTTGTGTACAGATTAAATTTCCCTTCTACCTTACCAACTTCTCACCTATAACAGTAGCCCACCCATTGTGGGAAGTATGTCTATCTTTTTTATCACATACCTATCGTTAAATCTTACTGCATGTTTTTGATTTATAAGTTTTGTACTTGTTGAACTGTTGATTTTGCAAAGTTTATAATCTATTTGATAATACTAATGACTAATTTAATATTTTTACAGGAACCAAATACATCACATGCAATTGTAAATAATAAAAATTTTGTTAATGATTTTATTACATCTCCGAACATAATTAAACATAAAACAATGTCTGAATATTTATCTAAATGGAAGTCAATGGTTGGTAATCAGTTTATGAGTGATATAGTCTTCATTACTAAGGATGAACATGAAATTCATGCTCATATTTTAGTTCTCTATGTACAATGCCCTGATATTTTAAATGACATTGTCGTTGAAGAATCAGATTCATCTAAATCAAAGAAAATAGTAATGTGGTTGGATTATTCATATAAATCATGTTCAGCATTCTTGGAATATATTTATTCTGGCGAAGAATCATTTGTTAGTCTAGAGTGTCGAGAAGATTATTTTCATTTGGGAAGAAGGTATAATGTACCTATGGCTTCAGATAATGACAATTATGAATTATGTTCTAAAGTGAAAAATAATGTATCAAAACGTCTAAGTACAGAATTAAATAATAGTCCAACTCTTGTCAAAAGATTTAAAGCTTCCAGTCCAGATATGTTTATGTCAAATGTTTCAAGTTATGATTTTTTAGAAACAACTGTGAATGATGAATCATTAAGTTCAATAGAAAAAACTAAAGAGTGGTTAAACGGTTTTAATGGAAGTCAACAATATCCCAGTTCATTATTCACAGAAAATCCAACTACAAATGTTTCACTAAATACTGTTTTTTTGGATACGAGTTCAAATCATTCTTTCCATAGTGCTTCAACTGTGAGTATAACAACTTACATTCAGAATACATCAGATCATATTGATAATAATATAGAATTTGAAGCGCATATTAATTCATCACCCAATATTATTAAACCTCTACCGAAATTATCAACAGATGAATCGAGTATAAAAGCTAAAGAAAGTAGAAGTGTTCCTTGTCCAGTAATTACTAGGGCAGGAATGCCACAATTAGCTAATTCATGTAAAACACCAGAATTAATTATAATTACTAGTGATAGTGAAAGTGAATCAATAAGCATGAGTTTATCTAATAACATCAATGAACATCATGATAATTTCTTATCTTATAAAACATTTGAAAAACAGAATTTACCTACAAATTCAAAGAATATAAATACTATTGAACTAAATGATAATAGTAGTGACTCAATTTTTTCAGCCATTACAAATATATTAAATGACTGCAATTACGATAGAAAATTGCATCATTCTTTGTTTGAAAACTCTTTTACATCAGCTCCAAGACATAGATCATTAATAAATATTGATGATGAAGGTAGTGTATTTTCTGCTGTTACAAATGTGATATCTTCAAGTAATAATATTAAAATTATAGATTTAGTTGAAGACAGTAATACAAGTTCTATTTCTGCAACGCATACATCTAATTTATTACCAAATGATAATTTAATGACTGCATTTTCAAAAACACTTTCAAATAATTCTCAACAGAGTAGTCAAAATTGGACAACGTCATTTTCAAATTTCTTAAAAACAAAAATTCAAAATCAAATACCTGAATTATCTTCATCTGATTTTGGAAATAGAGGAACTAATATAAAGACACATAACAGTTCTGAATTGGATTCAAATAATTTTGCAAGCAATAATATTTTAACTCAATGTGAAAATAATAATTTAAAATCATTTTCTTTATCGCCAAAACATAACAATAAATTGTCATCATTTTTAAATACTACAAGCAGTATCATTAATCATGATTTATCTACAAACAATAGTCTATATAGTAGTGAAATATTTTCAATTGAAAAAAATGATTTGAAAAAATCTAATATAGATTCAAAAAAATTGAAAAATAACATAACAAGTATAAGTTTAACATTACCATGTAATAATTCTGATAATTCACTTGTAAACACAAATAACTTAATTGATTTAACTAATTCATCATTTGAATATATTGATAATCGTACCACAGTTAATACCGCTAGGACTGAAGTAATACATAGTCAACTACCCAAAAATATTAATACAAATGGGTGTATTCAAGATAAAATAGATGATGATCAAATAATATGGTTGGATGATGATTGGGCATTAAATGATAATAATATTTCAATAGAAAATAACTCTGTATTGGATAAAACTAAAGTACAAACACTAAATTATAATAATACATATGACAATGCCATTAATTTGGATATAGAAATGCCAATTATTCCAATTGATTATGAGCATAATCCAATAAATTTTAAAAAAAAAAATGCAACAACACCAAATAAATATGGTTGTAGAATTAACACACCAAGAAGTTTACGTAGAGTTCAATCCGAATCTATTATTGGATCTAAAGAACAAGTGACTCCTTTGCCTGATTACAGTATTATGAAAACACCAGATTTAAGAGTAAATATAAATAGCACAATATATTAATTTATTTCAATTAGATAGTAGAGTCGCAATAACTTGAAAAACTTGACAACTCTATTTTTTTTTCCTTAAAAATTCTCATAACCCAATGTTTTATAAGTTTTGTTAACTCGAGTATAAAATTGTGATAAATGGTTTTATTGAAGTATATTATATATTATACAAATATATTTTGTACATTTTCCCATTTTTTATCAATTATATTGCATTTAAAATATTAAAAATATTTCCAATATCACTAAACATAAAACATATTAATGTTTTAAGTTTAATTCTTATAGTGAGTTCTTAGCTTTAAGTGTGTATTTGCGACCAATTTAGAATTTTAAAAATATCATAAAATAATTGGTTATAATACAACAAAGGCTGATCCTAAATACACAAAAACTATTATAATATTGCAGGGTAAGTGTTTTTTTCAAATATATTTATTTTATACTAGTTGTTAAAGACCGTCCTTTTGAAATTTCATAATGCCTTCTCTGTGTGTGTGAGGTAAATAGTTTATTTATAGCTTGTCAGTCAGAGATAATAACAGATATTTTAAACCATTATTTTTAATCAACTTAAAAATAGGACACTTCTTAATAGTGGATCTCCTTCCCAATATTGGACACTTATAAATTCCCCAGTAAAAATTATCCTCTTACAGGTTGTTAGATTCATCACACTAAGTTTTGGAGGTCTATTTAAATTTTTTTTTTATATAAACTTTAATACTATTTAGGGGGTTGGACTTTGAAAAATCCTATTCTAGTTGGTTGCTAATATTATGCAAGAAAAAATTTTAAGTTATCCCTATGTATACTACCTATGTATACTACCTTATCAATATTTATTTTATTGTTATATTTTCGAGTATTAACCTCATAAACCTATTTTTGTTTTTTGTAATAATTAGAAATGTTAAATTTGTAAAACTTTACTCGACACTTAATTTTAAATTGACATAATAATGTTATAACACTGCTATTTTTCATACTTTTTAAATTGATAAGATTTTTCTAAAATCTTAACACCTTAAATATGGTCTATACTATAGTACAAAACATACTAAATTAGAAACTATTAGTACTATATATTTTAATGTTTTATAAATTTAAAAAATTCACTTAAACTGCAATTGTTAATAGTTTAATTTGTGTTCAAATATTTTTGAAAGAGAATCTTTATAATAGTCCATGCCACAGTTATTTATACCTTGTATATAACCATCCACGCATATTCAGTGAACTATTTTTAAAATAATGTTTTATACTTCACAAATTAAAAATTACTATGTATCTTAATTTGTGCTATACTTTAAATATTTAAATTTAACATTGTGATTTTAGAAAGAATTTGATCGTTATGGTCTTAAAAATCTTGGAAGACGTAAAGGCAAATTAATATTGGAGCATATATATGATATACTTCATCCATCAAACTCATCTCAGGGAGATAATTCTAATACTAATACAGAGCCTGAACAGTATTCCGATTTATCAGACGAGTAATTATTTTTAATTTCAACAATAATAATTTATGTTATACATAATATTGATTTTTTCAACCAAATAATATTTTTTATTGCAATTAAGGTCACAACATGGAATACCTGATTATGAAGATGGAAGTTGTGATGAATTAGAAACCTTTAGTCAAACAGGTTTATCAAATAAAAGTAAGCTTTATTATTAGTTCTAAATAATTATAATTTTAAAATTCCATTTCATAAAACTTTTTTTTAATTTATATTATATTGTACAGTAGTAATTGTTTAGAACAAACTTTGGTTGGAACAAAAAAAATATAAAGACCTCACATAAATACCAGATTTTTGTTGTGAATAGTTAGATTATTTTTTTTTATGTATGTTTGGTATACAATTTTTAATAAAAGAAAATTAAGTTTGTAATTCAATTAAGTAAAACATCAAATATAATTAATTATTCACCAAAACAACAGTTAGTTTTTTTGTCAATATTTCAAGTTAAATTTTTATAGTATTAAAGTATATTATTGTCATCATACCAAAAATACTATTGCGCAAATGGGACATAAATAGTAAAGGAACCACTTAACACGTCATTCTTGATCCAAATTAAAATTTAGGTTGAAAAAAAAATTGAAATTCAGTATTTACTATATTTAAACAAGTTAATTATAAATATATGTTTCTAATTTTAGCCACCGTAGAGATGGGTTTTAAACAGATGCTACAATTCAATCGAGATCTTCATGAGCAAATACTATGTTATAAACCTATTTGGATTGAAGAGTTAAAAGAAGATTTAAAACAATATAATGTTAGCATAAGTATGCAAAAACTTATGAACTTTTTGGATGATAAGGTAATGTATAAAATCTTTTATCTAATTTATATAATATACTATAAACTAATAGCTATGTACATTAGCACTGCACAAAAGAATCACAGCCACTATATTTAATATATTCGCTATTATAATTGAATAATATTTGGTATCTCGTGGATATTATTGAATCTATTTAGGAGGACGTTATACCCGCATGTGCTTTATCAGTTCAACTAACGGGCAATATAGCAAAATCTACTTTACACAGGCTGAATAGAATTAGCTTAATTTGGTTTTAGAGCAAAAGCACCTATTATAAAATTCAGAGTACAATAAAAACAATGAATTAGTTTTTATTTCTATATTATGTATTGAACACTTTATTAGGAATAATAATTAGAATAATGAAAATAAATATATCATCTTGCCCTCCGGAATATTGCCCTCTTTTAATTTTATAATAGGTGATTTTACTCTGAAAGCAAAATGAAATGAGTTTTACATAGTCTGCGGAAGGTAGATTTTACTATATTACCCATGTTAGTTGGACTGAGACATCTTATGTGGATATGATTTTCTCTTAACAGGGAAGAAGTACGTTTTTTTATGGTTTTATGTATGAATATATGATCAGTTCTGTGATAGTGTAAGTGATTTATAGTAATTAAAACAGTTTTAATTTACAAAAAATCTATTTCGTTTACGATTATATAAATTTAATTAATATTGTGTATATTTATTACAATGTATTATTAAATATGTCTCAAATAAACATTTTTACTCAATATAAATAAACAGATTTTAATGTATATTTTCAGTGTGTAACATTTCGTTCAAGATCATTAAATAATCAAAGGCAAAAAACACTATTAAAAGGAACTAGAAGAAAAAAACTATTTTAATAATTTAATGAATATGTATTTTACAATACCAATATTCAATTAAATTATATTATTTTTATATACTATTATTTGATTTTCTAGATACAATTTTTATTATGTATATAAAATAATAATTTATATTTATATATATATATTTTAATATTTGTATGGTTTTTTTTTTTAGATAAAATTAATTGGTCATTTCTTGTAATTGTGATTTCAAAAATAATACATTATATTATCAAACATCAATTTGGGGTGATTTACATTTTTCAATATTTAGGTCATAAGTTAATGTAATTAGGTACACTCATTATCTCGTAAAGTATTAACTTTTTTCGAGATTTGTTTTCTAGAATTACTACATGAAAAAATCAGAGTAAGTCCTCTGGTAAAAAAGTTGTCCACAGAAAAAAAAATAAACATCTTTATAAAACTATAAGCTTCTTCACACCACTCAAAATCTAAAATAATAATAATAGTTAATAAAAGTTAGATAACCAAGTCCAAAATACTTTTATTTTAAGCAGCGTTTTGCAGGTGGTTTAATCAACAATATTTTGTATATTAATGTTTTAATTTCAGTGAATATTTAAAAGTGATAAGCCAGTTAACCTCTGTTAATTTTTTTTTTTCACTACAAAGTATGACTTTTAATGAACCTTTTGTTAAATTCTCAAGTATTTCTGTTTGGTTTAAACATTTTATCCACAGAGTACCTACCGAATAAAATGTACGTACAAAACTCGCAAAATAAAATGGTCTATAAATAGCTCAAACATTTTACCACATCAAGAAAAGGTAAATATAAGTTTTCTGTCCAAATTTCTAGTCTCTATGAATATTTTTAACTGAATTACAATAAAAAACAGAATTTAAATAATAAAAGCAATATTTAAGTAAATTCTCCTGTTTTTCTGATATTATGAAAATTGCTTGGAAAATCAAAAAATGACTTTCCTAAATTACCATCTAATCAATATGACAATATTTTCTTTCAAAATAGATGATACACTTACATATTGAAGCAAGATTTCTTGGATTTTCGTGGCAATAAAAGAAAAATCCTCATTTTATTTTGTCGTTTCTAGAGGTACGGCGTGGAAGTTTCTATCGTGAGTCTGTGACCCTGATTATAAGAAATGTTATTGTTTATGATAATACTATTAAAGATAGCAGTAAGCACGATTCATTTTTATATCATTTTATTAATTTCAATTATTATTCTTTTTGTGTTGGTGAGAGTGGGTCAAATTGATTGATTTGATTTTAAATACTTGTTACAAAATTTAGAGGCAGAGGCGTATTTATGGGAGGGGGCTGAAGAGACTGCAGCCCCCCACCCCCGAAATTTCTAGAAATATTTTGTACGTCTGCTTGTGTCCTATCAGATGTAATTCATAAAAGTTCAATGTAATATTGTATAAAAAATTTTAGTTACAGGATTTTCCTGTAATGTACTAATATGTCCAACGATTTTGATCATAACAATAATAACTTTCAGCCCGGTACCATTGATTTATAATTTATATTCAGACATATGTGGATAAAATAGATCCACTTACACACAACAATAAAAATTATTTTATGAGATTCATTGATGATTACATTCATTTTGTAAAATTGTATTTATTGCAACAAAAAATTGAAGTTGTTGATTTTCTTGAAGAATTCATAAATGAATCTGAAACTCACTTCAACATTAAAACATCAAAATTAAGATGCAATAATGGAGGTAAGTATAGTAGAAATTCTTTTAAATTATGGTGCAAAAATAAAGATATTGTTCTAAATTATATTATTCCACACACACCTCGACATAATGGCACATCTTAGAGAATGAATAGGACTCTTATTAATAAAGTAGCACTATTGTTTGATTCCTACCTGAAAAATTATTTGTGGGGTGAAACTGTACATTGCAGAATATTTTGTGAACAGAAGTCCTACGAATACAAAAGACAAGTCACTAACAGAATTATGGTATAGACACAAACCAGACCTCTCAAAGCTGCAAATTTTGGTATTAGAGTATATACCAGAATTCTGGGTAAACAAAAAATCTTGACCCAATAAATTAAAGAGGAATTTTTGTTGGATACTCAGATAATGGGTATCGCATAGTGGATCCTAATACTCAAGAAAAATACGTGTCAAAAGATGTAGTCTTTCTGGATGTGATAAAAAATGAAAAAAATTTAAGGACTTTCATATCAGTGGAAAATAATAAAGAAGACGAAAATCGAAAGACAAATAATGAACCTCCAGACAGACTTTGAAGATACTGTGAGTGAAATTGATAAAGAATCTGAAACTGAAAATCAAAAAGGTGAAGAAGCATGTGAAGAAGTTTATCAAGAAAATGTCACGCAACGACCAAGAAGATAAAGAAAGCTGCTGCAAAGACTTTAAGGTTGTATTATTTATGATGATTATGAATGTATCATAGTATATACGAAATACATGAAAAGTTTTAAAAAAAAAAGAATGTCATAGAGCTATAGAAGAAGAAATCTTGCAATAATATGAAAAATAATACATGGGAACTTGTTGACGAAAAATGTGCAAAAGAAAAAAAAAACTGTTACAGGAAAATGGATTTTTAAGATAAAAGATTATAGAAAATACAAGGCAAGATTGGAAGCCAGAGGCTGTCAGCAAAATTCTGAAAATATGGATTTCAAGGATATTTTCAGTTACGTAGTTCAGACAGGTAATCTAAGGTAATGTAGGTACTCCTTTTTACTTCGGTTGCTTAAAGACAAATAAAAATTATGACTATTGATGTAAAGACTGCTTTTTTCTGAATGGGAACCCGGAAAAGAAATTTTAATGAAGATCCCAGAAAGATACAATGCTCCAGAAAAAATATGTTTACTCATAAAGGCTCTCTACGGATTAAAACAGGCACCTTTGCAATGCAACAAACGTCTTACTGATTTTTTGAAAGATAAAAATATCAAACAACTAAACTCAGATCAATGTGTTTTCAAAAGGAAGAACAAAGATAAGCAAATGTTTTTAGCTATTCATGTTGATCATGGCATTCTATTTGGTGAAGATAAACATGAAATGAATATGCTGTCTGAAGGACTTAAAAAATTGTGTGACATAATTATACACAAAAACCCAACTCTCAAGTGTAACAAACAAGTTTTAAAGAAATATCAAATGGATTTGTCAAAACCAATATCAACTCTAATTATTCCAATTGAGAAGAATATTCAGGAAAGTAAAAATTATCCTGATAGTGATTTCTCATACCGAGAAATCATAGGAAGCATGTTCTATTTATCATGCAAAATCAGACCAGACCTGACTTTTGCCGTCAATTATAAGAACAGGCCATTGAAAAAGCCATTAAGATAAGACATAAACAACATGAAAAGGACATTGAGATACTTAAGTGGGCATCAGGAGGATAGAATTTTATACTCATCAAATAAAGAAGACTGCAATTGGATAGCTTATTGTGATTTCGACTTTGTAGATCTAAAAAAATCAAAGAGTACAAGTGGATACGTAATCCTTTGTTGAAGTGGACCAATGAGTTGGTGCTCTAAAAGACAGACTGGAGTAGTACAATACACAACAGAGGCGGAATATACCGCAGCTGCTCTTTGCTGTCAAGAAATGAAGTAAATTAAAACATTTCTTGAAGAACTGCTTTACAAACAAATCAAAATGGCACTACATGGACAATCAAAGTGCAATTCAAATGATAAAATCAGGACAGATATCCAGACACATTTAGTATATCAACGTCAAATTTCATTTTGTGAGTGATGAACTTAGTCAAGCATGGTACAAGATTGAATATTGTTCTGAAGATCAACTGGCCGATATATTGACTGAGCCACTACATTACCCAATTTGTAAGCAATGCTTTATATCGTTGCTTACAGGTATACATTAAATTACCTATAACAGTGGCTGCACCTGTCCCCTTTATCCTAGGACGTCATTTTAAAATGTTCTTCCACATCTTCTCCTATCTTCTTTACTTCGTGATGGGCTAATTAGTAATACCTGGGCTAAATAACAAAGTATGAGATTTGGAAAGTTAAATGGAAAAAAATTAAGTAAACTGCGACTGCAACTGCAATTGCTTTAGAGGTTTTAAGTGTTTGTGATAATTTAATGTACCTAAATATGTATGAGTTATTAAAAAAAATTGCTGTAATACCAGTAACCATCACTACAGCTGATCGCAGCTTTTCCACATTAAAAAAACTCAAAACGTATCTATGAAATACGACCTCAGAATCTAGGCTAATGAGACTTGCACTTTTATCAATTCATCGAGTCATTGTTATAGGTATACAACGTAAATATATTATTAGACAAATTTGCGAATAGTGACAAAGAAAGAAATTTAAATTTAATATAATTTGTTACATTATCATTAATTATTGATTATATTTATTATGTAGGTATTCTATTTTATTATTAATTTTGTAAAAACAGTTAAGATTATAACAAAAATTAAAATTGTGTAGTAAATTTCTTATTTTTTTTTTTTTTTTGATTGGTTCAATTGGGGAATTTACCTTGGAGAAATTACCCAGCCCCCAAAATTTAAATAGCACCTGTCTAGGGGTGATTTTTTTGAAATATTTATAATATTTATTATATCTAGTTATACATCTATGTTCTGCATTAAACTAAGTATGTAATTATATTTATGTGGATAGTGGTAGTTGTTAGCAGTATATTATATTAGCAAGTATGTGAAATTTTATTTTACTCTTAATTTAAATAATAATGTGCTCAAAATTATATATTGAGGCAAGATAATTAACCTGAAAAATTGCCACTATTTTCTGCTTTACTATAAAATATTTTTATTTGATTTGGTTGTTAATAAGGTAATATTAATTAGGAATATGTTCCTAACTTCATAGTAACTTTAAGTTCCTTATAAATATAGTGTGATAGTTTATAATAATACCTACCTATTTATAATAATGAGTAAAATTGTTAAATTGTTTATAAATTAAAGAAAATATAAGTCAAATTTATGTTAACCAAGTTGAGTTAAGTACCTAATATTAGTTTTTTTAAATATTACACTTGAAGTTTACCTACAGAACATTATTCAACAGAAATTATACGGTAGTGAACTTGCCCCAGCCAAGGGGGCAAGGGTAAAATCTTCTTAGACAATTAAAAACAAAAAAATATTAATTATTACTTTTTTAAACGTAAAACTTTCAGAACATTTGAGCAATTTATAGGCATTTTAATTTTGGGAGTTTTTAACGTAATTTGTATTTGATACCAAGGTACTCTGTAGATAAATTGTTAAAAATACTTGAACATTTTAAATGAGGTTAACTAAAAGTTGTATTTTGTGTTTAAAAAAAAATTAATTCAGAATTTAGCAGAATGACTTCATTTCATATATAAAATGCCTTATGTATGCTACCTTCTCAACTTCTCATCTACAACAGTGGCCGCTCCCATCCCCAGTATCATCTCTTTTTTTTGTTATAATAATGTCACAATCCAAATTTCTAAAGTTATAATTCATAAATATTATTAAAAATATTACCAAATAAAGGATTAATTTATCAACATTTATAACTTTCCCGGTTTCTTTGTAAATATAGGACTCAATTAGTTCTTATAATTTGTATTATAATCATTTTTATTCATGATTACATGATACACTAGAGATCACTATTGGCTATCATGATAACTGACATTTTAATACTTGAGATCTGTATTAAATTATAGAAACGACAAGCAAGCCTTGTTTTCAAACAAGTCGGTTGTTTTTTTAAGTAGGTTATTATACTTTATTAATAGTAAACACAATAAAATTAATTTTAAATTAAAGTAGGTAACTAATATTTCATATTTTATTAATAACAAAATAAATAATAATGCATTTAATAATGTAACATTTTGCTATCAGCCATCTATAGATTCTAATTGAACACTATATGTTTTTAAGAGATTTGTATAGGTAACCTTCTATATTCTCTATCGTTACAGTATCTCCCAGAAAATTGACGAACTTCCCGTATTCTCATCTATAGTATTTGCAATTACTATAATATTATTGAAATTATTTTTTTATAATAGTATTCGTATAAAAATATTATATAATACGGTCAATTCGCAGTATAACTTGTTATATTGAAATCTCAATATAACGAATGAAACGGTCGTTCCTTTAAAAATCTTGTGATGTTTCAAAAAATTAAATGTATTTTGATGCCCTTGATATAAAGAAGTTATAAAAAACCTAAGATAAACGTCTGATAGTGTATAATGACTAAACAAAAAATACATAGCTAATAAAAATAAAAATCTAATAAAAATAAAAATCTAATAAAAATAAATAGTTTGCTACAATACATATTATCGTAAATTATTATATTTAACTCACTACTAACTTTTTTCTAGGTTATTTGAAATTCGTTATATCACAAGTTGACTGTATTATAATTATCGATAGTTTATAATGATTTATCGTTGTATTCTGATATAAATTATAGTCCTCTCTACATCCCACTTAATCAATAGTTTATAATAAAATGTACCCCTTCTTTATTCTTCATGACAGCACTATACTTTACTGCCACTTCCACCCCTCACTATTTACGGCATTCTTCCCTCCTCGCTTATACAAAGAAAACTAAATATAAGCTATTTATTTTTAGACACTCATGGTGACCAAAACGTAGTCCATTCATGGGTGTCTGTACAATCATAACTGTTGATTCTACCTATACGGAACCGTAACAAGAAACGTTTTAATATAAAATGGCTTGGAAAAATATTTCAGAACACAAAACTTCTGGTATGTGTGGATTTGCTTGGCCGAAAGCAGTGTTGTTGGTCGATTATTATGCGATCACGGCTTCTTTTTAAACAGGAATAAATAATAGATTCAAAAACTTTGAAAATATGCGGTAGAATAGAAATAGGCCTATAGTTGCCAATCTTAGTTGGATCACCCGACTTGTGAATAGAAGTCAACGAACAAATTTTCCAGTAATCCGGGAAAATGCCCTCATCAATAAGCATCTAAAAAGTAATAAAATTGGAAACGCCAGAGAAATGTGACAGTCGTTAAGAAGAATAACCGAAATTCCATCGGGCCCTCAGGATATATAATTCTTTAATTTTGGAAGTGTTGTAAAACGTCCTTTGAAGAGAAATGGATGTTATATGGAAGATCAACAGTGACGTTATTTTTAGAGGCCTAGGGAAGTGGATGCTATAAAGGAGGGTAATAAACAGAATACAAATATTTTGAAAATGAATGGGCCGATTGGGTCTTCGAGGTGGAAGGTGGACTGACAAGGAAATGTGAGCTTTTAATTTTCGTAGGTCCCTAACATATTTCCAAAAGAAACGTGGTGTAGAAATCAGACTGTGTTCAGTTTTCTTAATATTTTATTTAATAATAATTCGGATTTTGAAAGACGTTTGCATTTAACTCTTAGCTCAGAAAATATACAGTAATCAGCAGCTGATTGGGACTTTTTGAAAGTAAGATGGGCCCGCTTCTTAATAAGGATAAGAGTTTTTAGGTTATTGGACACCCAAATTGGAAATTTGGGAGCTCCGAGTTACAAAGGTCTTTATAGGAATAAACCTGCTAATAGCATTGAGTATAGTATCATTGAATACTAAAGAAGCATCATTTATAGACTAGTAAGAAAAAATAACAGGCCAGTTAAAGGAGCTCAGAAATTGAGAGATAGAGGCATAATCACCAGCTTTAAACCTAGGCAGACTGCTATCAATTTGAGAAAATATTGAAATATTATATTATTATGTCCACATTAAATCATTAAAACAGGTATTACCTCACATTACTTTACTTATCTCAATCGGCTCTCGGTGGGGTTCTCACCCTGCGACCCTTCTTTTAGTTTACAAATCCATTATTTGTTCAAAACTTGACTACGGGTGTTTCCTCTTTGGTTCTGCATCATTCTCTAATTGGAATAGATTGAATAAAGTCTAAAGCTCTTACTTAAGAGAGATTATAGGTTACATTAGATCATTATCTCTTTCAGCAATTGAGATAGGATTATCATGCCCTCCTTTTAACATCAGGTGTCGTTGGCTTGCAGGCAAATTTCTCCTGGAATCTTTATCTCGCTTCAGTAGTCCCATTTTTTATTTCTTTTATTCTCTGTTCTTAACGTGGCGTTACGTTCCCAAAACTCTACTCGTCCTCTCTTTAAAAAAACTCTATTTCACCTTTTCATGAATATATTCTAACCAATAATATGCATCCAATATATGAGATGGCTTAAGAAACCCTTCAGTACTCCGTACAGGTACATCTGGTTTACCCCGTTCCAGGATTTACTTCTGAGCTTAGGGTTACCTCTCTCGTGGTAATTAATAATCTTTTTTCTGATTTTCTTGAAAATCATTTTGTGGAATTCACTGTGGTTTATACGGACGGTTCCGTTTCTCCCCTTTCGGCTGGTTACTGGGGAGTAACCAGCTTCCATATTTCGTTTACAAGCAACTTATCCTCTTCCTCATCTTCCTTCACTGCTTAGTGTTTAGCTATTATAGAAGCACTCAATTGTATCTTTTTTTTCTCAAATAAAAGTGTTTTAATTGCATCGGGACTCTATGTCTTATTTTCAATCTCTTAATTCCCATTTATCGCCATTAATTCTCCGGATCAAGTTTATTTTTAGCCTTGGCCAATTAAACTTTAATATTCAGTTTCTTTGGATTCCCAGTCATGAGGGGATTCGCGGAAATGAGTACGCCGATTCCTTAGCCAAATATTCCTCTAAATTTAAATCTATTGTACCCAACATTATTAATAATATTTGTTTTTGAAATGTATCGCTGCCCAGATCTTCTATTGTTCAGTTTAACCGTCTACGTATAGGGCATAATGTTTTTCCCTCACATGCCTACAAGTTAAATTTAAACGGTTCTCCTTTTTGCACTCTGCATATGGAGTAAAGCATCTGTGATTTGTCGCATATTCTTTTCGACTGTTCTTCACTCTCCATTAAACGTCAGCACTTACTTCTCTCAACTCATTGAAAGTTTCATTTAATTTCTATTCTATTCTAAATTCCAACTCTGAACAGGTCATTTATATTATGATCTCTTTTATTCAGGAGGCTGGTTTTATCATCTGAAATTGTTTTTATTTTGTTTATGTACTTTAATTTTATATTGTTTGTTTATATTACTAATATCACTTTATTTTTCTGTTTGTTTTTAATATTGGTTTGTTAATATTTTAATGTATTGTAATCGTTGAGCTTTATTAATAATAAAAGCTAATTAAAAAAAATAAAAATAAAACAGGTATATTTTTTAAAATAGATTTTATAAATCTCTATACCTTGTGCCACGAGAGAACGTATACTGCTCGCACAACCAAATGATTGCGCTCCGTTGTTTTGAGCCCACATTTCTCGTGCGGCAGCTGATAAGTGTATATAGCAGCTCGATTAAACAATAGAAGTACGCGTCGCATATCGTATTTACATATAATTGAATACCTATAATTTTATGTCTGTACATCAGACCAAAAACTGTACATTTTTTTTTTTATATTTCCCTCTCAAAATTGCAAATAATTTAATACCTAATATAATTCGGAATTAATAAATTAATATTTAATAAATAGATTTAATAATGAACAAATTTCAAAAATACAAATTATATATTTATTGTCAGTCAGAAAACATTTTTAACTAAAATAGGTACTAAGATATATTACATAAACCATATTAATCATATTTAAATACAATATATATAATACAATCAATACAAAAATAATATAATAACATATTGTATACAAAAATTAAAAAATATTTTTAAAAACTTATTCAGAATCAGAATCTGAATAAAACGGGTGATACGTAATTGTGAAGACGCTTTATCCTTCATGCATTTCTTCCAACATTTCATCAAATATGAAATCTACTTGCCAGAATTTTTTTCTACCTTTTATGACATAAGTATGAAAAAAAAAGAACTGTTTATATTGAGTAATATTTTGATGACATTTTAAATTATCAATAATAATTTATAAATTCGTGGGAAAAAAAACATAAATTTAAAATTTGGCCTTAAACAATTACTTAATTACGGAACCCTAAAATTTCAATTATGCAAATGCAAATTAAGGGTTAGCTAAATGGTGACCAAGTGTCCCGAAGCAACACCTAAGCAATTTTAGGTGACCGGTAACGCATTAACTATATATATGGTTAATGAACTTTTTGCTTAATGGCATTTTGGTCGAAATCATCAATTTTCTCCGTTCCTGTTGGTCTTACTCTTTTTTGTTAAGAGAAGACACGGTACTTTTATTCTTATATTCTATTAATGTAACGCTCACTGTGCGTTGCCCTATAGTCTATACCAGCGATTCTTAAACTGTGGTCCGCGACACTCTAACCGGGGGTCCGCGACACCATAAATGATTTCAGCTGTGTGTGTAATAATGATATTGTTAGAAATGTAAAATTTTATATTATTATACAAGTATTGAACGCGTCTTATCGTAACTTTAGAAAAGTTAATCTTCGAGTATTCTAATCTTAATTACCCATATCGGATTTTTAAATTATATTTAGAATTATCATTTATCTATTAGTTTATATTACGAACGAAATTAACAGCACTCAAACGTCCAGTCGTTTACTCGCCATCGCCGTATACTTATCGATTGTATTTAATTAGTTGTATACCTACGTATTTACCGAATTTTACGTGATATATTTTTAAANCCATTGTTATTTTCCTACAGTGCAAAACAGCACATGTGGCAAAAGTAAAATACTTGGTAAAATGCAGTTGCATGTCCAATTATACATTATGGTTATTAAAAGACTGGTAATGTTATTCTGAGACAATTTTTTTAAAGGAAAGGTGTTGAAATAACACAAAATTAAAACATTAAACAATCAGTCATGAATTTAAATTGTAGTAATGTAATAACTCTCCCTCTTACAAGGGTGAATTGTATTTTCCATATGGGTTAAAAAGACATACATAAAAGCAATAATCAAAAAAATACAACAAAGACAGTAAAAAACTACAGCACATAGTGGAGGTTAATGAATGGAGGTTAATGAAAACTTAAACTGTGGCCTGCGGCCCCTAGGGGTCCACCATTGCATCTGTGACACTATAAATGTTTTCAGCTGTGGACAGCATGTGTGTGTAATAATGATATTGTTAGAGATGTAAAATTTTATATTTTATATTTTATATTATTATACAAGTATTGAATGAAAAAATTAAATTAACAAAATTTCGTAAGTATGATAATAATTATTTATCGATGGGTTTTACTGGTAAGGGTTCTGAAGAAGAACAAAAACCACAATGCGTGTTATGTTTTGATGTATTATCAAATGAGGCACTAAAACCATCAAAACTAAAAAGACATCTAGAAACCAAACATAAAGANCGAAAAAAACTAAATTAAAACAATTTCGTAAGTATGATAATAATTATTTATCGATAAGTTTTACTTGTAGCGGTTCTGAAGAAGAACAAAAACTACAATGCGTGATACGTTTTGAAGTTTTATCAAACGAGGCACTACAACCATCAAAACTAGAAAGACATCTAGAAACCAAACATAAAGAACATGTTACGAAAACAATTGATTTTTTTAAAAATAAAGAATATGAATTAAGGAAAAATATGAAATGTATTAAAAATTCTTCAACAAGTTATAGTAATGAAAATGCCGTTAAAGCTTCATTTCCTGTTTCTTTAATTATTGACGAATCAGGGGAACCTCACACAATAACTGAGGATTTAATATTGCCCGCTGCAAAAGCTATGGTTTCTATAATGATCAGTAAAGAAGCATCAAATAACTTAAATTTAATTTCGCTATCAAATGATACAATAAAAGAACGAAGTGATAGTTTATCAGGAAATATTAAAGAACAGTTGTTGAGAATAACAAACGAATGTGACTATTTTAGTCTCCAATTAGACGAAAGTACTGATATAACTAATAAATCTGTGTTATGTAAGATACAACTACGAAAATACCATTTTCGAAGACATTTTATTTGTAACCTCTGTTATACATACAACAGCAGAAGAAATATTTACCAAAATAAATGAATTTATAATATTAAATGAAATTGAATGGACAAAATGTGTAGGAATTAGTACTGATGGTGCTTGAGCAATGTCAGGAAAAAATTCTGGATTAATTGCACGCATTTGAAATATTATACCATCAGTTACTTGGCATCATTGCCGTATTCATCGTGAAGCTATTGTCTCTAAGAAAATACCAACTAAAAGAAGTTTTAGATGAAGCTGTAAAAATTGTGAACTTTATAAAAGCCAAATCATTAAATTCAAGACTTTTTGAACAACTTTGCAAGGACATGGATAGTGAAAATTATCAACTTCTATTACATTCTGAAATTCGTTGGTTATCTCGGGGTAAAGTACTCTTTCGTTTGTTTGAGTTAAGACATGAGGTTAGATTATTTTTCATCGAACATAAATCATCATTTACGTTAAGTGAACGTTTAAATGATTTTTCTTGGTTGGCTAGTTTAGTGTACCTTTCAGATATATTTGCTCATTTAAATATAATTAACTTGAGTCTTCAAGGGTCCCATGTTACAATTTTTAAAGTTGAAGATAAGATTGAAGCGATGATAAAANGATTCATTTCAAAACCTCAATAGTTTCCTTGAATTGACCGAAGAAGAATTATCCGGAGAAGTTTTCAAATACATCAAACAATATATTGAAGATCTGAAACGAAGCTTCCGCGATTATTTTCCTGTTCCAGACACAAATAGAAACTGGATTAGACACCCTTTTGAAATTGATATAACCCAAATTAGTGGACTGACATCACTGGAAGAAGATAATCTTATAGAAGTTTCTACAAATGGTAGTTTAAAATTACAATTTAATAAAAAAAATTGTAATTCCTAACAAAATTAATACGGTGGTCCACGATTTAAAAATGTCCTTCATCAGGGGTCCGCGTAATAAAAAGTTTAAGAACCGCTGGTCTATACCACTCTAATCTGATATTCAGGTTATCATCTCCTTCATTTTTAATTTTGGACCATCTCCATTAGTTTGTAGAGCTATTTTATCCTTATATAAGTTAACAATCATTAATTTATGTCGAATACAAACAAACTAAAAATCAATGATAATTAATTGAATTTAAAAAAAAAAAAACGTTTTGGAATACAATGAAAAATGAAAGTAATTATTTCAAAAAAAAAATATTTAAAAAAACTCATTTAGTAAAATTATTTTATTTTGGAGATTCTTAAATTAATTAACTAATAGATAATAGAACTATACTATAAGGTTTTTAAAGTAAATATATTATAATTAAAAAATTCTTACTTTTCCGCGAGGATTTCTTTTTATTGGTGAAATATTATACATTTCATCTTCACTGTCGCCTTGATTCATGTTTTATGAGTTAAAAATATTAAATAGCCAAAATAATGAAAATAGTTCAAACTAAAATTATACGTCTACAAAACCGAATGGATGTACCTAGTCAAAAAATTAAAAATATAATTTAACCGCAAATACCGTATTCACGGTGCATAAATCTGCCAATGACAACCGAAATGCTCCGACGGCGTTGATGTGTTTCGTAGTGGGAGTAGGTTGATCATGATTTCTAGTAGCGAGTTATGGTTTACCGCCGTATGCGTTCTCTCGTGGCACAAGGTATAGTATGGTAGCTGTGTCGTTTATTCGAGATAGGCAGGTACTGATAAAAATCGTTCATGAGTTCATGATAAGAACCGTTTTATTAGTCTGGTTATCTATGGTTATTATGTGTAAATGTGTTAGTTGGTTAGTTTGATATATTGGTCAGTGACATAGTTAGTACACTGTTTTGTATAATACACAACAAAGTTTTATTTTCTAATTTTTTCTTATTAGTTATAAGTTGAACATATTCATTACCTATTTCATAGTTATTTTAAGTATTTTAGATACTTAATCTTCATTCAATTGCATAAAGAAATAAAAATATATATATTATTGTTTATAATTTATATTACATTAAAACTATTTTAATTGAATTTTGTTACTGCATACTGTATATTATACCTATATTTTTGGTTTAAAAAATCACTGTATTTATTATTTTATTTAAACAACTACCTAAACATGGAAAAAATGGAAGTACAAACCAATGACAATGTTGATAAGAAGTTTCCTTTTGATCTATGGAGAAAATTTAAAAGCATGTTTACATTTATAATGGATGAAGAAGCAGATTCATTAGATGAGCATGCTAAAATTATGCGTGAGGTTCTAAGTAAAATGGGTGAACAGGAAGGAGTCTTTAGCCCGTTTATTAGTACCAAAAGCAATACATATAGTGTTGATTATTATAAAGGTTTCTTATACTGTATTTAGTAAAAATAATTTTTATAAATTTGTGTATAGGTATCTATTATATAGGAACATTTTTGTAAATTGTATTAAATATTACCTGTATTTAAATTCTGTTATCTACTTATATTTTTTTTTTTAGAATTTACTATTTGGATAATTGGTCAGCTTGTGAAAATTCTAAGTCATAATGGATTTTCTCCATTACATAGTAATTCAATACATAGCCAAACATGTTTATTGGAAGTTCTTTCTTGTCAAAATATTTTTATATATGATTGTGCAATTAATGATTATTCTAAATTTATAACAAGTAATTATTTAAGTGAATTTTGATTTTTATTTTTAATTGATCTAAATTGTAGATTGCTTATTTAGAAATGGCTGAAAATATAGTTAATGATTCATGGCCAATGATTATCACATGGTGTAATCCTGAAAAAAACTTCCGAACACAATTATCTGGAATTGATTTTACTCCTATCAACATTTCTATTAAAGATCAAAACAGTTATGTTTATTTGCTGTGTCAACTTTTTCAGCTATTTTCTAATAATGCATTTTCTCTGAATTATATAAAGAAAAATACTGCTATAAAATTTTGGCAGTGTGTTACATTAATTATCCATAATACAAATGCAATAACTGTCACAGAATCTGGTCTATATCTGATTGTGCATATGTTAGAGTCTGTATCACATAAACAATATTTTGAAGTAAAAGTTATACTTATTACAGTATTACATTTTTACTGGAACAAAAATTATACATAGTATTATTTTTAGATATTGGAGAATATTTATACCATGCTGTTTGATACAATTGAACAAGTGTGTTTGAAATATAATAGTAATGACCAGCTGAATAAAATTCAAATTATTTTGAGTGATATTTTTGACACCATACGTAAAGCTGGACCAATTAATAGTACAACTATTAATATAGCAATAATAAATTTAGTTTCAAAGTTATTACTTTCTGATAATATTAAAGGTATTTATAAAATATTGAAGGTTTTTTTTTTTTTTTAAATTTAACTATTTAATGAAAATATTGCTAATTGGTCATACATTAAAAAGTATTTATAGTTATTACTTATAATTATAGTTAAATGTAAAATAATAAAGGCATCTGTGGATAAGGTTTATTTTCAACTGTTATAATTATTTTCGATCAAATATATATGTATACACTTACATTTCTTGTAAGAAAGTTTTTTATCCAGATACAAAATTGTGTAGGTTGTGCAAAAATACAAATGGTAATATGAGGGGATCAGAAATTCAGAACACCAAATCCCCTCCTGTGTATGCCCCTTTGTGCAACATGCCTACACATGTTACATAGTTATAGTGTAACCACTTACAACTGTCATATTTGTGTAAAATACTAGTGAATAGAATTGTTTTATTTTATATGATAAATAAGCACAAATTTGAAGGATTTTCTAAATCACCAAATAGCATAAGTCTTTTAAAATAAAATATAGAAGCACTTTCAAGTTTAACATTCTTTTAATCATAAGTGTATTGATTTTCAACAGCCTATTTGGAAAGAAATTCATTGCACTTGAAATAAATATATTCTAAATTAAAAAGGTTTGATATTTTTAAAACTGGCTATGTAGAAATTAGGACCAAAACAAAATATTGCCTTCCCTCTTAGATGTATGGGTTAAGAGTGTAAGAATTCAACAAAGAGTCTATAAGTTGTTCTAAGTAGTAAAATAAAAGTCAAGGGAATGCCATTTTTTTTTTTTTTTTTTAACATTTTTTTATTTAAATTATTGATAAAACTATTAAAATATAGAGATTGTAAATTAACTTTTAGTTGCAAATTAATACAATTTTCAGATCTGAGTAAAGATGAATTTTGATAGTCTGATGGTCGAAAATTGAAATGTGCCAGAACATCAAAATTTGTTGGTCATCAGATTGTGGTCAGTCGGCTGTTGTGGAACTTAATATTATGTGACAAATTGCCATGGGGTGGTCGCTACATCAACCTTTCTGAGCTCGTGGTACTAATTTTTGATTTTAAAATTATTTATTCCACTAATCTCATGAAAATAAAAAAACCATATGAATTTTGCCAATAAAATGGCTGATAATTGTATCATGTACCAGGAGTTCTGAAACCATCAGGTTATGATCGAGAGGTTGTTAGCTGCTCAATGACTGTTGGATGTCCATTACACTAACCTTTCTGATTTCTTAGTACACATTTTTAACTTAAAAATTAGTTATACAATTCATCAGAAATACGATGGTTTATAACACTTTTACAGCTGAGCATTGCAACTGAAGATCAGAAACTTTTAGTTGTGACAGGTATTTTTGTTTGGCTCACTAGCAATTTGTATCTTGACCATTCAATTTTCTTCATTTCTTTTCAGTTTCATTTTTAGATACTGAAGCTGACAAATCAAATTTTTTAATTTTTATGATTGTTTATAATGATGCTTTTAAAAATTAAGTTAATTATTGTAAAATTGTTGATATTTATGATTATTTCGATTTTTCATTTATAAAACTTAAAAACTTAAAAACTTAAAAAATTGGTACCATAAGCTCAGAAGGGATGGTGTAGAGGTCTGTTGATGGTTTTGAAGCTACGTTCTAGCATTAGAACACATCAGACGACCTTTGGCTTCTGATATAATACAACATTTCAAATTTTGTCTATACAATTTGAAATTATATTTATTTAAAATTGTATAGACAACATTGTTGCAATCAGAATTTAGACATAATTACCAATTTTCTATTTACAATAGTGCCCACTCATAATTAGTATCTTTTTATTATATAATTATATTCCTTGTTAAACATTAAGTTTTTTATAATTCGGCCATCAAATTACTAGGTGTTGGATAAGCTAAATGCTAGTTATCTGTAACCCCTTCCCTAATTATGGGTCCACTAGAAATAAAATACTTTTAACTGAAATGTAAAGTATAATTTGATTTTTAATGTAACTTAATTTTTATATTTTAGTAACAAACCAATTTTCTGAGGCAATGTGTAACTTGATTAAATCATTGTTTGTTGATGAAATTGTTGATCCTAATTTAATAATGGAAAAATTACCAATAGATCGAATTATATATTTTTTAACTTCACCGGTAAGTACTGACTTGGTGAAATATTAAAAAAATGTATTTATTTTAAACTTGAATGCATTTATTGTTTTTTTTTTTTATTCAGGGAAGAAATATGTTGTTTGAGTTATTTATTTTACAAGAATTAAAGGCGCATAAAGAAACTATTAATGAAGAAAAAATTGATGAAAATATGTTTTTTGATAATGAAAAGTTAGTTTCAAATTGTACATAACATATCTATCAATTATGTTATATTTTTTATCTACTCAACTTTAATATTATATTTTTTAATTTTAGAAATAATTATGTCTATATGACAATATCAAGTTCAATTTGGTCTCGAATTTGGGAAAAATTTAATCAAGCTGTAGAATCTCCTAATGAAAATCTTACTATTGAAGAATTTCAAATCATTAATTGTACTGCTAGTCTTGCTTATCATTTAGATACAAATTTAATAAATGAGAATTATCAATTTTTACCAAACATGAATATTGATAAATTATTAAATAAAATGTTGACATATGTTTTAAATTATGTCAATTATTCCACAATAGAAACATTATTATCGTCATGTGGTAATCTAGTTTGTTTACAAGAATCTTCTACCTTTTCAGTCAATAATGCTCAAACATTGCTTGCAATTCTTTCATTGCCATGGATGGGTATTTCTAATGGTTTATTCAAAAGCTTGCCTTTATATAACATTCTCAATATTATAATGAAAAAATATTCTACTATTCTTAGTAAGTCATTTTATATGACTCATTTAGAAAAACAAAATTAATTTAGTTTTTTTTTTGTTTTCAGGTAATAAACAAATAATAAAAAAGTGTCTTACTTATATTAGCCGTATGAAAAATAGTGTTAATTTTGATTGGCGAGAACAAGTTATTATTACATCTCTAAATGATATAAATTTATGTGAAACAGCAATTCAAAATTTACCATTTTTATTTTTAAAAAAAAGCAATCAAGATAATTCTATTTTGTTTAAAACTATTGGACTTTTTGATGAGACCACAAATATTGTATTTGTCAAAAACTTTAGAATCCTCATGTGTACCATGTATGGCCGAACAATTAGCCAAAATAATAAAATTACTCATCAAGAAGAATTATTTTGTGTTGATTGTGATCATAAAGTTACTTCTGACTTCCAAATATGTTCAATAGATAATAATTATAAAGAGAATCTTAATACATTTTGGCAAATGTTACTTCTATTATTTGTGAACAATTCAAACACACTCATAAGATGTGAAATTATTAAAAATATACCAATGATAATAAATCATGTTTATATAGATAGCTCTTTTAGAAATCAAATGTTAATGCTAATCAATGATAAAGATGAAGAAGTGCGTATTCACTGTTCAAAAATTTTAAATTACATAATTTTCGAGAAAGATTCAAGTGAAAATATTCAAATGGTTCAATCATTTTTCCCTCAAATATTAGATATTCTTTGTTCAACTGCAAATATTAGTCTCAAATATGGAAATACTGAACTACAATATACTTGTTTAGAAACTGTTTTTAATATTGGATGGTAAGTTTTAAGTATAGCCTTTATTTTAAAAAACTAATTTTGTATATTCTCAGAGTTACACTGATATAATTATGTGAATTTTTAACTCTTAAAACCTTTAATTCCTTAAAATTCCTTTAATTTAATTAAACCTGAAACTTGTAATTATGAATCCAAATCAAGTATATTAACATAAGATATATATATTTTACTTAATAGTGTGTACTTACATACATATACATTTTTAGTTTATTATTAATTTCAGTGTACCAATAGAATCAACAATACTTCCGTCAATGGAATTTATGTTTCTATTTCTAATACATCCAAACTCTTCATATGGAAACGTTGCAAAATTTTACTTGACTGAAATAGCTGCTGCACATAATACAAAATTTTTAGTGGTATTTGATCGTTATGAAACTGAATTAATGCAATACATAGCTAATAATTTAGTTGCATGCTATCATACTTATTATCCCAATATGGATATAAAGAAAACTTATAATAAACTGGGCTTTACACATAAGGATATGTATGCCATAAAACAATTGATAAAATTCATATTTCCTTGGTGTATTAAAAAGCCAACCACAAGAAAAATAATAATTGAGATTGCATCATTAGCTCAGAAAAATGAAAGTATTTTAATAAAGGAATCATTTAAGGTAAAATATACATTTCTATGATTACCTATGTTTAAAAATATTTATATTTTATGTTGTTATTAGTATTGTTTTTCTCACTTATTACTTTCTGAAAATAAAGAAATTTGTAAACAAGGCTGTCAACTTTTAGAAGAAATAACTAATACTTCCTTGGTACATTTGGTCAGACTTTCTTATACAGTAAGAAAATCAGTTTTTTATACAAACAGGCTTATGTATTTAATTAAATATTATAATTTTTAAAGCCAATTATAGCTGAGATACTTTTACATTTCCATTCAAAGTATGATCAAGCTGTAGAAGCTATTAAGATAATACAAACATATGATGTTTTATTTAATGTACAAAACAATACATCAATTGTTAATTTTGTAAGTATATTTTAATAGAAATCAATTCAAACATTGCAATAAACTATTTTAAAATTAATTCATTCTATCATAAAATTATGTCTTTACTTAGGTAATTGTTATTAATAATAATGAAGGGTTACTAAGTAGAAAATAGTTGATATTTATGTGTGAAGAGTTAAATATTATGAGTATTTAAGTATTATGTTTAACTCATTTAATTTTCCTCTTTTATTTTGTATGTGCCATTTCTGAGTTTTACTCTTAAATAACTGATTTTAAGATCAAAAAATGTCACACCTGTCTTCACCCATTTTCAAATTCACTGTCTCAGTCTAACTAATGAGTAATACATCAAAGTGATGTTGTTTAGAATATATATTGTAGCGTTTAAGTTGAAATTACAGTTTAAACCTAAATATAAAATTTAAAGAAGAGAGTATTTCTAAGGGCTCTATGTACATTTTTCTAAAGAATTGTTTTATAAAGATTTAACGCGCTGTTTAAAAAAAAAAACTAACGCCCATAATCTTATTGTGTGACAATTTTTTTGAAAAAAGTCTTATAGCCTTAGGAAATATTTTTCTTTGTATTTTATTTTAGTATTTCCTTTTTTTTCCCTCCCCCCCCTCTTCCTGAGAGAGATGTTAGTACTATAAATCAATATTTTATTATTTTTGTGACATTGCTATTACTTTATGTAATCATTTCTTAATATTTTATAGTATTACTTATTGTTATTATTTTTGTTCTTTTTGTACAATTTTCCTCAAATGTTTTTTATTTAATATATATATATTAAACACGTATATAAGTTAGATAATTTTAAATATACATTTTATCGTGTTGTTGCTGAAAAAGGATATTTTTCAACTCTGAACACTCATAAGATCCTCTTAAATAAAGTGAGGGTTTTACAAGTATGTGTATACATAGTGTTAGTATCAATGATATGCCATCTGGGGGTTTTAATTTTCACTCCCAACTCTACCAATATTATACTTAAATTTAATAATTTTTTTAAAGTAGTTTGATATTGTATTATTATAGTATTTGGTTATTTATTTTTTTACATAGAATTTTTCTATAGTATAAAATAGGTGGGGGTAATTAAACTATTGAATTCTGTTCTACAACCAATATTACTTTATTGTTGAGAAAAACTTTATTGCTAATATATTAATTTACATCACATACTATGTGTATGTTCCATTTTTAATTAATAGTTGATTATAAATATAAAATATTTGTGTTAAACTGTTAATTATAATAAAGAATATTTATATTTTCAGGCAGATTTTCTTTCCCCGAGGTTTTTAGGTATTCTAATGATTTTAGAATCAAAATTAGTAAAAAATTCACCCAGTTCTATAAAAGAAAATATTCTGTTGTCTTTGGCGGATATATTAAAATTAATGGGTAATCGTTTTGTTACTCCGACAAGATTTAAAATATTGGGAATATTACGCACAGCTATATCATTGAAAAATAGTTCCTTTATATACTTAGGACTAAAAGCCTGGGATTCATTTATTCATTGGTACATTTTATTAATAAATGTAACAATACTTTTAATTATATCTATACTTACTTAATAATAATTTTTAGTGTTCATATGGAAGCATTGGGTCCTATGTTGAGCACAATATTTGCATCTCTCATGCCGCTAATAGATATTTATCCTAATAAAATAGCAAATATGTTTTATTTTATGGTCAAAGAAAATGAACAGCATCTTAAAAATCATATAGCTGAATTGTATTTCCTGAATCCACATTCAGCAAATCCGGTAGTATTCAATATAGTTCAACAATATACTAAAAAAGTATTGTAAGTTTTCATTTTTATTGTATTTTCAAATGTAAGTTATCACTGGTGAATTCATTTAATAACAATTTATGTACTTATATATTTAGCAAACAACCATTGAATAAATTATTGGTATGGTTATTGGACATTGTGGACCATAAGACATTAGAAGTTAAACTGTATGGTTTAAATCGACTACATTCAGAACTTTCAGTTCAACAGTCTGAAGTTACTAAACTAATATTGTCTAGTGATAATGTGAATTCTGTAATAATCAAAGTAAAAAGAAAATTTTGAAAATTTTGAAAAAATGTTTTAAAAATTAATTAACCTATTATTTCTTTGGTTTTATTAGTTGTTAGAGGTTCTAACTGAAAATTTAAGACACCAAGACAAAAGAGTAAGACTTACTAGCAGTGAATGTTTAGGAAAAATTGGAGCATTAGATCCAAGTTATTTACCAAATAATATCATTAAGGAAGGTAAATACTTTACAATAATTAATAATTTAAAATTAGTATAACCAACTTTAAAAATGTTTTTATTCGTTATATATGTTCTATGTATACAAATAATTATGAAATATTTACAATAAAATTAACACAAAAATATTTTTAAAATAAAAAAAATATGAAGACTACATTTTACTTACTATAGGTTAGGTTAGATTTAATTATATGGTATCCTACCTTTCCACATATAACAGTGGCATACCCCATCAGCTATGTTTAATTTATTTTTATATTTTTGAATTTCAACCTCTAAAGTACAGACATTTTTTGTACGATGAATAGACCATTCTTGTAGGTGAGAAGTTGGGAAACCAGAAGAAAAATGTAATGTAAATCTGTGCGCAACGATTAACCATTGATAACGAAAAACAATTTTGAGTAGAGTTTGGTTGCTATAGTGGTATTGGTTATTATAGTGTTGCTTTGTCAACAATATATATGTCATATTATAGTAAAATAATTGCATATGCATTATATATTGTTTTTAATAATATTTGTTTAATATTATACTTATTATCAAAGAATTAAAAAATAAACTTCCTAAAGTACCACTCCAGTCAGATGTCCTTTCAGAAAAAGTGCTATAATTAAAAATTGGAGCAATATTTCCGGTAGAAAAGTTTTTCACAGATTAAAAAAAAAAATTAAATTAAATGAACATTGTAAAACTAATATATTCCTCACTCCTCTCAGAATCTAAAATTACAAAAATTATTTTGTGTTGTTGAATATTGTTTGTGAGAAAATTTAGAGTCCATAAGTAAATTAAGAAGAGGCCACACCCATGCATAAAAACACAAAAAACCTAATTTGAGTTCAATTGTATCATTTTTGTGCTGTCAGTCTTATTTATTAAAGTGAATTAACTCATATCAAAATTTAAGGTAATAATAACATCTGTGCAACTATATTGGATTTTTTCTCAATATTTCAATTTTTAAGCGAGATAAGACATTTTCAAACTATATTTTATTAATTTACTTTTACTGTACTTAAACATTAAAATTTCAAATAAATTGCCATGGTTGTACAGATATTGTTCTTTTCTACAAGTTTGATAATATTTAAATTAATAGCACACAATTTTCCCTATAGAATCAAAATTTGTTATGTTATATTATATATTTGTGAGATAAAAAAGGCATATGCGAGTGTTAGGTTTGGTATACTTTTAGTTAATAATATTATTTAATACATTTCAGGGCGAAAAAAAGAATTTCCTCTTGATATAAAAAGTACTGAATTTGCCATTTCTGCTTTAACTATACTAGGACAAGGTTTACAATCCACTAGAAATTCTCGGTACATGGATTCTTTTGCAGTTGCAATACAAGTATGAATTATTATTTATAAATTAAATAAAATAATTAAACACATTATATGTTTTTACATAGCAAATTCTACAAGTTTATAATGTTAAAAAAGATTCAGTTATTTGGTCATCTATTCCGTGTACGTTACATGAAATTATAGATCCACTTTCTTCTTCGAGGTACACTTTGGAAACAGAACAATATCCTACAACAGTACCACATCCAATATTTGGGTATTTTCTTTATTTTTAAACATAATTATCAAATAAAAATTAAATATTTATAAGTTAGATCTGCAAAAATTAATACATTAAACTCGTGGGCTTATAATTGGGTCAATCGCCTTGTTTTATTAATTAATGATGAAGATGCTAAACGTACTTTTATATACTGCAAGTCAAGTATTCGATCAGATAATGAAGCAATGCTTTTATTTTTACCCTATGTTTTACGTAAGTTTTAATATTTTTTATCACAGTAGATACCGTTTATAATGACACCAGTTGTAGTGACATATCGGATGCAATGACCTTACATTGAAGGTGCTGACAAAACCCCTATATTGTATGTATTAATTTATATTGATTATTATGATGTCTGTATAATGACATATGGTTGTTATGATGGTTAGTTTTAGATATATATCAGGAAAATCTGTTATCTATAGGGATTGTTTTATACTTTTAACAAAGGTAATACAATGTAAATTTAATTTAATTTTTTTAAATAATAAAACAACTTTTATTTTTTTTTTCTGTCTGAATTGAAGTCACAATTTAATGATAAAAATATGACACATTGATTGTAATACAATACTATGTTCATATAAATTCATATGCATAATCAAGTTTTAGATTCTGAGTCGAGCAAAGAATCTTATGGTTTTACAATGATATGTTTTTTCTGCGCCCAACTTTTCTACCAAAAATCTTGCTCCAGTTTTTTAAATGTAGCACCTTTAAAACAGATATGTTAAGGAGGTTAGAGATTTTTTTTATTTTCTCAAGAATAACAGGAAAATGTATGAAATGTATTAGGTTTTGTTTTGCAACAATATACAATGATAGTACTTTTTGTAAAAGAAAAAAAGTTATGTATTTTAGGAATGTCATTTGATTTTTCCTGGAGTTTTCTCAATAAATCGGAAAATAAGTATAATATTGAATAAATATTATTAAAGAAAATATATAATGCATATTTAATTAATTTTATCATAATATGACATATGTATATAATATATTGTTGATAAATCAACACTATTAACTTAACTCTACTCAGAATTTTCGTTAGCAATGGTTTTCTGTTGCTTACAGATGTACATTAAATTACCCATAGCAGTGGCTACACCCAACCCCATTATCCTAGGACAGCTCTTTAAACTTTATTTTATCACTTTGGTTATAATACGACAATTGGTTTATTATGATTTATTTTAACTAGATAATTGAATATTATTATAAACGGTTTCTACTATATTTACTTTATAATGGTTGCTATTGTATTATTCTTTTTTTCAGTCTTCATCCTACTTAAGGGTTGACCAGTCCTAAACTTCAACTTAAGAGAACGTCACACCAACATCTACTGTCTCCGTCCTACAAATGCGAGACATAGCATATTTGCGTTCAGTAGGACATATTTTATTTCATTAGTTTTAATATTAAAGCAAATTGACTTTTTACCAAAATTAAATGCAAAACAAACAAAACTGCATTAAAAAGTGGTTTTTAGAGTAAAAACACCTATTATGAGATTTATAGAGAAGAATATTTCTGAGGGAACTTCATGTGGGTTTTGTAATATTCTAAATATACAGCCTGATATAAGAGGTTCAAAAACCTTTTTTTTTTTTTCAATTTTTTATATACTGTAATTGTAAATTGTTTAATATCTACTATTTCAAAAAAGTATATGAGATTCCCTTAGAAATATTCTTCTCTATAAATCTCATAATTGGTGTTTTTACTTCTAAAACCACTTTTTAATGCTGTTTCTTTTTTTTGCCTGGACGTATTTTATCGCTGAAAATGACAAATGGTAGCGACCTCTTAATACCAAACTTAAAGGTAGAAAGAACACCCAAGCGTTGATGTTTTTTCGATATTTTAATTTTGAAGCAAGGTATAATAATTTTTTAATTGTGATATTTAACATACTTATGTCTCATTTAAAAATAAAAATATTGAAAAATCATCAACGCTTGAGCACAAATAATCTTCTTACTTTTAATTTTGGTGATGGGTTAATTTGCTTTAATATTAAAACTAACGACACAAAATGTGTCTGAATGCAAATTTGCTTATCTCGCATTTGTAAGACGGAGACAGTAGATGTTAGTGTAGCATCCTATTAATTTGATACCCCACATCGTCCTCACCTACACCTACTGTCCTCATATTGTTAATTACATTTAACTACCATTTTTTTATTCATTGTTTTTCCCTATTTTCTCCTATGTTTATTTATTTTCATAACTTTTTTACTGCTTCTGATTCCTCTCTCATGACATGCCAAACCATCTCCTTATATATTTTCTCTAACTTTATTTGCTATCAAAGCCTAGTCTATATTACCTTTTATGTACTCATTCCATATTCTATCTCAACACTCCATTTATATGCTTAAACATTCTTATCTCACTCTTATTCTCTCTATTCTTAGACCACTCAATATTATTATATTTTAACTATTATAAATGTCTATTTCCTTTTGTTTTTTTTTTTTTAGTTTATGCAATATTGAGTTCTATAGACTGTGATTTAATATTTGAAGAACTCCTTGCTGTTATAACTAATGATATAGATGATACAACTACTAATAATAATACGAATATTCCAAAAACTTGTAGAGACATTATAGCTGGTAGGCAGATTGCCATGGAATATGAAACAACAGATCCTGTAGAACAACAAAATGAAACTACTACTCGAGTAATGTATGTTAAAACAGCATTCACATTATTTGACTTTTTATTTAAATGGGCCCGAGAACAGAAATCGTCCAAAAACTCTACCTGTGAACCAGTTATAAGTAAGATGATAATTATGATGATTATTATTATTTATTTAAATATATATTATTTCTTACTGCACTTATTAAAGGTTTCTTAAAAAGATTTTGTAAACTAAAATTGGCTGAAATATCATTAGAATTTGATGAATATGCTCGAGCGCTTATGTATCTTGAAGATTACCTTCATGATAATAAAGAAAAGCTTCAAGATTATCTACCCACTCTTTCTGTAAGATTTATAATGAATATAATATAAAGAAATATATATTTTTAGAATTTATATTTTAGTTTAAATGTGTTATGAAAAAATGTTATGATTTTCAATTGTCTTTATTTATAATTACAGTTTTATCTATTATTATAAAAAAAAACTATAAAATACTTAAAGAAAGTGATGCAAATCTAGCAAAAGCTATTTGATTTAAACTAGATTGAAATAACACATTTGTATATAGTAGTTATTATTCAACCATTAGAAAACACTGAAAATTTGAACCTAATATTAATAGCTTATATTTTATCAATTATTTAGCAAATTTATTCTAAATTAAATGATGCTGATAGTCTTAAAGGTATTATTGCTGTCCATAATAACGATCCATCGCCTCAAGAAATGATACTTTTACATGAAGTCAATGGTCAATTACAAGTAAAGATATTTTTTTTAACCATTCATTTTTACCTCAGAAAATATTAGTATAAAATTATCTAAAATGATTTAGCTGACAATCAAATTTATATTTCATATACAACCATTGATTTTGTAATAAAATATATTTTAAATCAATGATATAATACCCCTAAAGTTTAATTTTTTTTTTCTTCTTACATACCATATTATGTATTGATTTATATTACATTATACTAAAAATAGTTGTTCATCTGTTCATATATAGGTTGATTCACTCAACTGGAAACACTCATTATCTCAGAAAATACTAACTTTTACTGAAAACTTAAGAATCATATAGTTCTAAAATGTTACATTATCATTTTTTTTGTAACTCTTATTTTTGAGAATGAAATGATTACCTAATTTTGATTTTTAAATGACAACCTATTTTGAAAATGCCTTAAATAGATGGAGTTTTATTTGAAATAAATTTTGGTATTGAAATTTTTGATTTCCGTCAACCCGTTGACGAGATATTCAACTTTTAAGTTTTTGGTTGGAGGAGAGTAGTGATACAATATTAACACACCGCGCGCCATATTGTCACACAAATAATACTCCACTATTCTCCTTCAACCTAAAATTTAAAAATTAAAAATAATTAAAAAACCAAAATTTATTTTATATAATACTCCATCTATTTAAGGCATCTTCAAAATAAGTTGCCATTTGGAGATCAAAAGTAGGCAGTCATTTGATTCCCAAAAATAAGAGGTACAATAAAAATGATAATATAACATTTTAGAACTATTTGATTTTTAAGATTTCGAAAAAAGTTAAAACTTTCCGAGATAATGGGTGTTTCTAGTTGAGTGAATCACCCTGTGTATAAATAAATAGTTATTCAGTAATATATTCAGATTTTCACAATATTTCACCCATACAGACTACAAGGTATAACTACTGAATTTTTTTTGAAAAATGACAGGATGCAGCTGCTTGCTATGAAAAATTAGCACAAATGTATTCAGATCCCAGCTTAGAGTTTCATAAAGGAATGGTTAAATGCTACTTGGGCATTGATCAACCATTTACAGCATTAAAAATTGCTGAAGGCTTGACAAATATCAAGTAATTTATAATTTTTCAACCTTGAAACTCTTTAAAATAATTGTTATAATTTAAAATTTAGATCAGACTATAAAAATCCGTTATTTGGAGAGAAAGCTGAGGCAATGTGGAGTCTTATGATGTTTGACCAGTTAAAAGAGTTCCTAATTGAAAAACCATTAAATGCCAGTGAAAGTTGGGGTGTTTGCATTGGTCAAGCTGTGGTATACTTTTTGCATAAAGATAAAAACAGTGTACGTAAAGAAGTTTCATCTATAACACATTTTGTAACCGATTCTTTGTATACTTCAATGGTTGGATCTGCTGGATACAAAGAGGCATATCCATTTATTGTAAAGTATGTTTTTGTAATTTATATTAATAGGTTTATATAAAAACATACCTTTTTAAAAGTATTTTATTCAAATTATGTTTTGTTGATTATAGGTTGCATATTTTAAATGAAATGGAACAAATATTTAATACTATACTGAAAATTGTTGATGGTGATACACATGCTAAAGTTCAACTAAAAGAGTTAATTACTAGTGAAATGGATGAAAGATTACAGTGTTTACAGCCTCAAGCATATGTATTGCAACAAGTGTTATGTATGCGACGTGTTGTATTAACTGCTGCTCAACATTTAGTTGCTGATGAATTAAAACCCATCATCAACCATCAAATTGGTATAAGCTGGCTAAAAAGTATTAAAGTGGCAAGAAAGTAAGTTTATTAACAATCATAAATTATGTATTATCAATAATTAATAATTAATTATTTTTAGATCATTGAATTTCCAACAAGCGTATTCTAATATATTAGCAGCTGAAAAGTATAAACCTACAGGTTTATTTATTGAGAAAGCTAAACTGTTGTGGAAAAAATCTGATCAAGGACAAGCAATAGAAACTTTAAAAAAAGGAATTAATATGCTTTTTCCAAATGTAGACATAATTAAAACTTTGCCGTGCGATGAAAAAATAGAGGAACGTAAAATATGTGCTTCTGTGTGTATTCCATTCTTCTAAAACAAAATTTATATTTTATTTTATAATAGAACTATAGTTTTATTAATGTTAAGTGCTTATAAACATCTTTATTTTAAAGGCTTTATTATTATTGTCTAAGTATAATGATAAAACAGTTAATGTTGATTTGGAGTCAAATTTATCAAATATTGAAAGTGCATATGAAATGTTTGGAATGTGGGAAAAAAGCCTTGTGAGGTTTGCACATTATCAAGATCGTATTCTCAACACCATGACTCCTTCAGTATACTACACAAAAGGATTGTAAGTATTTAATTGTTATATATGTAGTTATATTTTTTTTTTATTAGTTTATCTAATTTGACTATATCTTTAATAATTTTCAATTTTTAAGGACCTTAATAAATAACATAGTTAATTGTTATGGTATGTCATTACAATATGGCTGTGAGTATATATACCAATCAATGCCAAAGTTGTTGAGTATTTGGTTAGATTTTGGTAGTGACTTTAATAGAGATTTAAAAAAAAAAAACAATAAAACATCATTATATTTGACAGAACGAAAAAAAACATTTATAAAAATGACTAAACTTATAGGCAAGTAATGTTTATCTAATAAGTTGTATAATACTATAATCCATTTAACCAGTTACTATGTAATATTGATTTTAGAGGGCTTTATATCCAGATTGCCAACATTTATGTTTCTTACTGCATTTTCTCAAATAACATCAAGAATCTGTCATCCACTAGAAGAATGTTTTAAAACATTGACTGATATTATTGTTAAATGTATACTAGATTATCCTAACCATTCTTTATGGATGCTCATGACTTTACATAAAGTATAAATTATTTATATTTAAATTTTTTCTAAATTATTAATTACTATAATATTATTATGTTGAATTGTTTATATTATGCAAATTGTATTATAGTCACCGTTTAATGTACGAGTGAGTAGATTCAATGCAGTTCTTAAACATCCAAAATTAAACAAAGTAAAAACCTTATTGGGCCAATTTATGGAATTGTTTGAAAATTTATCAGAGTTATGTAACACAAGTCCTCAAAATGCTCCAGTTGGTGTTAAATTTCCTTTGCAAAAAATTGCAAAAACTCTACCACGTTTATTAACAAATGGTTATTTTAGCAACATTATGGTACCAGCTCAAAAATTTCGTACTTTAGTATTACCACGTATCAACACTAACCGTAGTACTAAACATAATCCGTTTCCTGAGTATGATATTATAGATATTTATTGTTATTTATGATTATTTGTTTTTATTTTTATCTTTAGTGATCTTGTATATATCCATGGAATTAAAGATGAGGTGTATATATATAGTTCACTTCAAAAACCAAAACGAATTATAATTTTGGGTTCTGATGGTAATGAATATCCAATGATGTGTAAACCCAAGGTAAATTGTTATAGGGAAAATAATTGTTAATCATATTAAGTAGTTGTTTTTCAATTTTAGGACGATATAAGAATTGATTCAAGGCTAATGGAGTTTAATAACATTGTTAATATGTATTTGAAAAGAGACCCAGAAGCAAGAGATCGAAATCTTTACATAAAAACTTATGTGAGTATTTATATAATTTTTTATATTCTAAATGTATTATAATAAACTTTATTTTATTAACTTCTTAAAATTTTCTTAATATTTACCTAATTTTCATAATTTTGAATGTTTAAAAATAAAGATATTATTGTAAAAAATGTATATGTGAGATAATTTATTTCTTTTCAGCAACTTATGCGAGTATTTATAATTATTGATTTTTGTATTTAAATTTTATAGAGTGTAGTACCTATGATACTTGATTGTGGCCTAATTGAGCTAGTTCAAAATGTAGTCACTATGCGGAGTGTAATTTTAAACTGCTATGAAACAATCGGAATTAAAGTAACAAAAAGTACTATGCAAGAACTTCTTTGTAGTAAGCATATTTTAGATGATTTACAATGAAAAGAAATTAAATTATTTTAACATAATTTTTAGATATCAAAGATTCTTTAGAGAAAAAAAGATCAATTTTTGTAAACAGAGCATTGCCAAAATATCCAGCTGTTTTTAGAAATTGGTATCTTAAAGAGTTTCCAAGTCCAGGAGAATGGTTGGTCAATATTTCACTAAGTATTTATCTAAAATACTCAACTTTTAATTATTTGTTTATTTTAGGTATTTAGCTAGAAGCGAGTTTACTAGAACCACTGCGGTCATATCTATAGTAGGTTATATACTGGGTCTTGGTGATCGTCATGGTGAAAATATTTTATTAGATTCAACTAATGGTGGAGTTGTGCATGTTGATTTCAATTGTTTATTTAATCGAGTATAATTAAATACATACATATTTTTAAGTTTACTTTATAAGTATAAAATATATTAAAAATTAAATAGGGGGAAAAATTTGAATGGCCGGAACGAGTTCCTTTTCGAATGACTCATAATATGGTTGATGCAATGGGTATTGGCGGACTTGAAGGAATGCTATCTAGTGCTTGTGAAATAACCAATCGAGTTATGAAATCACATTCTGAACAATTAGTTAGTGTACTCAAACCTTTTTTATACGATCCTTTAGTTATGTGGACTGGTCGTGACACTAAAGCTGATGAAAATTCAGAAATGACAAATGATCAAGTAAGTGTATTTATTAAATATCATTCAAGTAATATATGTGATAGTTTTAGTAAATATGAAATCTATTTATTTGAATTTATATTTTTAGGCTAAAGAACATTTAAATAATATAGAAATGAGACTTCAAGGTTATGTAAGAGCTAATTTGAAGAATTCTTCTATGCCACTTTCAGTTGCAGGTCAAACACGTAAATTAATTGAAGAAGCAACTTCTGTTGATAACTTATGTCAAATGTACATAGGCTGGAGTGCATTTTTATGATACTACTTATATTATTTAATATTACATTTTTATGTCCTAAATATTTGATTTAATTTTTCAATTTATTATATTTTATAAAATATATACAATAAATTTACATTAATTTATAATACTTATTGGCGAGCTTCTTATTTTTTAAATTTCTTAACATAAGTTTAGATACTTTTATGGAAGTACTTATACTTTTGTATTGATTTTACTATTGGTGGTTTGAGTGATTTTTTTTCTTTTTTGTGTGTGTACATCTTTTTAACCAGAAAGTTTATCAATCAAAAAATTAAAAGGGATCTTTTTTGTTGAATTTTAAATTTAGTTGGTTTTTTTTTTTTTAAAATTTACAAGTGGTATTTTTAATAATTGTGAAAAACTAAAAAAAAAAACAAACAAATATTTACGACATTAGCATTTCATTATTTCAAATTGTTTCAATTTTGTTTTCTACCAGAAATCATGAACTGAAATTTAATTATAGACAATTTTCTGAAAAAGAATTTTACATACTTAGTGAGTAAAAAAAAGTCAGGGTTTGATTTTCTGTGTAGTTTTTAAATATTGAGAAAAGACAGAAAAGTTAAAGGCATTTCAATTTCATCATTGTCCATTTTGTTTTTTTTTTTGTTGTAATTTGGTTAAAAATAATAGTAGATACCTATGTTGTAAAATTTTCAAAACTGGTAATTTTTAAGTATTTGTCAATTTCAGGATTTTAGCTTTTATTTAATAGGCTCTAACAGTGCTACTGTCATCTTGACTTATGATGTTGCTACTCTAGTATGTTTCTTGCATGCTGAGCTTGAATCAATAAAATAATACAATTTTAACTACATTTAGACTATAATATTAAAAAACTAGAAGTTTTGTTATCCATGCATTGATGTTGAATTGCTGACAGATAGTTACAGATTGCTTTTATTTATCAAACCCACTATGGTTGCGATAACTATAGACAACATGCTTTTTTTCCAAAAACGACCTTCCTCCTTATTCACCCAAATATGGGTGAATAAACTAGTAATAAACTAATTTATTTGCCCAAATTAAATACACTTTTTCACTTATGGTTTCATGTTCAATATTCTGGGTACTATTTATCAAAATTAAACATAAGTATTTTTGATAATTTATTATTAATTTTCAAATATTTTCAATATTTATACAAAATTATTTATTAAAAATACAAGAAATAAATAAAAAATAAAAGCACTTTTTGGAATATTAAAGAAGATGCCTCGTTGTGGTGCTTTCTGGCTTTATTAAAATATTTTAAACAAATATTGAAACTTATTTAAGATGTATTAATGAATTAATAAGCAATTATCAAACATACAAAATTTGGTAAATGTTTTTCTAAATAATGTATATAAAACCGCGCCTGAAAAGAGAACATTAAATTTAAGTGAATAGAAGAAATTAATTTATCATATTTGTAGGAAAAGAGACCTGTCCATAATTGTCGCATCATTTGTATTGTGAAAAGGCTACTGTGCATGTACTCAATATTCCTGTTATATTTCCAGGCAGCTCAGTTCTATGTGCCCCTTGTTCACACTGAACTCTATACTCTGTATAGGGTTCAGTGATTGTAAATAATGTTCCAGAGAAATGGAATCCAAGAACTGATCTTTGCGGAACTTCGATTGTCATCATTCTATACATAGATTTGCCAAAGAGAAGCATCCTGACATTGAGTTACTTTGTTTAACTTGTAACTTATTTAATACAGTTATCCAGTTATATAATTTTTCAAATTCCATATTTTATGATTAATTAATTTGTAAATAAGGTTTAGTTGAATGAAAAGACAAAAATTATTCAACAATTTTTTTTTAATAAAACAAAAGTGATTCTTATTGTAACTTTATCTGTACATCCATGAGCATGGTAAAATTTTAGCTTTTTTTTACACCGTTAGAAATAACAATTTAAAATAATATATTTTACATTATTTCATTTCAAATCGATTTGTATATTTATTGTTTCATTTAATGATCTTGTACATACATTATTTATTTCAGTCTAATATATTATACAAATTAAGATTTATCTATAAATTCTATAATTTAATATGTTGGTAGTATAAAAAAAAATACATAATATACTTGTGATATTTATAATAAGATTCATTATAGCTGGCGGTATTTTCAAATACTGGTATAATGTTCTGTGGTTTTTACGATTTTGAAACTTAAAACACTTCTTATGAAACTAATGAATTACGCTTAACATTTTTTTTAAATCTTATTATGAACTTTACATATATTTCTGTTCAGACAAAATAATTTTATAAATACATCACTTAAAACCTAAACAAAAACTAAAATAACTATTATGTCAGATTCCAATCAATAACTAAAATATTGGCAGAATGTTTTAAAATAATTATTTAGGCCCAGATTTGACTGTAAAATGTATCTTTTTTTGATTGATATTAGTCAAAACTTTCCAAGTATATAATTTGATTCATGTAACAGACTTCAAATTTGTACCTTTTATTTTGCCTTTTTCATTTTTAGAGCTTTTTTTTTTTTATTGCATATTTGTATGATAATATATGAGTACATTGTTATAATGTAGTATTTGCTATTTGTATATCATATGATGCATCAATTAAGTATACTTAGTATATTAATCTATAATACGACTTAATAATTTAAATTTAGCTAATTCAAAATATTACCCATGTTTTTCAGGTTTTCCAGTCAATCAGTCAATACTATCGTCGCTAGTTACAAATCAAATTTTTCATTTTTTTTATAAATATAAAGTGATCAATAAAACAATAAATTTAAAAAAGTCTATGTCATTTTTGAAGAGCATTTCCGCAATAAAATGCATTTTTAACTTTTTTTATAGCATTTTTCAATAATTTTTAGTGAATTTAAATTCGGATGATAGCCATTGTCAAAATTCTTTTAAAAATTGCACGTTTTTACAATAATTTTTAACCGAATTACATCAAAACATGATCAAAAATATTGAAATCGACATTTTCCATATATTTTCTTATTTTTCCTAATAATTCCTAATAATTTTTCCTAATTAAGGTTGGGGCCACACAAGCGTAGGAAATGAGTGTGTACTTTTTAATGTACGCATAGAGCGGGCACACTAACGTTGATATGACGTCCGTATTTAGTATTTGAAGTACATGAATAGTAAGTAGTAGAAGTAGTAGTAGTAGTAATAGTAAATAGTAGTATTGAAGACTTACGTAGGTAGGTAGTACTTTCACGGCTGAAATATGGACTCGGATGAGTTTTGATTCTCCAACATGTTTTTATATGAAACAAAATTTAGGTAACAAAAATACCTATTGGGTGGATCCAATAAATTGTGAACAGTATGCAAATGGTCTTTTTTGCATCCGGATAGTGCGTCCGTGTGAAGTGCACTCGTTTGATCACATGGTTGACTTTCACATTGAAAACCATACAAATTTAATTTGGGCATTGGCATATTCAACGTCCATTGAAGAAATAATGGGTCGATGAAATTTAATTTCCCTATTAGGTGCGTTATTTTTAACGCACGTTACTCATGTACCTGTTCCCATAACCTTTTTTTTCACGTGTCAGGCACATTGTACATATGTATTGCTATTATAAACTCACATTAAAATAGAAAATAACTAATAATGTACTTCTATGACACACGTCAAAAAGTGCTTGCGTATTGACGCATTTAGTACAGCCGTGTAGCCCAAAAATAGAAAGTAAAAAATAAAAACGATTTCCTACAGCACCAACGATTCAAATTGTTTTGTTTAAATAGATTCAATACTAGAAAACCGTAGCAAATTTTCTGGTAAAAAAGTTGTTTAAAGACAAAAAAAAGTATAATAATAGTTATTAAAATTTAAAATCTTAATTTAAAAACCTACAATGGTCAATATTTAATAATATATTTACTAAATATAAATAAACATATATGGTATAAGGATTTTAAAATTTTTAGTAAAATTTGGGACTCCAAGAACAGAACTCTAGGCAAGTCATTTCATAAATTTACTCTTAGTATCAGTAACTACCAATAAACTATATAAATGCTAAAAAATATTATGTTGTACTTAATGCAACTTGTTAAGTAATGTAATATGTAAAGTTATGTTTAACTAACTATAAAGTTGTTAAAATAGTAATCAGTAAGTTAACCTTTAACAAAATATTGGTTTTTATCGGAAATGGTATTTATAGAAACAAGCTATTTACTGAAAAAAAACCTGTATGTAAACACATATTTAATACTGGTGAATAAATTCTCATTATGTTAGCTCTAAGATACACATAATTATGTATTACATAATTTAAAAATGTAATTTTTTTCCACATAGAAAAATATTTTAAGTAAAGTGTAAGTTATATAACAATATAAAATGACATGAAATTAAGTAATTGATCTAATTCAAATATATTTGATGTATGTAATGAATTTAATAGATTTTCTATAGATGTCGGATAAAGTATCTAAGATAAAATTATTTCTGGAAAAATTACAAAAATAAATTTAAATTATAATAGTAAAAACTCAAAAGTGAATGATAGCATTTTCCTAACTCCTATAAATGAATCTGAAATTAAAAAACTCATTAATTCAATTAAACCCTTCATTCTTTGAATATATACTACAAAATATTATTCTTAAAAAGACATCAGATGTAATCTCTTTCCTTTAATATTAATATATAATTTAGCCCTGTTGTCTGGTGTATATCCAAATTTAATTAAAAAATGTGCAGTTCCTCCAATTTTCAAAAATGAAAATATAATGAATTATAATAATTATTGCCTTATCTCACTCTCTTTATCACTATCTAAATTATTTGGAAAATAATAAAATCTAGACTTATGGGATTTCTGGATAAAAATAAATTTTTTGATAGAAATGAGTATGGTTTTATAAATGTTAGATCTACTAATAATTCTCATTTTATATTAAATGATTTCATTTATGTATCAAATTTAATATAAATATATTGAGTTTCCAAAGTTTTATTTTGTATAAAAACTATTAATAAATTAATATTATGTTTGAATCTTATATTTAGTTTTAAATATATTGATCTATATACTTTATTTACTTTACTTAACTTATATACTTTTATTTATACAGCTCTTAATTTCAGGTTATTGATTATAATTATTTAATTTTTATGTAGTAAATTTTACATCCTAGTTTACAAGGATTTAGTAACATTTTATATAAAAGAATATGCTCAATGTATGTATGTTTGGTTACAATAAAATATATATATACAAAAAAAAAAAAAAAATAGTCATATGTATATTATACACAAACGAGACAACATAGATTATTAAATAGGATAGTAAAATATTATAAATGGCTAAATATTTAAATCACTATTAAATTTCAGTGACATTTGATAGTTGTTAAGTGATAATTTGTTTTAGGAACACTGAGATTGTCACAAAATAAAATAGCTTCTTTATAATGGGTTTAATGTAGTGAATGATTCATTTTTCCTGGTAACCCATAAGTAGATACTAATTACTAGCATTGCAGATCCAAGTAAAGTCATTGTAAGCCATAAATAAGGAATATAAATTGGTAGCACATTTGTAACAATCAATAACTGGTTGGAAACATTACGTGGAATTTCAAAACTTTCAGAAAGCCAAAATACAGGTAAGAATAATTCTGGTAAATTTTTCAAAATTCTAGAAATAACAATAATAAGTATTTCAATCTATTTATAAATTAAAATAAATCAAATGTATTTACCTAAGATTCTTGATTGGATGCACTTTAATATTAAATTGAAATCTAGCGGCTATCTCTAGTGGTATTGAAAAATCCTAATACAAATAACATTTAATAAAAAAAATTTTAAAATTAATTATTAAATAATTATTTACTTATAAAAACTAGATAAACTTACATTATCCAAAATCATTTTAAATTCATGTGAAGTTTGATTTGGTTTCATGCCAACGATTGATTCAATATATGATTTATCAGCTAAATAAAAATGTGGAAACGAAATGTATATTGGAAGTACATTATCTCCACACAAACTTAATGACCGTACACCAGGCAATGGACATCCAGATGATGGACAGTAACAAGTATTATTGAAAACATCAGATCCCGCATTAAATTCAACACCATTGATACCATTAACAAAAGTATGATTTTTTTTAGTCATGGTGATAGCACTAGAATAGATTAAATATTTAATAAATAATTCTGATAAAAAGGATAAATGTATATGAGAAAAATGAACAATACAAATATTACCTACAAAAAAAATAGGCTATCTTGTTTTATACGGTTTACTGTTTTTATAGCTCTACAACAATATTTATTACCTACTTGGATATAATACGAAAGGTTAGTAAATTCTCGTACATGTCATTGTGCCGACAGTTTCCAAGTTACGATTAAATATAAAATGCAATAAAGGTAAGGCATCTTTATAATAAAGACTTGCAATACATCGAAACACTGATTATTGATTAGACCATAAATTGATATAAAATATAAAATAGTGGTTTTTGTTTTATATGATGTAAAAATGGGTTTTACTGACAAAATAAACTTATAAATAGTGGTCGGATTTATATGTAAATACATATTTCTACTAAGACTTGATAATTTAATTTAGGCAAGTGATAAATTTGTGTTAAGTGATTTTCAATGGAATGAACTATATTTGATTTTACATATTTTTACTTTTTTTTTCATAAATATATGTTTTTAAATATTTCTCAATAATCCCATTTTTTCCTACATATTTTGATAATTTGTTCATACACGATTAAATTTGTATATAATTGTATTTTTCAATACAGATAATTTTTTATATTTCCAAAAGTAGGTAAACAAAATAATACTAAATACAATTAATTAGAGATATCCATTGCGGAATAAATGGGATGATATAGCAGATGATTGAGCTCACTTCTTTGGATGTTGCAAATATGAAATTTGTATTATCTCTGTTGAATTAAAGTGTTCATTTAGTCAATACAAATCTGTGTTACAACCAAACAGTAGATTATTTAACTTTGGCAATTTGAGCATTTATAATGTATATGGTATTTCATTACTATCAAGATCAAGATGAATAAGGTTCAATTTCATAATAATTTCAATTCAAGTGTCTTAATTTGTGTATTTTCATTTTTGTCATTTATAAAATAATTTAAAATTTTTTTTATGTGAGTAATGTTTTTTTGTAATTTGTTTTCACATATTTGTGAGTGATTTTTAATTACATATTTTGGTTTATTTAATACATATAAATCCAAGCCCTACTTATACTTGTGTCATGTTCCTTAACAAAACGTTAAATATGTCCCTTTTATTGTTTCTCCTTAATCACGTTTCAATAATGATATTATGAATTGTTTGTTTTTTTATAAATTTATGGGCATAGCATTTGTTTAAAAGTACAATATAGATAATTTTTAGATTATAAGACATTCAAAAAAAAAAAAAAAATATATTTCATGGACAGACATAAGGAAGGAGGATCTGCATTGGTTTAACTAATTAACTGCCTAATAGGTTCATTGTGCATGTAGTTTGTAGCAGAAGGTGGAATTGAAAAGAGAACGGCTGACTTAGTATTGAGCTGGGGAACCTTAAAATGAAACAAAGATGAGGACAGACTAATCCACTTTATTATTCAATAGACCTTTTATGAAGTTTATACACACTAAACGTCTACGCTCAGCCAAAGATGCTAAATTGAGTAAATCAGACACAGGGGTATAGTCATGGGGCTCATACAGGATTCACATTAAACGACAGGTGAATAGCAAAAACCGTCACTAAACCTTTTCAAACTGTAACAAGTCATCTGCAGTTTGAGGATCCCATACAGTCGCACCATACTCAGGGATTGGACACACCAGTGTATAAAAAATTACCTTAATAGATATACCGGAACAAAAGTCTTCGGATAATGTCACGAACCCAAGAATTTTAAAACCTTTACAATATAATTTATGTGGGACCTCAGGTCAAGTCTATGGTTGAGTTTAAATTCTAGGGCCATGACACCCTCATCAGTAACACACGTAACAAGTGACTTAACTAAGAGGGTAAGAGAAAGTTATAAAAGAACGAGTCCTATTAAAAGTTCTATTATAAATACAATTATAATTGTGAGGTAGAATGTATACGAAACACGTCTCGTAATAGCATGTAGATTGCAATCTGCAGTAGACCACAAACGACAAGATAGCCGAAAAAATAACTACTTTAAATAACATTTAAAACAAATTTAAATAATGGAATTATATAATCAATTTATATTAATATTTATAAGATTAAAACAATTATCATGATTAATTATTGTAAAACAAAAGTATATTATAATGTACATCAAGTAAAAAGATAATTAAATCAATAAAAATAAAGGCTCTATGTTTACTATAGATATAGAATATTGCATTAAGAAATCGTTTATGGTTTTTTAAAAACAAAATTTAAGATGAAATGTAAATTAAGTCAACTTAAGAGTGAAGTACAATACTAACAAATATATTGTAAATATTATATTTTATATTGGCTTATTTTGACATATAAAGTAAGAAAACTAATACATTAGCATTGATCATAGAATAAGAAAAATTAATTATTTATTTAAATACAATGTTACTAGATGTATAATTAAAATTTCAAATTACCTGCAAAAACTGGGTACATAAATTGTCATATTAGGCTTAGTGGCTGTGTGTTCGGGCCATAAATCACCTGCAGAAGCTTTTGAAATACTACAATCTTTATTGAACGTATTCAAGGATGTGTTATAATTAACTGAATGCAGTAATCCAACTTCTTCGATGTTATTTTTTCCAGTGAACATATTAATTATTCCATCAGCAGACATAGACATATTCATCTGAAGATTAATTCATCATTTTTAATTTAAAAAATATACAAATAATTAACAAACTATACAAATTAAAACAAAATATGCATTATTACTCCATAAAACCATCCAACTTTCTTGAACGGTAATTGAATGGGAAAATATGATTTTAATTTTAAGACAACATCCAAAATAGGATCATCATAACCGTCAAAAATAAATTCACCAGCAGTCTTTGTTACATATGGCTTGTCAATTTTTAAAATTTTTAAGTAATAATTGGTAAGAACATACACCCAGTGTTCATTAATACCAACCAATTTTTCACCCAAAATCTACAAAAATAGTGAATTGTTATAATACTAATAATGACAATTTTATATTATAAAATTTACATTAAGCACAATGTTAATGGTGGTAACAGGGTCAGACAATGATCCATTTGAAAGAATAGGATCAAACTTCCAACTTTTCAACTGCATATATGTTATTGTATCATTATTATTGAAAGTTGTATTCATTTTTGTACGGTATTCTCTAAAATATTATGTTTATTATTATATTTCTATGTGATATATATCAACAGTTCATACTTAAAAACATATGGTCCTAGCTGTTGTAATATAGGTTTGTCACCATTTTTTATTGTTGCTTCTGGATTTGTCCAATTAAACAAATACACACTCATGTTTAATGGAACTGGTATTTGTTGCCAATATTTGTATGTTTGAGTATTATTTTTTAATTCTAATCTCTGAAAAAAAAAACCCAAATATATATTTTTTATTAGTAGTAAGTTATTATTAAATATGTTTAAATTAATTGGTTAATCAAATAAGTAAAGACAATCAAACATTACATTTGACATCATGTTATCAAATATTTGTGGCCACAAATCAGCCATGATAATTCCTGTAAAAAGAAATGTAATTCCAAATACTGATAGTAAAAGTTGGTACCAGAAACCACAACATTCCGAATTCTTTTCTTCTTCTTGAGCTGAAACCAATCTTCTGAAAAAAAATGTTTAAATAGTGTGTCTAGTAAACATTCAATATTGAACAAAATATTTTTAAACTATAAATGTTAGAATATTAGTAACACCATTAGAAAATTATTACTAATGTATATTGTATACTCCATAGTATTAAGAACTTTATGATTTAGCTATTTTTAAATCCTAGGATATGGTTTAAACAAACAAATGTCTTGAGAAGAAATCACAATTGATAAACTTGCTATCTACCATAGTTTAATAACATGGTATATCACAATTACTAATATCTGAACAAAACCATTTTTTTAATATACTAACTTGAGTATTAAATATTTCAAAAGTAAATATACAATATATAATTTAAATAGGTATCTAGTTAACAACTTAGGAACTAGTTTATTGGTTTATAGTTGAATACAGGTTGTACATGGAATACATTTTAGGTTTTAGTATAATGTGGATTTGTTTTGTTTATTTAATATTCAAAAGAATATTTATTATTTAATTGTAATTTGATGAAGTGACCTCAATGTTAAAAGGTAGGTAAATAAGGTAGGTTCATATAAATAACCAAAAAATCTACTTATGATTGAAGTATGGAATAACTTATATTTTACATAAGAACATATACATATTTATTTATTTATTTTATTCAATATACAGGGCAAGTCCAAAAAAATACAATTAGATAAGTAGACAGGTTACAGGTTGAATGAAAGGTCCGAGTTGGCAGTGCACATAAGGCAAGAAATGGATGAGTTGAGAGAATAATTAGAAGAAGAAAGTGGAATAATGAAGGTGAAGAAGATCAGGTAAGATAAGTGCCTGCAATTAGCAAGGCTAGTTAGTTGTAAATTCTGGAGAATGAAGGAGTAATCATGAGGTTGGTGGGGAATATTGAAACAAAAGGTATACATTTAATTTTTCATATTTTTTTATCTTTTTATAACACCATAGGTACCTAATCATAATGGTTATATTAGATTATAAAAAATATTTAATATACAATTGTAGGTAAGAAGTTGAGGAGGTAGAGAGGAAACTTAATGTATAATATTTGTATGCAATGATTATTCATGGTTAATGAAAAACGATTCTGAGCGGAGTTCAGTTATACGTGTTTTGAAAGGTCGTAATATTTACAACTTGAAAATAATACATTCCATAAATTGTCCTAATTTATTATGAAAACCCCTAGTAAAATCATAAAATGACTTCCTTAATGTACTACTTCACAAACATGTCCTTACTTTTGTGAAAATCTGATCAAAATTTCTGTTTAAAATTTTTTGTCATAATTTTTTTTAACAAAGATTTCCTTAACAAATCGAATATTTTTAGAATCAGTGTTAAAAATTTTGTTTTTTGGAAAAAATTGTAAAGTACACTTTAGCACAATACCTTTACATTTTATCAAGCTTATGTTTGGTGGTGAAACCACTACCATATTTTGATTTTTAAATGGCAACCTATATTGAAAATTTCACAAATAGTTAGTTTTAGTTTAAATACATTTTGATGTTGAAATTCTTAACTTTCCTCAAGCTATTGACATGTTATTGCATTTTAAGGTTGGTACTTCATGGGTAGAGAGAGAGTAGTGTTGCATTATTTGAGAGACAGCACAGCACATAACATATATATATAATTATGTAATGCCAATTTATTTTATAAGTAATTTATTGTTGCATAATTAATTGTAATTTAAGTAGGTAAATAGTTAACAATACAGAATGGTAACTGATTGAACTTATAATTTAATGTTTAATAAAATAATAAAGTAAAAACAAAATTATTAAATGGTTAATACTTGTAAATAAATAATTTATATGTAGAAAACAAATAAATGAATTGGTTACCTGGAGTATAATGATATGTGTATTGTATGACAAGTTTCAAATTAAAAATTCACTATCAGGTAAATCACTTTGTGATTTGTGTACAATACATATATTATAATACTTCTGGCGACGCATTAATTAATTAATTATTTTATTTCTACATATTATAAATTATTAAATGTTTATAGGCAAATTTAAAATTAGTAACTAACCATTAGATACTTACACATAATAATATAATTATCAAACTATGTGAACTTACTCGATTTCCTCTTGATCGTGAGTCATTGTTAGATGATAAAGTTTAACCATTAGCTAGTAAAGCACTACTAAAATAATAAGTAATATGTGCTGCAATAGAATAACAACATTAAAATTCACAATATTCACATGATCATATTAGTATTAATTATCGTTTATTAATTTAGTCCAAAGAAAATTTGTTGCTTGTAAAGAACTTTTATATCATAATTACATAAATAAATTGAACGAAAACATTCCACTCATTATTATTATTTTTTTAATAGTATTAAATGTACTACAAAATATTAACATCTGTATTTTCATACTCATTTATGACTCAATAGATAATAACAACGGATTGATAACTACTACTTACCAATTTAAAATTTAAATACCAGTAAAGTAATAAATATCGAGGAGTGGGGTGCATTCATAGAACTGATAATATATGTTTGTAAGTCCATGGGTGCATTTGTTGTGCCATATTTGTATTATATTATATTATTATATTGTGCAATAAAAATTTTATGTAGTTTCATCCTGACATCCTGTATTCCTGATTCATGGTTTGTGATTACTTGTTGATAGAACCTGTAATACCGTGATGAATACCAATATAATTGTAATTATAATTATTTATTATTCGTTTTAATATGATTTTAGTCATAATAATTTGTATAAACCATTATTACATCAAACTTATTATTTTTAACTAAACTTATGTGTAAACTCATTTTTTAATTTTTTTTTTTTGCATTGTTTTCACTCTTATCTTGATTTGTATGTAAAACATAATGCCTTATCCGCATAATAGCATATTAACAAAGATAGATATTTTATGACTTGGTACATTTTACTTGTGTTCATTGCACGCAATATACAATTAATTTTTTATTTTTAATGAATTCATTAAATGTCAATAAGATGTTATTATTTGTAAAGTGCTAAGCAAATAATTTTCTAATCGTACTCATCAATCCAAAAATAAAATCATTTGGGTGTCAAACTTCCTTTTGAATTTAAGTTGAAAAGAGTAGTCTACTGTGGTAAAACTTAGTATTAAACATAAATTATAATACATAACTGAAATTTAGGTTATTGAATTTAAATAACAGTGCATAGTAAGTATAATTAACTATGGTTTATTAGTTTATTATAATATTATTGTAATAGCCAATAGGTATAGGTATTGCAAATTAAATTGTTTTGCTAAATTTGATTGGTTTTTATTTTTTTTTCTTGCTGCATTTTTTGTATCACATGCGAAATACATCCTGGATAATAAATAAAATGATGTTAAACTTTTCAAGAATATCAAAAATTAAAGTATTAATATATTATATAGGTATTTATACTTAGTAACTATTTCGTTTTGGCTTGTCATCATCAGGTTACTGAATACATTGTATAATAAGGTTCACATTAAATTTTGAAATTATACATAGATTTGAAATTAAAACTTATAAACATGATAAAAGATATACTAGTTGCACAACGAGCTATGATAAGAACATACAATTTGGTTCCCGAAGTGTCTTCGATAAACTGTTGATAAGAAATGACAACTAGTGTTCATTACGGTCTACAGACTAAGGTGCCCTTAAGGTTTCTTGATTATATTGATTTACCGCCAAAAATTAATTTTGTGGCGTGATCTAAAATTATTTCATAGTATTTATAGAACAATGTTATTTTATTAATATAATATTATAATATATTATTTTTGTTTTGCTATTTTATTTTACATGCGTGTTGTAATTTCTATTGTTAATTTATTTTAAATGTTAATAAAATAAAGTGTTGTGTATCGATTTGTGTGAATCAGCAAAAATCGTCTTTTGGTGTCGAAAAATAATGTCTTGCTCAAAGAATGGGAGAAAATTCTTGAAATAAATTTAGAGTTTGTACGTCACATTTTAAAAAGATGACATTATTGAGCAATGGATACCGATAAGAGGAACAAATCTAGTTTAGGTCCCAAGCTCGTTTTTTAATTTGTTTTTTCTTCAAAATGTGTGTTTTTGCTTGTACATTAAGAATCTAAAAAAAAGTGATGAATTTCGTTGGGAAGTTATGGGGGAAAAATTCATGAAGTTCGGGTTTTCCGTATCGCGTATTTCTTAGTAAGAATTTAACATTTTCAATTTTTTTTTTTTTTTTTTTTTCAAAATTTGCGTTTTTTTAATGCTTAATCTATTTATATAATCAAAACTTACCTATCATACTTACTTTTGAAGTTATTGTACATTTTGGGTGCACCTAACATTATTTGACGAAGCGGAAAATGTCTGAAATCGCTACTATTTTTGATCTACTAGGATTGGTCGGACCGGTCATTATTCAGCTAATGATTATGATGCAAAAACTGTGGCAAGTAAAAATAGGCTGGGACGACCCGCCGGAAATTAGTCAGACTTGGCGGATATACTGGAAGAATTTAGTATCGCTAAATAAGTTAATGGTACCGCGATCGATTTCAAACAAAAATGGCATGGTCGAGTAGGAAATCCACGGATTTGCCGATGCGTCGATTAATGCATATGGGGCTTGTATATATTTGCGATACATTGACGAATTTGGTATACATACGAACGTGCTTATTTATGTTAAGTCTAAGGTAGCGCCAATGAAGGTAATATCTTTACCCCGGTTTGAGCTTTGCGCGACACTATTTATTTATTTATTCATTTATTTTAGTAATAATTAACGGGTGGTGCCCTTAGAATACAATTAGGTAATACATTTGAGCATTAAAGTAAATAGTAGCAAAAATACATAGTAATACAAATAGTAATAGTTAAAAAATGTAAAATGTTTTATTTTTAAGAAGTTTAAAAAATAATATTTGTTGTAATGACATAATTCTTTTTGTGTCATTTTGAGCTCAAGACGGAAAATGATTTATTTGTATTCTTCACGCACAAGTAGGTGCTAATAATTATTACCAAAAATCCAATTAAGCTCATAATAAACCACAAATAAGTTACGTAAGTTGGTAACACGTTTGTAACAATAAGCAATTGGTTAGACAAATCGTGCGGTATTTGAAAGGTTTCGGAAAACCAAAATACGGGTAAAAATACTTTTGGTACATCTTCAAGAATTCTAAAAAAAAAAAAAAATACAATAATATTTAAAATTATAATACAAGTATATAACTTTTAAATTATTATGTAGAAAATATTATTTAATGCTTATAATTACTTGAAATTCTTAATAGGGCGCACTCTAATATTGAATTGGAGTCTAGCGGCAACATAAAGCGGTATCGAATAATCCTATAACAAAATATGTCCATAAGTTACGAACAAAATAACAAATAATAGCAAAATTTCATCTTAATTCATGTCTTAAATTTACTATTAGTTGTCATATTTTACTATAACCACTTCTAACTTAAACTGACAGTAACGTAGCGAGGGATGTTTTGGTTTTCAAACACCCCCCTTTGACCAAACTTATATAAGAAAATTTAAATTTTTACTATATGCAGTCATGCATCAGATTTCGTCAAGGTGTGCTGTGTTACGTATATGTAATTATGGAAAGGATATGAATATATGGTATATTACAATTTTATAGAATAATGTATTTTAATTTTCATAGTCGTTAGAAAAATAAATTAGTAATTTTATAAACAAAGAATATTACGAATATGTACTAATATGTACGAATAGGTATGTACTAAAATTAAGAATCAATAAGCATAATATAATACATATTATACCATTCCAAACTTCTAACCTACAACAATAGCCTACTCATATTGCGAAACATGGAAACAAAATATTTTCATGAGTTTTACATCTATCCTGCGAGTTTGAGCCCTATCTCATCAGACATTACTTAATTTATAACTTTAAAAAATGGCCAAGCATAATAGAACCCTATCCATGGTATGAATTATTGGTACTAACCTATGAACAGGTTCATAGTTATCGGGTTCACATGGGATATTCAATTTTAAGCTTGCGTACCTCAAGAATTTTTGTTGGACTCTTTCCAGCTTCAAGGAATCATTGATGTCATAAGGATCACAAATAATGGAATCATACTCCAGAATAGGGCGTAAAATTGCACAATATAACACCATAGAGGATAAGCCTAACCGAAAGTCTTTACATAATCTTAAGACAAACCACTGAGTTTTAAAAGCCTTACAACAAATATGTTCGATGTGGGACTCTCGGTTTGCTACTTAGAATAAACCCTAGATCTGTAACCCTGCCATTAGAGCATGAAAGAATAATGTGTGTCGGAAATGGTACGAATATACAACAGTCGCTCTACTTGGAATCTAAAATTAAATGAAGGAAAAAATAAAAAAAAAAAATTATATAAATTGGTTGTTTTACATAATAACAATTTAATAGGAGAGATTATTTAAAATGGGAAAAATTTAGAAACGTATTAAAGAAAAAAATACAAAACTCACCAAATAATGTTGTTAACTATCAGTAAGTATAAGTATGAAATATCAAAATAATATGTTTAACGAATTCGCTGAAATTCTGAATAATAAACAAATAATGTAAAAATCGCTTTTGAGACTAATAATAATTTAGTCAAACATATAAACAATAGAACTAAAAACTTTACAAAAAATCCCAAAAATTTAAAAAAGCATTTGAAAATGCTGGTATATAGGTTAGGTAGGATATATAAGGTTATTTCATTTATATCTGTAAGCAATGATAAACATTTTCTGATTTTTCTGGTAGTAAAACCGTCGTCTATGTTTTTATAAAATAATGAAATCGTGAAATTGTACGTTTTTTTCCCACTTAAGTGCTTTTATTCAAAAAATGACTTCTGAAGTAACATTAAGACAATCTGAGCTTTCAGAATAGTTGCTACATGAAAAAATCAGAGCAATTTTACTAGGAAAAAACGTGTCCACATACTAGAAGAAGAAGAAAAAAAAACATCTTAATAAAACGCTGGCTACGCTAGGAATCTATAACGGAAAAAATGTATGAAATGTATGTATTAGTTAAAATATATTACGGCTTTCCTTTTTTCTATGAACAACTTTTCTACCAGCAGTTTTGCTCCAACTTTTCATGATAGTATGTAATGTTTCTAAATGGAAATTTCACTAGGGAGGCACTTTAAAGAAGTTATTTTTCGGTTTTCTCAAGAATTTTTTTATCAAATTTAAAAAACTGAAAAAAAAACGGGAAAATATATGAGAAATGTAGGTGTTAGCATTGATTAAATATACATAGATAGTCCACGGGTATACAATAGATGTAATAGTCGTATTTAGTACTAAAGTTTTCAAAAGTTGGCATTAGAAATACCAATATTTAAGTAATAATTATTATCGTAATAAGATAGGCAGTGAAATTATTAGAGGGCGAGAGGGGACACATCAGTAAGTCCACCATCATAAACAATTCCCAGTTTGGACTTTGATAGAAGTATATGATAAGTAAACAACCTTTTCTCGCCAGTCATATAATTAATCATTTTTTTATATTACAACACTATTTTGCAACAGCAGTTGTCACTTGTTCTTTTATTGTTTATAATAAATATGTAAAATATTACATTTTCATGTTTTATTAATTTTTTTTTCGTCAAATGTCAATAAAATATTTCTACCTAATTAGTAAATCTTGACAATTTATAACAACGCTTCTCATACATTTCTCTACCCAGTGGCATGCGCAGGAGTGTGGGAAGTTAGCCCCACCCTCATTGACTTAAAAGTACATCAAATTATAAATAATCTAATATCGAAACATACATTTCAGCTGATTTCCAAGGAAAAGCTTGATGTATTGATTAGAAATTGGCATTTTTTTATGATCCGGCTTTTAAATTACGACTTTCCATAGTCCAGTTAGGTAGATAAGACGATTTTACTTTTTATTCTCGATTTTTATTTGTTTCATCTCCCATTGAAAATGTGACGATTTACCGCAGTCTATAAAAACAAATTTACTACTGCAACCACGAAATATATTTTTTATTAATTATAATTATAATATTTTAGAATAATAGAAAGAAGTAAGGCATAATTCTAGTTTAGCAACCATGTTATTTTTTTCCTAAAATGTGTGTTTTTCGTATACATTAAGAATTTAAAAAAAAAGTCTAACGAACTTCGTTTGAAAGTTATGGGGGAAAACTTCATAAAGTAAGGATTTTCCTTTTCTTAGTATTTCTTAGATAGAATTTAACATATTCAAATGTTTTTTTTCCTAAAAGGTGTATTTTTAGACGCTTAATCTATTGGTATAATTAAAACTTCCTCTCGTAGAAAAGTTGTCCACAGAAAAAAAAAATAAAAATCTTTTAAGACCATAAGCTTTTTTGCTCCACTCAGAATCTAAAATAAATGTAAATAATGCTTCTTTTGTGTAATACGAGCAACAAAAATTATGTGATAAAATTCAATTTTTTAATTTTTGAAAAAATATCTTTTTAAATCACCTATTATAACAAATCTATAATCGAATAGTTTGTACTCACATTTTCCAAAATCATTTTGAACTCGTGTAAGGCCCGATCAGGATTCATGCCGACTATAGATTTGTTGTACGATTTATCGGCCAAATAAAAATGAGGAAACGAAATAAACATCGGACTGGGGTTGTCCTTACACAAATTCAACGACCGTAAGCCCGGCAAAGGACATTCGGACGAAGGACAATAGCAAGTATTATTGAAAACGTCGGATCCAGCGCTGAATTCGATACCTCTTATACCATTGACATCTGTATGTTTTCTTTTGGTCATGGTAATGGCACTACAGAAAATAATGAATAATAGTTTTAGTAATAATTGAAGTCACCAGTGGTGGTTAGGTTAGGGGGGGGGGGGTGATTCAGTGGGTCTGGACCCCCCAGATTCCATGGTTAGACTATGGATTAGTTTGACAACAAATATAAAAATAAATTAAAATAATTGGCAAATTAATACGAATTATAATTCTTTATACACGTCCAATAAGTGTGGTGCCAAAAGTTTATGGTGGTTTTGGATAATGCTAATCGATTCGTGAAGAAAAGTGCTCTAAGAAAAATCGATATTTAATAGTTATCGATATCTCGAAATTGACAAAATCTCGAAAACTCGAAACATATTTTCAATTTATATCAACAGTATTAATGAAACATTTAACCTTACCCTGTGTTCTATTCAACATACTTTTGCACTACAAAAGTTATTTTCGATTAAAATTTTATTGTCCGAGTGAACACATTGAAACACGGCGCGTTTGAAAGTTTTTAAGCTAAATAAAATTATTCTGACTTCAATAAAAAAACTTTGTTATCAAAATATCTATAACTAAAAATAATAATAATATCTATTTTTGCCCACATTTTGGATTAATTCCTATCAAATTTTTGAAGGTGTCAATTTCGAGATATTGATATCTCGAAAACTATTAGAGACATCCATTTTTCTTAAAGGACTTTTTTTCTCAAATCGATGAGTTTTATACAAAACTGTCATAAACTTTTGGCCTCACACTAATATGACTAACTATATAGGCATAGAATATTAGAGACAAAACCAGACAAATTTAGTAATTATAATTTTTCAATGATATTTGATTTATTGCAGATTATAACTGTTACATATTTGTTTTATCTGTTCATGGAGTTATATATTGCGGTGTTCTGGAAACATAGAACATGGTATTCCTCAAAAATATGTAGACTTGATTAGAATGTGTAAGAGTAACACTATTTTTAAGGTGAAATTTCAAGAAGAATTATCTGAAACGTTCGAAGTGAAATCTGACTTTTGCCAAAGAGACGCATTATCACCAATACTATTTAACATGGCCCTTGAATGGGTAGTGAAAGCAGCCGACGAAACGCGAGAAATGAAGGTAGGTGGAAAAGGTGCTGTTCTTGCCTATGCGGATGATGTAGTTGTCCTGGAAAATTCCAGAAACGAAGTAAAGCAAACCACAAGAAAGCTTTTGGAAGCAGGTAAGATCATGGGGCTAGAAGTTAATTAAGGAAAAACAAAATGTATGTGTATATCATGAAGCAATAGTAATGAATCAATTTTATAAGTAGACTCATATTTATTTGAAAAAGTATCATCGTATAAACATTTAGGGATAAATATAAACGACAAAAATAATGTATTTGAAAAGATAAAAGAATGAGTAATAAGCGCGAACTGATGTTACTACAGTTTACTAAAATTATATAAGTCAAAGTTATTATACTTTTTTATTTTTTTTCCAATCCGTAGATTGGTTGAACGATGAAATATTCTTCCATTCCTCTCTATTCATTGCGACTCTCTTTAGTTCTATATATGACTCTTTTCCTATATCCAACATGATATGTTTCATATATGCCTGTCTAGGTCTTCCTCTTCCTGGTTTTCCCTCGATTTTTCCTTCAATTATAGTCGTTATCCATGAATTGTTCCTTATGAGATGTCCTATCCACTTCTTTATTCTCTCCACGATTGTCGTTCATATTGCTCTTCTTTCATTTATTCTTTTATATACTTCTTTACTAGTCACCCGATCTGTCCAAGGAATTTTCAGGACCCTTCTCCAGCACCATGTTTCAAAAGCCTCTATTTTTCTTCAGTCAGCTTTCAATATTATCCACGATTCAGCTCTATATAGCGCCACACTCCATACAAGTGTTTTTACTAATGTTTTTCTTATGTTTTTATTTATAGCATTTGTGGTTAGGAGTTTCTTCTTTTTGAAAAAAGCTTGTTTAGCTTGCGCTATCCTACATCTTATATCTGTAGCATCTTTCCCGTCACTAGTGACTCTGCTTCCGAGGTATGTATAACTATTTACGTTTTCCAACTTAATGCCATCCATGATTATGTTTGTATCAACTTGTTGTCTACTACCAACTAGTATCTTTGTCTTCGTTTTATTAATATTCATATTGTATTCTTGTTTGAGTATGTTATTCATTTTTTGGAGCATTCTTTCTAGATTTTTTTCACTGTCTGCTATCATGGCAATATCATCTGCAAATCGAAGCATCTGGACTAGCATCCCACCAATCTTGATCCCTCCTACCTCTTCCTCTCTCAGATCTTTTAGCACTTCCTCAATGTATAAGTTTAATAAAGCAGGTGATAAATTACACCCTTGTCTTACTCCTTTTTGAACTTCCGCCTCTTCGTATGTGTCGTATTCACCTTTTATCATAGCTTTTTCATTTGTATATAATTTATGTATTAATCTTTTGTCTTTAAAGTCAATACCTATCTTATCTATAATATGAAAAAGTTTTTCCCATCTAACATTATCAAATGCCTTTTCCAAATCTACGAAGGCTATATATATATGGGTTTATTTATTCTGANTACGAGGGTTGTCCCAAAAGTAATGCACAGCGCGCTCTAGCTGTCTTGCAATGTGATATTATCAGCTGATTTTAGTATCAGTTTGTAGCTTGAAGTCTAACGAACACGTGCGTTTTCAGTTTTAGTTGTTTTAGTAAAGTATGATGATGTGTGAGAGCGATAACGAAAGTGAGAACAATTCGTCGGCTCACATTTCTGTTTTTGAGCAACGCGCATACATTAAAATCGAAACGATTCGTGGTAAAACAGTGCCTGAAATTCATGCCGCGTTAAATGAAATGTATGGAACGGATACTGTGGATCGTAGTACGGTGCAAAGATGGCATCAGCGATTCCGTGATGGTCGTATAAGTATTGATAACAACCCTCGCTCTGGCCGACCCTCTACGGTTACTCAAGACAACACTAACGCGGCTATTCTCGCAACTCTACTCGATGAAGACCGACGAATAACGGTGAGAGAGATAGAGAATGAAACAGGTATTTCAAAATCAAGTGTTCACCGCATTTTAACGGAAATTCTACAGAAACGAAAGATTGCAGCACGTTGGGTGCCTCATTTTCTGTCACCGGAACAGAAGGATACACGCAAAGACATCTGCCGTGAACTCCTTTCTCGCTACGAAAATGAAAAAGAAACGTTTCTTGATCGTATAATTGCAATAGATGAGACTTGGATCCGTGATTTTGAGCCGGAATTAAAATCTCAAAGCAATATTTGGAAGGGAATAACATCACCAAGAGCAAAAAAAGTTCGTCGCCAGCAAACAAAGGTGAAACAAATGATGATTTTTGCTTACGATAAACTTGGGATAATTGTCACTGATCGAGTTCCAATTGGCAGTAGTGTAACCGGGGATTACTACAAAACATTCTTTGCTAAAAAATTGCGACCAGAAATCCGTAAAAAGCAACCAGGAATGTTACAAAATGGTGTGTCCATATTGCACGATAATACGCGGCCGCATATCGGAGCACCAGTCGTTGCTCTTTTGGAGAAATATGGATGGGAACGCTTCAAACACCCACCGTAGTCGCCGGATTTAAGTTCTCCGGACTTTGATTTATTTCCAAAACTGAAGGAACCACTTAGAGGGATCCGTTTTCCCAACTTAGATATACTAAATGAAGAAGTGAGCCGAAGGATCCGTGAACTCAACAAAGATGGCGTCCTATGCGGTATTCAAGCGCTCCCGAAACGATGGCAATCGTGTATAGACAAACAGGGAGATTATATCAAAGGTCTATAATATTGTATTTAGTTTAAAATAAAAACTTATTTATTCAGAGCAAATTGTGCATTACTTTTGGGACAACCCTCGTATTCTTTCCATACTAGAATTTGTTCTCTATCTTCCAGAACCATACTTCCATCTTTATCTCTAAGTACTTTCGCTCCGCTTTTGTATGCCCCAAAAAACTGTTTTATAATTTTATATGCTTTATCACTTAAGCCTCTAACTAAACAATTTTCTATTTCTGAGCACTTATTTTCTAACCATTCCTCTTTTGCTCTCTTAGCTTCTCTGTTCACCATGTTTCTGTATTTTTTGTACTCCCTCCTATCCTCTTCTGTTTTTCCATTTTTATACTTTCTCCTTGTCTCTATGAGCTCTACTAGTCTAGTGCTAATACATGGCTTTATTGGAATGTTCTTCGTTTTTCCTGATATCTTATCAGCCGTTTTTGTGATTGCTTCTTTAAAAATTGTCCATGTATTCTCATAACTGTCCAGTTCTTCTATTGGTTCTGTTGATTTTATTCGTATTATTCTATTTACCTCCTCGAAGAATTGCTTTCTTGTTCCTTCCTGCTTAAGTTTTTCTACACACCATTTTTTCTTTGTCTCTTAATTTCTTGTAGACTTTTTAAGACATAATCTTGTTTCCATGATTACCAGATCATGATCTGAGTTTATGTCTGCCCCTGGGTAACTTTTACTTTGCTTTACCTGATTTCTATATCTTTTTTTACTAATATGTAATCCAACTGATATCTGTTACCTCCACCTGGCATGGTCCAAGTGTATCTTCTCCGTTTTGGTTGTGAGAATAACGTGTTGGTGATTATCATATCTCTTTCCTTACAGAATTCTATAAGTCTATCACCCCTTTGATTCCTTGTTCCAAGTCCAAACTTTCCTGTTACTCCTGGTTCTGTTCTCTCGCCCACAACGGCATTCCAATCACCCAAAATGATTAAATTATCTTTTTCTTTTGCCATTTCTATTACTTCTGAAATTTGCTCGTACAATTCCTCGATTTCTTTGTCTTTGTGACTAGATGTTGGCATGTAAATCTGTATTATAAATATATCCGTTTGTTTAGTTTCTATTTTGATACGATGCTAAGAAAGCAATTTCATCTATTATGAGAACTAGAACACTGGTTTCAGAAATAAATGGTAATAGGGGTGATCTGCAATTTTGTTCTTGTCGCCATTAAATATTATTCTATAGTCTTCAGACCAGAAATCCCCTAGTCCTGTCCATTTAATTTCACTAATACGTAAGACATCAATTTTATAACGCTCCATTTCTAATTTCAAGTTTTCAAGTTTTCCACATACTCCTAGTGATCTGACATTCCACGTCGCTATTCTCCTTTTTCACTTCTCTTTTGACGACCTTGTATTGGCAGTCCTCACCCGGAGATCCGAACGGCGGACTATTTTACCTCCGGAATTCTTTACCTCTACAATCATCATCATTTCATCATTATCCTCAGGAAGATTAATGCAGTAGTTTCCTCTTGCTTTCTGCATCGCAGTTGGTGAGCCATTGCTTGAACTATCTCCAAGCTGCCTCCACCCTGCCCTTCCATTGCCGTTAGTTTTGCTACAAAACTCGCCATATGGTCGGTAGTAGCGGTTGCTACTTCCCTCCGCTACCTCCTTTTAATCGCCTCTTACGATAAGCAGGAGTTACTGTGGTCCTATTCTACCCCCGGACCCACAGGGGGAATTATTATACAAGCTACTTGAAATCAATATTGACAAATGGCTATGAGACATAAGCTACTACAAAAGGTAACTAAATTTCTGATGATAATTTCATATGATTCTAAATTAAGTACGCCGGAAAGAAAAGTGCTCAGAAAAATATTTGGCCCAGTGTATAATATGGAAATGAGAATGTACTAAAGAAGACATAATAATGAATGAATGAATGAGACCAAATATATTATCGTACAGTAGAGAATAGAATGACTGGACACGTTTGGAGAACAGATGGGAAACTTATAAAACAAGTTACAGAAAGTAGAATTGTGAAAAAAAAACATATATGAGGCCCCAAACAAGATGGAAGGATGCAGTAGAGAAAGATCTAGCAGTGATCCATGAAAATATACAATTAGAGGATGCAAATGATAGGTTCCAATGGAATGACAAAGTGGTAAAAGTAATGGGTCTACAATGTAGGTTCGTCATTTCCCTGGTTTTCCCATGTTTTTTCCCAGTTTTTCACATTTGCTGAGAAAACTCCGGAAAAAAACGAAAAACGACCTTTCTAAAGTTCCCCAACAAAAAAAAAACGATTCATAGCGTAGTTCAATTAAAAGTAATGTTTTGTTAACAATATATATGTCATATATTAAAATAATTAAATAGGCCTTATATATTTTCTTTAATAACATTTGTTTAATATTGTACCGATTTTTCCCATGCATTGGAAAAACTCGAAAAATCGAAAAATTACCTTCCTTAAGTACCTTCCAAGTCAGATTTCCTTTCAGTAAAAATGCTATCATTTTAAAACGGAGCAAAATTGCTGGTAGAAAAGTTGAACACAGAAAAAAAGACCATAATATTTTTTTACTAATAGGTACATCCGTACATTTTTCCTTTTTTCCGACATTTTATCCCGGTTTTTCCTAGATATTATGAAAACTACTTGAAAAATCAACAAACAACTATTTTAAATTATCTTAGAGATAAATCTTCCTTTTAGAAAATAAGGTAGACTTGATACATCGGAGCAAGATTTCAGATAGAAAAGTTTGCACAACAAATCGAGGGGTATTTTGCGATTAAAATAATCCGAAGGAGGCTTGGGTCTCTAGGTACATCCAAAACGCATTTGTTTTTTTCTTGTTTAGGTAAAAGGGTGAAAAATGCGAAACATTTTTTTTATCACACTGGTTTGAATTTGGAACCCCTAGGATGATAATAAGCATAAATAACCATTAGATTACGACAAATATTCATCAAGGACAATACAAAGTTATTTACATAACATAACATGTCCGCATAATATCAGAACTTTAAAAATCTATAATTTCAAAACTTGGTTAGTCTGCTTAATTCTGACTTAACCATCATTCTAAAATAGACAATATACATATGTTCAAAAAAAAAAAAAATTTAAAACTTAGATTTGATCCACATAATTTGACGCGCGTACATATTTGAACAAGATTTATGGTCAATTTTGTGTACACAGTATAAAATAGAAAAAGAAAAAAAAATTTAAACATCTTAGTAAAACCATTCTTCAGTACACTCAGAATCTAAAATCGTAATATTATACTAAAATATTTCGTACATTTTTCCGTTTTTTTTTTCTTCGGTTTTTCGCATTTGATTAGAAAACTCTTGAGAAAATTGTATCTTTAAAATACATCCCCGGTGAAATTTCTTTTAGAAAAATTGCTATCTTTAAAAGTTGGATCAAAATTGCCGGTAAAAAAGTTATCTACAGGAAAAAAAAAGGCTGTAATATTTTTAATACCTATGTTTCGTTTATTATTATTAAAAATAAATGACTAATTTAAAAAAACAAAACAAAAACTAGTAAATACATAGTTGAAATAGACGTGATTAGACGAAGATTTATTTTGTGCAAACGCGTTTAACGCAAACGACTTTACCAACGATTAGTTAAAAATTAGTCAGCAAAAATTAATTTGACAATAATCATATGCTGCAGTATAGTAGGTATAGATACACCGGAAATATGTTAAAAAACATTTAATACGATAGGTCGGTATAGAACTCAAAAAATACAGTGTTGAATTGTATACAATAAAGTGAGAGAGAGATATTAATGAATTTAATGGCCCCATGCCGATTCATTCTGCGACCCTGCTATAGGATCCGCCGATCTTATTGTATAATAATGAAAAAAAAAAGCCGTGATCGTGATTTTAGACTCTAAATGGAACGAAGTTTATCAAGATTTTACAAAGGTGTTTTTTTTTTATCTGTTAATTACTTTTCTATCAGAAGACTTGCTCGGATTTTTTATGTGTAGCACCTTTTCTGAAAGGAAATCAGTGTAGGGAGGTACTTAAAGAAGTCATTTTTCGATTTTCTCAAGAGTTTTCTCATAAAATTTGAAAACCGAAAAAACACGGGAAAATGTACAAAATATATTACTAAGATATTATTTTTTTTCTACGAGTAATTTTGTTCCGACTTTTAAGAAATAGCAATGTTTTTAAAAGGAAATTTCACTGGGAAGGTATTCTAGAGAGGTCGTATTTTCGATTTTCTCAAGAATTTTTCTAGCAAATGTGTAAAACCATGATAAAACATGGGAAAACCGGGAAAAACGTAGGATACTTGGGAAAATCGGTACAACATTAATCAAATATTATTAAAGAAATATATAAAGCCTATTTAATTTTTTTATTATAAAATGACATCTATGTCTATATCTATATTGTTGACGAAGCATCACTATCAACTGAACTCCACTCAGAGTCGTTTTTTTGTAAGCAATGGTTTATCGTTACTTATAGGTGTACATTAAATTATATATAATAGTGGTTGCATCTGTTTCTATTATCCTAGGACGTCTTTTATATTTTATATTTAATATATTTGTATAATTTTTACCTACCTAATATATACTTTTAATATTTATTTTTATGTTTTTTTGTTCACGAGATTTGGGTTGTAGTCCAAATTGGGTTTAAGTTCTGAGTGTTTGGTGTACCTGCAAAGGGTGGGCACGTAAATCGATGCATTGGGTTCGCTGGCCGTGTGTTCAGGCCATAGATCACCTGCAGAAGCGGCGTTTGAATGACTACAATCTTCGTTGAAGTTGTTTAAATTTGATTTGTAATTAACCGAATGCAATAAACCAAGCCGGTCGATGTCTCCTTTTCCAGTAAACATGTTGATTAATCCATCAGCAGACGTGGACATATTCATCTGGAAATTGATAATAATTCGTTGTTATTTCAATAAAGTTTAAAAATTTACAACACCTTTTATATTATATTACTCCATAAAACCATCCCACTTTCTTGAACGGTAAATCGAGGGGAAAGAACCTTTTTAATTGTATCGCAACATTCAAAAGAGGATCGTCGTAACCTTCAAAAATGAAATCACCAGCCGTTTTGGTCACGTATGGCTTAATGTTCGACAATTTTAAATAGTAACCGGCTATGACACTTAACCACGTTTTATCGATGGCCAGTAATTTTTCACCCAAAATCTACAAAATTAATGAATCAATAAATTATTATATTATTATTCAATAAAATAATACGAGAGATGGGACAGTTCGGCGTGAGGACAATTTATTGAGGGATAAAAAAACATATTTTTATACCATTTTGTTTATTTTTATTAACGATTAATAGACAAGTTAGTTCTAAATAATATTTAAACATTTTTTTACAGTGCCTTTATGTTAAGTATCTAGGTATTTTATTATTAATGCAATTGCTGAAGTAAAAGAACGAGAGCGTACATCATATTTACAGGTGTCTTACAGTGTTATCCTTATATTAATAATTCTGTCAATATTCATTTTTTTTTTTTAATAACACGTTACGCAATAAAGAATCGCAATCAGAGCGGTAATTCCTCATCGTCTATTGGACATTAATTGTTCTCACGCCGATTTTCTAGAAATGAAAACGGCTATTATTAAGAAATTATTGATGGGATATGAGAATGTATGTTACATTAAAATTGTTAGAATTAAATATTTTAAAAGTTGGCTATTTTAAAATTACGGAAAGTATTAACTTTTTTTGGAATTTGAAAAATTAAGAAACAAGTAGTTTTATAATTTTAAATGTATATTATTGTTTGTCTCCTTTATTTTTGGTAGTAAAACCACCATGAAAAATAACATAAATGTAAAATTGTAAAGCTATTTGTTTTTTAGTTGAGCTACAAAAAAAATTCTGAAAAAAGTTAATACTTTCCCGAGATAATGAGTGTACTCATTTAAATGGAACACTATGTTTGAATATAATATAAATATTTATTATACTAACTGTGGACTTATAAAATAATAATAATAATATATGATTTAAAAATAGATATTAATTTTTTTTTCATGCATCGAATTTTTCCTACGTCGAATTGTCCTAGATCCAATTATAGAACAATAACAACAGATTTATTATCAAATTTACATTAAGCACAACATTAATAGTGGTAACTTCATCAGACAACGATCCGTTTGAAATGATACGATCGTATTTCCAACTTTTAAACTGTTTGTATGTTATTGTATTATTGTGATTGAAAGTTGTGTTCACTTTTGTATGGTATTCTCTGAAACAATATGATTAAATATTACGTACATATAGGTATTAAATGTCATTGAAATTTATTTTCACATAATATTAAGATACCGCCACAGTAAAAGTTAGTATTGTCGTTTCTTTTTCTATTTAACGCATACCTACAAGGCAATGTATATCTATCACAATGGTGTATCTAGACCTTTCTTACGGGAGGAGCGAAATATTTTTTCACCCATTCTTTAAAAAAGTAACTTCACCAATAAAACAATTTTATTAATAGACATAGGAATTGGACTCTTTTTATATTTGTAAAAAATAATATTTTAAAAAATAAAATTAGAAATTTTAATTTAAGTAAGTATAATATTCTAAATTTATAATATAAAAGATTACCTTCGGGTTTTCATAGAAGGGAATTTTTCAAATATATCATGCACTGGTATACTTATTTTCTGGTAAATATTAGGGGTGAGCATAGACATAAAACGTTGACGGTTTTTTTTTTAAAACGATATTAAAAAATATTCGAAAATAAAGATTACTAAATTCATATAATATATTGTACATACTAAATTACGAAGTTTGGCTATTAAATAATGAGACTGCGCGCGCAGAGAGCGTCCCAAAAAGGTCAGGGGAAAACCGAATACAGCGCTGGTTAGCTGGAAGTGTCTATTATGCCAGTACAAAATTGGGTTTTTGTTGGTGCATTAGTATTTTTTCTGTAGCGTTTAGAAACGAACATGTTTTTTTCTCTTGCCGAAAACGATGTGTGACGAAAAACATGAGCAACGGATAAACGTAAAATTTTCTCGTTAAACTAAAAAAAACTCCAACTGAGTGCTATAAGTTGTTAAAAGAGTCCTATAGTGAGGATTTCCTATCTCGGGCGCGTGTTTTTGAGTGGCATAAATTATTTTCTGAAGGTTGAGAGTGCACTGGAATCCAATTCAGTCGTAATCCAAATTCAAAACTATGCAGATCGTTTTCTTCGATATCAACGGCATCGTGATGACTGAATGGGTTCCAGAGGGTCAAACTGTGAACCAACATTACTATTTAACAGTTTTGGCAACATTGCGCGAATGAGTTCGTAAGAAACGGTCGATATTGTGGAAAAACAAGTCGTGGATCTTGCACCAGGATAAAGCGTGAAGCGTTATTTGGCCGCTTAAGGCACTCCAGTACTCGAACACGCGTCTTACTCACCCGACTTGGCACCCTGCGACTTTTACTTGTTTCCGAAGATAAAGTCTGCCTTAAAAGGAATCCGGTTTGAGTCGATGGAAGAGGTGAAACAAAAATCGGCGGAACTCCTGAATGGTCTTACGAAAACAGACTTCCAGTACTGCCTCGAGCAATGGAAGAAACGAATGAAACGGCGTGTGAAGAGGGGAGGAGAGTATATTGAAGGGGAACATTTGGTTGTGGAATAATTTTTAAAATAAAACCATTTTTCATAAGAAGTCTCGTTATTTAATAGCCACACCTCGTATGTTAAAAAATATAAATTTATTTGGTTATTATTTATTATTTAAAATATATTGACATAAGATATTATTTTCAAAATCGGTTTGTACATTTAAAATATTATTAAAATTATTTGTCTTTATTTCATTGTAAATATGTAATTCTTCTAAAACTGAATTAATGTAAATTTTATTTTGAGCATTTAATATCTCTAAGTGTGTATTAATATTAAAGTTTGTATTATGGTTATTATCTAAAACATGTTTAGTAAAATTTGAATTATGGGCAGTCTTTTTAAATTTTATTTCAGAAATGTGTTCTTTATATCTTATTTTAAAATGTCTTTTTGTCTTACCTTTATAAAATGTATGATAGTTACATGTAAGTTTTTTCAAATGCTTTTTTGAATTTTTGGGATTTTTTGTAAAGTTTTTAGTTCTATTGTTTATATTTTTGACTAAATTATTATTAGTCTCAAAGCGATTTTTACATTATTTGTTTACTATTCAGAATTTCAGCAAATTCGTTAGACATATTATTTTGATATTTCATATTTATACTTACTGATAGTTAACATTATTTGGTGAGTTATGTAATGTTTTTTCTTTAATACATTTATGCATTTTTTTAATAGTATTTAAATTGAAATTATTTCTATGTACTATATTATAGATAATATCGAGCTCAAGTTGATAATTATGTTTATTTAATGGAATGCGTTCAAGCCTATAGAATATTGAATTAAAAAATTGTATTTTTTGAGAATAAGGGTGATTAAAATCATGTGTTATTATAGCATCAGTAATTAGTTTGTCTAGGTTTTCTGTAAATATTAAAATCAAATTTATTTTTTATTATGGAAACTGTAAGATCTAAGAAATTAAATTCATTATTTAGATTTATTTCGAGTGTAAATTAAATATTTTTATTTATTTTGTTTAAGTAGTTAACTAAATTTTCTGCTTGTCTATTTAAACCTTTAAATAAAATGTGTCATTAACATATCTATAATATACTTTTATACATGGACTGTATATTTTGTTGTTAATAATATTATTGGTATCATAATTTTGAATGTAAATTTTATATAAAAGTACACTTAAAGGACCACCTATAACCATAGGATTGCGTAGGTCCCTTTTTCAAGGAATGCAGAAGGCTGTCACTATAACGTCTCTAAATGTTATTTAAGCATATAAAACTCTGGTAAAAAAATATACACACATATTGAAATGTCTTACCAACTGTTTGATTAAAAATATAATTTTTACTTAAAATTTAAATTGAATTACAACATAAAATGTACATATTTTACAAATATTTGATTTAACTCATATTATAGTTTTTGAGAACCTCAGGGACGTAGCTTCCTATTCTCTCCTCTAAATCCGGGACTAGTGTTCAGGGAATATAGCTGCATACCCTCCATACCTCCTGCACACGCTTATACCCATAACTAGCCATCCTTTTTACGAGTATAATTTATTGTTATATTGGAAGTAGTTTTGATTAATAATTACATTTATTGATTGAATAATTTCTTGTACTTCGATTGTGTTGAATTTATTACTATGTATAAGTTTATTTTTTAAAATTGTACTGTTTCGTGTTTAGGAGTGGATGTATATACATTTTTGACGTCAAAAGAAATCATTTTGTACCCTGGTATAATATTAATTTTATTAATTTTTTCAATAAACTATAAGTGTTTTTTATAGTTTTAGTAATCATGTTTAATTTTTGTTTTATGAAAGAATCTAAATATTTAGTAAGGTTATATAAGCTAAAGCAATTTTAGAGTTAATTAATGGACGAATCGGATTATCTTGTTTATATAATTTTATGAATTATCGGATAATTTGAATATCGGCTTGTGGTTTCAAAAAAATATTTGATAGTTTATATCGGTTAGATATTATCGGTTTTATATCGGTAGCAAATTTTTAAATATCGGATATAGGAAAAAAGTCATATCGGCTCAACACTAGTAAATATGTAACAGTACTGCGAGCCTGCATAACGATTCTGACACATTTGTTTCATAACTAGAAATCAATGATAAAAGACAACGGTAAAACCGCCTAAACGAAATTGAAAACACCAGAAACCTTGACCCGGTTCGACTATAGATAACAATAATATTTGACCATAAATTTGGATTCAATTATTTGAAAATATTCGACCGTGTTTATATATTATTATTAAGTGGTACGTCATGAAAAAAAAAAAATTCAAAATAAATTTAAAACAAATAACAATGCACACATATAATAATGGCCCACGAGGCAGAGGGCGAATGCCCCTTTACCCCCCCCCTCCCCCCCCTCATATAGGTACGTCACTGATTTAGAAAAATGAGGAAAATAACTGAATAGTTCTTTAAAATCAGTTTTACAGATATGAAAACCTATGACGTAATATAACTAACCAATTTTTTAACCTAACCTAACCTAACCGTTCAACGACAAGTAAGTTTATTAATATAATCATCTCGTTTGGATTTAACATTTGGAGAACAAACACGTACACGGTCTAGTTCGTATCGACAGAAAAAAAATTATATTTCATACTTAAAAACATATGGTCCCAATTGCTGTAGTATGGGCTTTTGTCCGTTTCGCAACGTTTCTTCAGCATTTGTCCAATTGAACAGATATACGCTCATGGTCAACGGTTCGGGTAGTCGTTGCCAATATGTGTACGTCCGAGAATCATTTTTCAACTCGAGTTCCTGTAATTGTTTAAACATTTTTAATATTTTACCATCATTATACTATTATTATCTATCGATTTATCAATACTGTTCCCATTAAACTGTTTGTGTATTGATTATTTTTTAAAAACACATATTATGTCCAGAGTCAAATTTCATCAGCAAAAAAATTGAAACTCACAAAGATTGGTCATTGAACTAACAATCATCATGTTTATCGTTCGACCATCAATTTGGACGATAAAATGACTTCCTTCTCCTTATAGAGAATATCGACAAATGGTTAAGCAAAGAATTAAAATTCTCATAAAACAAAAAAAAATAGCGCATTTAAATTTCAAAAAAACTCCATAATAATCAAAACTATAAAGATCTTTTCCAATTTTTGTAAACTATGTAAAAATAAAATTATAGTAGACTTTAAATTAAACTCAATCAGCAAAAACAGTAAACTAGTCTAGAATTTTATTAAATCAAAATCATTCCTCGGATCTTTACCTCAAACTTAAATAATCAATGTGCTAATAACGGCCAAGATATAGTTAACTTATTCGCCAAACATTTCAGTAAATAACTGTACCCTTTATCCTAATAATCTAATTAATATTAAAAATATTAATATATCGTTTAACGATGTATAAGATGCTCTTATTAAACTAAAAAGCTCCATACAAATAGGTCCTGATGGCTTATCAGTTAATTTTCTAAAATCTTATAGAAACTATATTGTTACTCCAATTCAATATCTTTATAATTTATCAATTTAATTAGGTTCTTATCCTGAATATTGGAAGACTTCATACGTTACGTCAATTCCAAAAAAAGGTTATTTATTGGATGCAAAAATTTATCGACCTGTATTTATTACTTCCATCCTTCCAAAAACGTTTGAAGATATAATACCTAAAAAAATTGGACCTTTATTCAAAAATATTCTTTGTGATAATCAACATGGATTCCGTAAAAATCACTCCACTATTACTAATTTAATCACTTTTTATCATAAAATCATAAAATTCGTCAGTTAGGGTTATCAGACAGATGTAATTTACACTGATTTCATAAAAGCATTTGATAGGGTTAACCACTTTATTCTATCACAAAAACTTAATTTTATTTGTATAAATAATCCATTATTATCATAGTTTACATCATTTGTCATTATTAGAATTCAAATAGTAAAATACAAAAATTTTATTTCTTCTTGTATAAATATAACATTTGATGTCCCACAAGGATCATATCTCTCACCACTTCTTTTGAATATAATCATAAATGATTTAAATTTTTGTCTACGTTTTGCTACTTTTATTTCGTTTGCTGATGATTGCAAATTTATTGGTTTTATAAAATCCATTGATGATGCATATTTACTACAAAATGATAGACAATATAGTTACCTGGTGCTTAAAGAACGAAATGAACATATATAAATACAATTTTATTTCCTTTTACTGAATTAAAATACCTATCATTTTTAAATACCAAATTTCTAATTGTAAACTACCAATTGATTTAAATATTACAGATCTAAGAATTATTTTTGAATCTAACTTAACTTTTAGTATTCATATTTCTAAAATAATAAATAAAGCATCAAAACAGTTAGGTTTTATAAAACATCACTGTGAAAATTTTACAAATATTATTGCCTTAAAATCATTATACTGTTCACTAGCCCGATGTCTTGAATAAAACTCCACTCTATGGGCACCACATCAGATAGGTTTAATTAAAGACTAGAAGCTGTCCAACACCGATTTTTAATTTTTTTTTTTTTATTAATTTTAATATTTATAAAGAGGCACACACATCTTATGAGCTATAACTCAGTATATTAAATTTAAATGCTTTAAAAATAAGAAGAAAAAATTAGATTTATTTCTCTTATACAAATTACTTAATAATTTAATTGAATGCCCTGAATTATTATGTATGATAAGTTTAAAGATTCCTAAAATTAATTTAAGAAATGTCAATTTGCTTTATTCGTCTTTAGCAAGTAATCAATCAGTATCAAATGAACCAATTCATCGTTTAATGAGTATAACTAATAGGTAAAATATTGATCCTTTGGTTGATAATTTTTGTGAATTTAAAAGTAATGTGAATTTAGCTCTTAACTGTAAATAATAAGATAAACAATTTTTATTGTAATCGGAATCTGTATCTGTATGAATTATATAAATAAATAAAGTCTTAGTATCATAGTGTCACATTTTCGAAAAAAGGTAACATAACTTTTAAAACATATAATAGGTATATTTAATGACGTAGCAAGGGGGGTGTTTTAATACTCAAATACCTCCCTTTGTTCATATTTATGCCAAAAATTATATATTTGCTATATATGCAGTTATGCATCAGATTTCTACAAGATATGTTTTGTTACGCATGGATATTTGCACAATAAAGTTACACAATAAATTGTAACTTCGTAAATTTAACATAAAATAAAAATACTCTCTCCCTTTAAAAAAATCTCCGCTACGCCATTGGAATTATTATAGACCAATAAAACCAAAAAATTACCTTTTTAATATACCAACTAGACAAAATTACTTTTCAGAAAAGGTAGTACAGAGCGAGAGCAAGATTGCTGGTAGAAAAGTTGTTCACAGACATACATAGTAAAACAAATTGCTACACTCAGAATCTAAAAAAAATTAATATCATTGTATAACTAATACAATCCTTATTATGGTCTGAATCTAATAACATTTCTCTGCTCAGAAAAAAGTGCAATGGAAAATTTAATAGATTTCACACTTTATAAAATCATTTATTCACAGAGGCTGACGCATTAGCGGAGGACCGTAAATTTCAGTTGGATTGTTTCCCTACTAATTTTAAATTAAAAACGAAACAATTAGTATTTTTTTGTACTATTTTATGATTTAAAGCTTTACTACGATGAGCGATTTATTTTTATACATGTATATCTATATATTAATTAGATTAGACAATTTATTAGGATTTAATATCATGTACAAATAAAACTAATTTTGTTCTATTATTAATATTTCAGTTATATTTTACAGGAAAATCGCCTATGATTCTGGATATACATAATGTAAAAAACAAATTATAATTTTAAAAAATCAATTCTTTCTACGTTATTTTCGATTTAGTTGTTAAAATTACTACAAGGAAAATAAAAAAGCAACTTTCTAGGTCACCAACTAGATTAACAATGTATCAAAAAAGATCTCTTGTTATTGTTCTATTGAAGCAATATTTTTGATAGAAAACTTAAGCCATGCAAATTTAAAGTAATGAAATCGTACGCCACGCGCCGTAAACTCGTCGTTCTTAATTTTTCGTCTTTTTCTGGTTTTCCAAATAATTTTGAAAACTACTTGAAAAATAAAAAAATGACTTTCTTTCAGATCTATATTGAACAAAAATAAGACTCTTGGTATTTTTTGATTAAAGCATTTTCTGGTATAAAACATAGTTTGCAAAAATTAAAAATAATGAAATCGGTAACACGCCGTAAATATTTACTGTTTTACCTATAACTTTCTTACAATTTAAAAAAAGATCCCATTTCTCTTTAGAAAAGGTGGTACACTTAATACTTCAGACAAAGATTAAGTATATTTAATCAATGCCTCAGAGCAAAATTTCTCACTAACACACATAGTAAAACCAACCAACCAACCAAAATCATTACGCTACGAATCTAAAATATGCCATGGTATACATGTAATGCAATAACATGCAATATTACTGACACGTATCCATAGATTTTTATTGAGGAGGTGACTGAAATTTGTTTTTATGAATACCAATCCAGGTGCTAGATCCCGCTTTATACTTGTATGTACAATTTCTCAGAAATATTGACTCTAGCCTCACCAGCCCCCAAATAATATCCCTTATTATAATACAACATATTTGAAATTAATATTATATGATATTAATTTTTTTTTTTTTCTATTACTAGCAATGTGAATATTTATTTATTTTGGATTTCAAGCGTAGCGTAAATTGTTTGGTTTTAATACATTATATTATGTTGAGCTTTATTCATCTCCCCTCTTTGAGCACACTGCTGTATTACACATAGTGATAGAAAAATCACGTTTCTTAGTTTTTTTCTGATTGTGCAAGTATTATTGGTTATTATAACATCAATTCTTACGTTTCTCATCATGTTTTTGTATATCCATGGCCATAGTTCGGCCATAACGATTCCCGTGAACAAAAGTACAACACCGAATAACGACAATAAGAGATGACACCAGAAACCGTCGAAATGTGACGAACTCTTTTGTAGCCCATCGTCATCATCATCCGACGGGATCAATCTTCTGAAAATTTAGTACATAAATCGTTAAATTATAATTATTAGAAAAATAAAGAGGTAATAATGCAGATGAATGTGCCACTGTTGTAGGTGAGAAGTTGGAAAGAAAAGATATATGGAGTTGTGTTAATTTATATCTGAATGCAATAATAAATCATTGTTAATAATAGGAAATACTAACCTGAGCGAAGTTCGTTTAAACATGTTTTGAAGTTCCGTGATTTTTACGTTTTTTGTCAAAATTTTACCTTAAAATGGTTTAAAAAAAATGCTATATTACAGCCAACGTTTTTTTTTTTTATTTTGTTACTAGCTACAATTTTTAATACACCTGCTATAATAATTACCAAGCATTTCTGTTCGACAAAAATTTTATCCTCAAAAATTAATTAAAAAATAAAAAACTCGAAAATGTTAAATGCATATAAATAATTTAAAAAACACCAAATTACCAGAATGCGTTGAAAATTTTACCATGTTTAGAAAATACTAATATGATTGTTTTGTGAAAATTTCAGTTCACTATAATTTTTTTAAGTTAAAAAAAAAATGAAAATAATAATACTATTATTGCTGACAACTTTTCCATTTTCTCATTATTAAGAAATTTCCACTATTAAGAAAACTATAAGAAAAATCAACAAATTACCTCCTTAATGCACTAACTAGATCCAAAATTCTACAAAAACACTCTCGTAATTTTTTTTATTTGAGCAAGATTTCTGGTATAAAAGTTATTAACAAGCAGAAAAAAAGGACATGTCATAGTAAAACCAATACATTCCTCACTGCGTACAGAATCTAAAATTACTATGAAACGAAATTGCATATTTATATGGATAAATACGAGTGTCAGTAGGTATATAATATTTAGTAACATACTTTTTTTTTTATATTTATAAATAATCGAGGTTTTTTATCGCGTAAATAAAAAATAGTTTCTTAGATAACGTAACAACTAACAAACATTACATTACATAGCGGTGACAAAAAAAAAAACATAAACTAATGATTTTTATTGACACAATCTGTTTTCTTCGTTTAAATATTTCGACCACTGAATAAAGATTAAATTGGTATACTAATGAAATACAAAATATTATAGAAGTTTAACACCAAAATGTATTAATAAACCTCATCGTTTAGAATGGAATTTTTAGCATAAGTTGTCTATTGAAAATTAAAACATGGTAATGGTTAAGTTGTTTCACCCATAAAAATTAGAGTGATAGAAATTAAGAATAATGTAACATTTAAGAGCAATTTGTTTCTTAATTTTTTTTAAAAACGTGATTACAGTTTTTTGCTACCTAAAAACCAAAATCACTTAATTTGTAAGTTTTAACTCTTCTCATCAGAGATGCAAATAGTCCAAATATTTTTGTTTTTTTTTTTAGAGAGGGGCTTAACACCCTTTAATACCCTTAATATCGATAATGTTTACTTAGTATTTACTTGATTTAGGAGGCTTGGTTGTGTTTTGAGACAAAACCCCCATATTTACGCTTATACCTCTCATATAAATTTAGGCAGTACGCACCTAGAACTAATTTATTTACATTGAACTTAACTACAAACGAGAAAATTGGGAAAAATGCAAAGCAAATATTTGAAAAGGTTCATTTGGTACAACACTTGAAACACATTAGTCTGATAACCCATAAACTATAAAATAACATTTTTTAATATTTTCAATTTTAGATTCTGAGTGGAGCGAAGAATCTCAGTTTTACAAAGATGTTTATTTGTTTTTACTGTGGACAACTTTTATACCAGAAATCTTGCTCAGATTTACAAGTGTAGCACTTTTTCTGAAAGTATATCGGACTGGGAGGTACTTTAGAGAGGTAATTTTTAGATTTTCCCAGAAATTTTCTCAGGAGTTTTCCCAATAAATGGGAAAAACTGGGAAAAACATGGAAAAACGAAGGAAAACAGGAATAATAGGTAACATATTAAACAAAAGTTATTAAAGAAAATATATAATGCTTATTTAATTATTTTACTATATGACATAAATATTGTTGACAAAGCAACACTATCAACCAAACTTTGCTTGGTTAAGCAATGGTTAATCGTTACTTACAGATATACATTAAATTTCCCCTCTACTTCATTTCAAACTTCTCACTTTTTTAATTTTTTTTTTTAAATTTATTATCTCTAGTACCAGCCCAATTTAATAACAACTTAAATGCTCTTCGCCATACGAACGCTGGTCGAATTCGGGCTTGTCTACGAATAATAATTTTCCCCAAGCCTAGCTAGTACTCCAAGGAACAAGAGTTCCAGTAAAAGCAAACTATCTATACCATCCATAGACGTAATAGGGGAGAACTTGGACTGAGCCGCCATCTCCTTATTTATGTTTTAAACCCCTCAACATTATTTAAAATGAAATAAGTTCACCCCTATGTAAAAAATGTTGATTCTAAATGCACTCTATGTACGTCATTCACTTTGTTTACTACTTTATATTAATGTAATATGACCACAAATATATAAAACAACTAGATAGCCGACTTTGTGTATCATGCTATACAAATCAGTGAAACTGCTGCCATATGTTAATTTTGCATTGTTTACGTTTGAAATGTAGTTAATAATAATAACCGATATAAACGGTTTCGATAACCGATTCCAAATTTCAATTGAGTTATTTGAATTATTTTTGTATTACTTGTTTTATTCGTTTGGTATATAATGTAATATAATTATATTTAAATAAAACTATGGTGGTGTCATGTTCTTTTGGATTTTCTCAATTCCAAAAATAAATTTTAAAAAGTCCCCTATTTTTTCTAATAATATGATGAAACTTAAAAAATTATAGCACTATTAATTGTACATTAGCTATTCACTCTAACATTTAAAGATTCCCTATTATATACTTCCAATAAAAAAAAAAAAAACTTTTATTTTAAGGTTTTCTATTGCAGTTAAATCAATTTTTTCCTTATCCAAACAACTATTTCCACAGCATACAAATTATAATTATATTTTAACGTATACATTTTCTCAGAACAACCTAGAGTTACTTTTTGGACTGATTCGACAACGTTTTGTCTCAAATAATAACCCTAATGTTTTTCAATTCAAAACAGCAATCAAATAAATTTCAATGATTCTGATGATTGGATCTCAATTTGAATATAAATAAATATAAAAAAAAGGAATTAATTAGGTTAAAGAAGTTTTTATAGATGAAATTGATAATATTGCTTTAAAAAAAAGTGGATTTCATTAATTATGATAGTTCCAATAACCTATAGCTATTCCACGATGCTAAACATAACACTTTATACTATATATTGTGAAAACAATTTTTTATGTCCGTCAAGCCGTTGTCGAGATATTCCATTTTTAATTTTAGGTTGCAGAAGCGAGTAGCGGTGCATTAATAACACATCGCACGCCGTACCGCCAAACAAATGACACTTTATTACTCTCCTCCAACCCAAACTTAAAAGTAGAATATCTCGTTAACGGATCAAAGGAAATCAAAAATATCAACACTGAAATTGATTTTAACTAAAACTCCCTCTATTTACGGACTTTTTAAAGATTGCCTTTTGAAAATCAAAATTAGGTAGTGGTTTCACCCCTTAAAATAAGAGTAACAAAAAAAAACGTAAATACAAAATTTTAGAGCTGCTTGTTTTTTAAATGTTCTAGAAAACAAATTCTGAAAAAAATGAATACTTTCCGAGATAATGAGTGTGCCTACATTTTTAGATTAAGAGCTTAGCGAAGGATCCATTGGTTTTACTATGAACAAACGACGCTTTATATTTTTTTCTATTTATAAACAACTTTTCTACTAGAAATTTTGCTTCAAAATATAGATTACAGTATTTTTACTGAAAGGAAATTTTTTCTAGTAAAGTTACATTATATAGGTCATTTTAAGATATTCCAAGGGATTTTCAAATAAATTATGAAAACCAGAAAGAAAATTTTGCCAAACAACTTATTTATTTATTTATTTATAAACGCTAGTCGGAAATTTTGTAATTACATTTAGGGTTTGATTTACTAGTAACAGTTATTTATAATATAATACTAATAATACACAGTAAAAACGAAAATAATACTGAGAAAACAAAATATAAATTAGATGGTGATATATTGCCACCCTACAAAAAAAAAATAATAATAATAATAATAATAATAATTTAATAAATACAAATTAAATTAAATATAAAAACATTACAACTAGAGTCGTACATTTAATGATTATAGTTGAAATCAAAATTAAAGCTATTTAAATTATGAAGCATTCTATGTAAGGGGTGGTTATTACAGTAGTATGTACTGTGGGCTGGTACAAGGAAGAGGGAGTAATGTTTAGAAAAAAAGAAAGGTATACAAAAACTTATGTTTGATAGTTTGATTAAGATGGGGAGCATCTGTGGTGCCTCTTAAGAGTGAAGAAATAAATTGCTCGTCAATATCTTTTCGGAAATTTTAGTAAGAAAGGCTCTAACCATCCCTCCGAAAAAAAATTTAAGCACCTAGTGATGCCACAATTGATCATTAATGATCCAAAATTTGAAATTTTTACCTAATACAGTTAACAAATTATATTTGGTAAAAAGAAACTATTAAATTTACTATAATTATCTAATAGGTATAAATACATTTTTTAATTAAAAATTGCAATCACTGAATCATTTTTTATATACTTACCTACCAAAATATTTTTTATTTCAAACGGATTTGAAAATCTATATCAAAAATCTAAACCTTATTATAAAAAGGATTTTAAAAACCAAAATCCGAATTTAGATTTCTAAATCCTATGATTTGCAACCATGCCCTATACGTCTTATACGTATTACATAGCTAGTGAATAATTCATTTCAATAAATTATACATACTTACTGGATTTCCTCCGAATCTTGTCTCATTGTCTACTGATTTTCTAGTGAATAATCAAAAAACAATGACAGTGGTTAAACTAAAATGCAATTGAACAATAATACTTATTTTTTTAATTCAATGGCGGACAATAATAATAAGCACGTAAGTATTAAATATTATGACAAAAATAACTTTTAAAAATGTTCCTACACTCAAAAATAATCGTCAACTGTCTGTATTCAACAACAGGCAACAAATAAAAACATACATTCTTTTCGTATAAGTAATGTAAATATTGTTTATTATAACCAGCTGGACTTGGAACGTTCAATGATCGACTGTCGGCCGCTGTACTAATAAAATCAGTATTGTACTATAATATTTGATTTAATATTTAAAATTATTTAGAATATTGTTATTGTAAGTTTATGTGTTAAAAATCAATAAACAACAAAATTATTTTTACAAGCTGATACAGAAAATGTAGCTAGATATTAATACGTTGTAGTAGATATTAATACGAAATCGACGTGGTCAATGATAAGTGGGAGTAAATATCCCAACGTCAACTAAGTTAATAATAATAATAATAAAAAAAAAAAAAGATAACAGAAAACAGATCCGACAGACTAACGTTGAATTGTAAATAGATAATATAAAATATACAAGGACACGGACAAAATATTGGAATGTGAATTCATTTTGAATCTCGAATAAAAAACAATGAATAAAAATATTTCTATGCTAGTTTTAAATGCATTTAATTTTAAATCAAATAAGATTAACCTTATAAATGTCTTTTTATAAAAAGACAATTACAAAAATATAAATTACTAGCTGTATTCCCGACTTTACCCATGAGCAGTTTTGTAACTTCAATTTTAGATTTGAAGCTCACCGAGGGATCTATTGGTTTTACTATGATGTGTGGTTTTGTATTTCTGTTTTTTTTGTTTTGTATTTGTGAACAAATTTTCTACTATAAGCTTTGCTCCGACTTTCAAATGTAGTAATTATTCTGAAAGGAAATCTGACTGAAGTGGTACATTAGTGAGATCATTTTTTTATTTTCCCATGTTTTCTCATTAAATAGGAAAAACGGCAAAATGTATTAAATGTATTAATATATTATGGCCTTTCAGATTCGGAGCGTAGCCTCCATGTGGCTAACATATTGTCTCCGCCATTTTTATTTAAATTTTAAGCACAGCAAATGTACTGGATTTATTATGATATGTTCTTTCTTGTATGTATAAAGAAGAGTTAATATTTTAACCGATAAATATTATTAACGATGAACAGTATTTTAGTTGTCAAATATTTTTACTGAACCAATCATATTAAGAGGAATCAGTGGCAGCCGCTTTAATGTGTAAAAACCAAAAATACATTCCATTTTAAGAGTATGTAGTCGCATAATTTGCATACTTCTTACAAGGCCCATGAGCAGGATTTATTAATGAGGGGGGTTCATAAAAAAATACTACTATTGATTTATATATGATTTTTTAAAAACCGTTTGAATGTCCATTTCGATGTTTTTGTCAACGGTGTGTTAGTGTAACTTAAAATCTTACTCTGAATTCACAATCATTTTATTGCCAAGTTTCAAGTCTTTACGTGTTATTTGTAACCGAATTACAGCAAAAAAACTCCCAAAAATTTAAATTCTTAAAAACTCAAAAGTCTTGGCAATGATTCCGTAAGAAAGGTTTTTCCCACTTAAGTGCTTTTATTTAAAAATTTGTGTCGAAAATCAAAAAATAACCTCTGTAAAGTACAATATAGAAAACTTGATATTTTAGAAAAATTACTAAATGTAAAAATCGGAGTAAATTTACTAGTAAAAAATGTATCTATAGACTAGAACTAAGAAAAAAAAGACGTCCTAGGATACTGGAGACGGGTGCAGCCACTGTTATGGATAATTTAATGTATACCTGTAATCAACGATAAACCATTGTTTACAAAAAAACGACTCTGAGTGGAGTTCAGATGATAGTGATGCTTCGTCAACAATATCTATGTCATTTTATAATAAAATAATTAAATAGGCTTTATATATTTCTTTAATAATATTTAATTAATGTTGTACTGATTTTTCCGTTTTCCCTTCGTTTTTCTCCAGATCATTACATTTACTAAGAAAACTCTTGGAAAAATCGAAAAATGACTTCCCTAAAGTACCTTCCTAGTCGGATTTAATTTTAGAAAAATGCTATTTTAGTAAATCGGAGCAAAATTGATGGTAGAAAAGTTGTAAACAGAAAAAAAAAGCAATTTTTTTTACTAATAACTACATTTCATACATTTTCAGTTTTTCCGATATTTTATCCCGGATTTTCCCAGTTATTCAGAAAACCGATTGAAAAATCACAATAAAAACCATCCTAAACCATTGAGATAAAATTTCCTTTCAGAAAATAAGCTACACTTGATAAATGGAAACAAAATTACTGGTTGAAAGTTTACACAACAAATCGAAGGGTATTTTTCGATTAAAATCGTCCAAGAGAGCGAGAGTTAGGTCTCTAGGTACACTTAAAATGCATTTTTTTTTCTCTATTTAGGTAAACCCCGTTTAGGTTATATAGGTTTTACCCCGTGACCCATTGTATGCCAATAAGTACTCATGACAATTTTACTACAACAAACATACAGCAAGTAGACAATATAAAGTTATTTAACATAAACATTAACATTTGACTACAACAAACATACAGCAAGTAGACAATACTAAGTTATTTAACATAAACATGTAATATCTACATAATATCTGAACTTCAAAGAGCTATAATTTCATATACTTCACCATCCTTCTTATATCTTTGGAAAAAAGAAAATTGAAAAATTAGATTTGTTCCACATAATTTTTTACTCAAACAATTTTTATTAAAATTCCTTAATAAAAACAAATACTAAATTAAACTCAAACTTTTTTTTTACCACAAAGTAAGACTTAATGAACCTACTGTTAACTTTCCAAGCATTTCTGTTAAGTCTAACAATTTTATCATAGACTACCTACCGAATAAATATTAGGTAAAAATTCTTAAAATTAAAATGTCTATAAATACCTCAGAAATAGCTTAATTTTTTTGAAAATTTTACCACGTTTAGAAAAGGCAAATATAAATTTTCTATACAAATTTCAAATCCATAGACTTGATACGAATATTTTTAACTGAATTTCAACAAAATATTACAATTTGTATAAAAAGCCTAAAAATAGCTCAAATGGTTTCAAAAATTAAACCACGTCTAGAAAAGGCAAATATAAGATTTCCGTCCAAATTTCAATTTTCGAATATTTTTAATTGAATTATAACAAATAACAAAATTGATAAAATAATAAAAGTATTATTTTCCTACATTTCCCGTTTTGGATACGTATTATCCTGGTTTTTCTCAAACTTTATGAAAAAAGCTTGGAAAATCATAAAAATGACCTCACAAAAGTACCATCTGGATAATATTTCCTCTCAGAAATTATGTCTGGTGTATAAATCGGAGTAAGATTTAATTTTAATTTAATTTAATTTTTGCACTCCGAATACAAAAAAAAAAAATCGTAATATTATACAAATATATTTTGTACATTTTCCCATTTTTCATTTGGTTTTTCGCATTTGATGAGAAAACTCTTGAGAAAATCGAAGAATAACTTCTTCAGGGTACCTTCCCACATAGATTTCCTTTCAAAAAAGGTGCTACACGTAAAAATCGGATCAAGTCCTCTAGTAGAAAAGTTGTCCACAGAAAAAAAACATAAAATAAACAACTTTGAAAAACCATAAGCTTCTTCGCTCCACTCAGTATCTAAAAGTCATATTATTATCATCAGTCACCGAAAAATGCATGAAGTATTTTTTAATTTATCTGTTTTTAGCGGCTAGCATACCTGAAAATATAGATTATAACATTCTAATAAAAAATATAAAGCCTTTTAAGTTGTAATTCGCGGTTAGACATACCTCATATCAAGTAAAAAATGAAAAAACAAAACGAATATGCGTGCCAATATGGTGCACGAGTTAAAAATCTAGCATCAAAATGTTTATTTGTATCGGAACTAACAACGGTCATTTGAGACATATATGTTGTTGGTATGAGTTCGGAACTTATCCAAGAACATCTCATAGAAGAGGACACATCAAAAGTTGGAGTAACATGTTTGTTCTAATGGATATTACAATAGCCAAAGAAGCAGTGAACCACAAAAGTGAATGGAGAAAATAATAGATGGCGCAGATTTTAAGTACCAAAAAAAGTCCAAGGGTGATCAACCCAGCAGAATTTCAATGCATCCAAGGAATCAAAAGGGAAATATGGAATTTGTAGCCGTTCCAATCATCTCCAAAGAAACAGCAGGTACAAGGACTATGAATACAACAATTATGGTGAAACAGGTCATTTGTCCACTGCTTGTAAAAAGGTTAATAAATATAAGAAAAATATTAAAGCAATAAAAAATTTTTTATCAAATAACGATGTCAATAATGAAACAGTTAATTATGATATGTCTAACACTCTTTTGTCTATAATTGATCAATATTCACTGTATTAACATTAAACAAAATAATAATTATAGACTTATTAATTCTTTGTTAATATTTTGTATACTGAAAAAAAAATCTTTCAAATTAAATTGGTCTATATCATAATATACAAATATATGTATCTCCAAAAAATACAAAACAACTCATCAAGTCACTCCTGAAAAGGAACTTATTATTCTTCATAAACTCTCCATGAACCAACTTCTCGATTGTTTTTCATTTGTATTATTGTACAAATTTTGTTAATAAATTACAATAAACAACAATTGAGTTTAAATAATATTTCTTTGATGTTTATTAATTTGTATTTGTTCAACAATGATATTATATTAATATTTAAAACTATAAATACTCATTATTTATCAATAATGCACAAATGGACTCTGGGTGAATTGCAAAGAATGCATAGTACACAATAACAAACATATTAAATAAAGAAATTACATTACAAGCATAGCACACTATTAAATTGAAGAATTAAAATATGAATGTATAAAAATAAGCTAAGTCTCATAAATAAAATATTTTTTGATTAACTTCTAAATTATATTCTTAACCTTAAGTATTCCAAATAATGTACACGATTTCTCAAACATGTTTAATGTTTTTACACTTCATTAGTATGTTGGTCAAACATTTGTTTATTTAGACTAATACTAAGTACATGCATGGACATAACATATAATATTATTTCAAGACAAAAATATTAAAGTTTATTAATAATTATAAATATCTACAAATTAATCAACTAATATAATTAAAATATATTTTAGAAAAAGTATTAGTATTTAATATTTATAAAGAATATTTTTCACACCTAAGGGGAGGGGGGGTTATGGACCCAGGGCCCAGAGTTTCTACTGGTGAAAAGCCCAGTCAAGTAATTCTAGTAGGCATATGTTATTGTTTCTGTAGAGCAGAGAGATTCACTTTATAGTTAACAATACCATTCTCCTTGCGAGAGGGGGTCAGAATACTCCCATAATCACTTCCTGTCATAAGAGGTGACAAGTAAGATTGTGTGAGGTTAAACAGCCGGTGTAAAATTCTGACAACTATTTTGAAGAATTCTAAACAAGAATTTGGTGGATTGACCCACCACAGGGATAACAGGTAGGAAGAATTATCATGGTACCATTATGTTTCCAGATGATAGGAAAAAATCTGGAATAAGTTAGCGGTAAACTTGAGGAATGGTGAGTAAACTTGAAGGAAAGACACTAAAGATAACTAGAAGTAAAATAGAGTATAATTTTGAAGTAATAGGACAAGACAACTAATGAGAATAAATGGTTATAGGCGAGGTTAAGATTTTTAAGTATCATAGATCTTTTGTACAGAAGAACAGTGAAGTGGCTTTCATGAGGATGTGAAATTTAAGATTAAGTGCGGTTGGATAAAGTGGAATATCAGAAATGATAGGTGTTTTATATGACAAGAGAATTCCAATGAGACTTAAAGTTAAGTTTTACAAAAGTGTGGCGTGACTATTTTCCATGGTTCAATGTTGGTTGATAAACAGAAAAATAGAAAGAGAATAAGTGTATCAGGAATGAAAATGCTTAAGTGGATGAGTGGAGTAATGAGAGAAGATAGGATCAAGGATCAGTACATAAAAGGTAGCTTAGGCTTGGCTTTGGTAGAGGACAAAATAGGAGAAAATAGACCGAGATTGTTTAGTCATAACATGAGGAGGAATTTGAAACAGTAAAAATTTTAATTGAAATAAACATAAAAGGAAAAAGGTGGAGAGTAATACCAAAAAAAAGGTGGTTGGTTGCGATTGATAATATAAGAACAGTCGGTGTATGCAAGGTGGGAGATCATGTCAAATGGAAGTTTAGAAGGGGGTGACTGACCCCAAATTGCTGGGATGAAGGCAAGGAAGAAGAAGAAGATATTCAAATTATTTTTCAATTTACCTAAAGAATAACAAGTTAGATTAATTAACATTATAAAACACATTCTATGTAAAATCTAATATTCATTTGAGATGTTTTTTTTTTTTAATGAAAGACTTTGGGATATTTTGTGAATACTATAAATAATAATACAAACAATAATAAATAATAATAATATTATTATTATAATTATTATTATTATTTATTTTTATTATGAATTTCATTGTGAGAACTAAATATAATGTTCAGTTTATTCAATAGCATATTCAATCAAGTTGATCCATAGACATTACATTGGATCCGATCTCCGTGATCTCGGAAGGATTGACGGAAGCTAGATCATTTCTGAAAATATTTAATTTTGTAAAAATTTAACATAATAAAAACGAATGCAGTGCAAGATTACAACAATCAAAATATCAAAAAGTACAAAATATCGACAAGTTACTATTAATTAATTTCAAAATTATAATAATAATAATGGATAAATATTTTTTGACTATTATTATTTCAATATTTTTGTAAGATAATTAACTTTTTATTATTATTATAATTATAAATTATTTAATTTACAAATATTTACTTTAATAATAATAAACTTTGGTTATTGATATTACATTTTATTTAATTTTTTTACGGTAGCAAATTAATATTTTGACTGTCAGTGTTTTGACCAAACCCCCCAAAAAACTACTATTATACTATATTAAATAGTACTCATTAAGTAAAAATAATAATTATAGAATAGATATTATTATTTTATTTTATAAATATTAATAACCAATATTTGATAACATACAAATTGATTTGAATAATAAAATACAGCCAAAGCCCAAAAGTATCAGTCCATGCCCATACTTTCTATCTCATTACATTTTAGATTCTGAGTGGAGTAAAGAAGCTTATAGTTTTACAATGTGAACAACTTTTCTTTCAGAAATATTGTTCTGATTTACAAGTGTAGCATTTTTTCTAAAAAGAAATCTGACCGAGGTGAGTATCAACTTTAGGGAGGTGGTTTTTTTGATTTTCCTAGTTTTCTAAGTAAATGGGAAAATTGAAAACAATGGGAAAATTGCAACAATACTAAACAAATATTATTAAATAAAATATATAATGCCTATATAATTTGTTACCATATTATAACATATATATTATTGACAAAGTAACACTATCAACTGAACTTTGCTCAAAATCATTTTTCATTAACAATGGTTTATCGTCGCTTAAGATATACATTCAATTTCCCTTCTACTACTTTCTCAACTTCTCACCTGTAACAATGGCCCACTTATGCACACAAATGTCAGTCTTTTTCTATTTATTATTACATTTTTTAGTTTTAAATAGTTTGTTTATTTTAGACATATTTAATTAGTGGTGAAAACCCACGTGAATATGGTCATTAATATATAAAAGTTTATTGTTGTGTAATAAAGTATAATAATAACATTACATCTAACACTACTGATGAGTCCCACCTGAAAATTTTTTAGCGTTTTAATTTTTAATTTTCATTTAATTTGTGATTTTAAACATTTTTTAAATTTCAGATAAAAGTACACATAATTATGCAACAGACAGTAGTTGCATTTAATTGATTATTATAATAATTATAGTTAATTGACTGTACACTCTGTTTCTCTAACTTAAAAAAAATAATAAAATTCAAGAATTTAATGAAAATAAAAAGTTGATACGTCATAATTTTCAGAAGAATAAATTCTATAAAACGCCTATCTTTAAATTTTTTGAAAATAATAAAATAAAGTTATTTTTTTAGTTTTTTTTTTTTTTTTTTTTACCAAAACTTAAAAATTTAACTCAAATATAAATATGTATAGTTCTTATTTCTGGGAGCATTATAAAAAAATAGAATTTGAATATCTTCATTATTTCTAAAGATATTACAATGGGTATATCTTTGTGGAATATTGTGTATATAATACAATGCACAATATTGACAGCAAAATAAATCATATTAATGATAAAATAATATAAATAAATTAAATACAAAAATTCTATTCACATAATTATTAAAATATTTTAAGAAAGAAAAGTTAAATAAATCAATTTTTGTTTTGTTCCTTAACAAAATTATATCATTCTATTGGTAAGTGAAGTTAAAGCATAGTTTGTTCTATGTAAAAAAACATTAAATATAGTAATAAACCTAACAACTGAGGGATGTTAAAATAAAAAAAACCTAATAATTCTGGATAATCAATAAAACCATTTAAAAGTTTAAATACAAATTTGAAATCATTTATTTTTATTTTTTCTTTCTTTCAACAATTTGAAACAAATTGAATAGGTAATGGCTGATAAGCAGAAGGATAAGACATAAGGCTCAAGGATAATATTAGATTATAAGGCTACAAAACATAGAAAATAATTTCAACATTATCATAAGGTTATTTACAAAGACCAAAACATATAAGAATCCATTTCTTTAGCAACACATCTTAACAATACACCGGCAACTTGAGACTTAAAGAGGTCATTATAAAAGCATGTGATGTCTCAGTCTAACAAACGGGGAGTATAGAAAAATCTACCTTAAGCAGATTGCATAGAATTTGCTTTATTTTGGTTTTAGATTAAAATCATTAATACAAAATTAAAAGAGGACAATATTCCAGAGGTCAAGATAATACATTTTTCCTATTATTTTAATTATTATTCCAAGTAAAACATTAAATACATAGTTTAGAAATAATTACTAATTCATCTTTTTTTAAATGACTGCCACTTTTCTAAAAATTAATTTTAAAAAAAAACACATTTTATTACCCTCTGGAATAATGTCCGCTTTTAATTTTATAACAAGTGTACCCAAAATGTGATTGCCGCAACTACAACCAAACAGACAGTTCAGCACATAGTGAATAAATAGTAACAGAAAGTTCCTGATGGGTATGAAGAGCATAATGAAGTATCAACTGATGCCATTGAATGGTTAAGAAGCTTGGACATTTAGTTTTAATTTTAGATTGTGATGCAATCGGTCATTGATTTTAGTTTAGATATAATTAACATGTTACTATGAATTATGCCATACAAAATAATAAAAAAAAAATTTTATTTTAACTGTACTAACCCAAACAGACCTAACAAATGAAGCCAGGAGATGAAACTTTGTACATGTATGGTGTTTATATTTATGTAACCAAGTGCCTTTTACAAGTTTAAACTTTCAACCCACCCTTATTATTTGTATGCACAAATTTTACTATTTTTTTTAAAGTAGATAGTAAAGTATAGTATTCAGTTATTTACAAAGAGTACTTCTATATTCCAGGTAAAGGAAAAATGTATTCTAGTAATGGAACCCAGCTGCTTATGGGTGTTAGATTCTGAGCGGTGGGAGGAATGTATTGGCTTTTTTAAGTTTTTTTTTTTTGTGACTGAGCAACTAACTTTTCTACCAAACATCTTGCTTCAATTAAAAATTAAAGAGACTTTTTGTTGCATTTTTGATTTCCCAAACAGTTTTTATAATAATTGGGAAAAACCAGAATAAACGTAGGAAATACAGAAAAGTTTATAGCTTGTTTTGCTAGGTGTTTTGCTGTACATAGTAGCGTTATTTTATTTATTTTTTATAAGTGTTTTAAAATCAAAATTTTATCAAAATTGACAAATTACAGTCTTCCAAAACATAACCAAATTTCACTCAGAATATGTTTTTGTTGGCAATTATTTATCACTGCTTATAGACATAACTGAAATAACTTTATGAATACTACTTTTCCAACTTCTCACCTACAACAGTGACACTCCCATCATTAAAAGCAAGGAAGAAAAGGAACATTTATTTTTCATTTAATCTTCAATATTAAATAAATTCATTGAATTTAATTAAGACTAAAGGCCATTCTCACCAGCATATATGTTGATTTTTAAATGTAATTTAAAAGATAATCAACTAATCATGGTTGATTATCAGCAATAAACTCTTTAAAAATTAGATAAACGAAAATGTAAATGTTTATGTTGGTGAAAACGACCATAAGAGAATATTATAAGATAATTTACTTTAATGATGTTGGGATGCATAGGTGGAGTGGAGATATTCCTTGACTATCCAATAATTCCCATACGTTCACCAAAAGCATGTCTTTTAGACTCGGATCTAAAAATTGCAATCAAATTCTTTAACTTAAGCAGCATATAATAATGATTAATTACAAATATCTTACTAAGATTTAAAACATGAAGGTCGTCATGATCCTTAAGCTGATTTAGAATATGAGATGAAAAATCATAGTTTAGTACTCTGAAATTTTGTAATTGGGTTTTGGGATAATTTGGACTTGTACCACCAGATATAAAAACTTGGTCATTAACTACTAAACAAATCTGCCTTCTCCTGGCACACGGTGATGTGCCTTTTGGATTCATTTTTAACCAGGTAGATTTTATTGGATCATATCGATGTATGTCTTTATAGTGCAAGTCCAGGTTTCTGTTAAAGCCACCAAAAATGTACATGAAGCCATTGTGCACAACTGTAATCAAATATGTCAAGAATTATGAGAATAACATTATATTATTATTGTTCCTTTATTTACTGTTCATATATAGTTATTATTTATTACATACAAGCTGAATGACTGCGTCGACCATTGGGTTTGTCACCATAAACAACTGGGCATACCCACATTTTAGTAAGTGTATCGAAATAATAAATGTTAGGACAGTATACTTCTTTGCCGCTAACTCTTGATTCATCATTATCGCCACGACCACCAAAAATGTACATTTTATTACCAATAGCAGTTGCAGTATGGAAATCTCTATGTGATGGTGGATCTCCCTAATGAAAAGAAAAACTGTTAATTATTTACATACAATAAAATATATTCAACTAATCCAATACATTTGTTTTAACTATACTCCATGCCATTGTGTGAAAGTCGAGCATATATAAGTCTTGAGAAAACTGAGTTGGATTTTCTTGGAACCCGCCAAATATGAACATTTGATTTTTTATAACACATGCAGAATGACCGTCTCTGGGCATTGGTATAGTGCCATATACATTTGGTGTAGACCATTTAAGTGTTTCTAAAATAAAATTGAATTTTAGATGTCATATTATGGTCATCCCTACCAAAATACAATAGGTAACCTATAATAGTATTGCATGTCAGTTATTTTCATCTTCATATATTAGAATATGTTATACATCTAACTCTCATAACTATATTTATACAAATATCACTAATCACAACGGTTTTGTGTTTCACAAGCCAATAATTCTTCAAATTCAACTTGATATCTAAACTCAAAACCATCCATTAATTCAGATTGTTGAAACAATGCTGTAGACCAGGGTACACCAAAAATATACCTCATAACATTCAAAAATATTTCTTTTAATAAATTACTTTGGGTAAGTAGGTCGTAGATATGTGTCTCTTTATCTTTATTGTTTAATAATCAAGCTTGTTATTGACGATTTCAATTTATTTTAGATTTTGAGTGGAGTGAAGAAACTTATGGTTTTACAAAGATGTTTATTTTTTGACAAATGGGAAAATGTAAGAAATGTAGGTATTAGCTAAAAGTATTATGGCCTTCTTTTTTTTTGTGGACAACTTTTCTACCAGCAATTTTGCTTCAACCTTTAATGATAATACTAGAAAGGTATTTTATCGGTTTTCTACGGAGTTTTCTCAACAAATGTGGAAAACTGAAAAATGTACAAAAAACAGAAAAATCAGTAGATTTAACAAATATTATGAAAGATAATATATAATGCCTATTTAATTATTTTACTATAATATTATTGACAAAGCATCACTATCAACTAAATTCCGCTCAAAATTGTTTTTTCGTAAGCAATGGTTAATTTTTGCTAACAGATATACACTAAATTACCCACAACAGTGGCTGCACACGTTCTCATTATTCTAGGACGTCTTATTGAGATTTTCGTTTTTATATTTATAATAATATGTTTTATGTATTTTTTCGAAAATATAATAATAAATTACCTGCATATTTTTAAGTATATTTTGACGGTTTGACTGTGTATTTTCATGCATTTTTAATACAATAAGTCACGAACTCTAGTTATTATTATGTGCAACAAATCTAGTTACTGGTCCAAGTAAATTGTTCAATATATTTTGTTTTGAACATATGTATTTTGCGGATTTAAGAACAATGGTGAAGTCAAAATTGAGCGAATAGTATATGTGCTACATTAAACAACTCAATATTGAGTACATTATATCTGTTGTAGTCTAGTACTCTAGTGGTGGAACACCACCTATTGTCCTACTGTCATACCTATTGTCATCTCAGAGATCACAAGTTTAAACCCGAGTTCCTAGAATTTTATTTTGCGAAACCATGTTAGGTAGACGTACAAAAGACAAAACCATTTTTTTTAATTTAATACACATAAAGAGTAAAAGCGACAATAACAGAGGTATAGCATGAAAGTGATGGTTAAGGTAGTCACAGAAATAATGATAAAGTTGGACAAGTTTTCGAGAAAATCAAAAAATAACCTCTCTAAAGTACCACCCTAGTGAAATTTCCTTCTAGAAATATTGCTATCATTAAATTTGGAGCAAAATAACTGGTAGAAAAGTTGTGCACAGAAAAAAAGAAGGCTGTAATATTTTAACTAATACCTACATTTCTTATATTTTCTTGTTTTTTTTCAGATTTTCAAATTTGATGAGAACTCTTGAGAAAATCAAAAAATTAATTTAAGTACCTCTCCACACTAAGATTCTTTCAGAAAAGGTGCTACACTTAGAAATCTATTCACAAATAAAAAAATAATAATAGTAATAAACATCTTTGTAAAACCATAAGTTTTTTTGCTCCACTCAGAATCTAAAACATCTTAAATGTACAATCAATTTCAATTAAGAATAATATTCTATAAACACCAATTTATTTAACATAATAAATAAAACCTCTTAAATCTATTTTATTTCATTTCAAAATCACTTCTATTAATATGAGTTTACTCATTTATAAAAAATGCTAATATTTTCTATGTACCTATTTTTCATTTTGACATTATTCAATTATATTATTTTATATTTTTTACTTTTGTTTTACTATTACCTAAATTTTATAAATATGTCATCGTTTTATTAAAATACAACTTAATTTATTAAAAATTTACCAGTATCGAAGCAGTATAAGGTGTTGCAAACTTCCTTATCATTACGACCGCCCCACAGGTATACTTTAGAACCTAGAGTGACAGCTGTGTGACCATACCTTTGAAACGGGATACATGTGCTGTCTTGGTCATTATTGTTGAGTACCCACCATTTAAATTTCACTAAAATTAAAAATAAATAATATATATCATATAAAAATATCCATATCCTCCCCAATTATATAATAGACTAGAGAAAATCAAATATTTTATTAAATATTGTCTACCGGTGTCTAATATATGTATGTCGATTGGCTTGAAGGTCTTGTAATCTACACCACTGCAGTAACCACCGAATGTAAAAATAGTTGTGCCAATTGCAATAGCTGCATGATTGACGCGACGTGGGCCTCCATACAAGTGAACAGTCCAGTACATTATAATATTTTTTAAGAATATATGCGATTTGCGATACTAAACAAATAATACAATGCATGAAATAAAATACAAATATCTAGAATTTAACAAAATAGATCTGAATACTATTCACTGTAATATTAGATTGTATGTTCTAATTATTATTAAAACCTATTAACAATTGATGGGATTTTATTGCTTACTGAATACTATTGTGAGTGTCCGTTTTCTGAATATTCTACGCTGAATAATATTGTTTTTCAATAGATAAACATATGAGGGAAAAATGTTTTTTATTGTAACATCCGAGTTTGGGTAATTCTAAAAAAGTACTAATTAAACGAATAGAATAAAATGCTAATGGTCGAATAAAATTAAGGTGAAATTGTAAATTACAATCAGCCAAATACAGTGTACAAAACAATGGCATAAACATAGATAAAAAAATATTATCTACAGGTATAAACCCATAGATAATATATACATGGATGGGACATACCATGCATTCGAGACGATGTGTGATCGAAGAGGGAAGGGGTTTGTTAGGGTCAGGTTAGGTTTCTCCTTAGGTACTCTCGATTTTGATAACAATAAACTTGGACTAGGTGAATATATAAGCTCTCACGACTCATCGAAGAGCATATTACTGGTTACCAGAGTGGTTACATTTAATAAAGGTGTGATATCAATCATAAGTGATAACGAAAAAAACAAAAACGCAATTCACCGATTACCTCCCGCCTGGCGGACACCGAAATAAGAAGTTCAAAAAATAATATTAATAAAAGCAAATTAATACGTAATAATTACAATAGTGAACACAAATTACTAAATTAATAAATTGACACAAATCAGATTAGTAAAAAGAAGATAAAAATGTTGTTTATCATAAACCAGTATCTGTAATCGCATATAATCATTATAGTAACCCATAGACTCTTCACTCACAGCACGGCCTTCTAAGACCGTGGCTTACAATATACCATGTATCCGTATAAGGATGCCATGTATAATTATAAATAATGGATAAGCCATGTGTATATAATCAATAATCACAGATATCTATACTATACATAGTATAATATAGATATCTGTGTCAATAATACATCATATTTTCCATCCTACTCGGCAATATTTGTTATCTATTAAAATATTGATAATGATTATGGTATTACACATTAAAATAGTCTTTATTGATATACATATTTATTTCTTTATTTATTTATTGTATATGACATGAAGATTAGTGATGAGGAAACCAAATTATTATGGCCGCCTGTTGTAAAATTGGGACGACAAAAAACAACGATTTAAGATTACCTTAATAAAAAACCACACAGTTTTTCTACTACCAACAGCGCGTTGTTCGATTAGAGTTCGACGTTTTATATTAAATGTATATGTACGTTTTTTTGGGGGGTTTTCAAATTAAATATGATTTATTATTACATACAAATTGTTTTCCCAAGTTGACTTTTGACGTATAGCTGCTAACCTAAGTTGATTTGGAAAGATGATTTTTATAACAATTCTGTGGTTGGCAGCTCGCGTTTAGATAAAAGTTGTTTTTCTCTCTATAAGTTGATATTTGAGACCCCAATTTTTAGTAGGCTTTTACAAAATAGTCCTTGTTGTCCAAAGGTTCAAAGCTATTAAATCCACCCTTTATTGAAAAATTTAAGTTTAAAAAGAAAGTGCTTATCTACAAAGTACCTAAAAAACTCAAAATTAAAATATATTAATAACTCAAAAATGACTCAAATGTCTTAAAGAGCAAATATAAATTTATTTCTGTCCAAATTACAAGTCTCTACAAATATTTTTAATTGAATTACAACAAATATAGATCATTGTAAAATGAATACATTTCTCGCTTGTCTTAGATATCTCTCAACATTAATAAATGATCTTATTTCAACCAGAGATAGGCTTACTAAAATGCACTCCAGGGTATTTTTGATTCGCCCATCAGATTATCATGATTCAACTCTAGAAAAAATAACATTACAGATTTTAATTTCTGAAAAATTAAATGTAGATACTGTTTTATATTACTTCAAACTTATTGATAGACCCAACATCTTTACCATATTATGTTGGATGTGACGAATACAATATAGAATTGACAAAATATATTGTAACATTTTTTTATTACAATGCGTATGCACTTTATTGTAAAGCATTCAAACTATAATGAAACTACGAAAACAAAAATAATAACAAACTATGTGCTGTAGAAAATTATTTAAATCAATTTAAACAATTCATTTTAGATTCTGAGCAGAATGAGAAATTTATTGGTTTTACAATAATGTTTATTATTTTTATTTTTTTTTTTTTTGTGTGAACACTTTTTCTACCACAAAGCTTACTTCTATTATCAAGTATAATACCTTTTCTAAAAGAAAACGTTCTCTGGGATTACCCAGTAGGTATTAACCTACTTCAGAGAGTTAATTTTTTGAAATTTTCATTAATATTCGAGATAATGAGGAAAACATGGTCTTTAATTTAAAATTTAAAATAAGGTTATCATTGGCAACAGTTTTTATTTATTTTTTGTTATTATTAAGTTTTTATTATTTTAAACTGTTTTAAACAATCATGGAAACACAAATTATTGTAATTACTAATCATTTCACCATAATATGACATATTTATTAACTTGTCAACTTGAGAAAATAATATGTATGTACCTAATAATAAATCATATTTAATTAGAAAAAACTAAAGACAATGTACATAATCCTGATTATACTATCCATGTGTTCCTTCATTTAAGGAAATATTGTTTTAATCAAAAAATGCTAAGAGACCTTTTTTGTTCCTTAGAATATCTAGCCATTGACAGTGAAAGTCTTTTTTTGATACCCAATGTAATTTTAATTTAAAAATAAAATAAAAACGTACAGAATCCTCATTAAACTATATAGTATAATCATTGATTTTATAGTATACATTTTATAAAATCGATGTAAAACATCGGACTCAAATCGAACGATGCGTTGCTGGTGACAGAAAAATCGTGCGCTTTTTTTGTAAGGTATATCCTGTTCCGATTTTTACGTGAACCTAACGTGTAGGTCATTTTTCAATTTTCTCAATAGTTTTCTCATCAAATTTGAAACCAAAAAAAAAAAAACAGAAAAATATAAGAAATGTAGGTATTAACGAAAAATATTATGGCCTTCTTATTTCTTATGGACAACTTTTCTACCAGCAATAATTTCGCTCAGACTTTTGATAGTTTTGACAATTTTTCTAAAAGGAAATTTCACTGGGAAGGTACTTTAGAGAGGTCGTTTTTCGATTTTCTCAGCAAATTTGAAAAACTGGGAAAAAACATAGGAAAACCAAGGAAATCGGTACAACATTATACAATTATTATTAAAGAAAATATATAGGGCTCTGTATAAATATATTTAAATATTTTACTATAATATAGTATATATATATTGTTGACAAAGCATCGTTATCAATTGTACTCCGCTCAGAATCGTTTTTTCGTTAGCAATGGTTTATCATTACTCACAGATATACATTCAATTCTCGTATATTTACTACCTTCCCAACTTCCAACCTACATTAGTAGCTGCATCTGTCCCCATTACAGGGGCGGACCCAGAGGGGAGTTTGGGAGGTCAGCTATTCACAGTTTTTTTCTCGGTAAAATGTGGCCTCTCAAAATGACAAACTAAATAAATATGTACAATACTACAATAATCAAAATAGAACAAATATTAAATAATAATATGGGTGTTATAAGTAATTTATAAAATGTACACAGGCTCAAGAACATTTCTATGAAAATATAATTATAATTATAAACTAATAATTATAACTAACCTAATAAGGTTAATTATAAATTATAAATTTATAAATATTATGATGTATAGAGAAACGTGAAAACTGGGTATTGAAGTATAAATAGCGCGTATAAAATCGTACGGCCAGCGCGCGTATCAACAAATAATATACCTAAATCGAAAAACATGCGTACCGTATGCGCGGCTGCCTTTACAAAACATATACCGATAGTCGATATTGTTGTTTATATAATACAGTGAAACCTCTCTTAACGGATACCTCTAAATAGCGGACGTTTTTTCGGGGACGGGAACATTTTCACTATTTATGTATAGGAAAACCTCTAAATACAGGACACTCTAAATAACGGACACTTTTATGACGTTGATATTAGTTATTTTAATCTTAAATTAAGAATTATTTTGGAATACCTGAATAAAAACCTAAATTATTAAGTTATCTTATGTGTACATTATTATACTGTATATGAAAATCTTATCTTATCCGTTCAGTCATTGAAATATTATCGCGTCAACGAAGTATTATAACTAATGCATTGTCCTGTGTGCGTTTAGTTGTGTTTGTGATGCCAACGTTTATTGTATATTATGCTAATGCAATTTACTGGGTGTCTTCATCTTCAAAAAACATTCAACCCGAAACAGTGAAGAAATGCTTTTTGCGGCAAAAATAAGAAGTCTACGAGAGGCATTGCTAGCAGTAAAAGACATACGTAAATATATTTCTTCTAACGAGGTACAGAATAGTTCATTGTTCTCAAACACAGTCCAATTAGAAAATGCCTCAACATACGACATAACTACGCCTGCAATTAGTAAACAAATTAAAGTAACAGATTTTTCTTCAGAAATTATGTATGTATTTAATTAATGTAAAAACAAAAGAAAAATTTAGGTAACTGTTTTTTTTTCATAAATGTTAGTTTTATCGTGTATTCAATTAATGTAAAAATAATATAAAATAAAATTATTGAATTTATTTATTTGTTAAAAAACAANAATTAGTAAACAAACTAAAGTAACAGATTTTTTTCAGAAATGATGTATGTATTTTTAAGATGTATGTATTTAATTAATGTAAAAATAAAAGAAAAATTTAGGTAACTGTTTTTTTTTTCATAAATGTTAGTTTTGTCGTGTATTCAATTAATGTAAAAATAATATAAAATAAAATTATTGAATTTATTTATTTGTTAAAAAACATGTTTTCCTCTAAATAGCGGACAAAATTTCGGCGACCGAGAGTGTCCGCTATTCAGAGGTTTCACTGTATAATATAATTACTGACCAATTTTTTTAAAATTTGAATATAAAATGTATAATAATTATTTACACAATAACATTTAAAAAATACAATTTTACAATAATCATCAACTATTTATACCACCAACCATTACAGTATTACATAATATTTACAAGCGTTCTATCCTTTACTATCCTTAAATTTTACTTTTATTACATTTATTTTTCAAAGGTTTATTTGGGGTGGTAATTGTATTTTAAATATAAAATATTTATTGCAATCTATATATGGAATCTAATATTATTGTCAAGGGCTTCTATCAAAGTGTGACT